TTGGTATATTTTCAGGTACTTTTAAGAAGTAATTAAGCACTTGCAATGATAATAATGATTAGTAGCTTTGAGCTAATTAAGAGCAGTATAACTTGTAGTAATGTGGACAACATTAGATAATGGTCAAACCATTGCATTCAGAGGTTGGTTAGTTTGGGGGGGGGGTAAAACAGGGTACTGTTTAGATGAAAAACTATACAATTACTTTTAACTCTGAGGATTGCAACACAACTGGTTATGAGTTGTTCATAGCATGGAAGGCCTAGCTGCTTTTTTCATAGTTTGATAGTAGTAAGCAATGGCCACCATATTCCTGGTTGAGCTCATGCTGTCAATCACAAATTTTTTTCTCCACAATGAATTTGTCAATCATGGAAAATCAGATCTGAGCATGTCGATGTTGCTGCACCCTGCAATGACTCTTCAAGGCAACCATGATGGCCTAAAGAAGACTAAAAGTGTAATGATGATTAGGCTAGGATGTCCAAAAAAGAGAAGATAAACTAGGAACAAAAAAAGAGTTGATTTTTTTGTTATGATCCAGCTTTTCCCATTCACATGAAAACAATTTAATTTTCTTTAAAATGATAATTGCCTAGTGTGACTTTTATGAGCTTGGGCAAACTTGGCAGTATTTGGATATAACTTCAAAGAGAATTAACCAGTAAATTTCTTTTGTTATTAGTTTTTTTACTACATAATGAGTATGTTATTTGAAACTGAGGTGAATGATTTCTTATTTTATTACATTTAACCCACATAAATCAAGTTTTTTTTAAAGGGGTGTGTGAATTAGATAGAAAACATTTCATCACTCCAAACTGAGAGGAAACATCAATTGATAGATTCAAACAGAGCACTCAAACAACTCTTCTCAGAAACTACAGGTGTATATACTAGCCATGCAATTTACACAACCAACTTCAAGGTGGTTTCATTGAAAAGCTTGCTAATTGATAATTAATCATTGCATATACGTTCAGTAAAGTGTGACTTTGTCCATTGTGGTCATGACAACTTTTTTTTTGTCCTAATTGTTTTTTGTGACTCAACCATCACCATTTGTATCACTGACACAATCAGGGTATCTGACCTGAACTTCTTTAAAATGGAAGTTTTTAGCTCTGGACTTTAATAACTGTGTGAATCTCAAATATATCAGTTGTATCCAGCGTGTAATTTTCACCAATCCCTTAAGTTGTTTTATCAGTTATATAAAAAATTGCAAGTTGACAGTTGGGAACTTCAGCGCAGATATTTTTGGCAATGTGGATATTAAGTGGAAGGAGAATGCAAACTTCTCATGGCTTGCTTTTTTAATTAATAAATCAGTTGGAGAGCCCCAGTCTTAGCAGTTTGAATACAACCCCCGCCAAAAATAAATAGATTAACAATCTACAGCTTGTGCAAGGGAAAAAACCCTCTACTTTTAGTTGCCATTGACCCCTCAAAAATGTCTGTGTTAAAGCTCCTCAACACTAGTTCTGTAATCTGTCTGTTCTTTAAAAGTGATTACTTTTATGTGTCACTAAAAGGGCAAATGGTGTAAACAGTGTTTTGCCCTGTGAACACTACTGTGTGGAATTTTCTTCAGGGGTAGCCTTTGGGAGAAATTCCTTTGTTCATGGTGAGGCTAACCACAAAATTAAGGGGAAAAAATTTACTCTTGTGTAAGCAAATACTGGGGTGAATATTGTAGATACAAATTCAAGTTTCTGCGCTCTATGCGATGATTTATAGGTGGGCTTTTGTTAGAGATGGCTCATAGGAAGTGATTTAATTTAGTAAATTGTTAAAGTGAATTTTTAGTCAAATGTAGGCATGTAAGGAGATCATGACTATCAATTTTGTTTCAAAGTGCTTTGTATAACTCCAAAAGGACAAAGCAAAAATCGAAGGTGTGTGTGGAAAAACTGTGCAACTTTGGAGACTGTTTAATTCTGTTTCTAAACTGTCCATTATTTCCTTGTGAAGCACAAGGAGAACTTGATGTGGCAGCAGTGTTTATTTCATGCATCTTTACCATTAGTAAAAAGTCTTTAATTAGTAAAAGTCTTCAACAAAGCATGTGTGTATGAATTTAAGGTAAAGGCTATTTGCATTATATCTCAATTCTCACCAATCATGGCATACACATCTCTATTAATTTGACATAATGAGATTTTGAAGTCTTGAGTAATTTTTGGCTGGAACACAGATCTGAAACATTTCTGTGCAATATTTGAAGATGTCAACCTCAGAACAGCTGCCTATGATAAAGATATCTTGTGATGGACAAGTATATAAATAAGTAGTCATGAATGCCACAATTGCTTTCTTTATGAGCAGATCACAACATTAATCATCTTTAGCCATCTCCATTACAAGGATGGCCCACTTGGGCCACATAGCATCTCAAGATGTGTTTGGCAGGTAGAAAGCCTCTCCCTGCAGATATCATTGTCTCACTCAACACACTAGCAACTTCCGGTTCTGTGGGTGTTGTGAAGATAACAAGAAACAGTCAGAAAGACTGTTACAAAAGTGTCATCTTGCAAACCTGGTGATCTAATTCGGGCCTCGATTTGCAACAGAATACTTTTGGAAAGGAGTGTCTCTTCTTCTTACTTATTAGGTCTGGGAATAAAGGGTGGGTAGTATTCTAAAAGTGGGTCTGATTTCTCGAGAATCATGGTACTTTACCTTCTATAAATATTTACCAAGTAGCTTCAAGAGGAAACAGCTTCAGCAGCAGTAAGGCTTGTGAAAGTGAAAGTGAAACTGCATACGTTGTCGGTGTTATCGAGCAGAATTTGTAAATAGTATATTGAGTCGATATAAGCTGTATTTAGGGCATAATTTGTAATGTAATAATTTGGTTGCTCAGGGCATTTAAGTAATTGAGTGTATCCCTTGAACGTTTTGACTGACGATAGTTGCCAGTTTAGTTAACTAAGCCTTAAAAATGACCAGTGTTAAATTTCTCCTCACCATAATACTGCAAAATCATTTTTTAAAGATCACGAGAATTAAGGAAATAATTGCCAACTTAAGAAGCTTTGATTGTTAAACAAATTCTCCTTTTCAGAATCAAAGGAAATGTCTAGAAAAGAGTATGGAGAATATGAATATTGGTCTTAGTGTGTAAAGGGTTAACTTGTATACTGGCAGAGAAGAAAATGCTTTTATAGTTATATTCTTTCCTTTGCTTTGTAGCCCTCTTGTCAACAGCTCGTTACGTAGATTGTGATCCAATGCTGTTTTGTTCAGCTATGATGAGTAGTTTCGTTATTGTTCCATCTGTTGTACTCAGCTAGATTTGTGATTCATTGCTCCACCTAATAATTTAACCTATAAATAATAAACCTATTCCTGTGTACGCTACAGGTAAATTAAAAAAAAATCTGATTAACCTGAACTTAGTTTGCGCGGTGACTTTGTTAAGCATGCTTAAGAGAGGAAACAATCGAGGCGGTTTCTCCCGCGCTCCGGTCCTCGCGTGTGTAATCATTAGACCCACTGTTGAGATAAGTGCAAACTCGCATCTGATTTGTAACTCTAGGGACTCTCGCAAACTTTCTTTGTAGCTTCCAGCTCGTTTTGCGAAGAACTCAACCTCATTAGGAAAAGACAATGGGAGTGTTGAGCCTAAATGTGAAAGAAAAGAGCGAGGCTAAAATAGTGTAACAGTACACGATGAAAAGAGATGTCCCATAACACCAATGGGAGAGAGTGGCGTTAAGATGGATGTCAATGCCTTATGCCTCTTGGCAAGGGATCTTGTGGGTAATGAAGAATCCGGAGAAACTTTTAGGAATTTTTCAAAAGCGTTGTGTTCCGGCATGTTTATGTGCTCTCCATTCATATGCATAATATCCTTCAAGGTTCGCTGCAGATGGAATAAAATTAAACTGAACAAAAAAAGCCGATATCATCGTAATGCGGTTAGCGATCTGAAACGGGATAAGGCAATGCTGACACGTTTCCTCCGCGGAAATAATCCCTGAGATCACAAGATTTTGTCATTTCTTTTTCAAGTTTGTTAGTTTTTATAATAAGACATTTCAGAGTTGTTCGTTGTTGTTGTCGTTTTTTTTTCCTTGATATTGATTTTCAGACCAGCGAAGCCTCGTAATCTACCATTTATTTTTTTATCATCTGGGGGGAAGGGGTTTGGAGAATTTTGGTTGTGTCGCAATAAATTTAACTGATCCCTACAAGAAGCTTTGTAGTATTCTAATGATCTCCCCAAAGTGACGGTCCATTTTCTTAAGTTCCGCTTTACACTATGTCAAAGACGACTAATCTTCACTCTGTTCACCAAGAATATTGTGGGACTCCCCAAAACCCTCCTACCCCCTCCCAGGTGAAAAATATTGACCGGTCTATCAAGTTCGCAAGGGCTGTTACATAACATCGTATGAAAGCAGAACTAATTCTTTGTTAAATATAGTCTCGAAGAATCCGCAAATTAAACTATGTTGAGTTTTCCAACCAACCTTCCTTTCTGTCACGTAATGTCAGGGTGACTATAGTTGGTACTCGGTAGTGAGGGAACGTAATGTGTGACAAAACCACACGGCGGAAGCCACAACACCTTCTGTAAGCGCAGACTGAAGAGCACCCTTTGGGTGCTCTTACAGTGAAGTATTCAATTTCAGAAGGGCAAAGACAGAGTACTTGAGAGACTCAAAGCTGGAAAATTATCTGATTCACAACAAGGCAATTCGTTTCTGGAAATTTGGTTCCAACTGCAGAATTACTATACCCTCTCTGGCCCATGTGGAAATCACGCATGGGTCTTATTACCCTATATAAATTGTAAAATTTATTTATTTTGTTAAAAATTCAACACCAACTATTAAATTTGTGTATTCGAATTTTTATTTTCCGCCTGCTCTATTCATTCAAGTTTCATTAGAAGGTCGAAGGTCATGTGGCGGGTTTAATTTTCATACGTGGTGGCAACTCATGTTTCTCACATGGGTAATTGATACGGTGCTTAAGCTGCTAGCTGTATACATCAATTTGTTAATCTCTTCTACTGTCGACGCTACTATGACATCTTAGAATTTTGACTATATTTTATTAATCGGCAAGAACAAATCTCCTTTTCTTTTAAAGATTGTATCACAGTGCCAACACTCTTATATTTTCTCTGGCATATCATGAACGAGACATAGACAGACAGCTCCAGTGTCTTTCCGTGTGGGGGAGGAAATTCCTTTTTTCTGAGGAAATTAGTAGTGAATTAACGCAGATTCCACGGAAGTTAAGTCCTGCAGTCCAAAATGGAAGAGATAGACAGCTTGATTCAGTCTCTTATGGAGAAAGAAATTCCTGATGGGCGACAGGCTTTGAAAGATGGGCACGAAAATCTGGCCAAAGTTGCAGCTTACTGTGAACAGAAATATCGAGACGCAAACAAGCATCACGCTTTACCGGGCTCAGATAAAGCAAAGGCTTTCGAAGAAACAAGGGCTGTTCTGGAAGAGACGAAAAAGTTCGCTACACAGTCGCTAGCAAGCGTGGCTTATCAGATAAACTCTTTAGCCCTCAGCATGTTGAATTTGATGGATAATCAAGCTTTAAAGGTGGAGGGACTGGAGGCAACGGTTCATCTCTTTGGACAGGTTGGTTTGTGTGTGATTCTTTTAGAACTCCACGCGCGCGCACGAAAGTTTCTCTTAAAGCTTTACACAACTATTCCTTTAAATTATTACTTCCTACGAAGCATGTGGGAACTACTAATATTAAATAATAATTATGGGGGTTCTAACGTTGTCGTATCGAGAGAAGTAATTAGCCATTTCCGGGGCCCGGCTTCGTTCTCAGCTTTTCGAAAACAAATCCTTTTGGGAGTAAAGCAATGATTTTGATTGCGATGTAGAGAAATCGCGACCCTTTTTCTGAAGCAAATATAAATATTCCTTCAAGAGCAATTCATGTTCTCTGATCTTGAATAAACATTTCTTAAAAATGCTTTCAGCGATTCTAATTTTCTTCCTTAACCAAATATTGACAGAACTCCACTCTTTGCGAGTCTGACATCATTGTCACGTTTTGATGGCTTTAATAAACCCATTCTATCCAAAGATCTAAATAGAAATTCTCCCTCCCATCAATCTTATATTTATCATATTTCAGCTGTGAGAATTTAGCATTAAATCAACCAATGCCTTCAGAATTGATATTTTTCTCTCTTCCTACAACTTTTTTGCTCACAGTGCATTAATATGTTAGGAGAAATGACTAATTGGTCATTCTTACAGGTTAATAGATAAAAATCTCTTTATAGAACCTTAAACCCAAACACTAGTATGCATATTCTCCATACTGTTCTCTATACATTTCTTGAGGTGCTGACAAGGAGAATTTACTTAACAATCAAAAGCTTTAGTTGGTGATCAATTTGTTTATTCTCATGATCTTCATATGTGATTCAGGGGTGATATTGTAAGGAGAATTTAGATGCGAGTCACTCTCTGGGGACAAAGGGGCAACTCAATATGAAATTTTTATATCAATGAATGACAAGTAGGAAATATTCATTGTTTTGCATTTAGAGTGTTGAAGCACACAAAGAAAAAGTGGCTCGTCTTAAGATAGGCGCTCTTGGTTCCAACAAGTCGAGGAAAAAGGTACCTAAAATAGTGGCTCCAGCTGAAAAAGAGGAACATGAAACATATGACTATGAGGGCATGCCAATTGATTTTCACAGTCTGGATAATTTAGGTGAATACTTGAAACTTACTGAAATTATCAAGTATGAGTTATTAGACTTCAGTAAAATAACTTTGGTTATCAAAGAGATGCACGCACTCTGATTGGTTAAAGTTGTTCTTAATTGTTATGCATGTTAGTTCTTGTGTCTCAAGCTCTGATGTTCAAAATGAGCGTGGAGTGAATTTTTGACGTTTCTGTTAGAGAAACACCTGAATAAAATGAGTTTAAAGGAAATGCAGTCAGTTCTGACAGTCACCTAAGGCAATACACAAAAACAACATTCTACTCTCAGGTTGAGTGTTTGTTATTGAATTTCAAGAGAGCTCAGATGGGTACCTGTTTAGCTAAAATGTTCAGAATTAACCAGATTGTTTAAAAAAATTGAAACCAGAATAATTATGATCATCAGAATTTATACTAATGTATGAGTTTCTTAGCATCATTCATTCTTATATCAAAAAAATTTCACTTAATGCCACCAAACACTGCCAGATTTTTTAATCACACAGTTGTTTCACCAGCTTACTCAACAAAGCCATCTATTTGGGTGCTAATGTTTTTGCAGGGAATGGTGCCAAGACAAAGAGCAGATCTCAAGAAAGTCAACAAAGTAGCAAGAAAAAAGGAGGCAGAGGAAGTTCAAGGAGAGCACAATTGACAAATCCCCCACCCCCTCCTGTACCCCCACCTTCTGTACCCTCCTTAGACTCAGATCTGCCCTCTCCCCCCTTGGTGGCAAACCAGGTGACTGCATTGCCAGCAGATAATGGTGCTGGGATCCCTCCACCACCACCACTCCCAACAGGGGTACCTGCTCCCCCACCACCTCCTGGCATTGGAGGCACAGTACCTCCCCCACCACCAGCCCCTGGTATAGGGGGATCAGTACCTCCCCCACCACCTCCCCCCAGTATTGGAGGATCAGTACCATCCCCACCACCACCCCCTGGTATTGGAGGATCAATACCACCCCCACCACCACCCCCTGGTATTGGAGGATCAATACCACCCCCACCACCACTTCCTGGTCTTGGAGGAGCAGTTGCATCTCCACCTCTGCCTCCTGGTACTGGAGGAGCCATACCACCCCCACCAGCCGTAGGGGGATCAGTACCTCGCCCACCACCACCTCCTGGTGTAGGAGGAGCAATTCCTTCTCCAAGAGCACCCCTGGTAAATTAGGCACAGTTCCTCCTCCCCCACCACCACCTCCTGCCATGGGAGGAGCGGTTCCCCCACCACCAACACCTGCTGTTGTACCATCCCCACCGACTCCCCCTAGCTCAGGAGGATCAATTCCTGCCCCACCACCACCTCCTCCTTTGCCAAGTGATGGTGCCAATGCTAAGCTATCTAAACCAGGTAAACAAAAAATTAGTAAATTGTTGTATCAGTAATTTGTATCGTTCTTTTTAGTATAAGAACTTACAGACTGACATTTTTAATTTCTTTAATCATAATCAGGCGAAGGTAGTCTACCCTCCTCACTCCCTCCCTCTGAGGAAGAATACTACCAATCCCCATCATCACTACTAATGCCCGTGCCACAAGAGGATTTGTACCAGGTTCCCTCTGTGCTAACAGGAAAAGGGACCTCTTGCATCCCTAAAAACTACATAGAAAAAGGTAGGTGGATTTTTTTTTTCGGCGTAATCGATTTTTTATACCGTAGACCTCGGATTTATAGCGCATTAGCGCACTTAACGCGGTCACTCGTCGGTTAAAATTGGTCGATAGGAGGGGTGCTTATTCGAAGGGGTGTTTGTTCGCAAGCAATCGTGTATTTCAGGATTAACAGTACCTTGGCGGATACATATCTAGTTGATGGATCCGGGGAGTTCAATTTCTCCCCCCTCCCCTCCCTTCAGTCCCGTTTGGGTATTTAAATCAAAATTCTTGCAACGCCAGGATCGCATACTACTTCTTAACTTCGTGTTTCTAAAATTTGATAATCGTGAAATGTTTCTTAGCTTATTTCAGCCCCAGTATTTTAAAAAAATATGTGTTTGGACTCAAACCCTTCCACATCAATGATTCCTGGATCCTCCCTTGTTAAGTATCGATGCTCAGGGTTTGGTCAGAATATGTTGATTATAAAAGCCATTTGTTTTCTTGCTTTCAGTGGTGACCTTGTATGAATATGTTCAAGAAAGAGACGACGAGCTTACATTTCAAGAAGGAAAGATCATTTACGTCGTCAAGAAACATGATAACGGTTGGTTCGAGGGTGTCATGGAAAATGGAGCAAGTGGCCTCTTTCCAGGAAATTATGTGGAAGTTTGTCTGTGACGACAGACAGCAACATCTTTTACTCGCATAAATGTTTGTGTTACGGAAAAAATCCTGTATATTTGGGCATGCAAATAATGGCGAAGGAAAAGTTCCAGATGGTGATTTCAGTGGCTCTACCAAGTTTTAATAACCGGGAGAAAATGCAAGTAAGGTTCTGCATTTGAATGGTCGGTTTATTTATACGCTTTATATCTACACTGAAACAAGATAAGTTACAGACTTGTTCAAAATAGATATGGCTGCATATACAGCAAAAACGTGCTTGTTAAATGTAGCCGAATGCTATCATATATAGGAGGGTTGATCAATACACTCAAATTGAGTCGATTCGGCCAAGTTTGTTTTAATCAAATGGTTTGAACATTGTTATGTAGCTCTAAGAATTTTTTTTTCAATCTCATTTACGAATAAGTAAAATCGCAGAAAAGAAAGGACAATTTTACATTTAAAGGAAATAAATTTTTTAAAATTGTTATATACAAGTGGTTAACATTGGGTAACCTTGCAATGTAAATATACGCTACTCTTCAAGATGTTTAATAAACGCCATGCAAACCCAAGGCAAAAATTTGAACTACTCAAAGGAAAACCAGCTTTATCGGGGATTGTGTTGGTTGTGCTTTTCATCCGTCTGTGATTGGTTAAGTAGACTTGCGCTTCCTTCTTAACCAATCAAATAAAGACTAGACACCAATGACGACTTGGTCGCCCATGTTTTCCCGACTGGCTGACCAATCGCCTCGATTTCTTACAAGAGCTTTGAATGGCGCTGGCAAAGGTTAGTCCCGCGGGTTGTTTCGCTTCGGTTTGGATGCCATGGGAAGATATGAAAATAAACTGCGACTATTTTACTGAAAGAAATAAAGTACTGCAAAACGCCACAATTCGCTGTTCACAAGGTTAATTGCTGGATTTTATAACGTCGAGACAAAACATCCTTTCCAAAAACATCCATTCCTAAGCATGATTTATACCTGTTGTATCATATTATCAACAGCTGATGTCACTTGTACCCATATTGGGCCTAGGTTTTCACCGTTTTGGCCGCACGCTGACGAAGCTAACCTAGATTAGTAGCCGCTGTTCGGGTAGTGAGCTAGCGTTCCTCCTTCAACGAGACCTCTCGGGGGATCGAAGGCCAAATCCGTGAAAACGTCGGAAAACGAGCTAACGACGAAACCGCCGAACTGTCGAATTTTTCCATAGCGACCCACATAAAATTCACCGTCAATGACGTTTATTCCTTTACTTCACCTTTAGCTGGCTTCCTTTTTGCTATATAAAAGTAATTTATCAGTCGGCGGAGAACAAAGAAATCAGAAAGCGATAGAAAATGAGCTCGCCATTTTCTGCTGCTTTTTGGCGAAATAGCCTTAGTAGTTATCAAAATCTAGATGACGCTCCGCCTAAAAGAGTGTGGCGTCTTGGAAGTATCGACGAAGAAACAGACGAGCACGTCTTGTTAGAGAGGGACAGCGAGAGCTTCCGCAATTTCGCGTCTCCCAAAGAAATCGTCAGCCATAGCTGGAGAAATCGCCTGGCGGAAAGGCTCCCTTTGTGGAATCTTCGACAACCCTCATCCTCTCGTCGTCTTCCTTGTTGCAAGTCTGGTCTGGGTCTTATCCTCACCACAGCATCTGGCGTCCTGTTCGCGATAGCATCGCTTTTTGTGAAGCTTTCCAACACGTCGATCCCAGCGTTTGAAATCGTCTTCTTCCGCCTTGTGATCCAAACCGTTCTTGTTGTTCCTGGTGCCATCTGGGCGCGGGCAGACTTGTTGGGCGAGAGGGAACACAGACCATTCCTCGTATGCTTCGGCGCAGTGAATTTTGCTTCTGTCTCTTGCATTTACGGATCGTTCACCAAGCTACCGTTAGGAGACGCAACCGTTTGTATATCGACAACCCCAATTTTTACCGCTCTGGTTGCCTACGTTTTCCTAAAAGAATCTTGGCATATTTTTGACGCAATAGCGACCTTTGTATGTCTGGGTGGAGTGGTCCTTCTAACGAAACCAACATTTCTCTTCGGCTCTTCAGGTAATTTGAATAGATATGCATCATTAATTTTCAGTGTTCTTTTTGTTTTCCCTACCTCGAACAGAAAAAAAAAAAGAGAAAAAAATACCTTATATTGATATTTATTTCAAGAATCAAGTATTTCAATTTTAGTGAAATGTTTAGATCTAGTCGCTTTATCACGACGTTTAACAAAGTATGTGTCGTCTATGATTACGGTTAGATTTTTGTCGTCACAAAATTGTCAAATTGATTCCATATGCCGTGGGTCTGTTCAGTAATAGGTCACAGATGACGTCAAAACGTGGTAAGAGAAAAAAATATGGCACACGAGGCGGAACCGAGTGTGTCGCTCATGTTCCTACCACTTTTTTTAACATGTATGATCTATCTACAGACCCACGGCAACAAGGAATATTTTTGTTTTATGCGAGAAAAAAAAGCACAATTCTGTTAATGGTGATATCATTTATGTGTCTGTCCTTTGAAATATCATTAGTAAGAACCATCAAAATCTATTAAGGTCGTGCAGAATGGATTTTATCAAAACCTTTTAAGATTTTTTAACTCTTTGGGATTGACACAGCCAAAACTTACATCGGAGTATTCATTAACTCGAAGTCAAACGCGATTATTTTTTAGAAAATACAATTACAAAACCTTCACTCTAATTTATTTTTTTAATGTAGCAAATCTATCAAGCCACGTGACCGAGTCGTCCCGTCTGATTGGTTATGCTGTGGCACTTTCCGGAGCTGTCGTCCAATCATTGACGTTTGTTATGGTCCGTAAAGTTGGTGGTTCTGTGAGCTTCTACACCAATGTCTTCTACTTTGGCTGGTGCAGTGCACTCCTATCTGGTTTGACCATGTTTGTTTTTCAAAAACCTGTTATTCCGGATTGCGGGACGACAAGGTGGTTCCTTATTGGAGTAGGTAGGGATGCTTTCTCGTTTTAGATCAGTAAGGAAGAAATAATAATTCTTTAGAACAGGTTAGATAGGTTAGGCCTTGTGGGCTTTATGGCTCGTTATCTATGGAGGCTATTAAGGTTTCTAAACCATAAATAGTCTGTTCCAGGTGTTCAGTTAACAAAGCGCGATCGTAAACGACGCAATAGTACCTTTTTCACCCGCCTCTAATACCGCGCCGTTTTCTGTCTCGTACTCAGACCTTCCACGGCCAGGCGGTTGTTGCGCTCCGTTTTACTGTGTGATTAGGCGGCTGAAACAGACTGTAGCATAAACAGCCAGGAATATTACCAAACTCTAGATGAGATGGTAGTTCATTGTGTTATTTTGTGAGACAAGTGATTGCATGAAATTCTATTTTTGTTCTGGAGTTGTCTTTGCATAATCTTTTAAAATTTGCACTTGAACACAGATCTTATTTTTTTCTGCAGCTCTCTGTGGAGTATTCGGAAGTTTCTGCTTGAACCGGGGTCTTCAGTTGGAGAAAGCAGCCCCGGCAGCGCTGATGAGGAATGTAGACATCCTGTTGGCCTTTTTATTTGACTACGCTATCTTTGGACATAAGCCAAGCCTCCTTACTTTGCTTGGGGGTCTGCTTGTGGTGTTGTCAACCGGCGGAGTGGCCCTGGGCAAGTGGTGGAGGTCACGTGATAATTTATGATTATGTACTTCTGAGTGATCAAGGCTTTTTTATCTCGGTTTTTAAAGCTTTTTTTCTGAAACTTTTTAAGTATTTCTCCCAAATTAACTTATTATGGCTCCCCTCTTGTTGACGGTAACCACAGATAGGGGCCTGAAAAGAATCGAAAAATCTCGACGGTAGAAAGGAAAGATTTTAAAGCTTTTCAATCCTCTATCTTTTTTTAATTTTGAAATAACATGACAAACACACAATCTGTTTGAAAGTTTTGAAAGATTTTGTTTACAGTGTGAGGACACGCGAGAAAAAAATATATTCAAATTAGCAAACGAAAACAGCAACGCATATTTTGTAACACTTTTTTATTAATTTTTGAAATTGTTTTTTATCTTTTTACCGTTCACCTTTTAACTTCTTTGCTCATGAGTAAAATCCATGTAATTTTAATGCTAATAAACTGAATACTACTTTCAGTTCGACTGAAAATGTTTTTTGAGGGAAGCATTGAGACACCAAATATGAGAGGTTCTCAATGAGAAAATAAACTGAAAGACACAAGTACCTACTCGGAAAATAAATCATCATCCGAGAAATCCTTACCGATGTGGCAACTGTGATCTTTCTGATTGGTATTTCAGATCATTTACTTGTGACGTAGAAGATTCGTGGAAGCTGAACCACAAAAAGTCTTCGTTTACGAGATTTAAAAATCTCGAGGTGGAAATTTTTCGACATGATGTAAATTGACAGGCAATTATTTTTAACAAGGTCTACTCACCTTTGGGATTTCTTTTCTTCGAGTGTGCATCATGACTGACAAAAACCGCTTTCTCTCTAGATCGCCGGGCTAAAATCTTCACTTCGGATCAGGACTGGGTTTCCCTTCAACTGAAACATTCTGGCAAAAAAACTGAAAAGAAAAGAAACTAAAACAAATACAAAGCAAAGGACCCCTTCCTCCCCCAAAAAAAAAAAAAAAAAAAACAAAACCAAAACAAAATAGAGAACCAAACAACGCCAACAAAAAGCCACAACAACGATGAAATATTATGTCTCGTGGGAATATTTCTTTGGACACACCCCTTTCTTTAATGTACCCAGCATGCTTTAAATTTATTCCAAGATGGCGGAGGTTGAAAATTTACTTCTCTCACTGATTGAGAAAGAAATCCCCGAAGGACGACAAGCATTGAGAGATGGCCATGAAAATCTGGCTAAGGTAGCAGAATACTGCGAAAAGAAATATCTGGAGACAAACAATCGGTTTAAATCGGGCGGAGACAGGGCGAAAGCGCTCGAGGAGTCAAGGGCTGTTCTCGACGAGACGAAACAATTCGCGACGCAGTCCCTGGCCAGTGTAGCTTATCAGATAAATTCCTTAGCTATGAACATGCTTGGCCTGTTAGATCAACAAGTTTTGAAGTTACAGGAAATGGAGTCGCGGATAAATCATATATCGGAGGTATGTTAAATATACCTACAGATTTGTCAGTAAATCAAAACCGGAGTGAACACACCACGAAATGTAAATAAAGTTGAACTGATGTTGCTTCAAGATGCAAAACTATGTCCATTACAGTGAAAGTGACCTCTTCATATCAATTAATTACTTGTAATGTGAATTTAAACCAGCTTAGAATTATTCATTTTTAAAAGGTATGTGATAAACTTTATTTAAATTTTATTTTTTATTTGGCAACTTTTTCCTGAGGAAAGAGAGGATTACCATCAAAGTAACATCCTTCTTCAGTGGATAAACATGGATGATGATTGAAAAACCCTCTTTTTGATACCTGCCAAATTTTTTTCTTAAGACGCAGGATTTTATACGGCGCGCACAGTACGTTCTTGAATTGAACCTGAACATATACGTAGAATTTAGAAAATTTCCAAAGAAGTTCAGAATATTTCTGACTATATTGCAAAGGTTTCTTGAAGAGTGGAGGCAAATTTCTTTACAGTGCTCTCTCTTCAACAATCTTAGGTTCAACTCAATGTTAGATCATTCAACATCAACACTATCATGTGTACAAAAATGTACTAAAGAAAATAAAAAAATTGTAGAACTCTTTAAAAGGATACAAAAGTAGGGAACAAAAAATTAAAACATTTTATGACACAAAGCTTATCCAGTTACAGGTATCCTGTTTATTTACTGTTTTTTTTAGGCTTTATCAAATAAGTTATAGGCTTCTAAAACCCTGTGAGTTCATGGCTTGTGTAGTTATAACTCCTGTAAGACAGCTTGGTTCTGAAAGCCTGAAAGCATCTTACCTATCCACTACAGTGATTACATATGGGCAAACTTTTTAGGGCTGTGTTGGTGGGATCACAAGTCTTTTGATTCACAGTTAAAATCATGCCTAAGGCATGGTAATTGGGGGCATGGTTTATGGTCTATGTTTGAAATTCTCATGGTACAGTTAATTATTACCAGTAATTCAGGGGCATAGCCAAGATTTTTTAAAAGGGGGATTACACTCTGTCAAGCAGAGGATATGCACCAGTTTTTTCCACCTGAATATTATTGGTTGTTTGTCTAACTCACAAAGGGGGAATCACAGGCATCCCAGGACCCCCTAGCTATGCCCTTGTGATTTTAACCAACCACTGTATTGGTCTTGTTAGACTGTTGACATTCACAAAGAGAAAGTGGCTCGAAGGGAGATAGGTGTGTTAGCATCAAGCAAATCAACTGGACGCACTCACAGAATCATAGCCCCAGCTGAGCAAGAGAAGCCTGTCAGATACAGCAGAAGAACAACTGATTATTCCCTGCTTGATCAATTAGGTAAATAGTTTTTTGTAAAATTAACCTTAAGTACAATTTGGCTTAAAAATTTAGAGGCTTTAATTTTGGTTTTTGGCAGATTAGTGGGCCAGTCTTTAATCTGTATAAAAAAGGGAAAACTCTATGAATAAGTGAATGTGACAATTCATGTTTTTGGCCCACCTTTTTTGATTGAATTTTCCATCTTGGAATTGTCAAATGCCTAGTTCTCTGCTTAATCAAATTTGTGTGTCAGAACTGTTTGAAGAGCTTTGTCTTTTGCAGGGCATGGAGTCAAGACAAGTGATCGTCAAGATAGCCGGCGCCGTCAAAGCAGCAAGAAAGTGAAGCCACAACAGCAACAAGCTGCAAACAGGGGGAGCCAGCGCCAACCAGTTGCAGGGACAACGAGAAGAGCACCACTTATTAAGCCTCCACCTCCTCCTGTTCCTCCACCAATGCCTCCTTCTGTTCCCTCCTCAGAACTAGGTCCAACCCCTCCTCCTTCTGTGCCTGTTCCACCTGCTACTCCATCATTACCAGGTGATGGTGCCATAGTCCCCCCACCTCCTCCACCCCCAGGAATGCCTTCTGTTCCATCACCCACTGGCATACCACCTCCACCACCACTCCCTGGTTTTGTATCCCCTCCTCCCTACCCCAGTATGGGAGGACAAGTACCTACCCCACCCCCTCCTCCAGCTTTGAATGCACATGGTGGTGCAATGAACCTTCCTCCACCAGGTAAATATATTTTTACAGAACTGCATTTACTTGATTTAACATTGCTTTTGCATTAATTTTTCTTTAGAGTTTTCAGTGTGTCATTTATTTGAGGACAACTTCCATCTCATTTTATATATCAGATAACAACTGGGAAAAATCGCTTTAATGAAGAAATGTAAAATGGTTTCCGTGTTTACACAACCTGATGTAAACACGCTGGAGGTTGGGAGAACATGAGATAAGTGTAGGAAACCACGACGCGAAGCAGAGTGGTTTCCAGCTTATCGAGTGTTTTCCCAACCTCCCGCGTGTTTACATCAGGCTATGTAAATACGGAAACCATTTTACATTTCTTTTATAAAATAACTAATGAAAGAGGAACAAAAACCGTGTTTACATACGCTCATGTAAAATGGTTTTATGGCCAATCAGAGTGCACGTACTATTTGAATTATTTTATAAATTGTCTTGTTAAACAGAAGCAAGTGTAAATGAAGAGGGATGGTACTAGTTCAGTAAAAGTCATGGCATTCTTTACACTTAAAGATTAGATCTTGTTCAGAGAGTTTCTTAGTTATGGCTTTCCTTATTGTCATTTCAGATTTGATTCCCCCATCAGAAGTTGATGGAGAGAGCACTTATGAATCTGTGGTTGGTAAGGAAGCAGTCTTGTCAACTGAAAGCTTAAAGCCTTATCAGTGCTCCAAACTCTTTGTTTTTCAAAGTCAAATCTTATAAAGTTCATAAATTATACTGTTTTCTTGATATTCAGATGCAATGGGTTTGCCCCCACCCCCACCCTCTGAAGATGACTTTTACCAGGCCCCATCATCCCTTCCCATGCCTGCACCACCAGAAGATTTGTATCAGGTGCCACCCCCACCAGTGGAGGGACAGTCTGGTGTTCCTGATAACTATATTGAGAAAGGTATGTTAAGTGAATGGAACTGAGTAAACGATGGTGATTTAGGACATTTTGAATCCTTTGCACTCTAACATCAGTATGCATGTTCTCCATACTGTTCCTTTCAATTTCTAAGGTACTGACAAGGAGAATTTGTTTAACAATCAAAAGTTTCTTTACTTGGTGGGCATTCCCTACATTCTTATAGCCTTAATTTTGATTCAGGTGTGATGTTGTTAGAAGAAATTAGATGCTGATCAATTATCGTTTGTATGAATCACCTCTAGCTATGCTTATACTCATGCACTGTAGTGCTACTCTGTATTCCGATGATTAAACATGCATAAAACCTGCAATTCTCTTGTTTACTCACACAAAGAGCTAACACCTGAGAGTTGAGCTTTGAAAATGCACCACAGCAATTCAACTGTCTTAGGTATTTTGGTAGATCATAGTTGACAACACATTCAGTGTTGTGTACATTATTGCTTTTTTTCATTCTTTCAGTGGTGTCCCTGTACAGCTATGCTCAACAGAGAGATGATGAACTCACATTCGATGAAGGAGTGATCATTTATGTTGTCAAGAAAAATGATGATGGTTGGTTTGAGGGTGTCACAGAAAGTGGTGTTACTGGTCTCTTTCCAGGAAACTATGTGGAAGCTTGTCTTTGATTCAAGACGTCTCATTTGGTGAACCAATTATAAAATGTAACTAGAAGTTTGGCACTGAAAGAGAACTTCAAAATCAGAGGTTTAGCTGATTACAGACACTGCTTTACATGAAAGCTAGAATCTTGCTTAAGTGACAGGCTTTGAGTTCACTGATAATCCCTTGTTGACATTTTTTCTGTTAATTCTCATCATTTGTTGTCTTGATATTGTTTAAATATTGCAAGGAGAAATTGTATCTTGGTCACTTATGGGGGTTAAAGGATTCAGAAATCAGCTAAGCTTGCAGCTAATGATCACACATAAACCTTCAAGTAAAGCCTGATAAACTGGTTAGAAGCATTGTACATTTTAGAGGCACTTCCTTTAGAATAATTAACAATTATTTACCAAATGGAGGTGAATAGTGGTGGGTATTTACCTGGCCACAAAGTGGCAAGGTAAATATCCACCACTTTCAATGACACTGAAATGAATAATTATTTTAGTATATACCACACATGTACCAAAATACTAGTTTGTCTCTTTCAATATACGAAAGAAAGGTTGGAAATGAACCTCGATGCATGATTTTGTCTCACCAGCTTCTCGGAGGTGAATAGTACTCGCTATTCACCCCCAAACTAGCCAATCAGCATGCATGAAAAGAACTATTCATTTGTGTGGTATATACTGAATACTTGATAAAGAAGGAAGTGTCTAATGCTGCCATTGATGCTTGCTGAAATACATCATATTCTAAAATATTTTTTATGAGGAATATAGTTAAGATTATCAACAGCTGGTTGGTAGTAGGTTATTACATAGTCTATTTTTTGTATAAAATCGGGTTTATGTTAAAGACCAGAAACATATATGGAACAGCCTTTAGGGATAACGTTTTTATGGGTCTCCTTTAACACCCCTTTACAGTCATAAATTCAAGGTATCTTTTTTGTTATGTAGTTTGGTAAAGAAGAGAAAAATGGAATTTTGATATCACGAGATATTCATTTGATGGGGGAGGAATGTTAGAAAAGAACACACTCAAAAATGAGAATTAGTATTTTTAATCTTATAACTTGTGTATAATAAAGTATCTATGAAGCTGTATATTTAATTGGTTATCTACACTACAATTCAAGGTTGTCTTTAGGTGGTGCTCTCTAGAATTATACCTTTGCAGATAATCTATGTTGATTTGTGAATTTATCCTCCTTAATCCTTAATTGATCATTAAAATTAAATTTTCCATTGGCTTTAAGCATCTCTTTTAGAGGAGAGAAGAAGACAAAAAATTGCTAGATACAGGATTTTTGTGGAAAATCTTGAGGCCCTTTTTTGCTTAGATTATCCTGTGAGCATCTTTTGATGTTTGTTTGTTTTATTGTAATTGTACAGAGAAAATTGAAAGGGAAGTTTTTTCACCTTGCCTCCAATTAATTACTCAATAAAGATGATAATTATTGTAATAATTTTTTTTCCTGTTATCCATTTACTAGCCTGCATTATGAATAGACAATTCTGGTTTGGTGCTAAGGTTGTTTATTGTTATTTCGGATTTAAAGGCATCATCTGTTCAGTCTTATCCTATGCAAAGTGTTATGAATTCCCCTCCCCCTCACAGGCTCCTTGGTATGAACAATCCTGAAGGGTACAGAGTCAAACCATTTAGTCTAGCCTGTTCACAGACCACTGTTTTGTTGCTCCCTAGCTACAATTGTGCTTTTCACCCTCACTCGATTTTACCAGTTGGATGCCATCAGTTGGCTTTGTGGATGTTTGGCAATAATACAGGTGACAACTCACTGGGAAGAGAGAAAATTATTTTGTTTTGATGTTTTTCACATTCCTATGAATTCCCCTTTTTTCCTCTTAATATCTTAAAATCATCACCATCATTTTGAATCTCCTCTGTCTCCATTGTGGCACCATAAGCTGTTATCCATCATACGCATCTGTATCTCCTCAATCAGTTTTTTTTAATGTTCTACGCCCATTTAAAGCCTGCTTTTGCTATTATGACATAATACAGGTCGTTTTAGGATGAGAGTGCAGTCATTCCTGTCCACTCTTAATCAAAGTCCACCAGACAGTCCAGTCTAGATTTTACCTCAAAAGGGTTTCCAACGGGTTCCGACGGGGACAGGGACGGGAAGAGTTGATAGCGCATGAGCAGATGATGTGTTTCAACGCCGCAAATGCCGCCGCGATCTGTCTTGAGTCCATTTCCTGATCAGATGGTATGGATAGGAGGTAGCGGGCCTTGAAGTATCACGATTGTGAATAGGCTCCGTCATGGGTCTTATTTTCTCCAGGTGGAGGGTAAGTGCAGTTGATTTGGCTTCTTGGTCTCGATCGCGGATTCTCTCAGCAGTGTCAAAGCAGGAAACAACTCTGTGGATCCCAGCTGTTGCATCTGAACACTTTCCACGATCGTAGTAAAACTTTACTTTCTTTTCTTGGCAGAAAAAGGAATCGCTCGGAGAAGTGTTAGAATTACTGGAGAAGGTGAGGCTTATGCAAAAGTGAAATTTTAATTGTAATTTTTGACGGCTAAATCGTTTTTAGGGTAATTCACAATTTTTGGATAAATGATCAAGCTATGGAAATTTCACCATCGGCGTGAAAAATTTGTAGAAAGGTTTTATCAATACAGTAGCTAGTAATAGTATTATAATCAAACTGTTATTTTTGCTATATGAGAATATGATCATAAATGATCGACAAACCGCAAATATGGCTGAGTTAAATTTTTCAAAAATTTCTTTATTTTAGCCAACAGATTTCACAACTATTTTAACTTGAACAGACATTACTTGTTAGATAAGTCGAGTTTTATCTTTCTTCAGTTAACGCTGGAAGAAATTTTGGAACAAGCAGAGGCTCTTTTAAAGATAACATAACAAAATGACTTATTTGGCATCTCACAAGAAAACTAACATGAATAATTTTGTTTTATTGAATAATTAATTATTGCCTTTAATGTTTTTGGGAGGAGTTTGTACTGCTAACTCTGAAGAATAATAATGATTTCCATAGGCTTCTTATAACTGACACACGATGCTATTATTCCATGGTTGAAAAAAATAAAAAAGGTCAAATTAGAAATGAAATTTGTGTTAACAATTTTGATTGCTTGATATGGAAACATTGTCCTTATTAGGCAATTTTTAATAAGCTTCAGTGTGCAATTAGATTCCATACAGCCAAAAGTATTCCTACAATTTCTTGCAATCATGGAGCATTCAACTTCATGAATGCATCAGATTTTTTGTCTTAGTTACATTGGCAATGGTGTCACAATATTACCAAAACAACGAGTCAGTTCTTTATTTTTACCTGTCTATATATTTCAAAACTTTCTGAAATTCCTGTGATATTCATTTCTTCAATCTCTTCTCAGGATATCAAAGCATTGCAGTCCAGTCAGCAAAGAACGGAAAACCTCAGGAAGAAATTTATTGGTTCTCTGATCCTGTACTCAGTTGTGATGTACATTTTAGCTGCTCTTGTGTGCTACTTCTATGACTTTCCAAAGTCTTGGAAAGCTAAAATTGTGCGATCAATTCCACTCCTTGTATTTCCTTTTGTGTGAGTATCAACACTTTATCTGAACATCCATGTCAACCAGTTATAGTGTTGCAGTAAATGGTTTGAACCCTGGGAAAATGTCATAGTGTGCTTTGATCATCTGGGTGAGTGTAGTCCTGAGAAGGACTGTTGTTGGTAGTGGTGACTGACATTTCAACTACCTGAGCGGAAGTCATCATCAGAGTTAAGTGAATAGTTGTTGTCAGTCGGATGTTCTAAGTCCAGTCTGTATAAACTGATTGGTCAGTTCTGCTGTGTTGTTGTTGGCTGCAAGACTCAAGTGGCATAGGTTGGTCGTGATTGCTGGGTCTTGATCTGTTAGCAAAGTAAGGTCATTCTGTTTGGTTCATTTGTAATGATAATGTAACGTAAATGAGTTGTTTGTATGGTGGCAGTAGTGGTTGAGGAGGTCTATTCTTAGTTAGTGAATCAGCTTTCCAGAGTCAGTTGTTGAAAGTAGTTGGTGCTGTAGGTTAGGCATTGCTCAGAGTCCTAGTGAATGCTGTGGTTTGTAGGTTGGTGTTGTTCAGCTATGTGATTGTTGACATCATGTTTCCTCATTACTCCCTTGTGTTCAGTCAGTCTAGTTATTGTGTGAAGTACACAGTAAGGACCCTCTCCAAAGGTATTCCAACCATGTTTGCTAAACTGTCATGTGACTGTCAAACCTTAAAACATGCTCCTCTTTTTTTTCCAGAGTGTATTTATTGAAGAGAGTGCTTCATTACTTTTTTGTTCAAAGAATTAGTAAGAATGGTAAGGAACCTGACTGTTTTTATGTCTAGTGCATTTTAAGCTTTGAAAATACTTTTTGTTCCTAAGGAAAGTATACAGTGTCTACTCTATACCTAATATATTCCTTACTATGCAGTCATGATCTTTTTACATTGAATCTGAAAGATAGCTAAAAAAGTAGCATGTTGTAAATGAATTTCTGAAAACCATTGTTGTATTCCCTGGTCTCTTAAAAATTATCAAACAGAGGGTCTTACTGAATAGTAGTGCCTAAATGTTTTTTTTTCGGAAAACCCATTTAGTTTGTATTTATTTTATTTTCAGAAAGAAGGCTGGAAGAGTTAAAGGACAAGAAGAGACAAGTTGTAAGTAAAATGGAAATGTTTTTATATTACTTTTGAATATAATCTGAGGATATGGCTTTTGTTTACCTTTGGTCTTTATTTTCTAGGCCTTTTTAGTTAATTACAACTTATTTTTTTTATTACATTGCTTATTTGTGTGAATTTTTAGCTTGAGGAAGTAATGGAAAAAGAGACTTACAAAGCAGCTAAAGATTTGCTGGCTAAATATGACCCCAATTCTGAAGTAGTCAAGGTAACATTAAGTGTTTCATCATGGTATTAAGATAAAATTGTGTTGTAACTGTAACTAAGTGTCAGTTTTAGTATTGCAAAAAAAAAAAATGCCTGATTTGTTTTTCAACAAGTTGTCATAATTTTTCTGACAATACCTCATGTTAACACATTATGTTTTGCTTTATCTGCCTATAAGTAACAAAAAAACATTGTGACGAATAACTAGAAATTATTTCAATACCATTTTGAAGGGAACAAATGAAATAATTGGGGTTAAAAAGTAACAAATTCTGATCCACTGCAGAGAGATGTCATCTTAACTCTGTAAGTGCAACTAGCTCTGTTCACCTGTTGTATTTTCAACTTTGTATATGACTGTTGCAGAGTTGATGTAGGTATGAATCACACAATGTGATTTGTATTGAGACCACGTTAGAGCATGGATTCATCACAAGCAAAAAAATTGTATCATGTAAATAGTCCATTTTACAGTTACATGCTTGGTTGCCAAGCCTTTTAACAGGAGTGAGGCTAAGGGTGACCTTGTTTTGATACAAACCTTGCTGCTTTTCTAATGTAAATTGCTTTTTTATCAATGACGGTAACTAGATACCAGTCTCTATGACAACAAGGTCACCTTCAGCCTCATTCCAACTCAAAGGCTTGGCTTCTAAGTACACAACTATAAAATGGCCTTTTGCCCTTACTGGTTGTTCTTTTGTTCAGGTGGAAAGAAAAGAGACACCCATTTCAACTCCTACACACAGTGTGCAGAGTCCAAGTGGCTCAATGGGAACAGGTTAGAATTAGCACTGAAGATCTTTAGATTAGCACCTTCCCATTGAATCTGTGTGAGAGAGGTGGTGGCCTAACTGTCAGGGGCCTGGGGTCCATTTCTCGAAAGTCCTTGTAACTTAACTGGCCTGAAGCCATATTTTAAAATCGAAAGTTAAATAATAGAGAAGCAGGCTCTGACACCTTAACCAGTCCATTTTGTTTCTTCAGCTGATATTTTTGTTGTATAATTCTCAAAACTTTTTAAACTCCCATCTTGAATGAAAACAGAACTGCTTTACCAGCACCTTTAAGAAATGGGCCCCTAGACTCTGTGTTATGAGGTTCAAGGTTCAAGACCTGGCCAGGTCATTTCTTTCTTTCTTTTGTTTTTCTTTTTTTTCAGCAAGACTCTACTCTCTCAGCCTCTTTCCAACCAGGGGTTAAAATGTGTACTGGCTTTATGCTTACAGAAACCAAGATAAGCTTTGGCTGGATAGGGTTCTTGATTTGAGCGTGGGCTATTTAAAAAACTGCTTCTGTAAAATGTAATGTAAAATGTAAATGTAAAATATCTGCTTTCCCCCCCACAAATAAACAAATAAACATACCCTCCCCTTGTCAGCTAATTTAGTATGATTGCCCCCCTCCCCTCCTTCCTGAGATAAGTGTCCTCTTAGCCATTTTTGTTGGCAAGTGATCCTGTTTGGTAACATAGTCAGGTGCTCTACTGCAGTCTTCAATTGCCACATTTATGGTGTACTCTTTTCAGTTTTTGAACTTGCTAAGGTTTGAAAAATAACTTCAAAGTGTGACTCTGTTGAGCATCAGCTTTGTAAATGAATATATTTACCATTTACATTGTTTAAATGCAAATGTCATTGTACAAAAAGGGTTTATATTGGGACATCATTTTGGAAAATTTGAAAAAGCACCTCTCTTTAATTAAGCATGCACTCCCCCTTGGATAACAAGCACCCCCTGTCTCAGCTCTGGGTGCTAAATCAAGGATTAACTGTTTATAAATTTAGGGAAGCCAAAGAGTGGGACTTGGGTGTTCTTCTTTCTTGGAACTAAAAATCTTTGAAGTGAAGCTCTGTTGGACAAACCAGAGTGGGAATGGGTTACCTTAACCTTTTACACCCAAATATTAATGTTCTTATTCTCCTCACTGTTCTCTTTATATTTCTAATGATTCTTCTGTCAGAAGCTTCTTGAATTGGTGATCATTTCCTTGTTCTCATGACTTTTATTTGATTCAAGAGTAATAAAGCAAGAAGCGTTTAGAAGCCAGTCCCTTTTTAGGTACAGAGGGTTAAAAATTCTGGATCAATATCTGTATCTGGGCAACTGCCCACCTACCCCTCCCCTAACCCAACATTAACCCTAACTTGTTATCAATAGACTGTTGTTGGGTTAGGGGAGGGGTAGGTGGGCAGTTGCCCAGATACTGATATTGATCCAAAATTCTTTGTGATGAGGACTTTTTTCCCCCAGAATTAAGACAGAGGAATGCCCTGGGTAAGGTTGAAAGTCCAGGGGCTCCATTACAGCGCACCATCTCTGAGCCCTCTCTGGCAGAGTCTCCAGGCCAGATGAACCAATCAGGGGATAGCAAACAGACAAATCAGAAGGCAATAGAGCCAAAGAAATCCAACAGCCTCATGAATATTCCTTCAAACTCATCAGGTTAGTCTTGCGCTTTGCAGAATTCATTACAATTTTAAAGTTTCTTTGTGCATCGTATAATTTGATGTTATGATACTGTTACTGGGATTGTTGCTTTGTGACTGAAGAGGCCCCGTGTAAAACTTCATCATCCTTAAGTCTGAGGGTTGATATTGTCAGGTGGAAGTTTTTGCTTCACCTCTAATTCATAATGATAGAGTGTTTACTCACTGCTCTACAATTGAAGTGGGAGAGATTAGCTTTCTTTTTGCTCACGCTTCAGTGAAAAAGTAGTCAACATTCCATGCAATTATGAAACCTCTCTGTGATGAACTGTTTGTAAACAATCATAATAAGTAATATGAATCATCTCCTGGTGACCTTCCTTTCCTCTTTTGCATCCCTTGAATAACAACTGACGTTCGCCGTTACCCTTTGACCTCCCAGGTGCAGCATCTCCATTGCCCCCTGGTACGCCCCGCAGAGTAGCCTCACCAGGTCCCATGCCAAGACCTGCTCAGCCAATCTTACCACGAGAGAGAACAGCTATGGATAAAGTAATTTTGATCATCTAACTCCATGCTTTAAGCCTCTTTGTCTGTTTTAATTATTTAATGGAATATTCGGTCTTCATCCTTTACACCCTAACATCAGTATCCATATTCTCGATACTGTTCTCTATATATTTCATTAGGAACTGAAAAGAAGAATTTGCTTAACAAAGCAAGAGCTTCTTGAATTTGTGATCATTCCCTTAATTCATGTGACCTTGTTGTTTGATTCAGGGGGAATATGTGATTGATAATAACTTTACTCACAATTCAAGATTACAATTGATACAATTGACAAAAATTAATATATGAAATTTCATAAAAATTCAAAATCATGTATAATGCAAAAGCATTTAGCTTGAAATTGCCCTTTAAAAAAAAAAAAAGAAAGAAAACTTTAGATGCCTGCAGTGGCAATGTTCAGGGGGAATACTGTGGGGAGAAATTAGTTGCTGGTCACTCTCAGGGGTTAACAATGGCTTACACAATGGAACTTTTTTTGCTTTTAGTTGGTGGAATATCTTGTTGGTGATGGACCAAATAACAGATATGCTCTGATATGCAGTCAATGCCACTCTCACAATGGAATGGCCTTGAAGGAGGAATTTGAATATATAGGTATGCTGTTGAATTGATCCACAACATCTTGAAGGGGACACACACTATTGATTTTATACAATATAGATGCCCTGTTGAGTAAGAAAACGTCCTGATCCCAAGCTTTTCACTCCAAGAAAATTATTTCTATACCAAGTAAAATTATTAAATTTTCAACTTCAAGTATTGCATTTCTAGTATTCTGATTGGTTCACGCAATTCCAGTCATCAGCTCATATTCTGAGTCACCTTATGGAAATGCATTGCAACAGGCTGAAAATTTGGGTTTAGAAAGCTCCAAACGTTTAGGATTTTAATGAAATTTAATAACACAATTTTTCCACCTGTGCTTGTTGGATAAGAGATTGGTTATAGAGAATTGGTAGTGAGAACACTCAAACTTATCAGATAGAAGTTGTTGTCTTGATCTAACACCAAATTCTCTTAACTAATTTACAAGGAAATGTGTAGCATCTAAAGGGGAGGATTAATGATGAGATCTTGGGAGTTAAATGGTTAAAAGTAGGCAGGACTCCTGTAACACATGAACTCAGAGTATGATGTATTCCCACAAGTTCAACTCAGCTCAGTGAGCATCCAGCTAAAGCTTGAACCCAGGTTTCCCAACCTGGATTCCAGCACATTGGTTGCTGGGCAGCTGTGTCTCTCCTCTTTTTTTTTTTTTTCAGTAAGATGTATTTTGCTGATTGCTCTTTGTATTATTTTCACAACCAGCCTTTAGATGCTGTTATTGTTACCAACTCAACCCAGCAAAGAAACATCGTCCCACTGCTCCAAAACTGGATTATGACACTTGGTCATCTCCAAGACAAACCTCTGGACAAGGTGCTGGGCTGAACCACAGGAAACCCACAAATTCAGTGCAGGCCATGTTAGAGAAAAAGAATGGTTTGTGTCAAAGAAATATTTCCTCTTGTTTTTGTTGAGAGAGTTTTTTTAAAAACATCATGTAGTGCCTAAATTGTCATGTCCTCATTTCTTGTAGTAAGCATGGTGTCACTTGGGAAGGACACATCTTTCTCCACTTTTTGCAGTTATTGTAGTTCTGTCCAGGCTATTCAAACCTCATACTAATTAATTGGTTATATTTCAGTGACACAAAAGGCAGATGAGCCCAGTTCTGTGAAGGAGGAAGAGTTATTGAATGGTGATGATGCTGCAGTGGAGAAAATCAAAGGTAAAATGCAGTGTGTACTGAAAATTCGTGATAGAGATGCCAGTCAGTTTTGTAAGATGGGAGCTTAGTTTGTCCCATCTTGTGACTGAAAGTTCTCATATGAACTAGTCTTGAGATTTCTTTGGAAGAGGTTGAAGAAAAACTTCTCACAAGAAAAAAAAAAATTCATGATATTTTCCAAATTTATTACTTACTGAGTTCTTCAGAGAGTAGCTACACATAAGATGATTGGTATATAATTATTACATATTTTGCAGTAAACTTTTTCAGGAATTGTTTTTGCAGGTTTGTGGACACTCTGCACAAATGTGCAAGAGTTAAAACTTCACAAACTTTTCATGCTACATAGCAAATCCTTTTTCCAAACCTAGATCTGAACTTGATTCAAAATCAAAATCATAATTACTCAGGGTCACTTCTTTAGGTGAAAACAACTTGTAAATCTTGCTACATAAGTTTTTAGGTTTATTCCCTCTGCTGTTTTCTCTAGTTTGGTCATCTGTAGTTCCATTCTGGTTTATTTGGATTTACAGTTAAAGTTTAAATTGTTTGAATTGCCAAGGGCAGTCCATCATGTACATAGCAGTTTTAAACTAATTTTCATCAAAATTAGTTTTCTTTCATTAAGTTGCCTGCTCCCTGGTAACTCTTACTTATGAGATGGCAAGTCAAACCTTTCTATCTTTGTTATATCGCCCATCACCATTTTTGTTTTGCTTTTGCAGAAACTGCCAACAGCTCAGACATCAATTTGGAAGACAAAGACTGTGACCAAGGGCACTAACATGTTGTATGCAGTTGTTGCTGTGGATGATTACAGTTTTGTTCTGTTGGGTACAAAGATATTTTAAATTATCGTTTAAATGAGCAAGAGCAAGGTTGTTATAGGGACTAGAAAATACTGTGGTGTCATGTGATATGCACTGAATTTATTTACATTCAATTCCAAAGGCCTCTAGTTCAAGTAAATTCAGTTAAACCATGAAAAGCACAAGAAGATTAAATTTCTTGTTTAGTCACAGATTCTTTATAGATGGTTTATTTATTATGAGTATTAACGAGGAGTTGTTCCCTCTTATGATGGAGATATGTCAGATACTCTGTTAGATTAATTTATTGAGAGAATAAATGACACTTTTAACAATAAAACTTTTGTGACTGTAGCATACTTGGTAATGTTTAGTGCAAGTAGTGAAATCAAGTGTACTGTGCTAAATTTTTTCTTAGAATATCAATATGTAAATGTGGCATGTTGTTTAACACTAACTTCTTGAAGCCAGAATAACCAGGAATGTTGAATGTTTGGTGAACAGCGCAAAGAATTTGTATTCTAATCTTTGGAGTGTAAGGGTTAACACAGCTTCAAATGAACATCTGGGTACATTGTGTTCCCTTAAACCTTTAACTCCTATGAGTGACCAAGACAGAATTTCTCCTTACAATATCATTAGAATATCAACCAGATAAGTGATGAGAATAAAGAAAAATATCAATTTGGTGATAATTAGTTGATCCAACGCTCAATTCTCTGAACTAACTTTAGAAGAATTGTATGGTTGACAGTAAGGAGAATTACAAATTTTGTCTGGGAGTTGAAGGGTTAATTTATGAGTTGAGCCCAAGAATAAGGCTGTATGCTTGAATCAATGTCAATATATGAACAACTGCGCTCTTACCCCTCCCCTGACCCAACATTAACCCTAACTTGTTATCAGTTGATTGCAGTTGTGTTAGGGGAGGGGTGGGTGTGCAGTTAGTCAGATACAGACATTGATCTGATTGCTTCATTGATACCACTTAGTAGATCAAATTGAGAAGTGGACATTTTTTTATGCATAAAACTATATTTATAGTTTATTTTCAGCAAAAAGTGCAGCATAACAAATTGTAAATCACAGATAAGTTGAAATTACAGTTGCATGAGGCAAGTGGAAGTAAAGTTAAATTTTGAAAGCTGAATGATGGCATGAATTTTTAGTGTAGACTGTTTTATGTTCCACTAACTATTGTTGTGATAGATAAAGAAAGAAGCACATTAAAGATATAGGTGCTCTGTGATCTTGAGTTTAGCATCAAAGTTTCAGTGAAAAAAATCAGTGATGCTTCCTGCAAGGGAGGAGTGAGAATTTCCCAGTGGCAGAAGGGGGGAAGGGTCCTTCAACAGTTTCTTGCTGAAATTAGGGGCTTGCTTAGGATAAGAAAACTTCCAGAGAGATATTTCCTTTGATGTGATAGAAAGAAAGGAGTTTATGTGGCTCTCTACTCTCCCCGTTAGGTAAGGAATTCCAACACCCACCTGCTCTTCATCAGGTCAAAACTGACTGAATGATTGTCCTTAAAACTGAACTGCACACCCTCTTTAATAAATGAATTCACAGGTATTCAAGAGTTTGAAAAATATTTATATTTCCAATTTTATTTCAATTTTCACTGATTTCCCGTCTGCCACTGTGATTTTAGGAAAATTAATAGAAAAATTGAAAATTTTCGTAGAAACGATTCATGCTTCAACTGTCGGGCAAAAATTCGTAATTAGAATTTTTAAGGAAATACGAGTGTCAAAGACAAAGGAAAAAAGAAGCAATGAACAAAGTGCGTTTAGGTAAAAGTCAGCTTTAAGAAAGAGGCTAATGACGAAAGATAGAAAGCGAAGATTGAGGCCATTTCATTGCTGCTGTTTTTTTTTTCCCCTCTTCCATCCTTTCACCATTACAGGTGGTTCCTCCAAATTAGGGAGACAAAGAATAAAATGATAAAATGTAATTACGAAAGCACGCACAGCCCAAAAGCTTAATTCCCTTTAGGCGCAAAATTGACCAAAATGTTTCCAAATCTAGTGATACTTTAATTTTCAGTTTTTAAGCAACATAAGTGCTGAAAATAAAATAAAATAGAGTAAAAATCAGACAAATACAAACCCAAACTGTATTTCTCAAACCGGGAGAAAAAAAAATTTTTTCTCTTCTTTAAAAAATATGTATATTCAATAGCGAGAAGTTCCGGTCGTGAATATTATTAAAAAATTTTTCGCCATAGTCTCTGGAATAACAAAGAGGTCATCTCTGAAATCGTGAATCTTTAAAACAAAACAATATTTTCAACATTCACTTCGTTTTCCGCATTTCCGGTCGACATCATTTTACAAATGAAATGATGTGAGAAAGAGGTACATTGTTTCCTTCCCGGAAAAATATATCTCTTATCATACCCAATTTCCTCTTTTTTAGGGAGAATCACGCTATGCAAGATTCCCTTTTTTTTTATACATATTCTCTAAATTTAAACCATGATTGATGAAAGGAAATGGAAAGCTCTTGAGGAAAGGTGTCCATTGCATTTTCAGTTCTTTCCCGCCATATTTCCCACGCTGTTTATATTCAACTGTCAATCATAGCTATCGTTGCTATGACAATAGCAATTTTAGACCTCGTTTCCCTCAAATCTCGCTTCTGATTGGCTGTTGTTGAAGTCTCGTTGTCGCAGTTGCAAAATGGCGTCTTCTTGAATGTGACCCGCCCCAGAGCCCATGGCTGAAAAAAACACCAACATGGAGTGGGGCCTCTCGCGCGAATATCTTGCCGTTATCCTGACGTATCTCGTTGCTCTTCGAACTTTCGGAAACTACCTCAATTCCTCTTCCCAGTGGATCGAGTTAACGAAAAAATGCCTTCTTCTCGGGTCGGGAATGAAAGGATTTATGTTTTCAGTGTCTCGAGCAAGGTGTCATTCAATACGGTTTGGTGTACCAAAAAAGGGCGCTTATAGGGTGTGTGATTTTCTCATTCGCTCGTCACCGAGTGGTCGGCAGTCCAACGCAAGCCACGATGGCGAACGCACAAGAATCGCATGAAGGAACGGGCTTGTACACTCGATTTTAGCCGTTCTCTGAACGAAGAAACATTCCATTTATCTTTATGGAGGAAATACAAACTAAACCTAGTGTTTTGAAGTTCGAAACGAGCAGTTTCAACGCAAGTACGTGCAAGCATTGTTTGTATAAACTAGTCGTACGGAAAATTGTATGCATATTTTAGCGGTCCTTTCACGTCTGGATCTTGCTCAACAGGAAACTTTTCTTCGTCATACAAAAACGTCGAAATGGGTATTTCGCTTCAATTTCGAAGGCCATCTTGTTGTGTTTAGGGAATGGCGGAGAAATCAAGTAATTTTCCCTATTTGGGATATTGAAAATCATTTAAATTTGCGATTAATATTCGATAGGTCTTGTCGTTTCTAATTTTTCGGAAATTTATTCCTTTCGTTGTAGATGTCGATGCCAAGAAAGAGCAAGCAAAGACGGCAAACGTTATGTTTGAGGGAAAGAACATTCATTCTTCGCCGTTGGATGGAAAACTTCTTTGTAGCTACAGTGAAAAGCTTTGTAAGCAAAGAAGGTTAAATGGCTACGCGTTTTGTATTCGACATGTGTTAGAGGATAAAAACGCTCCGTTTAAACAATGTCAGTTTGTGGCAAAATACAACGGACATCAGTGTACAAATCCTATACCGTCTGCCGAGGATCGAATGTGAGTTTGTAATTTTGTTTTCTTTGCTTTTCCCCCTTTGTGAATATCATTCTCCTCTTGATCGCTTCCGCGCTTCACTTTGATGTTCAAAGCGATGGTGATAATGCTTTTGATGATAAATCGCTTTGAATTTTCGTTCTAACTCATGCTTTATGTTCTTGTTACCTTTTCAGATACTGCAATAGTCATTTACAAGTTTTAGGAATCGTTCCCAAGAAGAATCGACGAAAAAAACCTGGCGAAGGAGTCGAGTGCGAGGCGAAATCATCTTCTTCGACAACAGAATGTAAAGCAAGGACAGATGTTTTGGCGACTCCAGCATCGACAAACATGTCTTCGATCCCCACTCTATTTCCTTATCGTTCAAAAAAGCCTAAAAATCAACCGCCGAAGAAAAATTACGCAAATAGTCCAGCGATTGAAGAGTTGAGAGAGAGTAGGAGAAAATGGCAGAAAGACAGAGCGGATTTATTCAAGATTTATGGTAAGGATTTTTACAGAAATTTTGAGTCTTTGTGCTTTTAATAGAAGCTTAAAGCGATTTCGTGTTTTTGTGCACAATACATGTACTTCGTGGCACCTCGATGATCTAAAGCATGAACTATCGAGTTACAACAACAAGAATTTAAATTTCCGTGAGTAGGTCTTTACTGTTCTGTATAAAACGCTTTGTCCAAAAATACGATACAGTTTTGTTTTCACCATTTCGTTTTCCTTATGGAATCTATTGGCGTCGACCTTTTTTTCTCGTAGATGAACGAGATTCAAACCTCAATTGATAGTCAATCGATCGTGTTACTCTCTAGTTTGGGAAAGAAAATTACAAAAATCTCGTGTCATGTTATAGTTTCACAATTTTACAGAAAATGTTTTGATCAGTGGTATATCCACCAGTTTTCCTGCCACGTTACCCGATTTAAATCAGACGAAGTTTTTGGTGGCAGAGTTTCTAATTTTCCAAATTTATTATGGTGTGATCCATTCCTATTTATTTGAAAAAAGTTCAGTAGTGATTGTCACGAGATCACCTAAGTTTTAAAGTGAAAGTATCGTGTCGGTCAGGTTTAAAAAATACCTGACATCATGTGATTTAAGCTCAGTAAAGATAGATGTTTCTGGAAGTTAGGTACAGAACAATTTCACCAAACATCTGCTGGCTGGAATGATTACAACTGAAAATTTTTAATTTCTCAGAGAAGTACAGTTCACAGGGTGTTAATTTAACAAGTTAAGAGGTTTCATCAGAAGTCTGGTGTGGCTTGACTATCTCACTATGTACACTTGAATAAAAAGCTGTTATATAAATTTTCCGACATAATTAATACCTTTGAATAGGTTATCTAGGAGCTTTTAAAGTTTTGGTCCATTTCCCTTTTATCACCTTGGAAACATCTTTTGAGTTTAGCCGTCTTATTTCTACAAGTGTACAATCAATTGATAAATTCCAATTTGGATAGTAATGTACAGTTTTTGCTGGGTGATATTGATGGAAATTGGTTGTGGGATATACAGTTACAGTAAAACACAAATTCTTCATAGTTTAGGAAAAGAAAATGATCCCAGTGGGTCTGGAACATTTATATGATACAGACACTTGGACATTAGCACATTTAACCCAAGCAATGGTATGAATGAAAGTTTCCAGAATTTGTAGAGTATTTTGCTTTAAACAGCTGGAAATTTTCACCTTGATTTGAACATATTTTTTGTAACCAGAGAATTCTCACCAGTGAATCCACTTGAAAGGTGCACCTTGCAGTGGAAACAAACAAACTAAATGTTATTCACACAGTAACAAAGATGTGAAGTTAAACACAGGCATGCTGTTATGACTGTAATGGTGTGAAAGGAGTCTATTTCATTAAAGGCTCTTGGTAATGCAGTAGCTCTCAGCTGGCAAACTTGTGATTCAATTTGAGTATGTTCTCTGAGATCAATATGATAGTTTTGACCGTAAAAACTGTTCATTCTTCCTTACAAATAGAGGGAATAAGTTTCGAAAGAAATTGTGGAGCGGGGCCAACTGAGTTGGTAATGTAAATTGGCCACAGAAAGAGTTTCTTAAGCTAATGATTTCAGCGTTAACCAATTGTCGGAGTGAATTCTGCATTTTGGCTACCTTTTGGTATTGTTAGTTTGAATTTTTGTGTCTAAGAGAGAATTGTGATGCAATTAACCTGGTCCATGTTATTCAATGCAATGATCTATGGCTATTTTATGCCTTAGTTCTGTTTGGCTTACAGTCATTTTACACCACATCAACTCAAGATTTCCAGAATACAACAGCCTTCCTTTTTAATGTTTTTCCTAAGCCAATCACCATTAAGGCAGGGCCAGTAACAATTGATTGTGATAAAGATTTCCTCACAAATATATTTAACTTTATCATTCATCTTCAAATCATAAAAAATGCTAGTTTCTGTCTAGGCAGGTAGGCTTTTGTGGAGAGGAGAAAAGGGACTCGTTAATCCATTTTAATCTGATTACACTAAAGTTAAAGTTCATAGTTAATCCAGTGCATATTTGGTTTCCAGTCATTAGCAGGAGAATTGTGCATGTGAGTGGCAGAATTCTTTGATCTCTGTAAACTCCCTGCAAGTAATGCTTCTAAGTTTTAATGCAAGTGTATTTTTGTCGTCAGATATTGAGAGTTCTGATGGTGACAGTTCCAGTGAAGGTGATGATATGCCCTGGCAGCAAATGTGGCTCTCTTCTGATAGTGATCTTGATTATGAAGCTCTCAGAAAAGAAAACAACTGGTTAGTCAGCTTGTCTTGTTTTTTTTTTTCTGACAGTTGAGAGTGTTTGCCATGTCAGGTAGCAACGGAAACACATTGCAAATAATTATGCCACCAGTGTAGCATCTTTTGTGCCACAATAACTGATTGATTGTGCCCCAAATTATTGATGGTTTTCTAAGGAGGGTATTTTTCTAAAGAGTTGCAATCCTATGCACTTGTTGCTATTCATCAATAGTTGGAAAGGAAGTATTGATGGATCTTAAAATTAAAAATTTTAAAAAAAAAATTATCTTCCCTTAGAAGGTCTCAATCCTTTCACTGCCCAGGAAGGCAAATTAGAAATTTCTCCTTTAAATATCATAACATTTTCAAGCAGAAAGGTTATAAGAAGAAAGAAAATAGCAACCAAAGGGTCTTGTCTGACTTAACAGTACATTTTCAGAGCTGAAGCAATAAGGAATGAATTGCATTATGTATGAAGACTTTAGTTTTAGATCTTGGTAGGGTTTAGAAGGGTATTTGGAAAAAAAAAAATTCATGCATGAAATTATTGTTGTTGTTTTTTCATCAAAAATAATTCTGCCTCCGAGTTGATCTAAGAAATAGTGGTTTCTTCAAATTTATGTTACCCAATTTCTTGTTAGCCTTCATGCTGATATTAGAACTGCTAAGATTTCAAGACTGAGCAGCCAGCTACGACGACAACTTCACCAACTGAGGAGAACACTGCGAACTCGGCGTCATCAATACAAAGATATGATGGCATCTGGTAATGTTCTGGTTAAGGCTGTTCAGAGTAACAGTTCAGCCTGTGTGGATTCTCTTCTGGAAAATAGCAAGAAGATGCGGAAAACAAGGTGGGATGTTTCACAAAATTAGAAGAAATGAATTCCCTGCATTTCATGTTACCTGGTGAATTTACCCCAGATATGGAGCTATGATCTGGAAGATGTGGTTACTCCATAGATTTAGAAGTCAGGGTCTAAACCCTTGTTTGGTCTTGGTGTTGTGTTCTTGGGCAAGACTCTTCCCCCTCAAATTGCCTTCCTCATGTAAAGGATTATAAATGTCAGATGAACAGATGAACCTGTCATGGATCAGCTTCGTATTTTAGAGGAAAGGGGGGGGGGGTAATACTCAATGGCTCCATGTCTTTGAAACAGGAATAATGCTTGGTCACGCAGGTCACTTATTTCTAGATTAGAGGTAATCTTTCTAGTCGCACCTCGATCATCCAGGCTTGGGGGAATGGGCTGAATAGTCCAGATAAGCAAGAGTCTGGATAATTGAATATTTGTATATTATTGAGTCGTAAATAAAGCAGAATAAGTAGCATTCAATCAACTTTTCACGAAAATTAAAGGGAATTCTCTAATCATGTGTGTCTTGCCCAAAATCTGCCAAAGTCTTAGGAAAAATGTCTCACAACAACAACATTTTACAGCTTAAAATGATCTAGCATTAAAGGTGCATTAATGGAATAGTGCCCAATTGTTTCAGTTCATCTGCTTTGTTTCACTGGAAAAAAATTGTTACAGATCTCAAATGCAACTAATTGATATTCAGGAGAAAATTGGACCTGATAGTCAAGGTTCAACTATACTAAGCTATAACAAAAATAAGAGAGTTGGAGAAGCAAAGTTAACCCTTAAACCCCATTAAATTTAACATGAATTTCTTTTCTCCATAGACCCAGACCTGCTAGATGTCATGTGAAAACTTGTGCATTCACTCAAGATGACATTCAATGTAAGAAGAAAGCCTTCCCATACACCAAATTCTGCAGGGATCGTATCCTTTCCACATATTTACTGTTGGCCTTGAGAGAAATTTTGAGAAAAAAATGGTAGGATTGGCAATTGCTAAGGGCCATGTTATGCAGAAATGGGTGCTACAATTTGATAGTTCCCTATAGTTTGATAATCAGACTACTCTGTATGAAAGTTGCAACTTGCTTGGCTGGCAGTCAAATGTATTACGCCTATGAAATCATTAATGTAGGTCATGTGGGGGTATATGTAGTGGGTATGTAAAATTCCTTTTGCTGTCTTTCGGAATCTACACAGCAAGTTTAATTTTTCAAAGCAAGAATGTAGTTGAGATTTTCACTCAAATTTTAGCCTAAACATACTCTGTTACATTTGTTAATCATATTTTAGAATCTTCTTTCTGTGGCCATTGTGAAGGTTGATGTTTGACATTGGTTGTTTTGCCCCAAAACAAAAAATATATTAATCTTTTCTCTTTAGTTTGTTTCCTTAACAGAGTCAAAATTTGTAGATATAATGAATGACTCTATGCAAGTATTGTATGCCCAGTGCACTGCCAAGTGGCCTGGAGGTCTCCAATGTTCTGTGCCAGTGTTTGATGTCATTCATGAGCGTCCTCTCTGCGATGAACATGCCAGGAAAAAGGTTAGAAGCTGTGTCTATTAGAACAGAAACTGGATATGCAGTTTACAACAAAATTAACAGCAAGGCCATCTTTAGTTGAATTTGATAAAAGATGCTGCAACTTCAAAATTTTTTCTTACTCCATAAGCTGCTGTTTGTGGTTTGTTGAGAAGAAACTGTGAGCACAGTTTTCTAACTTTTACTATAAGTAATAGATGCCACTTCCTATTATTCACCAGTGCAGTGACCCATGCCATATGTTTGGAGAAAAGGAGAAAAGTTTGTAAATCAGAAGCTGAAGGGGTGAGGTTTACAAACACTAACCTCTTAGTGGGTTATTACTCTGGTAAACTGATAGTGCAGTGTATTATAAAACACCCATGGGTAGAAGGGTGCATGCTTAGCAGGGCCAAACAGCTCAGATCAATCTGTCTGCCCTTTATATGTTATGGTTTTGAATAGGATTGAGCTAGTAAGGCTGTATATGTCATTTGTTTGTGTGTTGTATTCAATATTTTATGCTTTTCTTTTGTTGCAGGCCAAATTTCAAGAGGCTCAAGCCCAAGCTCAAGCAGCTGCAGCAGCAGCCAAGTCCTCTCCTGGAGTAACAAAGCCTCCCCCAAAGAAGCCACGGCGGAAACCACAGCCAAAGGCCCCATTACTTCAAAAGCTGCCCAAGCCAACTAAAAAACCAGCCAATAGAAAACCAGCTATGCCCAGGTCAAACAAAGCAAGAGTAGCAAAGACACCTAACAATTCAATAAGACCTGTTGGTTTGGACAATTCATTTAGTCCTGATAATTCATCGGATATGTTATCTCCAGATATCAGTTTGTCATTGTCATCTGACTACTCACATGGAAGTGGACCTTCTCCTATGTCACCTGATCTTGATGAGTTTCAGCAGTATGATTCACCTATGTTTGAATCGGAGCAAAGGGAGGAGATACTCCTTGGTGGCCTTGATAATGAAGAAAGTGAACATGATATCCTTAGTGAAAATTTCCCTACTGTTTCCAATGGCGATTCTGCCATTAAAAGTCTGTATTCTGGAAAAGGCAAAGAATGTGGTGTTGGACACTCTGTTCCAGCATCAGTGATCACACACACCCCGGGATTGTTAAACAGTAGTGGTTTTCTTGGCACAGGTCAAGATGATTCTTGTTTGTCTGAATCTGGATCAAAGTCATCACCACTGAATAGCAGGAGTAAGCCAAACAAGGTCTCTAACTTACGAGACTCAAAGAAGTTAGTTAATGCAAGTAATGCTTCTCACACAGGCCCAAGCATTATATCACCAATCATTCATCAGAACAATATCAAAAAGGAAAATAACAAGATCAAAGAACTTGCCCTTAATAAGGACCCTATGTTTTCTCCCCCACACGGACTTCTAGGAAGCAACGAGTTAAAATCTCATAGCAATGGAGTGAACTCAGATCATCTTCATTCTCCCCCTATGACAATGGATAACATCCTTTCTCCTACACAGCGAAGCTGGTCTGCAATCGTAAACAATACCTCTCCAGCCTCATCATCGTTCACATCACCTCTTAACTCCACACAAACAGGATTGAATAGACTTGTTTCACCACCTTTCTCTCCTCCTTCAATGTCCCCTCACATCTCACCCCACACAACACTTGGAAATGTCTTCACATTTGACAGACCTACACCTTTTCAGCAGTCACATATGACATCACCCACTCTGAGCCCTGCAAGTCCATCATTCCTTCAAGGACAATTGAAACCAACAGGAGCACGTTTTCCAAGGCACAATGAAATTGACCACTCTGATGATCCTTTCCTCTTTGATGATAGAGAGCAAACTCTATTTGGTGGAACATTTAATCAGAATCATGACACAACCTTAGGTGACCTGCGGCTAAGATAAAGTGCGCAAAAGCAGTCATTTTTATCCCTAAAGGAGGAGGAGATTTTTTTTTAATTGCTACACCTGCATCAAGTGGTTTGCTTATAAGCAGAAAGATTGATCATTATACAAGTATCTCGTATTCTCAGGAAGCTTATGTGGTGCCACTTCTGCCTGATATATGTACAATGTGTCACAGTAATACCAATCAGGAATTCATTGGTTCCTCCAGAAAGATTTTCAGAGTATTAACTTTTCAGTGAACATTGCTTTATTTGCTGCCATTAGACAAACAATACCAGCATGTTGACTATGCTGTTATTTGTATATAAGAAAATTACTGTAAATATTACCCCCACAGCTTTGTGGTGCATGTGAGGGTGTGATTTATGTCAGGTGCAAAAGACAACTTGGTTGGATTTTCCAGGCCTGTTATTCTACCCAAGTTGCCTTATTTTACTTTACCTACACAAAGATTTGAAGGTTGGTGGAATTGGGTTGTGGCAAACTGTGCTTTACTTCCTTTGCCTGTTAAAAACTGTAACCTTTTGACTCCTAATTTTGCTTTCACCTTGTAATTCTTGAACATACAGACGTAGCCTTAATTCAATTTCACACTTTTTTAAAATTATTTCCTTTTTTATTTTTAAGGAAGAGAAGGAGCCATGCGTATAGATGAAAGATACTATTATTATTAATTTTTTTCCCCCAAAATTGTCTTAAATGGTACTGAGTAGAAGATGTAGGGGAAAGACATAGCCTGCAATTTATTTCCACACCAGTCATTAGGAAAGCAAAATTAAGAGTCATCAGAGTTTATGTTGACTACACATATTTCAACTGAGTGTCAAAAATAATCCAGTATTGGTGGATCTTTTATATTTGTGTCACTCTGAACCAATCTGATGCAAAACTAAAAGATGCAATTCTTAAACAATTGCAATTTTGTTGCTGGCAATTCCTCATGCATCTGTTAGTTTTCATGGTTTTACTCTGATCTTTTATCTCTAAGTCATGGTTTCTTTGATGAGCTGCAGTGACTGCATTGGTCTGTTTTAATGACACTTGGTTGAAAAACTCTGTTTCTGTGTTTATCTTACCTGATCTGATGCTGGCTGTGTTAAATGTAAACAAAACCCTCCACCCTACTTCAAACAGTGACATGTGACAAGTCTCATGATTGTGGCAGACATAGAAACTGCATTAAATGCAGTTGAACTTATTTTGAAAAGGAAAAAGATGCTGTATTTATATAACTTCATCTTAAAGATGACTTGATAATGAACTTACATCCTGAACGTCAACTAGTTGTTTACCATGTTTTGTCACATCAAGGGTTATAAAAATCCAGTAAAATTATCTTGACTAAGACTTGACTCTCCTGACAGTTTTCAGTTTCATGCGGCTTTTATTCATTTGGGTTACTTTGCTAGTTATAATTTAGGTTTGTTATTATTTGTTGATTTGGGGCTTAATTCAAATGTTTTGGATTGTTGCAGGGCGTTTTCAATCTGCCCTTTTGTCTTAACTTTTTTGTCGTTTTTGCTTCAGAAACATTCTTTCAGTGAAGGTAATATGTTGTCTTGCCTATTGGGAAATTTCACCAGTAAAATGATAAAACTGTTGGATTTATACTTATTTTGCTTTAGCTAGCTGTAAGATGCAAATTTTTGTTTTTAAAATTAGGGGGCACCAGTGTATAAGTATTTCTATACCATTGTAAGGCAGTATGCTCTAAGAAGATTTTTTTGTTTATATACACTTTTCTGTTTTAGTTTTGTTTGAGGCAAGTCACTTAGCATTTGGTTGCAATATGGCACACACTTAAATTGTAGAGGATAATTCAAGACTTAGTCAGGCTTCTGTCTGTGAGTAGTTTTTCTCTCTTTCTCCCTAGTTGTGAATGAGTTAGCTTTATGTATGGCCATTTCGAACCTGGCAGAATATTCAGGGGAGTTTATTCATGGCCAGATTAATTATACTTAGGAAAACAACAAGACTTCTTTATTTGTTCGTTTGTTTGTTTATTTTTTAGTTGTAACCAGACATAACCACTCTATGCAATAGAGAACATGTCCACTAACAAAGATTATTGTGGCCTCTGAACTGAACTAAATATATTTAATATGGAACATTTGTTTAAAAAATAAATAAAGTATTTTCTGAGAACATAAAGCTTCTGTTCTTTGTTTATGAAATTCAACCAATCTTTAAGTATGATTTGTAGTGGAATCCAACAGTATCTGAGGGTGTATCCAAACTTCCTCCTCTTTGCCAAAAAAATTGATTGATTACACCAATTGTGAAATCCCATAGTTAAATTGCTTAGGGTTAAGGTTAGAGAAGTTTGAGAAGGACTTTGGTTGGTATCAATGATTAATTGATCTAATACCAAAATGATAAATCTGTCAACTGAGTAATGAAAACAAACGATAAACACTCAAAAAGTGCAATTTGTTCACAAATCTGACCGCAGAAATCTGATGGATTTTTCTGCATTCGTCCTCTAGGTATTTGGATAGATCGCTCCAACCAAAAGTTAGATCGCTCCATACGAAAGTGAGATCACTCCATCAAATAAGTTACTTCGCTACCAACATAAGTTACTTCGCTCCATGTTGAAAAGTGAAGTATTAGTTACCAATGATCTTTAAAATTTGTAAGTGATGTTGTGTCTTGCGACAATTCGAATGCATCGTATTCATCGATGTTCACTCTCCTTCAGGTTAGCTACCGAGCTACCGATGTATGATGTATAGCGATGATGGAATAAATGATCGTGGAATAAATTATAACGGAAAAATGAATGCAAAATACGGGTCCTGGCTGCACCATGTAGAAGAGCGTTTCGGCCATTTCTTTTAGTAACATGCGAGGAGCTGTTTAAGGCAATAAGGGAAAACTTCAATGCAGCGCCCTCGCCGAGAACTCCCTGTGGGAATATTCCTCGAGGAGGTGACGGTACATTGGTTGGAGCACCGAGCTCCTTACAGCTCAGCATCATGGGAAGACTTTACTGCAGTAAAGATGGCGGTATCTCTGGCGCGCATTTCAAACAGATGAGCAGCTTTGAATCGTTAAGCGGTCGTTGCCGGCCTTACGACGATTTTACCATGCCAAGGAACACCTGCGTTCCTGCTACAGCCAAGCGGAGAAGCAGCTTTAGCAAAGGTACATCGTTCAGTGTTAAATTGACGTGTTTAACCTACTCTATAAGAAACGCGGCCTCAGTTCTTTCAACATTATTTAGCGTAGGCCTTTTCATTACTATTCCGTGGCATTAAGGAAGGTTTTTAGGCGATCTTTTACTTAACCATTTGGGAAGATCTTCATGGAATTTTATTTCGCTGTTTGATCTGCTGGGAAAACCTTGACTACCCTGTCTAAAGTTTCTAATTCGTCTTGAATTCTAAAACCATAAGGGTTTGGTTTTGACATCTTTACTCTGGTCACGTACAAGCTACAAGCTCAAACAGATCTTTATATCTCTTAGATTCCAACACAAACGAAATCTGTGAAATAAATACAGCTTAGATCAACTCTGAGTAGAACTTGCGCCTTGAAATCAACAGCTGACGATTTCAAACTTAAATTCTCTAACACCATGCTGTCATGTTAAATGGATTATTAATGACAAGAATAGGCTTTAATTAATTTCGCACCCATGTTTGAGTTTTACGATTTCACAATGTTCACATTTAGGCTAGGACCTGTTCGATTCACGAGCGGAATTTTTTTACTCCTGTTAAATAGTGTTCGACGAAAACCTCGCCAAAATCACGAGTTTTTCATTGTTTGCGGGAGTTTTTAGCGTCCTAAAAAATTGTCTGACTGGGAAAACGAGCGTTCACTACCTACGAAAATTAAACTCCAGCTGACCTAAATGAAGCAATTGTTACTGTGCAATTTTCTCAAAGGTCTGAACTCTTTCCGGATATATTTTCATGAAATTCAGTTCGACTCGTCATTCAGTGCTGGGAATTTAACGGTTTAAGTAAATTTCCTCGGATACCAACTGCGATGGCACCACATTCACTTCTGACGAAGGTATGCAACATATTTACTCGATAAAATTAAATATTTTTTCGCGTTACTCGTCATTTCGTGTGCGGCATTTAAGACTCAACTTAGCATAATTTTTAAATTCTGTTTGTAGTACACAAACCTTTTTCAATGGAAGTTAATCCCATAGGCTGCTTCCGAACAAAGGTGGCATAATTGTGTTTGGCCATCTAGGGCAGAACTATGTTAACAAACGGGGTTATATATTTGCTTATTCAAGACTTTCTGTCTGAGTTTATTATTTCCAGCCTTTGTACCTTCAGAATCTTTCACGAACTTCTCATCATGAGTGTCCAAAGTCGCAAATAGAAGTTTACTTCAAGTGACACCGAAACTTTTTTACCACCTCTCGGAAAACTTTCAGATGCAAATGAAATACCCGACGAATTGCATTTTAATTACAAACCACTCGACGTCATCTCCATCAGCACTTTAAGTAAACAAACGTATCTCTTGATGCATTTTACACGCGTCATCTACTGAAAGTTTTTCTTTTTGGCCTTTTCTACGTTTATGTAAGCTTATTGTGAAAGACTTAAATCAGTTTTAAACTCAATGTTTTGGCGATAACAGAGTTTCATTTGCGAGGTATTGAAGGTAATAGCGAGTTTTCGACTTCGCTGCGAACCGCTAACCGCTGAGTTTCTCAGATATTTTAAAATTTAGCGGAACTAATTGTTCCTATCGCGTCAACACAATCTGCTCCCTCCAATAAAACTCTGAAAACTTTCTATAGTTCACTTGTGCCTACCATTCCAAACAGTGTTTGTTTACAAACCAAACTTTAAACGTCAAAATAACTTGTCAAGTTGGGATGTTATGCGGAAGTTCAAACCTATCACTATCGAGTTGTTTTAAAATCTATTTTTCTCGTCTTCTTTCCCCTGCGATTGCGAGCTTTTGTAAGTTTCCGTTTTGAGGTAGATTGTACAATTAGGTTTTTTCAGTTGGGCATTACTATCGAAGCGTTCCGTTTAAGCTAAAGTAGACTGATGTTTTCTTTTGAACGTTGCGGAACTTGGTGTAGCACTACAATCAGTAACATTTGATTAATACAGTCTTAATTTTATACTCGAGCACTTGCAAGGCCTGTGACTCTCCCTTTGAGACCTTTTGATGATCGGGATACATTTGGTTGCTAAGAAACATTCCTGAAGATTGCGGGCTCAACTCAGTCAGTTGTAAAGTTGAGGATGTTCCCAGCCTTTTCCGAGCCTCGTCAATTCTCTTGTCATGAACATCTGTGACAAAAACAGAATATTGACTTCACAACATTTAGGTTCTTCTTCTAGACGGACAGTTGCTCCCTTAGGCGGCATATGGAATTTTCTTTTTAAAAAGCCTCGCTTGATAACCAGGGCAGCTTCCAGAGGGCGCTGGCTGGCTAATCTTGTTTCAAAATGGGCTCCCGCGTGCACGCCTTGACTTGAGACTTAGCTTTATATTTCACGCGCTGGTTCCCCTTTTTTTTCTTATAGAAGTGAACAACACAAAAAAACTGTCTCTCTGCGCAGCCAGCTGTAGCATTTGAGACTAACCCGACTTATGGTTTCAGCTGATTTTCTAAATATAACTTACGTCAGAGTAAAATAATTCATGATTTGTTTTGCCCACGATGCGGAAACGCGCTTCAAACATGTCAGTTAATCCAGGGAGTAGGAAATGGAGTTCACGTCATAGTTTTTTTTTTCGCATACGTCTTGGAAACACGTTTTAAATTCGTTGATTAAATGATAAGAAGTAAATTGGATTCTTGTCGCTGTTCACTCACCATCAAGGCAAAAATCCCAAACGAGTTAATTATCTCATGAAGCTGATGAGAAAGGAAAGTGTCATTTTGGTATACTGTGGAAATATTTTTGAAAGGTTGTTTTCACCTTAAATAAATACTACAAACAATATTATTTGTGTTGGTTATGATAGTTCATACAATAAAATTTAAAAGTAATTTCCTAAAACTTTTCAATGCCTCTCAATTAGGTCGATTCAGCCAAGGTAAATGATATTATGTCAGACAGGATAATCTAATTTCATCAAATGAGTTGATAATGTAAATTGACCAACGTTAAGAGTTTCTAAAGCTTACGTTTCGAGCGTCAGCCCTTCGTCAGAGCGAATTGCTGACTAAGGGGTTTACCGTGATCAGCTTACATTATCAAGTCAGTTGATAAAAACGAAATTATTTCGCAATACCCTCCTCCAACAACGCAGCACCATTGATGATAATTTAACCTAAGTATCAATTTTTTTTAATAGAATCTTGAATAAACATGAACAAAACAGCGACGATTTTTGATCATGAGACGGTGTGTGGGCGTCTCAAAAGTAATCTCTGCATTGAAATTTGTTTAGTATGGAGCAAGGAATATTTTCTTTGTAAAGAATGTTTATGACACTCCTTTTTTGCGGCTTGCTAAGGTTATTGTGAATGCCGAGTGCTGTGGTAAAATGCTCGGAAACTCAAATTGGCTTGTTGTGATAATCGAATTTATTTACATTTCAGCTTTCTCAGCATATTCGCCCTCCAACGGCTTTCGGTTTCAGTGGGTTTTATGATCTCATGCCGGATACTAGAATTCCCTTTTGATGGTTCTATTTAAACTCTCATATTTTTTTAAGCTCTTCGTATTTGACCTGTGTAGAGGAAGCTTTCTTCGGTTCTTTCCCCTAGGGAAGTTCATATCTACCGAAATTTTTCTTATATGCAAAATTCAGGAACGGAAAATCTAGTTTGTTTTTTCAAAATTCCTTCACCGACGTCTTAAATGTTGTTGAGTTAATTGATGTAGTTGTTTGTGAAAGGATTTATGTCTAACAAATATTTTAAGACTCTTAGATGCTTTAGCTTACTCAACAAAAATCAATCGTTAGTTACCGCGTGTGATGACAGTGGAAAGAGCTTCTCTCTGTGTCGGTCAGTTCAACGAGACCGCAGGCCACGACCGGTCGATGTCCTAGTTTTCCTTGAATTATCGGTGCCTGGTCATTTTGATTAGTTAGGAGAATAAGCAAACTAGTCAACGATTTAATGAGTTGCCGATCGAAAACATTCTCAGATTAAAATCACAGGAAAGAGTCGGGAACAAGCAACGGGGATTGAGAACTGCTTATAAAATGAACAGAAAGTGAATAAGAGCAATTATTTTAGGAGTAAATGTTTTGCGGTTAAAATTCGTGATGCGGCAAAAACTTCTAATTTCCTTTTTGTGGTTTGACTCCAAGAGATATTTACAGAGTTTTTCCGGTAATTTGCGGTATTGTTCTTGTTTATCGCGCCTACACGCCCAGTTTCTTTTGTTTTTGAACTGCAATTGATATTCAATTGATTTACGAGTTCACAGTCTGACTGAGAAACACAAGTGTCGTTTGTTTCGCAAGAAGTGAAGTGCTAAATGTGTTTCAGTCAAGTCCACTCGCAGAGAAGCAATATAACACGCACGTCGCGCAGAGAAGACTTTGCTGTTCAGGTCTAAACAGGTCTAGATGCCGACGGCGCAAATGCGTCTTCGAATCCAACGTACTAGATCCTCTTCTAGGGGTGAGTACACTTTCAAATTTTCCTTTAAGAGTTCAAGAAACAGATATTTCCGCTGTGTCAGTGCGGTAGATTCGTTGCTATCAGCTTCATTGCTATCTGAGATATCAGTATGCAATTTGTTTGTTGTTCAGTTTGCAGGCAGCACAATGTAAGAGCTAAAGAGTAATGTTATTTTTGATGAGTGTAGTATTATAGGCTTTGCTGAGAATTTGAGTGTCTTTATCTTGAGACTGTCGCCACTGAGTTGTTTAAGTTTCCGTTGTCCCCTGTTCGAAGAATTACGTTTCCGCGACTCTGTCAGGAAACGGTGCATGGAACTGGCCCAGTATTTCAAGTTACTCCAAATTTATTGTGAAAAAGGTTGAAAGAAATAACCCGTTCGTTAAGACTCGAATTAAACTTTACCAAGTCGTCGAAGGAACATGCTTCAGCAAATTCCTGAGGAACAAAAATATATTGACAATACATGAGCAAAACTTGAGAATATTTCCTAAGAAGTTTCGTGTAACCAAGTTTATCAATATATTTTGTAAACCATTTCTGTTCTAAGACGCTTCCTGATAAGTTCTTCGGCTTCATGATGGAGTATTAAGTTCTTGCTGGGTCACTGGCGAGGGATGAAGTGTTCTTGTCGCGTTTGAAGAAGCATTAATTATATTGTACATACGAGTGAGCGTTACTTAGGTTTCGCTAGAATGAACTCATTCAAATAACTTTAAGTTTTAAAATTATAGTGTGGCATAGACAAATTGCTCATTTTCTGCTCGGTGTGTTTGAAATTTTATCCACATCATGATAATGTGGCTTTTTGTTACTTTTCGTGCGCTAGATGGACCAGCTTTTGTTTCAAAACGTAAAATTACTATTATTAGAAAAATCGCACATTTAAGAAGTTAAAAAAAAGGTGAATACTGCAATTGGACCTAATAGTGGAAATAAATGCGTGGCGTTTATCGCTAATGGTATTTTCTGTAGTACCTGTTGATTGTGTGGTTAAATTTTATTGATTCAGCTTCTGAAGTACTTCCCCCCTGTCGTCTGCCCAAGCATTTTTTAAAATTCAAACTCGATGAGAGATCGCATTTAAAATAGCGTGTGAGCAGTGCCTCACTGTACGAGCTTTCTTCACCCGCAGGAAGGTAGGGCACCTCGGGCAACGCAACCCGGCGAGACGTCTGGAAGGGGTCTGGCACTAATATCAGTGCCCGAATCCTTGGCTACATAGAAGAATAGTAACAAATTTGTTGTAACATGGTAGCTCAATTTCAAAGCTTTAGAAACCATATCGATGGGTGGCGGTCATTCTTAACTGTTTCGAAATATCAAAGTAAACGTGACAAGAACAACTTAATTTGATCACAGAAAGTCGAGCAAATTTACCATTGCTGATTGAGCCTATAATCAGTCTCATTTACTGCGCTTACAGTTTTCAACCCACAATACTTTTCTCGTACACTATTCGCATCATTTTTCGAATGAGTCTCTACTTCAATCAGGATTTCTTCTGGCTCTCGTATGAGCATGATACCTACTGCAATACACGCGTGTGAAAAGTTGTTTGCTATCCGTTGACAATAAGTTGATCGGATACCTCAACTACAAATGACATGTAAGCCGGAAGTTTCAGATTTTCGTTGTATTAAACCACAGAAAACCGTGACTGTAAAAAGATTTCTTTGTTTTTTTCGCTTCCCCAGCCGGATTTACTCTAAGCTAGTTCGTAATTTTTACTCAAGTTCTGTGACAGCTAAATCTCGAGTAGCTTGAGGATTCCAACACTGAATTGTACGCGGGACAACAACTTTTCCTTCTGGAAAATTTGGCTAAAATGTTTCAATTTCGTCATTTGGAATTTCGTGTCAAGTCTTTCTCCTTCGGCCATCCTTGGTCCTTCTTGGTCAATCATCGACTTTTTTTGTGTTTTCCTACCCTAGCAAACGATAATGTCAGGATATTTCTTATCGGCCGAGTTAGTATATGTTGGCACGTACCGGATAAAGCCGGCAAACATCCCATCAGCGGTCGCTCTTTCCGCCTACTCTTATCTCATTCATTGGCGCCATTGAAGTTTCTTAGTCCCGTTTAAGCACTCAAAAGGTTATCTCGATGCTGGCAAAATTCACTGTGGGCCGGAGAACTCAGAAGGATTGGAAAAGCTGGGAATAGCACACAGGGTAAAGTCTACACTTGTCACGCGAGAGGAAACTGAAGATATAAGAGTAATGTTTCATGGTTAACTCCATTTTTAAGTCCACGAGATTATGAACAACTTTGGCGGGGAGTTTTAGCGGAACGAAAAGTATCAACAGACGCCACAGACTTTTCCAAACTTTACGAATAAAAGGCGAACTGATCACGTGGCTTTCACGAAACATTTTTGTCTCACCAAGCTATCCTCTTCAGCTCAAAAGATAATATTCTCATTGTTTACTTTACGTGACTCTGATAAAGTTGAGATCCACAGTCATGGAATTAACGTTTTATTTGATGTACTGTCAACTATGTTAACAGTATGTCTCATGGGGAAAAGTCGTATCAAAATACTTCATGCCTATACGTGACAGTCAAAGATAGAGTCTGATAACCTAACTTGTCTTAGCCCGGGAAAATGATACAGTTTTAGTGTTCTTTTTCTTCCGTTTTAACTGACTCGTTGGTGAACAGCTATCTTGTTCAGCCATAGGATACTTGTCTTTTGAGTGACAGTGACTGAAATGCTCAATGTCTGTACGTGATTGTCAAAGATAGAAGCAGATAAACTCATTAATAAGGTTCAAGTGTTCCGTTTCTCGCGACTAAAATGAGCTTTAGGTGAAAATCTTGGTGGTTCCAACTGTGTTTTGTCTCGACACTGCGATAAGTTTGCACCGGAACTGAGATGAAGCATGGCCATTTTTATCAAAACAGATATCGGGGAACGGTGATATAACAGGATATAACATTATCTGGGATATTTCCCTCTTATATTCAGGTTGTTAAAGGTACTTATATGTCAAAACGTCATAAATTGTGCAGCGTCCATCTTGAGTTGAAATGTTTATGTCTCCCACTGTACGCAAAAAATTTCAGACACACCTTGTTTGTAGTGTTCCGAAGTTACATTCATGGGCGTCGACATACTAAAACCAACATTTTCATCCATTGTTTTCTGTGACGAAGTTTTTTATTGTCTAGTGACGCCAAACTAAAGAAACAACACGTGCCAAGGGCGCGAAAACGTTAAGGTTCGAAGTGATTGGTTTGGGTTTCCATTTGATTGGCAGTTAAAAAAACGGGGATTTCCCTTGACTAATGTTGAGTATAGAGTTGCACGATAAGTTTGGCTTCGTCATGTCTCAAAAATCCTCAAGATTGGAGAGCTGCCAAAGATATAGGTCACTAAAAATATTTAGACAAAAAAATTGAAAAGGTCATACTCCTACATAGAAATTTCGGTTTGCTTTCATCGCGGATTGACTGTACATTTCATCGCCATTTTTCTGGTGTTTAATTTTAAATGCTGTTTTCGTTTTTTGTTGCTTTATGTGTCAATGGTGTGTTGAAAGAGTCAATAAGTCATCTGGACTTAGGAACAATTTAGAAATTCTTCAATTCTGTTATTCTGCGCTTGTATGATGGAGCTTTTTTTTCAATGTGTATGTTTCTTGCTGTCAGGAAACGAAGCATACCAGCTTCTATCCAAACAAGTTCTCGTTGTGTGCCGTTTGAAGCGTAATAAACGATTAAAATTTCTCTCGCTAACGTCGTATGTTCCAAGTATTATTGATCGCAAATTGCATTGGAATTAAAATTTGGCAATGAAGAACAACCGTGCTGGTCAGAAAAACCTCGAAAATCAATTTGCTCGAAGCTTTTTCCTTCACTCTGCTAAGTTAAAACACAGTTCTGAAGACGATTGCATCTAGTTTCGTTTGGATTCCTTCACCGATAGTTCATTCTTCAACCGAATCTTGTATTGTTCAGTGATAGTAACCAATCATGGCATTTTTTTTTCTCTACTGACAGCCAATCAGATGAGGTACTCGCACCACATTTCCCGCGCTTACATGGTACCGTGGCGTTTTCCCGCGCCTTGGTTCCAGTAACATGTTTTCAGGTTATGGTTGCATGTTTCCCGCGCTTCGCACTGGTGACCGGTGGCAGAATTTTCCGCGCGCTTCTTCATGTTTTTGCCTCGTGACATATTTTCCCGGTTTAACAAGGACATGTTTGTCGTGCAGGTTCATTCACATGTTTTCCTCAAACCAGTACCAGTTATCAGGTACCAGTTGTATGGTTTCCCGCGCTTGGCACCACTTGCAGAGTTGCACTACGCAGCAACTTCTAGTAGAAGTATGCTGTAAATTTTGTCGGCTTTTTAGAGTCGAATTTCCATGCTATAGTAAACTATATCTGTGCTTTCACAAGACAAGACTGCACTCAATGTTATCCGAGATAAAACTGATTTGCTAATTTTCTGAGTAGTTGATACATAATGAAAGTTTAAACTGTTAAAGGGGCAGTGTATTGCTTAACTTCTTGCAAATTTCTGTCTAATCGATTCAACAAATCTTGACTGTAAATTACGTCTTTTTTGTTAGAATGCGTTCATTTAATTGTGATCAAAAGCCTTTTAAATGCGCCACCATACCTCCAGACAGAAAATTCCTTGCGTTTTTTCACACGCTTCAAACTTCTGAGTTTTTATTATAACAACAATAAGAAATTATCAAACAGTAGATTATTTCTTGAATTTCATGGCAAGAGAAGGAAACTCGTCCAAAAATAACAAAAACTGTTACATAACGAGAGGTCCTGAAATCGTCTTCGAGTTTGTGAGAAAAAAGCTGTGGCCTGCCGAAAGAGTCGTGCGTGGGTTTCGTTTGTCTTTTGTGTTTATGTTATGTATCAAACCATTTATCAACCAAACATTCCATTCTTCAATTATAGCACAAAGGGAAGGAGTGTGTTTATTGTTCCCCTTGAAAACGTCAATTAAATCGCACTCAATCGCATTTCTTTTTTGACGAGTCCATTTAGGCGGAACGTAAAAACCCGATTAACATACTACTTCTGAAGAGTTGTTATTGAGAAACATTGACCTTTAAAATGGGTTGTGGTATAATTTGTGTGCGTTGCTGTAGCTTCGCTCCGATAACAAACGGACGATATTTTTGTCTGGCCTGTAACTGGGAGACACCTAATCTGATTGAAGAATGTGCTGGCGACGCCCAGAAACTTAAGATGTTACTTTAATAATCTGTTCCTGTCCTACATCAGATTTGATTTAGGGTTATTTCTGGACGAAATAACTCAGCTTTTTCCCAGATGTTTATGAAAAGAGATCATTTGATACCCAATATTGAAGTTTTAAGTGCAGTAAAAGCTTGGCTACTCTGCATATTTCGACCCAGTGAGGTTCAAACTCGAACACAGCGGGTTGAAATATAGCGAGCCAGTTTTCTTTCGTTTAGTGTGACACATATCTATTTCCGTGACCACCAAATTGATTTTTTTCAATCAAATTTCGATCGGCGCTTGTGCCCTGACCTCAATACCACCAGCACTCGTCAAGAGAGACGAGATTAAATCTTATCTTGTCATAATGGTAAAAAGCAAAATTGAACGGTATCTCAGCTTAGGGATTGGTAGATATGTTAATTGTCGCGCCAAAGTCGCAACTCTCAGCGGAAAAAGTAGCTTTTAGGGAAATATTCGCCTGCCAGCAGCAAACTCGAGAGTCAGTGATCGCATGGGCGTTGAAATGTACATCCTGGTAGATTACTATCGTTGTCAAGGCTGTCAACCTTTTTACTCATGAACTAGCGTAAACCAATCAGGGCAGTTTTTTGCTGATGATTTTCTTCGAAGCGTGTCGGAATTGTTTTGGGATGTTGACGTCTCGTCAGTTGAACTGAAATGCCTCGCGGTGCGTGGCGCGTGATGTCTTTGCAACATTCGTTTTGTCAGAGCGTGATCGCGTATCAACGCTAATTGCAGCTCATAATTGATGAGGTTTAGCGGACATCTTTGCGTAGAAACCGCTCTTTTGAGCTCGGGAAAGCGACTATGAGCTCAGGTAAAAACAGCTGCATTGTGGTCTTGTGCCATTTTGTCAGTTGTGGGTTTTTTTAGTGATCCGAAGACAGTTCTTCGCTGTGTCGTGTAGAGTTTTCCTCTGTTAATGGTGTAGCGGTGAATCTCAATTTGGATTTGTTCTCAATCAAACTTTTCTCCTCCAGGACTTAAAGGGAAACTTTTTGGTGGCAGCAAAGTGAAAAGAGCCCGCTCGTTTTCCGGTAGAGAGAAACAGAAATGGACGCCAGCGAAAGACGCGAAAGAAGGTAAGTCAATTTTAAATCGGAAGTACACATTTAATGATGCCTCAGGTATTTTCTCTGTTATTCTTCTAATAGACTTTTAATGCTCATTTAGATTTTATTCTTAAGAATTATTGCTGAGTAATTTCATGCGTTGATGTCCCTAAGGTTATTGTAGTAGCGAGATATTCGTTGTTTTAAGTCCTCCGCATTTTATCATTGATATTTTAAAAACAATTCATAAATTACAGGGAAAAAATTTTTACAAAAGCCCTGAGGCGCTGTAGTGGGGAACACATTTTTCATGTCCGCGTGTTGATTGTGGTTTTGGTCTCAGAAATAAATCATCGTCTCAAATTTGAACGCCTCAGAATACCAAAGATCTTTTTGCGGAGAAAAGTCACGTCTACTTGAGATTCTTGTTTAGTATTTGATTTTTAATATTGTTAAAGGTTAGCCGTGTGTAACCACACTTAATGCCTACACGCTTTATGCTGTCTCGCTGAGCTGAACAAAGCCTTAGTCCGATATTTAGCCTTGAAAAGCACAGCTAGTTTGAGCAGATCTGTTCTCTGTTTCTGTTGGGCACATTCGTCTCGCGTGAAGCCTCCATTTTTACGAAATTCAGGCGACAATGTTGGATTTTAAAGAGTCAAAATGTGCCATTGTAGGTAAGTTCGGAGCGATATGTTTAGAACAGACTTGCGCGCGATGTATGTTTGTTAACCGCGTTCGTCGCGCGCGGTCGAACTTAGGATCAGTAATCAAAGCTAAGTGACTTATTTTTTAGAGCGGGTTGTTCCTAAACCGTTATTCTCGAAAAGTAGCTAAGCGCATTTGTCATAATGACCTCACAGCTTCACAGAACAAGGGATTTACGCAAACACGATAAACAAAGCAGTGCTTATAGAAGACGCAATGACAAAGGAAGTCTTTCGAGTCTCTTTGTTCGAAGCTCTTTCTAAATCTTCAGTATAACAGATGTGACAATGCGGTAGCAATAAATCTTTTCCTTCAGCGAGCTCGTCTTTGCTTGGTAGAGGTTCCTCTCTAAGGGATGCGCTCTCAAAGAACACGGAAAATTGTAAGAGGTGAAATGAGACGGAAAAGCGAAGGAGGTACATTTACAAGGTTTTGTTTTGATTGCGAAAGTTTTCCTTCCTGTTTCTATGTTTTTAAAACGGCTTTTACTGGGTTTGAGGCTTAATCTTGGTAATTCTGTCCATGTATGGAGGGATATTGTTAAGTTTTTTTTCGGGTGAAATGCAACGTCTGAAGTGATCTAAGATCCCTTGCTAATTGGTTTTAATATTTAACACCCCCCGAAAACGAATTGTCAATTTCGTGTCGATTTTGTGCGCATCAGAAATGCGTGTTTTTGTCTCACAGCAACTGACGCGAATTTTATCAGATTAAGATATGCCAAACACAAAGAGCTGGCCCAGAATTCTAACGTAACGCTTGTAGTCTGAATACATTTGATGCCATCAGTTTGTTTGTCTCGAGCTCCTAACGTAAATATTGCCGGCTGAGTTTACGGACGCTGTTACTTAAGCCAAATTTCTAGAGTTGCCACTGGACGGTGGTTTCAGCTCTTGTCCCGTCTCCCATGACATGGCCACCGGAACATTAGAGTGATGTTGCTGTTTTTAAGTGATGGGGGATAACCAGACCTTTCTTGTGCGTTACACTAAAAGGCAGAAATGTAAGTGCTTTCCAGTTTTAGTTGTAATTACTTCTAAGTAAACGAGAGAGTACATTCGCTGATTTTGCATATGTTTCAACGATCGTTCGCGGGGGCCACTCCAAGTTGTGTGTTGCGTGGCGAAAGTTCTTTCCGGCTTCCCACGTCAAATTGGTTGCAAAAATTTCGCTTTTAATTTATATGCCAATAATTAAAGAAATGCGTTACCTATCTCATTCACAAATTTGACATGATGGAAATTGTAACAGATACCAGAACACCGAAATGGGGTACGCTGCTCGATTGACAAGAGTTTTCCCATTCGTTTTAAAAGCTTATTATTCTTACAGTTGGGTTTAAGCGAAATTGTAAGATGTATTTGTGCACGATCTTTGGGGAATCATTGCAAGAAACGCCATATATTTCACTCGGCATTTACGACCGTTTAACCGCTTGTAGACGGTTAAATCCATCTTCCTTCCTTTCGTCGAGTTGTCATACCGTCATTTAGGGAACTTCATCTTTTTGGCACAATGTTCGGTAGCGTGACAGGTTTGAAACTCAATGTTATTTACCCCGCGACAAATCTTTTACATGTAGTTTTCCATTTCATAATTTTTCCAATTCAATGTATTTTTTAACATAGATCACTTTGCGTGCATTCCCGTAAAGTAACGACAATTCTACGTTTCTAAAATTTCGATTGTAACTTAATCCCAGCAATCACTCTTGTGGGTAAAATAATAATAATGACACCGCTTGCCGACGATTCACCAAAGTACACAATCACAGATTTCTACATTTACGAAGCTTCCAACTAATATTCCATTCACTTCTTGTATCACGGAGAAAACCGCCATATTTGTTTCTGACGTGCTGTGCACGGATATTTTCATAACATTTTTTTCAATCCCTTAGCAATATGGTTTTGTATTCGGACATGTTTGTCAAGTTTGTGAGTTTAAAATTTGGCCAAGCAACGATATATGTAAATCAAGTTTCATAAACACCAAGCTGTTTGTGAAAAATTTATGATAGATTTATCGTCGTAACTCGTGATTGCGAATGAGTTAAGAAAATATTGAAAACTTATGCACCTAACAATCATGGACACTTTTCGTTTTGGGTCCATAGTCACTAAATGAAGCGACACAGTTGTTGTACATGCTCGGGAGATTCTTCGAATTTTATGTAAATACGCCAAATATCCTACTACGGAATTTAAACGCGGGTGGTAAAAGTCAAATTTGTGATCGCGAAACATCGTTGTACGGCATTTAAAAAGCACATCGAGTGCACTTGTTTCCATTCAAGGCTTAAATTTACAGAGATTGACGAGAACACTTTTATCACGTATTTAGAGAGACTCAAGCCAAACCGCACTTCCAATTAAGTTGCTAATTCGTGTTTGTTGTCGAATGTTAATCAAATTTTTCTGGTTTTTTTGTGTTTTTGCGATAAGAATCCTTTCCTAACAATGCCTAGTATCCCTAATACAAATCAGTTTCATTTAAATCAGTTCAGCGACCATTACATCTCTACATTTTTACTGTAGAAACAATGGTTACTTTTTGATAATCAGTTTATCCAAAATACAGGTTTTCCATCCACTTAAATTGAGGTTTTCTGATTTATTGGAACAAAATTGGTTGTTGTTTCTTTTCAAATTACTGACTTCCTGTTTTTTCTCTGAAGTTAGACATTCTTTACTTTTAATTGAGAATACAGAATCATTTTTTGAGCCAAAAAATGTGGTACTTAGTCATGTGAGCTTAAAATTTGAAGTTTATTTTGAGTCAAAAATACACATCTTCACTTTTGAAATATTGGAATAAACATATATTTAGATATATATTGTATGTCTGCTATAAAAAAATATTGGTTTTCATATTAGTCTGTGGTTTACTGTGAATTTGCATCATAGCTTGTTTATGATTAGTTTTTATAAACAAAGATCCTTCTAGAGATAAATCTTTGCGAAGACATTGTAATCAAAAGTGAAATGTATTAAATTTATATACAAAAGATGAGTGCTATCGTGACATTATATAACACGTAAAAATTTCATCGGAAATATTTGCATGGATAGGAAACAGTTTTGAAGATCATACTGAGCTTATCTGTAGTTAAGCTGGATCTAAGGGTTTCTGATATTGAGGTCATCCTTTTGTGCTTTAACATTACAACTGTATCTAAGGTACTTTTATGCTCCAGTAACTTTTCAAGCCTCAGTGATGTATTCTTCAAAGTTCAACAATCTTGCTGTCAAAGTCACAGTAGAAGCAATTGTATTTTATTTCAAAGTGAAAGGTCAAGTATTCCAAAGCTTTGAATTATAATCTCCTTATTCCCTTAAGTTGCGTGACCTGATAAGAGGCAAAATTCATTTCAATATAATTATTTATAGGTTTATGTCGAGTTCTGGAGGTTTTCCTTTTATAGAACCTTGTCCTAATGATCACCTGGGGAATGGGGGAAAGTGGGTGTTGTAGACATGGTCATTATAAGGAGGAAAGGTTCAATATGAAACTTTTTTCTATCTGTTGGGAAGGTTGAACATTTTATTCTAGTTGTCTATTAGGTGAAAGATGATGTAATTCAGTGAATGACACAGGCATACTTGTAGGAAAAAAGAATCTAAGTGCTTTCAATAGGAGTCAAACCCATGACCTTCTGACTAGTACCTTGGGCACACTACCACTGAACTACAGGAGAGTTGTGGTGGGCTAGGCTATCAACTAGGTCTATGGAGACAAACTTCCTGTATATTGCTAGGATAGGAATGTATATAAATATAAGTTATCAGTTATTTAAAGTAACACAATCAATTTATATCAAGAAATTAAAACAAGAACCAAAACTTGGGTCAGAATTAAACTGAGACAAAACAAGTGATACACATGTTACCTTGGTGTATACAATTTTTTCTTCAAGGCTAATTTACAAATGATGTACTTTATCTTGCAAAAAATAGAGTTGTTAGTAGGTGTCTGGTTTAGAAAGTTATTCTTTGACAGAAAAGACAGCTAAGGTGATAAATTAACTGATGATGTTAGCTAACACCCTTTATGTCTTTGCAGTTATTTTTACCAAATTCTACTTGTTATTTATTTAGCTTGGCTTTTTTATTTCTTACTATCTTTTTATTGTATAAAAAAGGAACGGCATTTGATCATTAACCTTTTGTGAAAAAACAAGTACAGTTTGTTTAGATGTTTAGAAGATATTGGAGGGTTAGTGTTCTTTCATCTCTGGAATTTTTATGCTAAATGTTCATCTGATATTGATTGGGAAGATGCTTGGAGGCAGATGTGCTCTTAGATTTTTTATAAACACACTCATCAATTCTGTTCAACCATCTCAAAGAGAATGTAATATTCCGATGCAACCATTGACTTAAACAGAGACCAGTTAAAATAGGTGAATCTATTTTAAATACTGTTACAGTATAAATTTTATTAAATTGAACAAAAAAAATATATTGTTATTTAACTCAGCCCTTGAGTTGGTTTTTCAAACCATGTTAATTTTTTTGTGATATTTCTTCTTTTATGCGTATCATAAAAATTGACTCTTTAACTCCCATGAGTGACCAAGACAGACTTTCTCCTTACAATATCAATACAATATCAATCAGACAAGTGATGAGAATAAAGAAAACTATCAATTTGGGGATAATTAATTGATCCAATACCAAGTTCTCTGAACTAACATTATAAGAATTGGAAGGTTGACGGTAAGGAGAATTACAAATTAAGTGTGAGAGTTAAAGGATTAAACTGGTTTTGAAAAAGATAAAACTAGACCAAATATTTGAACGATAACAAAAAAATTTGCCCTTGATGAAGCATGGCAAATTGAAATCAATCAACAAATTGTGTAATTATAAATTCATATCTCAAAGTTATTTTTTATGTTGGCATGTTTCTATTCATCATCTGTCAATTGATGGGTTTTTTTCCCTTATCTATGCATTTTTTCTGTCTTGGAATCCATGTTATGTAGTAAAATACTCTAAAATTACCACTGCTGTGGAATGATAAAATGTATCTTTCTTTCTTTCTTTGATTGCTAACTAATAATAATTAATAAGATGTATTTTTAATTAACAGTGCATGTGTAATTGATTTTGGAAATCAACAATGTCTGCAGCCATTAAGAAAATGATTTTTAAAAAGAAGTCATTTCTTCAATTGGCTGTTGATTTAAAACTGAATACTATCAATCAGGTTGTAAATCAATCCATTGTTATTTAATACTTAGAAAAAAGATATGTGAATTTGCCTGAATTAATTATAACTAGCTCAAGGTAGCTTAATTTTGCTTGTCCAAATAAAAATTTTAAAATTTATTCTTATCTGTATTTCCTTGGAGTATAAATTATTTAGAGGCAGCTTTTACTGGGTTGGGAAAAATCATAAATTATTAACTAAAAAACATGATGTTTTATTTCTTGGATTTGAAATTTTTTAATTTTGTATGCAGTGTATCAAAGTTGACAAGTTTTTTGTGCCTTTTTTGGTTTGTCTGTTTTATTTTTACATTACTTCTCAACTAATGAAAGTATTTACAAGATATTATTGAAAGTATCAACTCTATCTGAAGTTATGAATCGATTGTTCCTTTTCTGAACTATTCTCTACAAAATGTAGATAAAACATGTGCATCTGTAAATTTTGAAATTTACTCTTTGTTGTCTTAAAAAAGCTTCTAATCTTATGCAGCCTCACTACCCATTTTCCTTTTTTTTCAGTCAATTTTTCCCCAAACTAATGTGGAAATGTAAATATTTTTGTTATGACTTTTGTTCGACCATAGTATTTCTTCGCAGTAAGTTCTGTTCTAACAAGGAATTGAGAATTTACTCAAAAAGCATTCAACTTAATGGTCGAATTTCCAATGTTTTGTCTGGCCTTGAAGCTTTGATGTGTGCAGTTCTTTATTATTTATTTTTTAATTAACATTTCTTTGAAATGTAAATGTCGTGTTCCTTTGTATTCTCTTTGATATGCAAATTTTGTTGTTCACAGTTTGGTTATTAGGATTCAGAGAGCTGAATGTGAGCCCCTCAATTGCAGGTCTTTCTGACATCTATGCATGTCATTTTTTCAGATTGAAAATTTTTTATTATTTTGAATCTAAACTTGCTGCTGGGCTAAATTTTTTTAATTGTTTTTGGAACTGCTGGCAATTCTCTTCATGCAAGGTTTCAATATTCTTAAGTGACATCTGTATGTGAAAATTAGGATCTTCTTAAGTACACTGTCTGTCGCCCAAGTTTTTTTTCTGTTGAGAAGAAGACCTTTTATTGTGGACAAACTCTTCAAAAGTATTATTTCAAGTTTTCAAATGGAATATGAAGCTTCTCAACTTTTCAAAACCAATTATGCAGGTTAGTTCACCTTGGCAGTTGTTGTTTAATGCGCAGGATCCCTATCTCTGTGTCATAGCATATCAAGGTGTTCTTTGATGCTGAAATCCATAATTGCTGTCCTTGTGAGCTCTGTAACTTGGTGGTTAAATCAGTATGAAGGGAATGACAAGATATTTCTCCTTTTATGTTTAATTTTTATATTCTTAACACTTCTTCAGTTTGGTCTTACAGAGCTCCAAAAAATAATTCAATCTTGATATGTAGTAAGGAAGATGATATTTAAAGGAACTATGTTGTTTTGCCTTTGGTAAATAAATTCTTCAAATAACCAATATGTTTCTTAAAAGCTTTAAGTTGGTAACACTAGGTTAACTGCTGTTGTGAATTTTAAAAAGCTGAAATTTAGAGCTAAAGCTCTTTGTTTTGGCAATCAAAACTTGCCAAAGTGGTCTACCTACCTTTATGGGCCTAAAGTTGATAACCAACAAATTGTTTCACTTGCTAATTTGTATTCTTGATTATGACAAACTTTGTGTTTCATTTTAGACACAGCCACCACTGTCAGTGATTCAGAAGCCAAGACCCATGCACGACGCCCAAGGAGGCGGACCACTGGAGGGTCAGAGACTGGGCAGGAGATTGAAAAAGCAAAGAGATTACATGCACAGGGAAATGGGAATTCCAGTGAACCAGACAATCAGGCTGCCCAGACACTTTCACGTCAGCAGATTATTGCCATGGTAAAGAAGCGGTTTGGTTTAAAACCAGGAGAGCAAAATGGTAACAAACCAAATGGAATACAGGATGTGCCACCGGTAAGACTATTTCACTTATTGAGTATAATTGCACAACCTCCTTAAATGCACTTTGGTTTAGTGACTGCAACTAACTATAAGAATGAGAAAGTGTGCTCTTAAAGGACTACTTTTCAGGCATTAGGGCTGTTCCTTCTTGAAACCTGGGTGGCCACAAGTGGCTTATTTTTGTCATCAGATGAACTTGCAAGAACGAAGCACCCCAGATTTCTGGGACAAGAAGCTTCAAGCCCCCATCCATTCTTCTAAGAGCACACCTTAGCTGTGCCATTCCAAGCCTTCCAGTGATTGAACAGTGTACATTGTAACTGTTATGGTTACAGTGCAAAAATCTTAGACTCAACAGTAATTTTTTTTGTTTTGGTTTTTTATTTGCACAAGTCCTATTTGAAAACTTTTGCATATAAGCTCTTTTTCCAATATTTTGTTTGTATGCTGTGAAACATTGTCAAATGCTGGCAATAAATAGTCATTGCATAATATGAAAAAACATTTCATCTTGGCCAAGAGAATGACTAGATACTTCTTGAATTTTAAGAAAACTTGTTGAATGTTCTGATTGAGGCCCTGTTCACAAATTTAAGATGTTAGCAGTTTGACTTCTATTGTAACAGAATTTACAACTGCATGTTCTCCAATTGATTTTATACAATAAGTACTAGTCAAATACTTATGAAATAAAAATTGTGAAAATTGTGTAAGTTTGCAGCAAGTGAAGAGGCACTGAATATTTCTAGTACAGTTGAAAATTACATTTGTTTAAAAGACAAGTTGATGTCTCAGGGTTTTGAAACTCTGAATTTGTTCAATTAATATTTCATAGGAAGATTTGGAATTCTGTTATTTCACTAAGGTAGTTTTATCAACACTAATCAGTGAGAGTTACCTGTGAACTAAGCCACTTCCTTTTCACCTAGCATGGTTCTGCCTTCAACAGATAAAATTACAGGCTTTTACAACATCCTTGCTTATAACTGACCACCTATTTGACCATTGTATTTGTTGGAGTTAAATTTTGCAAATTTTTTAATAGAAACTCTAAAAAGAAGGAAAAAATTTTACGTTAACTAATCACAAAGCGCCTTTCAATTTGCATTTATTTGCTAATTTGTCTTCCTTGCTGTAAATTTGTTTTGTGGTAATTACATTTTTATAACCTTGTACTTAAGCCACACCAGTAAAATAACTCTAGGTTGACCTGTGCTTGGACATTTCCTTGCATTTCTTTTTTTGGCTTTATTTTTTGGATGTAAATCTCCTCCTAAAAAGTCTAATCATTGATAGATAAATTTTTGTAATTATATAATACAGACACACTAAAAACAAAAAGTATTAAGTCTTTTAGAAGTATTCTTGCATGTATTTGCTTATTTTTCTTACTGGCTTAGATCCCCACCTTCAGACTAATCTGTTATTATTAATACCAAATATGGGTTGCATAACAGGGTGGCCAGATGAGATTAGGACTAAGCCTGGTTTATTAACATGGGGGTTCCCTTTGTCTGTGGTAACTGGCATGCAAATTGCTCTCTGTGGGTCATTAGCTATTGTCAAGGCTCCAGCATTTTACTGAGTTATTGGTCAGCATTCACTCATTTTACAATGGAACGACAAAGTTACATGCGTAGGATTAGGGTATGTTTATATGAACCAGAGACTGAAAATTCTTTGTTACCTTTGTTGCCTGTTATAGTTAGTTTTTGTCCAATTCATTATGTAGATTTTTCAGCAAAAGGCCAAATAGTGCCAAACCAATCATGTCTTTGTTATGTTTTGTCAACACAGATATGTTTTGCCTCTAAAGGTTCAAACAAAGCTGTGTTTAATAGCTTCAGGCAGTGGGGTTTTCCTTTTATGAGAGTAAAACATTTGTTTTAATTTTTTAACTTTCTTCAATCAAAGTTTCAAGTGGTGCATTTAACTATTATGTTGATGCTGGTGTAAGCAGAATAACCACAGGGTTAATGCATTCTGCTTTCCCTTTTTCAGCATTTAATTTTTTTCTCCAACTTGACTGTTGATATTGAGACTTTGATGAGATAGGTAGCTTGTTCAACAGATCTGGTTTCTTCCTGCCTAAATATGTAATTTTTCAAGCTGAAAGAAGCAAGTCATTAAAATAGAGGCAGCTGGTGATGTTAAATGTTTGACTTTTTTCTATCTTCTGTGAAGATGTCCAGCCTCACTTTTGAAGTTGTTCTAAATCATATTCCTCTTCCCATAGATTTTTTTTTTTTCAAAATTAAAAAAGATGTATTGCCTCCTTTTAAAATTTATCATTTTCATCTTTCTTTTTCCTTAATTTTCTAAGATGTGGTTTTGGTTTTCAATTATGTTGCAAATGAGTACTGTTGAAATTTAATGTAAAAGATTAATTGCATTCTTTTTACATTCATCATTTTCATCATTAATTTCATTTCTATTTTTGCCAAGATGTGGTTTTGGTTTTCAATTAGGTTGCAAATGAGTATTGTTAAAATTTAATTTACATGGAACTACTTCTCTTCTTTCATCCCTTAACATGTAAAGACTTATGAAAAATTGTTTTCAAAATTTCATCTTTCCTAAGTTTGCAATTCTATTTTTCTGTGTATTTTGCTAACTTGCTACAAATTATTTTACATGAGCATTGCCTGAACATTTTGTTATTTTGACAACAGTTTGTCAGGTACTTCTGCTGATGACTTCAGCACAGGCTGTTTAAATGTTAGTCACTGTCGCCAAATTTTTTTTTTCTTTACTTCTATTAATCTTTCTACTTCAATTTTCAGTTTATCTTATTAATTTAATTATTTTGCAGGCCATACCTCCACTTCCTACTTCATCTCCTAAACAGAAAAGATATGAACTACTTTTGGATAAACCAGGATCATATCCAACAATGCCAAGAAGAGAAGAAAACCATGTGCCTCACACAAATTCAACCCCAGGTAAAGAGAATTTGCAATGACAATGTAGTTTCCTAACACTTGTAATACTGATAAGTAAAAGTCTGCCTACGATGTTGCCTAATGTGACTTCTCCAGCTTCCTGGATGGGTAGTTAAACTCAATTAACCCTTAAGAAATTCATCAGGTTATCATGAATTTTAAAGGGGGACAGGATACCCTAATGGTTAGCACACTTGACTCTAGGTCTAAAGGTCTGGGTATGAGACCAGGCCAGGTCATTATGTTGTGTTTGTTGGCAAGATGCATTACTCTCACAGCACTTCTCTCCTGGCAGAAGTACAAATGGCTGGAAGGGAATTTTCAGGATAAAATGACAAAATGCTGGAAGTAACCTGCAGTGGGCTGGCATCCCATCCTGGGGAAGTAGCCAGGAGTACTCCTAGAGACTTTATGGGATAAGCTCCAACTTGATGCTTCACTAGGCTCCAGAACAGACTTAACCTATTTACTTCCTGAAACTTGCCAGTTTATACTCCAGGGTGTAGTCAAGACACCTCTAAAGGTGTTAAGTGCAAGAAAGAAAGAAAGTGATGACAGTGCCTTGGGTGCAAACCCTGACCTGTCGAAGCAGAGCCCAATACACTAACAGTTAAAAGAGAAATAATCCATTGGTGAGAAAATAAAGTGATCAGCTGGTCAATGAAACTGGAAACAAAAGTTCATTTAGTTGTAGGTCACTTAAATATATTATCTGCTGATATATTGATCAACTGAGATCTTTTCTCTTTGGATCTCAGGGGTTGTGTACCTTCAGTATGGTGATGAAATCAAACGCGCCATGTTGCCAGCAGGTTTGGATGATCTTCAACAGGTGCAGTCAATGTTCAACCAAACATTCCCTGATAAGATCAAGAACAATGCAGACAACAGAAAAACCATCTACATTAAAGACAACTCTTGTGGAGTTTTCTATGAGCTCGACAATGTTGGGTAATAATTTATTTAATATTTCTTACAGGTATTTGACTGTTAAGTCATTATGCCTGCTTATTGAAATGAAATTTAATAGTTAATTCATAGCAAACACAAAAAACTGGTATTAAAGTTTCTAGAGATTTAGAGCCAAATTTGAGGATGCAAGTTTCGATTTCAATTTTCTTCAGACTTACATTTTTATTAATTTCTAGCATTTTGCTGTCATTTGTTTTTGTCTGCTGCCAATGTTGTTGTTTTTTTTATTTGTTCAGTACTTCCCCACTGAAGTACATTAAAGTTATGACAATTGCGATTGTACTTCTTTCCTCAGTGATTTGTCAAACAAGTCGCATCTGAAGGTTCTAGAGTCCAGGCCATTCCAGAATGGTCCTGTCTCACACCCTGTCAGCAGCTCCACAGCTGTACACACTGGAGCCCAGGTGACAAGCACGCCCTTACCTAATCACAGTCATGTTTCTCCAGCTGATGCAATTCACAGTGGCCAGGGTGTCAAATATACAAAGACAACTACTGTAACAAGACAAGCAAGTGGAGGGCCTAGCGTAACAACAGTTACCAGAGTTGTAGGCAGCACTAATGAGAAAGAAGAGAGTACAGTTTCACACTCAGTGACTAGTGGAACTCTGATGGAACAGAAGAAAGTTCCTCTGCCTGGTCTTGGTGCCAGTCACAATCTGAAACCCAGAAGGTATCAAAAGATGTTTTGGTTGCGGAAAAAAAAATGAAATATGTAAAGCCTCTTTTTACTTTCAGTACTAGATTTTAAGGGAGCGTTATCAGCAAATTTGTGTTGATTTTTTGTGAAATGCAAAAGCAGCCCTCATGGAGGCAAGACCTCTTACTCTCTTCCAGTGCCCCCCTTCACCCACTGGAGTATGAATGGTTATCAGACAACTGTCATGAAACTCCCTGAGGAACTTATGGTGGAAACCCAAGATAGAAGGGCATCCCATCTGGAGGGGGGGGAGGTGTAGGAATAGGATACTCCCCAGATACTCCATATTACAGGAATTGGGATAATTTCTGGTGTGTTGGCCTAGAGCTTGAGAGAAGACTTGAAATATTTATCCTACCATTCCCTCCATTTTCCTCATAATTTGCATTGATGATTTTCAGACCTTCTCGTGATCCAGTTGAAGATCAAATTGACCATCTCACCAACATGCTGCAAGATGCCCTGAAAACAGGAAGCCATGACAGTTTACCAATGAAAAATTCAGAGGGAAGTGCATCAAGCTCACAGAGCAGTTTTATTGACCATGGTTCCCTAGAAGGTAATGAACCAAGGCATTTGCAGCCCTTTAGATCACGTGTGAGGAGTGATTCTGGAAATGAGTCCCTGTTGTCTGATGTTTGTCCATCCACACCTGTAGAAGGTACACTGCACTAGCAATGATCAGGAATGATTGCAAGCAACTTCTGGCTAATTTTTTTCTCATGCACATAGTTCTTTGAAGTTTTCGTGTTTAAAGAATAGATTCTCAAGGTCCACTGCTTGAACAATGGCAAGGTTTTACTAGACATTTATGGCAACAGCAAAAATGAACTTCACTGATCAAGACCATTTTGCATGAACTAGACTTAAAACACTCAGCTCACAATTCACTTGATTCTGACGATGAGTTCACTCAAGTAGTTGAAATGTCAGTCACCACCAATTACAACAGTCCTTCTCAGAACTACTGGTTGAAAAAAAAAAATAAAAAAAAAAAAAAATAAACAAATAAGAGTTGATTACTGGTACCCTTACCTGGACAATGAGAGTACGTGATCAATTGGTACCCAATGGTTCAAACCATTCACTGTTTCTTTTAATTCTTAAATGGACACAATAATAAAATTGAAGAAAATGTCTCAACACAGCAAAGGTAAACATCTTGCAGACAGCAAGAAGTTCAATTTCTGTTTCTGCCATAAAAGTCACACTAAACCTTTCTAGTACTACTATTGCCTTTACTAAAACAAATAAGAATCCTAATCTTTGTGTTTCTGTGATCTACCACTGTTGATGTTAAATTGTATTTATTCCTTTGTATTTGATCTTGTCTCTTTCTTCACTCTTGCTTTTCCTTGCTCATCTTACTGATCATTGTTATTTTTGTATTTTATTTGTTGTCCTTGCTGCATTGATTTTGGTTCATGTTTTCACTAAACTACATTTCCATTGATCTTACTTTTTTTTTTCTGAGTTTGTCTTTTGCAATTTTGTTTTTACTCAACATCATCAAGTTAATCCTTTCTAATTGTTAATGTATTCTTAACTCTTTGATGTTGCTTTTGTTGACTTTTTCTATCGAATAAAGTAAAAGATTGTGATCTAGCTTGTTTTCAACACTTGTTTGTACTGGGTGTGGTGAACTGTCCAGTTCTGTTGGAACAAGTTAAATCACAATTTTTTTTCACAATGCATTGGTCAATTATGTTAATTGGTTAATTGTCTTCCTTTGTAAAAGATGCACGAGTGAGAGAAAAGTCAAGAAATTTTTCTAACTTTTTCTGTCTATCTGTGTTGACTCACCTGTGACCACAAAAAAAGCCACAGATCAGAGAGAAACAGATTGAAACAGACTGAAGTATTGTGCTGTATGAGGCCTTTTAAGAGGCTGTAGATCGGTGGTTGTTAAAAATCTATCAAGTTGAAACAGAACCTCTGAATTTCCCCTTCCTTACAGGAAAACCTAAACAGGTACCAGCACCTCCCCCAAGAGCCTCAAGTTCCAGAGAATCATCTTTAAAATACAGTCAAACATTGCAAAGAGATTTCACCCCAAGAGGAACCAAGAGAGACATTAGTGTTCAATACCAGACACAGACTCTCCCTCTGCCTTCCACGAAACCAAAACAGAGATTGCTAGACAGTCCTACACCTCTTTCATCAAGCTCATCTGGCAGCCATGCCTCAGTCAAATATGAAGGTTTGTTTTGAATGAGGTCTTGATTAAGAAAGGATTATGCCATATTAATTTAAATTATGATTACCATAATTGTTTGAGAGAAAATAAAGAGAAAAAAAAAAAGAAATAGCACAGGAAACACTGTTTCAGACTTAGATTTTTTTATATTTCCTACTTCTCAGTATTGTGTTCTGTTTTTAGGTCGCGTCAAGGACCATAAAGCTCTTGAAGTTAGAGCATCAACACTCCGGGGTGACCTGAGGATGCTTAGAGCTGAACTCACTCAACTGAAACAGTTCCAGACTTTCCAAGCGCAACAGTTTGATGAAATGATTCAAAGGGCCAAGGAGCAGATTGTGCAGCGTGTTGCTCAGACAAACAGTGGTGAGCTTGTTAATCTTTCTCTTGCCATTTGTTGATGGACTTTTCATTGTTTGTTCGTTCAAAACTAAGACCAAAACAATTTGTTTTCCTCTGTAGGGGATGACAATGGTCTGAAATCCAGAAGACAGAAAGTCCATGTGGAAGAGCTGACTTATATTCGAGGAAAAAATGATATAAACAGGCACATAAGGTACAACTCATCCACTGAGAATTGAAAAATCTCGTGCTTTATTTTATCTTTCTATCTAGCTTCAAATGAATGTATGTCATTTTCTCATATCTTTTGTATTTGTGTGATTTACAGTGAGCTTGAGAGCGAAGTGGAGATGCTTCGTCTAGATGTTGTGCAAAAGAGGTGCATTGCAAATCCTTCTGAAGTTGACAGTCTCAACAGTCAGTTGGGGATTATAAGCCGTCAAGTTTCAGACCTAAAGAGTAAGTCAGGTGGTCACATGATAGTAATAGAGCTGTCCTAAAACTACATATTATTATCACCTTATCAGGCATTGGGGTGCATTTTGCTGGCTAAAATGGAGATTTTGTTATTTTAGCTTTCTCACATGCTTGCATGATTATTCAAACTGTTTTTTGTTGTCATTTTTCTCTGTTTTGTTTCCTCAATGCCCTCCAAAGTGATAATTATAATGATACAGTTTATGTTGATGGGCAAAACTTTTGGGCTCTTCTCAGCCATTCTATTGCTTGCCATCACTGAGTCAGGCTTAAAACATTTTTATTATTAACTGTGAACATCAACGTTATTGTTTTATTAATTGCTTCTTTTGTTTTGAAGAAAGATCAAGGTTAGTTTTTACTTCTAATACAACTTTTTTTTATTCCAGGTAAATTTGCAGAACTTCATGACAACATGAAATCAGTCATGGCCTCAGAGTTAGAGGTTATTGTTCAGGGAGATAAGTAAGTTTAAACAGAAGTTAATCCTTCACACCCCATCATTATTATTGTTATTAATATTCTCCATACCCTATGCTGCTGACTAGGAGAATGTGTTTGACAGTTAGGGGCTTCTTAGATTGGTGATCATTTCCTTTTCCTTGTGACCTTTACAATTGATTTAAGGGTGATATTGTAAGGTGAAATTAGAAGCCAGTCGCACTTAGGGTAAAAAGGGTATGGGAATTCTCTGGCTGCTACAGAAATGGGTTTGAATTTTATTAAATTACAATTTGTTATCTGTAACCTGTGGTAAAACCAGCCTAATAACATATTTAATTGCTATTGTACATTATTTCCTGGCAGATTTTTGAAGGAAGAACCTTCTAAACTGGAGAACCTTGTCAGTCGATGTAAACACATTACTGGAACATTATTTACATTACAAAAGTAAGAAAACATTTGGAATTTGTTAGTATATAATAAGTATAGTGCAATTTGGTGTTAATAAGCACGAGTAAATTTTTCAAAGACAACAAAATTAAAATCATGTACTTGTTAATAATGTACATGAATGTAGATGAAAAAACACCACAGTCAAGACAGATGTAAATTTTGGCGGTGCGTATGCTATATGTAGTTTGCACTCATGTTACAACTTTGCACTTGTTATGTTTGGAATGCACTCATTTTCAGCCAATCAGATGTTGATTATTTTTTCATGTCCATACTTATGGTACTTATGGTATACATAACTTTACAAAAATTAAATGACAGGCATGTTCTGTGACTGACAGACACATTTTGGTGCAATTTGGTGTTAATAAGCATGAGTAAATTTTTCAAAGACAACAAAATTAAAATCATGTACTTGTTAATAATTTACATGAATGTAAATGAAAAAAACATCAGGCAGATGTAAATTTTGTTCTTTGACTCATGTTACAACTTTGCACTTGTTACATTTGGAATGCACTCATTTTCAGCCAATCAGATGTTGATTATTTTTTCATGTCCATACTTATGGTATACCTAACTTTACAAAAATTAAATGACAGGCATGTTCTGTGACTGACATTAGTAGTTATATTGACCTACCCCACTTTCCAACCACCTAGCAATTCCTTGCTGATGGTTTGGTAATTTGGTATGGTAAACATTGTTATACGATGCAGTTAAGTCACAACATAGTGATCTAACCAGTAAGGATGGGCTGATATGGTTTTTCTGATTCAATACAATACTGAGTACAGTACTGACATTTTCTGCAATATTGATGCCGATATTGATACTGTGAGGTAATTGAGTTAATGTCGAGTCATGTGATTTGATTGACAAAGTATAGGGTTATCTCACACTGTGAAGTTATGCCGTGATCAATAATCTACAAAAGCAATAACAAGACAATCAAAAATTTAAAACTGGATGGGGGGGACATACTTAAGTCAAAACTTGTGGTTGTGGATGAGTTCACTCTTACAACGTTCACACGCTTATGACTGGTACATTGCTGTGCTCATTGCCCAATCTTGAGCCCAAAGTCTTTTTTGACTCCTTATCATCAGCTGGTGGCCTAAGTGAGACAAAAACACAGACAAGTCACATGCAGTATTGAAAGCATCAATACTTTTTGCTAGTAATGATATTTAACAATCAGACCTCAGTATTGCTACTATCAAATATTTTGTATCAGTATGGGCCCATCCTTACTGACCAAGCCCAGGTTGTGGTGGGGGTAGATAATGCCATCCACTGTTTAAACCTCTATGTGGTGGATAGCATGGTGATTTTTCTCCACACTTGTCCATTGCAATAGCAATTTATTCTTAGAACAGTGTTATCTGGCCTCTGAACGATTGGGCCATGGCCTTAAACTGAAATCCCTCTATAAAGAGTCCCATACCTCAGCTACTAGGAAGGAACATGTCTGGCTTGTTTAATATTGACAGTCATGTTATTGTTTACAACCAGGGCACTGTGCCAAAGTCAACCAAGAACTTCTGTTTTGTTAGTGATTGTTTAATTGACCACTGATTGCTTTTTTTACTTGCACAAAGTAATGACGTTATTGCTGGACTTAATCCCTGATCGTGTCATTTTGTTCATTTAGGTTGGTGACTGCACAGCAACAAATTAAAAGTGAAAGTGAAGCTTCATTCAGCTCTCTAGAGGTTTGTAAAAGGAAGTTTGATCTCAAAGCATCCTTTGTCAAATTCCCACAATTTCAAAAAGAAGTCTCAAAATTTAACAACAGTTATTTTCTGGTATGATTTGCAGGAAGTTGATAGGGAAGTGATTGATAGTATACGTTCAGTCCAAAGAGAATACATCGACAAAAGAGGTGTAGAGCATAATTTTACAGAGGTAAGTTCTACAAAACACTTTACCACTCATCCACAAGTGACAGTCTTAGAATTTTTCCTCACAATTTAAGTACTCGATCAAGGGAGAAAATGATGAGAATATTCAAAATTGAGAACTAGGAAGTGTTATAGTGATTGAGGAAACTTAAAGGAGGAAATACATTTTGTCTTAACTGTGTTACAAAGATTTTAGTTGCATCAACTGTAAACAAAAGACAGGATATCTGTTTCCTCAAGACATTAAAACAATCCTTACCTTCAAGGTTAAGATTTTTCTTAAATTGCATAATTAATATACAAGGAAATTTATAGTTTTTCTGATATTATCTGATCAGAAGGGTCAACAAGCTGTCCAAGCAAGGAAGGGGTCTGTGACTCATCCCTTGCAGTTTCATTTCTTATGCTGCAGTGCCTTGAAAGGCTGTGGGACAGAACTCAATCAGTCCCCTGTGGAGGCATATTGTTAATGAGCAGCTGTTTATAATCTCTTAATGAAAAGTTTGTCAACCATGTTTGATTTTATGGCTGGAGAGGGACTGGTAGGGATAAAATTTTTCTTTGAAGGGAGGGGTAGGACAATAGGAAAGTGAAGGTTAGGGAGGATGGGAAGGAGTTCCTACCATCTTAATCTATTCTTAATCTAAATCAACAGTTGTGAGCTAGCAAGGCTCATCTGCTCTTGCCAATACATTTCTGGCACAGTAGGCCATAATGCAATCTTGCTTAACCCTTAAATCCCTGAGAGTGACCAGCATCTAATTTCTCCTTTCCATATCACCCCTGAATTAAACATTGAGGTCATAAGAATAAAGGAAATGATGATCAACAGAAGAACTTCTTGATTGTTAAACAAATTCTCCTTGCCAGCACATTAGGAAATTTATAGAGAACAATATGGAGGTGGTAGGGTGTGAAGGGATTAGATTTAAGATTTAAATGCTTCTTTTTTGAAGGGTCCAAAGTCTCCCGCAAGGGCACGTCAGAGAGTGCGCTTTTATGATGAAGTGACCCAACTACCATGAATCACAGAAAATTGCTCACATGGGTATTACTGTGGAAAAATGCCTCCTGTAGATGATCTTGGTGCAACCAAGTGGAGAGATGCAAGAATGGCAGCTAATCCATTGCGGTTTGGATAAGATAGATCACTTGGAGAGTTTTCGAGCAATGGAAGTTTGCTCTTCTTGGGGTGTGATACTGTTAGCAATGACATTCCAACACAAATTAGAAAACAGAATGTTTTCTATTCTCCTGGTGTCAAATATCAAGGAAATTTTAGTAGTATATTTTATAGCTTTCTCTTTTCAATACAGTAGTAAGTTAAAGCAAGTTAGTGCATCTTTCTGTGGGGTAAACCATTTTCGATCACATTTTTTAAAAATCTTACCTTAAAATCCATGAAGTGTCAAATATGGGTAAAAATTACTCTTGCTGATTCCCAAACAAGGAGTCAAATTTTTTCAGCATTTTGGTCAAGGATAACTTAGTCTTATTAATTTATTCTACAAGAAATCCAATTGCAGGTGTGATTCCTAATCAAGCATTTGGCTACTCATTTTTCTGTTTTATTATAAACAAAAACAACAACATAGCTTTTATAGGCTGCTATAGAAATGATTTTATTATTAAAAATGTTGTACCTTGATCGTGACAAAAAAAATAAATATTTCATACAATTTTTCTTACATCTGGTACAGATCTTTGAATGTAAATATCGCTGTTGAGAAAAACCTTATTTCCATTCAGTTTTCTTGAATAAAAAATTAGACATCAAGTAACTTCTACTCTTGATATGAGACTGGTAATTCTTACTGCCATTCATACTCTAGTGAGCTAATTGGGAGAGGTTGTTAATATATCAAGGACATATTGGTTTTTCAATTCTTGCTGCATTTGAGTCATGTGTTCCATAATGCTCTGTTATTTTGAGGTGTTTATTGTTCACCTCTGGTAGTAAGAATTACCGGTAGTATTATACTATATGTTTACCCACCATATTTTCTGCTTATCTTGGTGTGGGAATATTGTTTGAAACTCCTGCAATTCATTGCTTTTAGAGGCATCATTAGTGTACTACTGGATGTTTTTGGAAATTGCTTTGAAGCTTTCACACTTACCTTTGGAGTAAATTAGAGAGTATTTAAATATTTTAAAGCTCAGGTGTTATGGCTGAACTTTTCCAGTGGCTCAACCCTCCAACTCCCAGAAGTGATTCACATGAAACTTCTCCTTACAATGTCCATACACTATCCAGCAAACAGGTAATGAGAATACTCAAATGTATCAGGTAGAAGTTGTTACCTTCATCAAACAACAAATTCTTGTAACTAATTTAAATGGAAATGTGTAGCAGCTAGCTAGAGGGGTGAATTAACAATCAGATCTTGGAAGTTAAAGGCTTAAGAGCTATTTAACTACTAATTGACTGATTGTAGCAGATTTCTGTCAGAGCCTCCTGTTTGGGGGAGGGGGAGGGGTAAATACACATGAGGAAGGGAGGAACAATACATGTTTGCCTATCATTGGCAAATTGTAAAGTTCAATGTAATTTTTAAGAAATAATAAATGTACAAAACATTGCAAACAAAGTATTCCCTGGTGTGTTATGTTCGGCAAGTCTTTGTGGCCTTGCTTTTAAGTGAAAATTCCATTTGTTTTCAAACTTGTTGTAGAGACAAGAAAGGCTAATTTACAGGCATATAAAAGACTACAGTTGAACCTTGATTATCTGCACTCACAAGGACTGGGCCGAGTTAAACAAATGATCGAAAGTCTGGACAATCCAAAATATGAATATCAATGAGCCAAAACTTGAAACTGAATAGGTATCAATTAATCAGTATTATGCAAAAAATTAAGGTACATTTTCAAATCACTGCCAAAGTATTTACAAACACATTTTATGGCGATGTTTACGACCTAAAATGCTGACCCAAATCAGTCTGTTTCAAGCTGCTACAGCATATGCATGTTGCCAATTCCAACATTCATTGAGGCTGCATTAATAGAATATTGTCTACATTATTGCAGTGCCTCTTCTCTCTTTGATGGGATAAAAGTATGGATCTTGAATTTGAGTGATTAACCATGATGAAAAAATAAGCTTAGAGAGGCAAGTCCAGTTAATAAAAAAATCCAGATAATTTAGGATGAACTTAAGCAATTAGGTTTGCTGTGTGTGATACAGGTCTACATTTCCACATGCCCTTAGGAGAAAAACCCCAAGCCAGCTGTTCCCCAAAGGATAATACACTATGAATGTAAAAAAAAAATCATCTTGTACCTATGTCTTTGAAATCCAATGTCAGGATTCTTCTTCAAGATGGGTCTGTGTAGCTGATCTGTACCCCACAACTTCAATACAAAGCTGGTAATGTCCCAGTGAAATGTTTTCATTTGGTAGATCTGAAATTAAGATAAAAAAGTTAGAAAAACAAAGTGACAATAATAATAAATCAAAATTAAATTTTATCAGTATTTTAGCAGCACCTGTTGGTATTTTCATCATCAAAAAAAGTTTTGTGTAATCTGCATTCAAGTCAAATGACTGACCCCACTTCAGCTTATCCCATTCACACATAATGTCTCCTTTTAATATCCATAAATTATCAAGCAAACAGGTAATGAGAATGCTAAAACATATCATTGACCCTTAAAGTCCCAATAGTGACCAGCATCCAATTTCTCCTAACAATATCAGTACTTGATCAAATATACAGATCATGAGAATGAATGAAATGATCACCAAAGATGAACTGTCTTGATATTTGAACAAATTCTCTCAATCAGTAAAATAAGAAAAATACAGAGAATAGTGCCAAGAATATACATGTTGAATTCGGGGCTTAAAGGGTTGAGTAAAAGTTATCTTGATCTGATACCAAATCCCTGTAACCAATTAACATGTAAATATGTAGAAACTAAAGGAGAGAATTCTTATCATAATTTGGGAGTTTAAGGCTTTTAAATGTTGTCTGCACCCAAGTCAAATGACCCACTCCACCCTAAAATATCCTGGTTTCTCAAGCAGGAAGCCACCCTCTATGGATGGAATTCCAGTTCATCACAGATTGCTGAAACTTTCAGGGTAGAAATTCTCAACCAAGAAACATAACTAATCCTTCCAAAGGGTTTAATCCTTTATACCCTGACATCAGTATGCAAATTCTCCATACTGTTCTCTATACATTTCCTAATGTGCTGATGAAGAGAATTTGATTAATTATCAAGAGGTTCTTCAGTTGATTACCATTTCCTTTATTCTCATGACCTTAATGTTTTATTCAGGGGTGATATTGGAAGGAGAAATTAGATGCTAATCACTCTCCAGGATTAAAGGGCTAAAACCAGTCATTTTCATTCAATCTTGCATGTGATGTTCAGAGGGTGTTCAACACTAACATGGAGCTCAAAGGGCCATTCGATTATAGAAAAATATGAAATCTAAATGGTAGATTATTTAAATAAGAGAGGGGCTTGAAAAAAAGGGGAAAAAAAACCTTTTCTATCCAATATCTTCATCTTAGGGAAGGATGCTTCTCAAAAAAAAGCTGATTATACTGGAGCCTAGTGGTCCATCCAGTTGGATCTTATCTCCTCCCCTGGATGGAATGCTAGTCCATCCTAAGGTTACCCCCCAGCGTTTCACCAGACTTCCCTGGCAATTTGCTAAGTGAAGAGAGGCACTGTGAGAGAAAGTGTTTGTTCACGAACACAACACATTGACCCAGCCAGGTCTCCAGCCTAGATCCCTTGACCCATAGTCTAGTGCAATAGCCATTAAGCCAATGCGTCTCCCACTCTTGAAAACAAAGGGCTAAAATAAAGATAGGGTTCATTTTAGAGGCGCTTACATTGGAATTTTCAAGAGTTTTATAGACTTTGAAACTTTAAAAGAGTCTGAGGCCTTGAATACATTTTTTTATGTTTCTAATCACAGCCACCCTTCTGGTGCTGCATTTCTAGTTGAAAGAAAATCATGTCTTTGAAGTTTGAATATTTTTGTGAAAGAAAGCTGAGAGGCTGATTTTTATAATCAGGACACAATTTTCGAGGCCAAAATGTAAATTAAGTGTGTTTTCCTACCTAAAAAGCTAGTCTCTAATAGAAAGATTATACAGATTGTCATTCACAATTGTACAAAATTGACTTCTAGGAAAATCAAGTTTGCCTCTTCATGACATAAAACAAAGAGATTCCATCTTTCTGTGGGTCTGTTTGATATTCTAAAATGAGAAATGTTTTTACTTTTACAAGTGATTCCTAGAGATGAAATGCAATGAAAAACAAGAAATACTTGTGGAATTGTTCTGGTGTGGGATTTGCTGAATCAATTTCATGCATGTTGATATCAATCTTGGCAAGTTGTTTTGATAATGCAAGAGAAATTTTTCAGAAAAATATTGCCAAACATGTGAAAAATCGAATGTGAGGACTAAATGTCACAGATGTCATTGGAAATGTGGTAAGAACTTGCAGAACTGACAAAACTGACCCATGGCAACATTGATTCTTTTTGTCAATTAGCGTATTTCCTCAAACAAGCACCCATATTCTGATAAGCACCTCCCCTGAATAAGTGCCCACTCCCTATACCATAATGTCAAACAAGGTCATTGCTCATAATCTACTAGAGAAATGAGGCATGGCAGAAACCATTATGGCTGGAAATGTGCGAGATTTTTGGTGAATTGATATTTAGAAGCCTTAAAAAGCATATCAACCTGGAACTATTGAGTAGAAAATTACCTGGGACACATATGCGGTGTGATTCTTCAGACATATATCAAATAAGATTCAAAACATTTGATAAGCATCAAAATGTCCAAACCTTTTTATGAAAAATTTGGTCTTGGAGGCGGAATTGAATGCACAGGGACTGAAGTCATGCCACCCCTCACTTACAACAAAAATTTTAAAAAAAGCAACGGATATCCTTGACACATAAATGTAGTTTTTCATGCCTTTCCAACCGCACAAAAGAATCCCCAGAACATCTTCGACTCTAACAGTTATCGTACCATAAAATCAGCTCCTATGGCAATTTAGGCAATTACAAAATATTTGAATTTCCCGCGAATTATTATGAACTGAGGTTTCAAAACAACAGGATAATCAGATAAGATTTCAAGCTTAATACACGAAAAAAAAAAAAAAAAAAAAAGAGAAACAGAAACATCGAAACAAAACGCTCCTCAAGCACTCTTAAAGTTACTAGTCCTTACCTCTTACAGTAGGTATTCTCTTGCAGTTAATTTGCAAATTCACACGTGGTCTCCATTTCAGAGTTTTTCAGGCTCCCTGACATAAATATCTCCATCCAAACATCATCAAACTAGTGCCACCTTGTACTGAAAGGCATCTGACCTTCATTTGCTGTTTTTGCTCCTTATTTGGTTTCAAAAAAGGCAGTTCATTCCATCCTTTCCGTAAAATCTCAACAATCACACAGCCTTTTTGAATTCACATAATTAACTAGTGTCCAGGACGGAATCCGTCCAGGACAGTGCCCAGTGCTTTTTGTTCCATGACTGGCGCGTCATGCAACACAGAAAATGCGCGGCAACACTCTTGATCGATGTCCACCATCCCATTTTTTACTGATCATTTTACCGTATACATATACTGATAAAGAAAGGATGCTTTTGCATGCAATTCTACTCCAGTCTGCTGCAATCAGATATGGAGCTAAGAAAATTTGGCCTTGAGAGACAGTGAATTTACATACTTTTCAGACAATCATCATCGAGAAATCTGTTTGAGCAAAAAAAAAAAAAAACAAAGCAAAGAATGATAGCTTATAAAATATAAACAGCAGGATGTATGAAGGCGATTAGTTCAAATACAAACTTCCAGGAGGAGAGGGACTGAAGGAACTTTAAGGGCTGTTTACATGAAAGTGGGGGACCTCAGGTAGGTGAGATTACCTGCCAAGGGGGGGTAGCTCGCCTGTCCATATTGATCATATTTATATGATAAGTGTGGTAATTCACATTGGGGGGTTGCCCGGTCTGCCATATAGGGTGACCCTGTCAGTCGGAGTTAAAATCAGCCATGTAAACGTCTCCAGATGGGGTAACCTATCAAGCCGGGGGTCGTGTTCATGTTACATTTGCAAGTGTGCCAACAACAACCTCTTGAAACTTTAACTCGGGATTGTAAGAGTACATATGAACGCGGGTTATTCCCCGACTGACAGTCAGTCGGGGTTAAAATTAGCCATGTAAAGCCAGGTAAAGCCAGGTGGGGTAACCTGCCGGGCCGGGTTCGTTTTCATGTTACATTTGCAAGTATAACAACCACAGCCTCTATAAAAACTTCAACTCGAGATTATAAGATTGCATGTAAACGCGGGTTATTTTCCAACCACAGCTAGGCGGGGTACGTCACCTACCATGGGTCCCCCGCTTCCATCTCAACAGGCCCCTGGGGTGGCACGGTTTAAAATCTCTTTTAGAATGCCAACGATTCACACATTACTACAAATCTTCTGTAATAATGATGTAGTTGCAATACTGATTTCAGGCATACAGAAAATAAGAGAGAATAAAATGATGTACTGCTGCAGCTTGTAGACAAATGTTTGTCACAGGGACAACACTTTTAGAAGACTGCTTTTAACCATTTCGTTATGAATAATAAAAAACGAAAACTTTTTGGGATAATCTGTCAGTATATTTCTATTTAAGCCAAACATACAAAATTAATGGAGTAAACCAAAAAATTGAAAAGCCCAATGGCAAAAGTCAAGATTTATTCTAAAATTTTTGGTTCCTTCTGATGCAAGAGGAAAGTTACAAAGGTCATATAAAGATAAAAATAAAAACGTTGATGGGCCAATCATTGCATGTCATTGCATCAAGAAATATTTTTACCAAAGGGGTTTTGATTTGCGATAAACTCTTCATCCGGTCAGCGTATGAAACAATAAAAAAGAAGCAGTTACAACTGAGAGTTCAGCTAAAAAAGGTTTCATTGTATGTGATCTCTTCGCTTCAGCTTACCCCTCCCCATGAGAGTTTGGACTATCACCCCACCTCTCCCCTACTTATTTTATTTTGAGTCACATGATTACGTAGGATATTGTATTTGCATAGGTCTTTATCCAATCAGAGTGAAGTGTAGCAGGTCACATGTTCAATGAATGACAACAAATTTGATCTAAAACAAAAACACATTACCATCGGTCAGCAGAAGACGGTGAAAAGGAATTGAGCTGAGAACTTCTCTTGTGAGATTTACGCTGGAAAGAAAGGTCATATTTTTCTTACATTGTAGGCGTTAAGTGTTGTTTTTTTTTTCAAGGAGACACGCGTGTGATCTCCCTCGGAGAAAAATCCTGAGTCGAATAGATAGAATTAGTTCAGGGCCAATGACTGAAAAACTTGATTCTTCTTCGTCCACCCCGGTGGACGGTTGTCGGAGAAATATGGAGCAATACGGGAGCGATGGAGATGATGAACGGACAAGTGGACAGAGTGGAGGCGAAGCAGGTGATGTGGAGTCTTCTACAGACAAGAATGATGTTCAAACTAGTGAAAATGGCGCACTTGCCACAACAACCACTCAATCGGTCTCTGACTGGAAACCTTTGCCCATTCGCAAGAAACACCGCCGCGGGTCGAGGCGAAATAATAACAAACCTGGTAAGAGATATGTACCCTATTCAAAACTTTCCTGGGAAGAGAAAAAACAGAGAGACGAGAGAGACACCAAGAGAGCATTTAAATTTCGAGAACAGTATATTAACGCTAAAGGGCGTCCGACTGCTCCTTACAATACCACACAGTACTTAATGGCTGAACACGATCTTGAAGAACCAGATTTAGGAACACACGCTCATATGCAGTCCGATGGCGAGGAGGGAACTCCTTTGCGGAAAAGGGCTCTGTCTAACTCGTGTGACGATTCAGATTTCGACGACGATTACAACGAATCGCCCGAAGACGGAATGTACGAACAGAAGTTCTTTGAGAAAGATTTTACGGAGGCATACGAGCAAGTTCATATTGAAAACTTGCATTCAATGAGCAAAAGCGAACTTGTGCGTGAATTTATGCTTCTAGAAGAACGCATAGAAACCATGGAAATTAAACTTAAAGAAGCGGGTGGTATGGGAAGCGCAATTGCGAGACACACTTCGACGGAAGAACTTTCAGGGGCTTTAAACGGCGATCACAGTTTGGACGCGGGTACGGAAGACTCTAAACCCAGAGACAATATATTGCTGGCTGAATTGAATAGATTGCGCCAGGAAAATGAGCGCTTGCAGACAGAAAACGAAGAAATGAGGAGAATTTACGGTAACTCTACCGAGGCTAAAGTGTTGTGACGTTTTCGTGCAGTCATCTGCTGAAGACGCTGTAGTTTATTTAAAGTTTCAAATTGTGCGCTACGAGGAATTCTGTGAGTGGTCAAAAATGTACATTCGAGGGAAAGAATCACTGTCAAACTCAAAATGTAACGTAGGGACTCTCAGAATTTCAATCATAAAGCGCGGTAAAGTTTTGTTAATATATAAAGTAAACGTTTAGTTTTAAAATAAAATATTGGTGTGTAGTGATTCCGGAAGGTATCAATCATGTATTTTTTGTCGCTCTTTGTTTACGTTGAAAACGCGCTCGATATCATCATTCTCGCTGACTCCATTGAGACAAGACCTTTACAAAGTAATGTATTATTCACAAGAAACGGGAGCGAAAATAAAAAATAACGAATGATTAGTGAAAATGAAAGTTCAGCGTTGTCGAATTGATGTATGGGAATTAATTTATCTTTCCTTTGCATAAATATATTTAACGTGACCGCACTTGAAACTAAAATTAGGAAAGGGTATAACAGCGTACACTGTTTCAGTAGTGCGTTCGGAACAAGAATTTTGCGACTTATTTGCTGTGTATTGGATATAGAAATGGCTGGCAAAGTTAGTGCAAGAGTAGAATCATGAACAGAACAAGTGTTCAAGTCTGGTGCTGGTGCCAGCTGACCCACCCTTAAAATATCGATTTTACCCTCATCAAATTGCGGTTAACCAATTTCGAGATACATGTGGATATTTACTATTTTTAAATCAAAACAAGACCAATCAGGTCTGGATAACAAAATCCTTATTAAGTTAGTGCACCTTTTTCGACAACAGTACTCTTGTTTTTTAAATAAGTTTGACCTTAAGTCAATCAGAGGAAGTCCTCTTTTCCAGTGATAGACAATAGTCAAAACAGTAAATATCTCTGACTGTTCATGTCACCTCATGAAGAATCTGAACAAAGAACGTTGCTCCTTGATTTTCTGCTTAAGGCAAGTCAAGCAAGTAATTTACAAGTCGAGAGTGCAGTGAGAATCAAGGTCAGAGCAAAGAAAGAAAGAATTAATATGTATGGCATTTTTTGCAAATAATTTGATGTGTTGTGACTCGCAGCTGTGGAAAACAACTGATAGTAAAGGGGTGAAACTGGCCAATATAAAGTCATGCAATACAAAGCTTAACCCTTCAACCCTCAGAGGTAATTAACATGTAACTTGTCCCAGTAATATTGATACATTATCCAACAAACAGGTAATAAGGATACTTGAACTCACCAGGTAGACGTTGTTCTCTTGATCTAACACCAAATTCTTGCAAATAATGTAAAGAATTGTGTAGCAGCTAGAGGGGAGAATTAATAACTAGATCTTGGGAGCTAAATAGGTAGACAGCTGTAGTCTTGAAGTTCAGAAACAGAGTTCAAAAAACAAGAAAACAGGATGGAACTCGCAATCCAAGATAAGGTTGACTAAGTAACAGCTGTTGTAGACAACTTGGTATCCATAACACACAGCTGAACATCTTTCCCACTGTTTTTTAAATTACTTTTTTTCCACAGTGGTAACAAAACAAACTGTTATATTTTCTCTTCCCTGTTTTTGCTAGCACAAGGACAAATGTCTGTGTTGGTGTATTTGCTAGCAAAATGAATCCAGACAAAACTTCCTTATTTAGTTCTTTGTTCTTTTTGTGACTTACACATCGATGCACACAAATTAGATGCCTATTTTAGATGAAAGTTTGCAAAAGGCTTATTATGTTCACCATCTCTCATAGCGCCACACCTCAACTTTGGCATGTATGTGGGTAGTGTAGAACATAAAATGGAAAGTTAATAATTTGCTGTCTGGTTTTTCATTCTCGAACCAAACAAATTTTGGTGATTTGCAAAGGACAGCTAAAATGTAGAAAGTTGTAATGCGCACCTCCTGAGCTATTGTTCTACGCATTAGAGCATATTTTTTTGAGATACCAAAATTCAAGCAACATGGATCATAAATAAAAACATACTTCAGTCAGCTAGGAGAGGTGATATAACCAAATTGGAACTGATTTGGTTATGAGTTTGGGTGGGCAAACACAAGGCCGTAAACAATAATGTTGAAATGTATCATGGTAAAATACTTTACTTCAATATCAGTTGCATACCATTTTTAAAAGCCTTAGAAAGCCCAACCCTACAGCAGCTTGCCTTCACCTAAGTCACTTACAAAGGATATTTATTCTATTTTCTTGAGTCTGACATTTCCTTCAAATGACTCCAAATACCACCTCTGAATTATCTTGCCTTGCTGCACTTCAAACGTCTGGTGTAATATAGTAACACTACACAACCAATATATGGTTTCTCCTGTTCCATTCCCAATGAAGAATGCCTTTTCATGGTTTCCACGATAGATGAGATGACATCAAATCACTATTCTGTTCACAGACAGACTTTCAATTTTCTCTCTGATCTTTGTCTAGAGGGCAAGCAAAAAGCAGGAGGAAATGAGAGAGGAGGGTGATTCTTTTTACTCCTGCTACAAGTTCCCTCTCACACTATGCTATATATTTTCTTGTCCAACTTTAAAAAATCTGAGGGCAAACCAGAGAATAACTGTCTGCGACTTTTTAAAATTTCTTTCTTTTCCATCTCCTTTCCTTGTGAGCCTTAACCAACACAACAGCTAGTCACTGTCTTCATCACTCTCTACAATCTGTCTACTTTTCTTCTTCTTCCTCTGTGATCCTCCTCCTTCACTGCTTGTCCTCTTTCTTCCCTCCAAGTCATTGTCATCACCTTCCTTGGCATTAAGTAATCTGTCCTTTCCCTCCTCATCCTCCTCACTCTCTAAGCCTCCTGCTCCTTCATCACTTTCTTCTGCCTCATCTGACTCACTTGGAAATCCTGCGGCAGAGAAGTTCATGTAATAATTACATTTTGGATAACAAAACACCACAATAAACAAAATGGTAGTTGATTTGTGATCAGTCAACCTTTTCACCAGACAATGATTATCAGAGTGCTGTCAAAACCTCTAAATCACATCAGAAGTAACCACATTAGAGAAACAATAATACTTCACTTCAAATTAATTGAAGTATTACATCCATGAGGAATTTTTAAAACTGGTAGAGGAATACACTCAAACCTGTAATAAGTGGCACTGTATTAAGTGGTCACCCTGTGTATGGCCATCGGTTGTCGAGTGCTGAATTCTTCCCCCTTAATCACTGAAATTTTCACGTCTTTTAGGAGGTCACCAGTCACCCTTTACTATGTCCCAACAGCCTGTTTTCATTGTCAACCAGCTGTATTGAATGGTCACTGAAAGCAGGGCCATTCAAAACTAAGGATAATCTTGCCAGTAATTTTTAATTCACATTTCTCTCCCAAAATCAGAGTAAGTAGAATTTTTGAGCAAGATTCTGTACATAAAGTGGTCAATTATGACATAAAAAGGTGTTATTTATTGTTCTTTATGATAACCCTAATCTTTGGAACCTACGTGTATATTAAGCAGTCAACTTGTATTAAGTGGTCACCTCACCATTCCTTGTGGGCAACAGCTTAATACAGGATGGTTCAACTGTATTTTCAACCTATGTTTTACTGTTTCCTTTTCACTGCCTGATTTTGCATCACACTGCTTTCAGTGGACACAAACCATTTTTTTAACATTGAAAACAAACTAAAGAACAGTATTAAATGAAATGATCTTCAGTACATTTTCAAATTTCCCAAGAGAGGATTTAGCTAAATGACTTGACAAGTTAGCCCTCATTTAACCACACAGCTTGGTCAGTAGAGCAGCAACTATTTGAATGAGTCAAAATGATAGGTTAAATCATGTTGAAATGCTTAGTTTTTTAACAAGCAACCTTCCTTGATTGCATAGTTTGGTCACATCAATCTCTTGTGCCTTACCCTCAGCTAATTTCTTCTTGTACTTTTTCTTTATCGCCAGCAAACTCTGTTCCAAATCTTCTCCATCATCTTCATATCGATCAGGTTCAAGAAAGCTGGCACTCAGCCCTTTAGCTTGATGTCTCTCCTTGATTCTGCGCTGCTGATTTTCACGACGTAATAGTGCTCTGAGTCTCTCATCCTCTTTCTACAAATCAAAAAAATAATCTAGATGGCAATTCTTTCTCCCCTCTAGCCTCTACTCATTTCTATTCAAATTACTTGATTAAATGAAATTCTCATCACTAATTTATTTTTTAATCCTAAGGATCAAACATTGTACATGTCCATAAATGAATATTGTTGCAATCTTCGTAGTGATGAACACTACTTGAACAGTGGTGAAAATAAGGCCTGAGAAAAAATTCAGGCCTGTACGGGATTTGAACCCATGAACTCTGTGATACCAGTGCAGTGCTCTACTAACTGAGCTAACAAGCCAACTAGGAGCTGGTCATTATGTTGGTTTCAAATAAACCTGTGAAGTAATGAATAAATGACTGTAAATATATGAAAATCATATATGTGAACTGTAGATAAAGAAATGAATGTGGAAGCAATCTTCGTAGTTATGAACACTACTTAGCAGTTGTAGTCTGAAAAAATTAATAAAGACCAACCCCCAGTGTGCTTGTTAGTTTAGTATGCAGAGCACTGCACTGGTATCACAGAGGTCATGGGTTCAAATCCTGTTCACTACTGCTTAAATAGTGTTCATTACTGCCAAGATCACTTCCATATTCATTTCTTTATCAGCAGTTTAAATATATGATTCTCTTTTATCTACAGTCCTTTATTATGTCCATACCTTGATAAGTTCTGATCTCTGTGCCTCAGGGTCCATGCCAGCTGCAGGGAGTATTCGTATCTTTTGTGCTTTAGATGCTCGGTCGGCAATAGACAGTGTCATTTTTCTGTGAGTCTGGCTGGTTGTAGAGTGGGGTCTGAAAGTGAGTTTCTCTTTAAATACCGCTTGGCCCTGGAGACCAGTCCCCTGGAGAAATAAAATCAACAGGAAAACAAAACTTCTTAGTTACTGAGTTCAAACTCTGTACTCTGACCAATTTTGGAAAAGTTAAGTTACCAGGGAGGGAAGAGGGGAGGACAGATCTTAGAGTTTTTGGATGGGGGGGAGGGTAAATCTTAGAGTTTTTGGATGGGGGGAGGGTAAATTTTTTTTGGATGGGGGAGGGTAAATCTTAGAGTTTTTGGATGGGGGGGAGGGTAAATCTTAGAGTTTTTGGATGGGGGGGAGGGTAAATATTAGAGTTTTTGGATGGGGCCCCTATAACAACTTTCTTTGAATTGTAACACAGACCTGCTGAACAAAGAGATGGTTACAGTTGCCATCAATCTCATTTTTGTGAACATCAAACACTTCTCCCAGCAGTAATGATGTTGTACCATCAGACCAACGAACAATTCTTGCATTGCTTTCTTTAATTTCATTTCCCTCCTCATCCTTTCTGTACCTCCATCGGATTGTGTTTTCAACCTGAAGGAAAGAAGAAAAATATTTTAAAATTACCGCAATATCTAAAGGATTTCATAAATAAAAATTTTCCATGATCCCCAATTTTTTCAAAGTCTCACACTCCACCCTTCAAAGTGTATGTCTGAGTGAACTAACTAAAGGATTTTACACAAATTCAAATAGACCCCTTACACTTTTACTTGTGGAATTACATTTTCTTTCACATAGAGCAACATGCACATTACCTTAAGCTTCAGCCTGGCTCTTCCTTCTTCATCTAAAACCTCATCTTCTTCCATTTCATCTTCATACAAAGCTGGGTCAAATGGTTTGTGTTCAATGCTCAAGAAGTTTGGCATCTTTACAAAATACAACTCAGAGCCCAGAGAGAATTGACAGTATGGAATAGTGACATCAATTCTTGTTTCTTCTTCCTCTTCTTCTTCATGGGGAATTTCATTGGCATCTCGAGCTTCGATATCTTCACCATCCTCAACTTGTTCTTCTTGTTGTTCTACAAGTCTTTCTTCTTTTTCTTCATGCTAAAAACAATTAAAATTCTACTCAAGACTGTAGCAAAATTCTAAAATGTGATTGGTCGTCAGCTTCCCAATTTGAGTGCATACAGGAGAGCATATGGCATATGCTTTTTATTAGACTATAAGCATGGTTACATAATTCTGACCTCTTCTTCATCTGACGATAGCTCTTCATCATCCCCAAATAAATCTGCAGAAGACACTTGAGACTGGAGTTTGGATTTTGTCACTTCTTTCTGTGAGCAAAAAATATGAACACCAATTTGAAAACAAAACCAATTCACATCTCTGCTCCAGAAAAATTTTGAGTAATTTACCATACTTCAAACCTTTAGAGGTGAAAAATGCCACACCAAACAACATAAAAATCTCTCAGAATAAAGACTTGCTTCCTTTCAATGGTTTATACTTGTTTTTATATGTTGCATTTGCTACATCCCTGCCACTTTCATCATTTACACCCTAACATCAATATGCATATTCTCCACACTGTTCTCTATACATTTCCTAAGGTGCTGACAAGGAGAATTTGTTTAACAATCAAGAGCTTCTTTAGTTGGTGATCATTTCCTTTATTCTTGTGACCCAAGTGATTCAGGGGTAATATTGTAAGGAGAAATTAGATGCTAATCACTCTCTGGGGTCAAAGGATTAATCTTTTCCCCTGTCTTATTTCCCTTAATAACTCAGAATAGCTTGGCTAAGTTCTAAAAATTGTAGATGGAGGGCAGTTACCTTCCCCTTTGGGGTGCCTTGGTGGGTATTGAATTGAGGTTGTGGGGGAATGGAGGAATGGGTAAATCAGTCACCCGATATACCTCACCCTTCACTAATAAGCTGATAATAAGCTGATGCACTGGGCTAAGAGATTCAAGACGTGGTTAAAACTAATCCTGAAGTGCTATGCATATGGTAACAGATATTTTTGAATGCATTCAATCCAGGATTAGAGTAAATCAAGTCTCAAAAGCGTAGCCTTGATGTAGCATGTCACCATCTCCCGCTGAAATTCTTTGGAACAGAACTGTCAATATTTTTTTGTTTCACTGTGCAGGGTATAATTCTTGTAAGTTTATACATAATACTTTAGCAGGAGTCATACATCAATGTATTTATAGCAAACAGCTGGTAGCTCTCATGTATAAATCCTTCAGTTCTCACCTCATTTTCATCATCATTTTCATCATCGTCTCCTTCCTCGTCTTCCTCGTTCTTTCCTTGCGCTATATTTGTTCCTTCCTTCGCATTTTCATCGCCGCTCTCCGCTTGCTCTTCATGGTCTGATTCAGACGCCTCGGCGCCTGGTTCACCTTCGTCTTCCCCTTCACTGGGTGAATCACCAAACAGCTCATTCAGCTCAGCATCTCGCTCTGCTCTTTTGCTTTCTTTTGCTGACTTTCCTTCGTCTTCGCTGTCCTCCAAATCACTCCCAAACAAAAAATCTTCCATCGACATTTTGACTTGAAGGAACAGAGAGAAACACGTGGTCAGCGATTTCCAAAGTCTTCAACAGTGTCTTTGTGTAAAACTACCCATTTACCCAGCTTCGAAAATGAAAAGAAAACAGACTTATTTTCTTCATCTGTGGAGAAATTATCTATGATATCATGCGTATTTTTCGTTCCGATTATGTGCATGGGCCGAAAAAAAGTAATTAGATTGACAAAACAGAGCAGCCTTTACCATGATTCACGTTGGTTATGCGTGTGCACCACGCGCGAGAAACTCGAGAACAGCCTCGTTGTAAAGATCCCGCATGTCTCACACAAAAATGGCGGAAGCGACAGGCGAATTTGACGTTGGAGTAGGTGCAATGAAAAGCGAAACAGTCGCGGTTATTCCTGGATTGGGGGACTTACCAGTCTCTGGTAATCAAGTATTAAAACGGAGCAATCAGTCAGGAAACGAAAGTAGTCACACACCGCCGTGGGAAGACAGCGACGACCCTATGCGAGCAGAAGACCAACCGGACTCTTGGTCGCCGCCGCGAGCGAAGAAGAGAAGGCGATCGACCAAGCGAAAAAGCGACTCTCTTGGAGTAAGGGAGGCGAAAAATCCTTTGATGCAACTGAACGAAATACGGCCTGGTCTTACTTATAATATTACTGTTAAAGGCGGTCAAACACATTGTCCTGTGTTCTTTGTTTCCGTGAATGTTGATGGAAATACCTTCGAAGGACAAGGCTCAAGTAAACAGAAAGCGAAGCACAATGCAGCCGAGAACGTTTTAAAGTCTTTCATTACTCAGATCCGTTCACCAGTCCATCAGCTGATCACAGGAACTCGCGACGTTACCACAGACTTTACTTCCGATAACACTGGATCACTTCTAAACACTTTTGGTAATAGCGATCAACCGATGGAGGATGCAAGTATGAATTCAATTGAATCTTCACTTCCTCCCCTGGGTGTTACGAAAACCCTAAAGGTGCAAACTGAAGCCGGAAAGCATCCAGTTTCGCTTTTAAATGAATTTCACCCGGGGCTTAATTACGAGTTTCTCGGTGAAGAGGGAGAACCAAATGCGAAGCAATTCAAATTTAAAGTAACTATCAATGGCCAAGATTTCTCAGGACACGGTAGCAGTAAAAAGAAAGGCAAGGCTAATGTTGCATCTAAAGCACTTTTTGCATTGTACAACATCCGCACCTTCTATGCATTTGGCCAATCAGAAGCAAGGCTACAACCTGCATACTTAGAACCTCCACCATCAGCTCAACTGGAGCAGGTTGCAGCAGATCTTATCGCTGATGCCGTTCTCGCCAAATTTCAGAGTCTGCAGCCAACTGCAGGGGAACCAATAAGACGCAAAGTTTTGGCTAGCATTGTTATGACAAGTCGAGGTGACAGTGAACAAAAATTTGAGGTCATTAGCCTTGGAACTGGAACCAAGTTTATAAGTGGAGAGTACATCAGTGACCAGGGACTAGCAGTGAATGATTGCCATGGGGAAATAATTGCTAGAAGATCCTTTTTGCGATTTTTGTACTCACAGCTTGAGCTGTGTGCTGAGGGATATGAGGAGGAGTCCATATTTGAGAAAAAAAAGAGTGGATTATTTGGTGTGAGAGATAATGTTGAATTCCACTTGTACATCAATACATCACCTTGTGGTGATGCTCGTGTTTTTTCACCACATGAGCCTATCATGGGTGAATCTGACAAGCATCCTGGAAGAAGAAAAAGAGGACTTCTCCGAGTGAAGCTTGAAAACGGAGAAGGTAATTTTTCTTTAGGTTATTGTGATCTTGAGAGTGTTAAGTTCAAGGAGAGAGTCATTAACTCCTTAACTCCCATGAGTGTCTAAGATAGAGTTTCTCCACAGAATATTAATACAATATTCACAGACAAGTGACGAGAATAAAGAGAAATATCAATAAAAGGATTACTAGTTGATTCAATGCCAAATTCTCCAAACTAACATCATAAGAATTGTATGACAGACAGTAAGGAGAATTACTAATGAGATCTTGGGAGTGAAAGGGTTAAGTGACCACAAACACAACTGCTGTTACAATTGCCAAAACATTTTTTCATCCTCCTTATCCATGCTGGTGATGATAACATTTGAGTTATTGATTGACAGTTGGTATTGTCAAGGAAATTAAGTGTTGCAATAAAATCATACAAGAGTAGTTGGTGAACTTTTTTCTTGCAATCAAAACTGCAGTTTTTGAGCTTGCCTGAGATGGAATTTTACTGAACTTGCAGCGAATGGAAAAACTTCACATGTCATGTCACATGGATGATGTTGGGCAAAAAAAAAAAAAAACCAAAGCATACTCTGACTTCCTTTAACTAAAATATGGTTTGTGGTGAATATACAGTTACTAGTTAAAATACATAAATATTTCTTACTTTTTTATCCAGTTGGAAAACTGCTTTTTTTTACCTTATCAGGTACTATTCCTGCAATGAAAGCTGACACAACCATCCAAACTTGGGATGGTGTCCTCCAAGGGGAGAGGCTCCGCACCATGTCTTGTTCAGACAAAGTCTGCCGCTGGAATATACTTGGGGTGCAAGGAGCACTGCTTAGTCACTTTTTGGAACCAATATATCTACAGTCAGTTGTTCTTGGTAGCTTGTACCATTACGAGCACATGTCAAGAGCCATGTATCATCGTCTAGGTGATCTAGAAGGGTTGCCTCCTCTCTTCAAACAGAATCGTCCACTTATGAATGGAACAAGTACCCCAGAGCCACGGGCAACAGTGAAGTCACCAAACATTAGTGTTAATTGGAGCGAAGGAGACCAGGGCTTTGAAATTGTAAATGCTACAAAAGGAGTGATTGGAGATGGACAGGCTGTGTCAAGGCTCTGTAAACAAAGTTTATTCAAACGTTTCATCATGCTGTGGAAGAAACTAAGACCAGCAATTGCAGGGCCATTGTCATACCATGGCGCCAAGGCTGCAGCTGGTCAGTATCAAGCAGCTAAAATGATTGTGATGAAAGGATTTGAAAGCCAAGGCCTTGGTTCATGGATTAGGAAGCCTGTGGAACAAGACATGTTTGAACTCTCTGAGGAGGATCTCTAAACTGAGCAGGTGGAAGTCAAGTTATTGCAAATGTTTCAGAAAGGTAGAATCAGTGTTTAGTGAAAGTAAGTACTTCTTGTACAGAACATGGTATTTCTTACCTAACACTTTCAATTCTCTTCCTAATTAGAAATTACTTAAACTTCAAAATGATTGGAGTTTGTACCTTATAGATTCAGGTTTTAAAGGGATTATGAACACAGCAGAAAGGAAATATTTTACTAAGATCCATTTTTGGATGTATTTAGATGCAGCACTTAGTAAAGATCTTGGTTATTTGGACACTCAAGTGACATTACAGTTATCATCAAGAATGTGAAGTTTCATTTTCATCTGTTTCATCAGAATGCCTTTTTATCTGAAAAGATCAGATAAGTTTGCGCAGGCATCAAATCTGGTTATCTTCTTGGAAAAAGTTACATATAGGCAATCCTTTATAAAGTCAGTTAAGGTGCTTAAATAACTCCCCGTAAATTAAGCATGTTCATAGCTTATAGTGATGTAACCATTTTATATCCAAATATCTTATTCATTATCTTTCATGTTTGTACAGGATGTAAACTTGGAAACTTGGTCTAAAGGGACCGATGACTTATAGCTATTTATAAAACTATAAAAAACTGTAGAGTTTATGTAGTTGGATCAAAAATTGTTATTTTTGCTGTTTTCTTTTTCCTAATTTATTAACCTTGCCCAGAATATTTTCACTGACATTAATTTTAGGTTGTGACTTCTCCAATGACTTCAGCTATTACAAACAATAAAAACTGTAGTTTTTATAGTTTGATCAAAAATTGTTGTTTTGTCTGTTTTTTTTTCCTTAATTTATCTACCTTTTTCCCAAAATAGTTTTCACTGACAGTAATTTTAGGTTGTGATTTCTCCAATGACTTCAGTTATTATAAAACAATAGAAAACTGTAGAGTTTTTGTAGTTTGATCAAAAACTGTTGTTTTATCTGTTATTTTTTTTTTTAATTACCAACATTTCTCAAAATATTTTTCACTGACATTAATTTTAGGTTGTGATTTCTCCAGCCATTGAATGGTTGACATGCACAGGAAATTATTAAAATGGAAGGACTGGGAACCAGATTTGAAGTTACTTTTTCTCTCCAATTTTTTTCTTCCTATTTCCTGCCTGTTTAGCAGGGTACGTAAGGAAATGAAATAACAAAGATTCAGTGAGAGTGAACAGAAACACTCCAAAGACTAAAGCTGAGTTTTTATTCAGTTCACTTTTGCTGGAAATTCTATTTACAAAATGTTAACAATTAGTGAGAAGTTTAACAGTGACAGATCCAAGGGAGGAGTGAGTAGGGAGGATTTTCTGCCCCTTCACACCACTTGTGCCCCCTTCTGTTCTAGAGACACGTATGTTTTGAGAAAAGTTATCTCTTGAGTAGTGAGTAACGTTGGTTAAAAGAAAGAAGAATAAAAGACTCGGAAATAAATAAAAAATTAATGTATGTTAATGATTCAAATATAAACTTTGTTGGAAAGAAAAATTTCATAATTTATCCAACAACACTCCTTGATGAATCTATTTCATACAAAAATAACAACCTACAATTATTGAAATTCATGAAAAAACAAAAGAGTATTGGAAATTAACCACCTTTCAATTAAAAAAAATAAATACAATCAGCTTTGTGTCCTGACAAGCTTTGTTACAAGGACAGTTTATCTTTGATCACGAACTACACTGCTTTACATCTAAAAAGATTTAGACATGTCTTCTAAGCAGTATGAAACTACAATCAATACTATACAGGTTCAAATACTATTCACATGACGTGAAAAATAAATAACCTCTTTCACCCACACTGTGAAAGGAAACCCCCTCTTGAAAATATTCCATTTTTTTTTCCCTTTGATGTTTGATTTTAAAATGCTGCGTTTCTAATTTTGGCGACTTTTTCCAGTATAGACACGTGACTTGCAAAAAGAGGAATATTGCCACTGACTCTCTGCCACCGCACTGCGGCCGCGTCGTCTCCGGCCTGTGAATGTGAATCGAAGGATTTTCAAAAGGTTAAAAAAGGGGTTTCGTTGAGAGACTGAGGAGGAGGAGGAGGAGGAGAGGAGGAGGGGAGGGGGGGGGGGGTTGACGCGACCGGTAAGCGAGCGTTCATGTATCAAGACAATAAGTGTGTGGTAATAGGTATATGAAAAGGAAAACTTTTCGCCCAAAAAAGGTTGTAGTTGGTTTACAAATTAGCAAAGGTTTTTAGAGGCTTTCCTCACTCCTCCCTTTTCATCTTCCGGGCGTTCCAATACAAAAACAACTCACTTGTAGCTTGAATTCACTGAATATTTCTCCGGTGTCGTCGTGGAAATTGACGGCCACTGTTTCCATCCAAGCGTTGTCTGTGTTTCTGGGATCATCAACGTAACCTTTGTACACCTGGAAAATCGCGAAAATAATAGTTATTGCTACGGCCTGGAGCGTATCTTTCCTTCATAGAAAAGGGCAAATAAATTAATCGAGTCACCTCAACTCCGTTGTGAAAGAGTCTGTCGATTTGCCGGCTGATTTTCTCTCTTTCTGCGTCTGTGACACTGAGCTTTGCCATTGCCTCTTCTCCAAACTCCGCCTTAAGAACCTGAGTTACAACTTGCCCCGGTTCGACCATACCCTGAAAAGGTAGAAAATGAATGAATACATGAAAGATCGCGTCAACGAACCAACAAGCAAACGAATGAACAAAACAACCACACAACTAATGAAAGGGAAGAACGAGCGAACACGCGAGAATACGATTGGCCAAACGAAAGAGAAATTGAGAAATAAACAAAGAAAAATAAGCGAGCGAACAAGCAAGTGGACGAACGAATAAACGCGCGCACACACAACTGAAATAACAAACAAGGTGAACAAACCGAGAGAGGGAAGGTTTATTGACAAGTGCGACTATTGATAGAAAATGAATATCAACAAATGTACAAACAGCGACTGCTAAACCCTAATTGAGAAACTTACCCCTGGTATGGCCCACTGACTATTGTCCCTTCTTTGAATAGCAACAAACTCAAGAACTTTTTTCCCTCCGTCTAACATAACACCGCCGCTGGTTCTCTTCCACCTGATAAATATCACACAACAAAATACATTGGTAAAGCTTAACCCACAAGGAAAAAGTGAAGTAACAACACAAGCTTCTTTCTGCTGCGGTAAGAGAACAAACCTGTAAGATAATAGGGATCAAGGGTAAAACAAGAGTATAAGGACGGGAGACACTACTGTCTACACATGACAGGTGTCCTGGTAAAAGTCATGCACGCGGTACCAAACGTAGGAAGTGTAACTAGTGACGAGGGCGTGGTCGGCTGCCTAACAGTGTGGCCCCTCTTTGCATCGCAACATAGCAAGATGCAGTTTCCATTAAAATTAAAGATATTCACAAGACTGTGGTCTTTTCATTACCGTGTAACAATGGGATCAGCGGCGTGGTTGGGACCGAATCGTCCCAGGAGTCCTCTTCCTACGACGCCCGTGCGGCCCATGGGATTACTGGTGAGAGGAAAAAAGAAGTACTGGTGAGAGGAAAAAAGAAGTACCGATTTACCATCTTTTTTAAACAAGATAAAGGTAGGTTTCATGGTTTTGCTTCGCTTAGTGGATTAGTTTCCGGTTAGAAGATACCGGTACGACAGAACCTGAATTTCGTTCCGCTCTGACTTTCAAAATTGGATTGCACGTAAAAGTGAAACTGATTTTTTCCAGAATGAATGTCTTAGCTCTAACTATGCTACCATACAAACTAAAAGGTTTTCACATAGTTAAATTGTCCAAAAATTCTATAATCCATTAGCGAGACTGCTGAATAATAAATATATAAATATGCATATATACATACAGCGGTAGTCCGTCTTTCACTCGGTACGGTCCCATATGACTAGCACGGTTTACTTTATATTCATCGTCGAGCCTGTTGTAGGCCAGCGGTGGACGAGCTGAAGGATGCCTAAAATGAACAACATGAATAACTAAGGTGAGTAACTATGGTAACATATAAAACACAACACTACATGAACTCATAAGGTGGATGTGACCAAACGCCTGGCACCCAACGACGCAACCTTTATATCAGGTAATATTTGCTGTTTTTAATGAAGAATGGCTCTTAGATGACGAATGGATTATATAATAATTCAAACCATAGTTGTGTGGTTGTCTTTCATTCCTAAAATATCACGTTGACCAATCACAACGCGTGTTATATGATGCCATAAAGCAACTTACATGCTCATTAAGTCGTAGTCAGCCCATGGAGGTTTCTTCAGAACAATAGGGGCGGTATAATTTACGGGACTGTAATCTGGTAAGTCCACCTTCGAAAAGAGTTATGTATCAGCGGTAAATACGACAAAATAGAATATGAAAAACACGAACTTCAGGCCGAAGAAGTAGAACAGTCGACCTACAGAACAGGCGAAACACGCGGGAAAATGCAAGCGCGGAAACACAAACGGCTTCAAGCAGAGGAACGCGCGTCACCAGCGAAAAGCGCGGATAACGTAACAGAGAAAATAGCATGGGCTACAAGCGGCCATACGTTAACTACGAAAAAAAGAAAGCGGGAAGATGCAATTGGAAGCAAGAGCAATGAAACTTGTGCTTCAACAGCCCTTACGGACAGTGGAAAGACTTAAACGAAACGCGTTCGGCGCAGGACAACGCAAAGACGAAAACATTAACTTAGGCAAAAAAAATGAAGAGTCACTCACTTCCCACGGCACGTTATCATCCGGAACCTGAAATCTCTTCACAGTGGATTGCGGGTAGGGCGTTGCGCGTGCCTTGTGATGGATGAACGCTGGAGCTACTGGACGGAGATCAAGAATGTTGGCGGGCGCAGTTTCTAAAATGAGAAAGATCAAAATTATTTAGTTTGATTAAGAGAACCTTTTTATGGTGGCAAAAGGTAAATATTCTACAACATTATAAAAGGTTTCTCGTGGACTTCGACAAGTGATAAAACCGAAAACCCTACTTCTGTTCTGGGCTTTTCCTATTGGGCCAATAAAAACAAGGAATTTGCAGCAAAATGCTAATGAAGTCTAATTACGGTAAGGTGGATTAATTACTAACATTTAACAAAATTACATCCACTCACCTGACGACGGCATGGAGGAAGTTTGAACCTACAACAATGAAAAATGTTGTGAGCATACCTTCAATTAAGCACAGTTTTAGAATTATGAATCAGAATTAAACAATAGCTCCATGAGAATAAAGGAAATGATCGCCAACTGAAGAAGCTCTTAATTGCTAAAAAACCCCTTCCTTTTCATTACTGTGGGGAATATACAGAGAACGGTATGGATAAAACACCTTTTGACTATGAGCTAAATCCACCAACGTCTTCATCGTTTTTAATATCGATGCCACGTTGTCCTCCATTCGCGCCAGTCTCCGCTCCAAAGCACCAGTGTCACGCGTCGGCGGTCTAAAATCTATATTCGGCTGAGCTACTCCGGGGGCGCTCTCTGAGTCCACGGCACTAGTGTCCATGACACATTCCATTATACGGTCAAGCTTAACAGTGGCGTCGTTTACCCTGTTAGAGGAAACAAAGGTAAGAAGGAGTGAATTGAAATCGTTATGAGAATTGCTATGTTCATAACACAACACGACACCACAAACCTGTCTCCGAGGGTACAGACTCTTTTTTCCAATGTGTTCTTCTCCTCTGTTCGTTTCGTGTGAAGGAAGTACTCTGCTCCCTGAAACTCCCAGTTCTCAAGTTGCTCCTTCTCGTAATCAGTCAATTTAATTTCTTCAAATAAAAATGAAGGTAAAATTGTTTATACCATTGTTTCTACCATAGAAGCGCATGGACCCTCGGCGTCTCTAAACCCTTTGACCCTTTAACCCCGAGGTGTGACCAGCATCTAATTTCTCCTCACAATATCACCCTAAATCACAGATTAAGGTCACGAGAATAGAAGAAATGATCCCCAACGAAAGACGCCATTGATTGTTGACCAATTCTCCTTGTCAGCACCTTAGGAAATGTATAGAGAACAGTATGGAGAATATGCATACTGATGTTAGGATGGAAAAGGGTTAAATGCATTTTTCTCAGTTTTGATTACTGTAAACAACGTTACTACAAATAGATACTGTTGAATTTTACAATCTCCCGGAGGAGCTTTGGTTGCGTCATAAAAAAGTTACCTGATCCCACCCTAACGCTATGTAGTATTCGAGTGATCCCTCCTGGCAATTAATTCGTTAAAGTCCCCCTTTACACTCAGTTAGCGACCCCCCCCCTACACCCCACCAAAAAGAAAATTTCCTCCAACTCCCCCCGGCAATACATACTGACATAATGACTGGTCCCAAATATCAAACCTGTCGGTAAATACGTACTCATAGAGCTGACCGAGGGAGGATTTCCACAGCGGCATAGCCGCCATATCCATCGGATGGAGATCAGGACGTGAGAGATGAAGATCAAAGGAGGAAAGAACAGCGGTCTTCCGTGATATTCAGCGATCAGTTCATATCGCTGGAACTTCCATACCTTGTCCGAATCTTCTTGCACTCTCTCGAAAGTGTAACTAAGAAAAAGCCAAAACAGATATTCCCTCGAGAAAGTTTCAATTGAGTTTCGAAAGTAATCCTAGATTGCTTTACTTCGCTCTCTCTTCACGAAAGGGAATCTCGACACAGAATAGTTCAGGTCGTAAAAAGCGATCTAAAATAAAACAATCCGAAGCTAAATGTGGTACCTCAAACACACGCAGCAAGACAAAACACCGACCAAAGTTACGGGAAATTAGAGTTTTTGTTTTTCCCAAATTTTCACCTCAAGAAAAACCATCCTGAGGCTCTAAAATAGTGAAAAAACAGGTTAAGAATCTAAATTACCTGAAAATGGCGATGAGAAGATTAAGTAAAAGAACATTTGTAAACAACATGTAGCCAGCTAAGAGCGCTGGCGACAGCCATTTAGCAGTAGGATGAACCTCAAAATACTCTGAGGGCTTTTGACCTGAAAACACAAAAAAACAACAACAAAAGGTTGAAGCTTTACGTGATGTTACTAAGGCAGAGTCATACTTGCCCTTTGTTACTTCTCACAAAGTTTCATCCAATCACAGCAAGCCTGCGAGCAGGCTGGTGTAGTTATCTATTCTTATAATCTGTTTGCTAAATATTATATCAATATCGTAAAGGAAAAGTTACATTTTAATCACAGAAGAGTAAGAGGGTTGATCCAGCTACCTGAAATTTCTTCGAGAAAGAGTTCTCCGTACATCTGCCAGTAAGGTAGGTCCAGTATTCCACGGATCACCTGATCCCAGGTCTTGGCGAACTGTCCGGGGCCTGGGAATGACACCGCTTGCAGAGCGATTCCATAAGCGATAATAAATATGGCCAAAATGATTACAAACTGCTTCAGATCCTCAAGCTATGACAAAAAATAAAAACAAGAAAAAAAGAGGTATTTAGAAATTGCTAACGTTGCAATAACACGAAGCATTAACTAAGAGTCAAACGTGAATAAATTAAAGGGGCTTTCAAGGACCTTAACTAAGGGTATCTTTTTTGCACATAACGCGGTTTATTACAAAATTGAAGATAATTTTCGGATGGTCAAGTTACATACCTCTTACTAACCGAACTCGAGATTTGTACTCTAAGTTACGCACCGCGTTTTTCCGCTCGGATTTATAGTAAGTGCAAAAAAACCGAGGGTTTGTAACTTGCAGTACGGGCCGAGAAAACGAGGTTAGTATAATTATGATTATATATCTGGGCTCTGGGTTCAAGTAGAGGGGAAAGATTTCATAGCGACGAAACTTTTGAATTTAGCGGGCCATACAGTGAAATACGACCCACTAAATTGACCAAACAAACCACACGTACCCCATCTCCACGGAAACAGAAAAAGTCAGGTAATTATACCATTACGTCACACAATCTTACCATTTTTCTAATCATGACAAGTTTGGGACCGAGCTGTCTGTTGACAGAAACGATCTGAAGGGAACGCACGATAAACACTATTATATTCAGTGAAAATATGATCCGGGCAGCTTCATAGGTTGAATCAAAAAAGCGCAGACATGCTGCAACCACAAAAGCCAGGAGTGCAAACGTGTCCACGAGATTCCACGTGTCACTAAAGTAAACACTAAGTTTATCACCAAAGGTCTTCGGTTGTTGAGCCGCCAGCTGATTAAAAGAAAAGAACAGAAATAAAATCATCAAATAAAGATTAAAAATTAGTAAATTACGGAGAGAAACTTTTGTAAGGTAAAAGTCGGCATCTTTTGCGCCCTTCAACTTTGAAACCAAGAAAAATTCGGGCCGTTGTGAGCTACAGGTGTCGCAACTAGACATTCGTCAAGTTTTATCTCGGGAAGTAGTGAGCCACAGGTAGACCAACCGTAAATTATTTAAGTTTCCCTGTCAGTTTACACTTACCAGAGAGAGGAATTACGATAGAAAAGGTTAATTCCTTAATATCTTGAATATCTTAGGATGCCACAAAATATCGACCTATCATTCCAGAGTACAGCAAACTAAACAATTGGCCATCTAATCTCCACACGTAATATTTCGGTGCTGTGTGATCATGGATTAAACATCACACTGGACTGTCATGTGACCTATTGTGTGCCTTGACCATGTGACATAATACTTGTCATGATCACGTGATGTCATCCTATGACGTCATCGTGTTACCCACCTGTCTAATTTCTTCCATTATAATAGTGAGGATCCAGAAGTAAAGAACAAATTCCACCACACTTAATCCGCCGAGAGTCTTGGACGAGTCAAATTTCGGGAAGTACATCGTGATTACGTAACCATAAAGCAAGATGAATGCTATGTAAGACACCTGCAAATGTGACATCAAATGGATGAAAAAACCTCCAAAGTTGGGATATGTCGTTAAGGAATTATGTGTAAAAGCTTACCAAATTTCCCATAAACTTGGTGAACGGCGCTGAGTAGAAGGATGTGATTCTATCATAAAAAGTCATGTCTGTAGATCGCATCATATGCTCCATAGAATGATCTTCTTGAAGCTCTGTAAAAAAAAAAGTGTTTAAATGAGTTGAGAAAATATTTTATTCTATAAATATTGTATTCTATCCAATGACAATTTGGATTAATGTCAGTTTCTGAGTAACTACGCACCTGCCCCTCCCCTAACCCAGCAATAATCAACTGATAACAACTAAGGGTTAATGTGAGGTTAGGGGAGAGGTAGGTGTGTAGTTGTTCAGATACTGACATTGATCTGATAATTTCAGGGGCTAAAGAACTATTTTAATTGTTTCATAAAGCTTACATCAGTTTCACGGGATCAATATCAGTATCTGGGCAACGGTCCACCTACCCCTCCCCTAACCCAACATTCACTCTAACTTGTTATCAATTGACTGTTGTTGGGTTAGGGGAGGGGTAGGTGGGCCGTTGCCCTGATACTGATACTGATCCGTTTCACGCCTAGCACAAAAAAATCTACGTATAGAATTGCTTTAGTCCAAGATTCTTATCGGTTTCGAAAGAGAACGTCATCTTCAAAGGACTTCAAAATTCTTCACAGACGACTTAATGGACGAGATACTTGATGAAGTTTTTAATTCTCACAATGGAATCAGAAGATTCCTACAGTGATTGATTGGGAGAATCACGATTCAAAGGTTCTTTACCTGGAATATGTTCCACTATCTCTTCAACTATGTCCTCCACTATATCTTCCCCTTCTCCTACTTTAGATTCTTCGTCGAGGTTAGTCTTAGGATTTCCGTTTCTGACAGTTTCAACCTTTTGTAGTTCGACTGTTTCTTCTGTTATGCTGGGTCTCCTTATATTCTTCATACTTTTAGAGTACAATCCCTTCTGCGACAGACGAGCTGCGGCCTCTCTTTCGTGCTGCTCATCCGGGACAAAGTAAATCAGGGGAAAAATCAGGAATGGACAGAACGTGCAAAGAATGATCTGAGGAACAAAACGGTACATCGTAAACGGAGATCGCGCAGGGTTACAAAAACTAATGGAGAAAAAATTAATTGAGAAAGATATATATCACAATAAGTTTCCAGTGCTGTTTCGTAAAAATTCTCAGGTCCAGCGCTTAATGGAGTAGACAAGGTACACAAGTATGAAGAAATCCCAGCCAGTGTTCGGACTCAAGCCTCTCGCACCGGAGTCTGATGCAGTAGCAATAAGACTAGCCACTGTGACCCCTGGTAAAAATAAGTGGTAGGGAGGAGGGAAGGGGAAAGTTTTGAATTTTATCTATCTACGGTCCTTTCCCCTAATAACCCAAGATGAAGGCCTCGTGGTTAACGCGCGCGGCTTAAGGAACTTTTAATCGTCTTAACTAATTCCACCCCTCCCCCGAGAAGTCATGTTTTTCTACCTTCCACCATTTAGTGTTCATGGCCATCGCTCCCATCCAGAGTCTGGTGAGTAGCACTTGGCAGCTCGTATGTGCAATGAAATTCTGATCTTCAGCCATGACAGCCAGATCAAGTGCTGTCAGGTTACCGAAATTATCCAGTTCTTTAACGAGCAGTGTCTGGGAGAGATTTTCATTCTCTTCGTAACATTCTTGAAGTACGCCGATTGCGTGTTGTTCAAAATCGCTGCAAGAGAGTTAACAGCAGCGCTCAGAACATCGAAAATGCTTGAAAAAATAAAAGTTGATAATCGAAAAGAGAGACTGAACCTATTCGAAGTCGTTACAAAGACTGTCAATGGCTGGTAGAATTATCAAAATCTCGACCATCTGTGTCTGAAAACTTTTATCCAGTCACACAATATTTTGTCACGTATCATACAATTCCCCAGCCTAAGACTACGTGGCTACTTAACTGTTTACAACCTTATATCAGTATGCATATTCTCTACACTGTTTTCTTCACATTTCGTATAGCACTGACAAGGAGAATTTGTTTAAAAACCAAGTGCTTCATTTGTTGGTGATACTGTTGAGAGAAATTAGTTCTTAGTCACTCTATTTAAATGTGCAGCGCCGGGATACAAGGAGAAAGATACTCACTTCGCAACCTCCAGTAGCTCTGGGCTGATGTCAGTGATGGTATCATCAGCACGCGCCTTTCCCGCCATGGATTTAAGAAGACGCGTTGCCATGAGCGCGGTTGCGATCTGTTCTCGGCCCATGCTCCACATGAGCTTGGCCATCTCTTTCCGGTTACTAAGCACTGCCCAGATAAATACGTCACGATACGGTGTCTTTAGAGGGTCGATTCTGTGAAGGGGATTGCCTTGAAGTAAAAAAAGGGTAAACAATTAAGTTGTATCTTATCATAGTCGCGCAGTTATTGGCAGAATAACACTATAAATAAAAACCTTTGCGTTGCGTGACAGCTGCAAAGGAGACTTGTTGAAATACAAACCATACCCTTTAATAAATCAGAGCGCGCGAACTGACCCATACATTTTACAAACATCAATTCTCCCGGGATCGTCTCTAAAGGTTTGGCTCAAATGGTACTAACAAATGACAAAGCTATAAATCATAATGACAGACAAAAATGATAACGACGACTTTGAATCTTGTGATGATAACAATACTATTGACAGAGCGCTAAGTTCTTAGATGTGTTACTTACATACAATAGCTGGCTGGGTGATTTTTCGACTTTTGCCCCTTTCCTCAGGAAGTGAGGTCATATAACGTGGATCCCGAAGATAAAGGCTATGATATGAATCGCCCATCAATTCTTCTATCACTTCACCGATAACCCTCAGGTTTAAGGCTGTAATATTCTTTTTATTCTGTAGAAAAAGGAATGATTATGCTTAATTTTTTTTTCGCACCCTCAGAAAAATAAATTCGTCACTTCTGGAATGCGCGGGGTAACATGCAACCAGCGGTCAGCGCGGGAAATCGTGTGACCAATCTCAAGCGCAAGAAAACAGGACGAGATGGAGAAGCGCGGGAAAACATGTCAATAGTATGTTGATGGACGCAAAAAGAAAAAAGAATTTGCAGGTGCCATTCAGCCAGAGTGTCTATCTCACAGAGTTTTTGAAACGGAATTTCCACAAAAAGAGGCATGTTTTTTAGATGCTTTCCTAGAAGTTACGTAAAACGGGTAAAAATGGAACTGATGAAAAGCGCACAAAACGTGAAAATTTAAGCAGTAAATTTAAAAATATACATATAAAATCATACGCACCATTTCTTTTTGAACCAGAGGCTTTATGACGCTGTTACTTGGGACCTGAAAATTAAACGATATTGCATTTTCGATATCAGCAAGGAATTTCGAAAACGTTACAGAAAAAAGAAATATATTTTCACGATGTTTCGCTTAAAACTTAACTCCAAATATTGTGATCGAAGTCAAACTCCTCGTGGAATCAACAAGTCTCTACTAACTCACCCCAGCATACAACTGACATAATATCTGCGGTGTAAGAAATTCTCTCATGCTGAGACCATTCTGTAGGAATAGTTCAACAAATCCTGGCTTATCGTCGAGCAAAGCTGCCAACATAGGATTAGTCAGTGCCTCCGTCTACAGAAAGAGAACGATAACAATTATTGTCTTATAATACGTGCAGTCCGTGAACGCTTTAATTGCAAAACACTAGATGAAAATTCCCCTAAGCGCGAAAATTCCAACTAAGCGCGCACAACAAACATTGCATTTTCGTGTATTCAGGCGAGCGCGAGGCGAGTGCAAAGCTGTGGTCACGTACAAAAGGACGAGCGTAAGAGAAATGGCGCGTTATTTCGCCCTTTTTTCGCGCCCGTCATCTCGCGGGTAACTCGCGCGCCCCTCAATCTCGCTTCACACATGCCTCCACTCGCCTGAAAAACGCAAAAAAAAAAGGAATGTTACACCTTTTCCAAAACTTGTTGGAAGGTTGTCAAGCTTTACATGTATTCGTCCGCGAGACAAGAGAAGATTGGGCAAGTTACATATGAAAACATAAAAGTTACCGTCCAACGTTTGTCATCAGTGAAGATCTCACTTTTAGCGACGTCAATCCGGTTCCAGGCCAGTGCCAAATTTAACTGCATCAAAGGAGCGGAACTGTTGGCTAGGAGAGATACCAGAATAACATTGATGTTCACAGGTTTAATTGGTTCTACAGGACAGCTTAGTGCGAATGTTGTAACACAAACAACAATCGTCTAGTTTCTACAACTCAGTTAAGTGAATTGCCTGATAATATAACACAATAACCGAGCTAGAGCTCGGACCCAGACCTCTCGACCCAGAGTCCAGCGCGCTGACTATAAGGACAGTGCATCTTCAACTATGCACGAAGTGGCTATAGGCTATTGAGCCTTACGGCCCAAACAGCTCCGTTAACAACAGCTCAAGATGTTTCTCATCGACACACATTCAATCTCTTGTAAAGAGTCCCACAGCCACGCTTTAACTCACTAATACAGTAACGCATCTCCCTCTCTATTTAAATCTCTGTTTCCTCTCTCTCTATACCTAATATTAACTGATCTGATAATAATAACTGATCTATCCAACCTCTCTACTGAATGGCACCTGTCTAGAACTTCTCTGTTTGTCAGTTTTTAATGATCCACCTTAAAAAAAAGAAAAGAACAAAAGAACAATTTCAAAAGCGTGAAAAAAACAAAACAAAACAGGTAATAGTCCATTTTACAGTTGTGTGCTTGGTTGCCAAGCCTTTGAACAGGAGTGAGGCTAAGGGTGACCTTGTTATGATACAAACCTTGCTGCTTTTGAAGTGCAAATTAATTTGTTATCATGCTAACTAGATTCTGGTCTCTAACACAACAAGGTCACCTTCAGCCTCACTCCAAATCAAAGGCTTGGCAACTAAGTACACAACTGTAAAATGGCCTATTGAGAGATCAAAATATCACTAAATTATTATCATACCTTTTAGGAGGGCTTTTAGAATTGCAAGATCAATGTCTTGAGATATATTGGTCTCGTCATCCATTCGGTAAATAGAGATCTACAAAAACAACAAATGTTTGAACCATTTCACTCCCACAAGTGACCAGGACAGAATTTCTCCTAACAATATCAATACAATATTAAGCAGACAAGTGACGAGAATAAAGAAAATATCTATCAGGGGATTACTAGTTGATCCAATACCAAATTCTCCGAACAAACATCATAAGAATTGTATGGAAAACAGTAAGGAGACTTTGTTCTGTCACTTTAGCATTGAACAAACATCATTGTCATTGTAATTGTGAAAACCCTTTCAAACAGCGAAAATTTACTTCGAATAAATCTGGTTAGACTTACTAATGAAGATCTTGTTACGGTGAGCAAACTTATGGATCAGAATTACTATAATAGATCTTGGTGGAAACTCCAGTGAAAGTTCAGAGAAGTATTTCATTTTTCAGTCGGGACTGAAGGCTACGTTTCTCGAGTCGGTGTCCTGGATAAGGAGTTCTGTGGACGGTTTTGTGGCAAAACTAAGCACAGCGCAAACTTAAACATCCAGGAAACTTCCACCTCGTTACCAGACGATCAGAGACCATGATATTTCATACATTTTTCAACTGAAAATTCATATCATTCATGCCATCAACCATGGTACATAAATTTAATTGAGGAAAAGGAAATAGAACATTTTTTACGGATTCCGCCAATACAATGTGAACAAGAAAAGACTGCAATACTAAGTGTAACCCAAAAAATTGAAAAAAGAATAAGGGACATACCATCTTATCGTCTTCAAGTACTTCTTCGATCATCTTGTAATGTTCGTCGACTTCTTGTTCCTTCCTAAATTGAAACACTTCCGCCACCTTAGCTCGTATTTTCCCTTCATACTGAGGATCGACGATAAATTTCCCATCACTGACGATAAAAAAAAAGAAACGAAAAACCGCAAGGAAGACTGTCTTAACATTAGTGATCAAAACAAAAATAAACAAAAGGCAGAAAAGCAAAAGGGCTACGTATTACACGCGGGGAATCAAGCAAATGACGTTGAGCGCGGGAAGCAAATTACTGTTACGATAATCGGGAAAAAAATTACCTTGCTCCTTAAACGCGTTAAAATACAAAGCCCATGCTAAGAGCGGTAAATTACGCTGCAGGCACCAAGCGCGGAAAAACATGTCATTTTACAGCCATACGCGGGAAAAAAAATGTATTCGCTGCAATTGCACAAACCACACAACCCATGATAAACGCGGGAAATCACGCATCCGGCGCCAAGCGCGGGTAAACATGTCACTGGTACCATGCGCGGGAAAAATGCGACGGTGCTTGACGAAAACGTTTACCTGAATACTCTATTTAGACCATAAACGAAATAATTGAGGCACAATTGGTCATTAATTCTCACCTTTTAGTGGTGTGACTGTAGGCATAAGCCACTACATCTGCTGCACGACCACTTCCATCAATTACAACAGCTGGGATTTTCTTTTTGATTAATTCACACATGGTACGAACAGTGTTTGGTCCACCCTCCAAAACCAATAGGACCACAGGGACACCAATGGCACCTTGCAAATGATTGACAACCGATTGTTAACCATGTAAACAAAGTGAAATTCAGAAGCCATTTTTTAGACTGTATCTATTTTTGTGTCTACAGCGAATGTTTTTTCTTTCCTGCATTTTTTTTTTTTGATTCGCTGCTAACATGTAATTTTTTTCCTTAAAAATGCTAATTTGTTTCACTTTAAACGACTGTGAATATATGAAAGTCATATATCTGAACTGCGGTTAAAAACGTGAATATGAAAGTGATCTACGCGGTAATGAACACTAGTGGAGCAGTAGTGAAAATAAGACCTGAAAAAAATTCAGGCCTGTACGGGATTTGAACCCATGACCTCTGCGATACCGGTGCAGTGCTCTACCAACTGAGCTAACAAGTCAACTTGGAGCTGGTTATCATTTGGTTTCAAATAAACCCGTGAAGTGGTGAATAAACGACTGTGTATATATGAAAGTCATATATCTGAACTGCAGATAAAGACGTGAATATGAAAGCGATCTTCGCAGTAATGAACACTACTTGAGCAGGCCTTATTTTCACTACTGCTCAAGTAGTGTTTATTACTGCAAAGATCGCTTCCATAATTACTTCTTTCACTTTGTTAATAATTTGATATTCTATATCCATTGTTCTATAGATTATATTCACATGAGCCATGCTATGAGAAATTCCATGGTACAACGACTGCAATATCCAAACAACGTAACTAAACGTATTTTAGGGTATTAGCCTAAAATCTACCGGGGAAACCAAGGAATGTAAATCAACCAATCACAACAAACTTAAAAAACACTGTGCACCAGTGAGAAGTCACGGCACCAAGCGCGGGAAAACGCGCCTTGCAAGGTCGCGATTGCTTCCATTCGATTGGTTGAGAAGGTGACGCGAGCTTTTCAAGCCATTGCAGAATGAGGCAACATAAGACCTAACCTAAGGAGCCACATTCAAACTAATTGATTTTAGCGTGGTCGACATTTGAACCAACCTGCAGCAGATCTAGAGTCAGTTTTGACCTTCATTACAGCTTCCTCAAATCTTGAGCGCAGGTTAATCTCCACACCGTACTTTCCTTCTGTTCCGTTATCCACCAACAGGAAGTGCGAATGATTTGAATCCAGCAAAGCCCCACTGGAGCCTGGGACCTGTTCCATGCGGTAGTGGGCCGGATACAGACCATTTGTGTTCTACATAAAGAAAACAAGAGAATAATTGCAACCGCCGATAGCTTTATTCTGCATAGTGACTATGCGGAGCTTTTGGAAGACCAGAGGCAAGGTACTCGCGGGGTTCGAGGTGCCGGCAGGATTCCAGATTCCGACGGGCTAAAATTACAGAGAGACAGAACCCGCTTGGGGAATAAGCGCCTAAGTATAGGAGTTCTGAGCCGACTTAACTTGAGTTATATTGAGCAGCTTAAGGGACGGCAATGTTCCTTCATGGTGAACAACATAAGAGCATTCCATATAGCAGCAGTTAGCTGGCGGGAAACGAGAAACTTAGACACCGCAACTGCCCTCAATATTTGGGCAACGACAGTTTTGGCGGGAAATACACAGTGCGAGTTTTCGCGGGAAAGGAAGATTGCTACTTTTGGCGGGAAATGAACGACGCGGCTTTCGTTTTACGCTCGCAGTTATTATATATTTATAAAAATAAACTATCCTTTCATTAGTCAAAAATAATCAGAGACTTGTGACCTTTGAAACTAAGCGTGTTTACCTTAGACGCTTTTAAAGAATCCTTTCTGTCCACAATGCCCCAAGTAGCGATGCCAATAACATTAACTTTATCCTCACTACCAAATGTGATTTCTTGTTCTCTCACGGCTTCACCCACGTGTTTCATAACACCAGCATTGGTTCCACCTTAGGAGAAAAAAAAGGAAAATCGCCTCAAATCTCACAATCTCAGAAAGACCGCTTTTCGATTGTGTACCAACAAAGTACTCACAGCGACCAATCTGAATGTAAACACAAGAAAACGACCTTGAGCGTGGGAAATCAATTGGTAATACTGAGTTTTCGTTTCATTAGGCTCCCTGATTGGTTTAGAGAAGTCGCACCAGTCTTTAAACCAATCAACTGCAAACAAAACTAAACCACTGAACTTTTCCCGCCATGTAGGCTGCTTTGAGTTCTCATCGACTCCTCGTGACATTTTCCTTTGCTCTGATTGGCATTCGTGATTCTCTCAGTTTTACTCAGTCAATGGCTCTGTCTGGACATTACACACAGTGAGTATATACTGAAAAAGGCACAAACCTGTTATAATCCAGGCACTCGTCGACTTAGCTGCTTTAATCAGACCTCTTCTGAACACTTCTTTCAATCTGGGTTTGAGAACAAAACTCTTGGCACCCCCCGTCACAGAAATAACCAGATTGGGAATTTCAAGATTCCATCTTTCAAGCATCAACTTTAGGATGAGCTGAACATCAGTGTCGTGTGACACGCGCACATACTACGGGTATAAAAAAGGAGACTTGGGATTACTTTCGCGTATTTCGGTAAAGGATATAGGAGAAAGTCTCTCACTCACTTTCACACACATGTGCCATACACGACTGCCTTCCACTACTTTACCAATCCTCCCTGATAAACATAAGGTGTTCAAATGCCCCCCAAGGGGTTTTATTAAGGGTCAGGCACTGGGTAAATTGACCGGTTGTGAAGACGGTTTTTTTTTTCACCTGGTTTGACCATCTACAGAAAAGTTTATCCTACAAAGAAATTCAGTTCAATAAGTTTTGCCTGCCTGTGAAAACCAGTTGCCCTCCTGCTGAAAACGTCAAGGAAACCCATACCCTCCCCCCCCCCCTTCACCAACACCTGTACCTCTGACAAGACACCACAATAAGTACAGTATCAATCATGGTCTGCAGCGACTTACTGGAGAGCGTTTATTCTGACTGCCTGTACCAAGGAAGTCAATCTCCCCATATGCATCAGTTTGCATCTGCCGTGTGCACCTTTCTGGGGTCCATTGATCGCCTGTGTCCTCTCTGACCACATTTAAATCATGTTGATTCTTAGTTCTACCACACATACACATTGGATTCCTAACATGGAAAAAAAGGTATATTGACTAACAGTGAGACTTGAGACTTTCTGTTTCATTCATAACTGTTTTACTCTTGGTAGACACCAGTAAACCAGCAGATATCCCTCTCTTTCTCAAGATAGTTCGAGATAAAATATTTATGAGAGATAGTTTGAGATAAAATAGTTATGAAAGTTGAATTTTACATACAATTATAACCATTATCATTTACATCAGCACTCCATTATTCATGTTGGAGTTATGCAAAGGGCCTCAAATCTTACATATACAAAAGAAAAAAAAAATCACGTTTCTACAAAGGTTCATGTACATACTCTTCTGAGCGAGTCTTCTTTGCATCTTTCACAATTTTGATGCACTCCCGACCTCGAAAATGTCCAGCAATCCATGACTTCTTGCTTTTCTACAAAAATTTAAAAAGATTGGAAATGTCAAAAAAGCAGCATGTACTGATAAGAAATGTTGCTTTTGGTTTCAATACTGGAAATTTTCTTACAAATGTCTTGTTTCATGGTGGTCTCATGTACACCATCCATCTTCAGCACTCTTAGCTGTGACCATTTTAGTCACCCATTTTGGTAGGTTTAAAAAAATTGCTACCTAAATTTTCAACCCAAGCCTCAGTTTAGTGACCTATCTATGGTCTGAAGATACAAGGAGGTTGCAATTATGTCTGTAACAGATATCACAAAGGCAATGTCTCTTTCAAATTAAAAATGACTTTTGTAGCTTTTTTATTCCTTAACTTCCAGAGGTAAATAACATGTGCATGACTTCACATAACTTCAATAGATTGTTCTGCAAACAAATAGGCCTGACAATGAGGCCAGAGACTTTACAAGTGCAAAAGGACTATGAGAATTTCAACCCATATGTTATAAACTAATTCACTGAAGTGACAACTGAGAGAAAGTTATTTTACAGCCAAGTAAATTGTATCATTTCAAAATGATGAAATTTCTTTTAGTTTATGCTGTAACTGAAAATTTGTCAAAATTTGTCAAAATTTGCAAGAGTAAAAATGAAATGTGAATTAAGTGTGTCACATTCTAAAAAGCTCTAAAGAAGAACTGGAAACTAAAAGCCAAAAACTTATTTCAAAAATTCATCATTAGGGTGATAAAAATGATTCTCAAATTATTACATGGTCTGAAGTTGCACAATGACTGGTTACCTAAGTCTATCTATCGAGAGCTGGAAAAATAAAATGATGTATTTTCTGATCTACATGTATGATTTTGAATGCACTTAACAATATCATTGTCTGTGCTTAAACTTTTCAAACAAGTTTCAAAATCATTTCAATCACTCAAGAATATCTAGCTTTACATAATTTAGTATAAACATACAGTATTAACAAATCCACTTACTGAGACTCGACTGAACATCTTCAGAGAAACTGTACTTCCATGTTTGTCAAGCTCATAGAGAGTTGAAAATGACTCTTTCATGTTGAAAACACAAAGCTACTTCACAGCTTTAACAAAAATACCAAATCATGACACAATCTGTGCAAAAATTTGTTGTCACCCAATTTGTTTGTCCTGAAACATGAAGGACATTTTCCCATAACTTTAACCAACTAAAACAAAATCTTCACAATATTTGAAAATCTGTGCTTTTGTTAAAGTCTTGTAAAGCATGAAAAAAGACCTGAACATTGACTTGAGATAAATATTCAAGAGGAACTTTTTGAATTTGCATTTCAAAGCAAAAAATTTATTTAAAACCTCATGTAGAAATAACCAGTGGGAGATGTACCTCGGTGCCAGTCACAAAACAAATAAATAATTGATCAAACATTACGAACTTTTTCTCCCATTATGAAAATACACTAAAAAAGAGACCTGTTGATCTAGAAGAAAATATAAAGATCCAAGTCTTTTAATTTTATCATCTGCTCTTTGGGTGTTAAATATCAAAAGCTTGTTTTCACAAAGTCAGTATAAAAACTCAGAACAATACAAACCACAAAACATAAAATTGCTATCCTTATTGAGTTCTTTTCAAAGTTTTTTTAATGTGATCTCTTTGAACTAAATTTAAGTTATTTTATTGTAAGTCATTCTCAAAAAGTTTTTCATGGTTAATTCATTGATCATGGCAATTCATTCTCCAACAAAAATTTCATTAACCCTTTACACCCTAACATCAGTATGCATATTCTCCATACTGTTCTCTATACATTTCCTAATGTACTGGCAAGGATAATTTGTTTAACAATCAACAGGGTTCTTCAGTTAATTATCATTTCCTTAATTCTCATGACCTTGATGTTTGATTCAGGGGTGATATTGAAAGGAGAAATTAGATGCTGGTCACTCTCAGGGATTAAAGGGTTTTCTGAATCTCTAGTTGAAAAGTAGCAATGGTATTCTGACTCATAATACAGCACAGCTAGAATTAGATTCAGCGTCAACTATTGAACTCTTAACATCTTATTTGCAATTCTCTCTTTCAGTGATGTAAGTTTTCATACAATTGAGTTGAGAGAATTTAATTTTGTATCATTCAAAACAACACCTCCTACTGGTAGGTTTGTCTTTTCTTACAAACTCTTCTCTTGATGACCTATTCATTTCACTTTATATTTTCTTTGCTTCAAATATTTTTGTCTCACCCTAAAGTGCAAAAAAGAGAAAACTCCCACCAGCTGAAGATCACTTCCAACTATAACATATAAATATATCGAATGCATATTACTGTATTCTTTTTTATACCTATTTTTCAAGTATATTTACCATTTTGTTGACTTCCTTTGAATCCTTAACATTGTATTATCATTGCATATTATTAACTGTAGTTTTATGCTTCATTTTGTCATAAGTAGCAATGTTTTTCTACAGAATTCCAGATGAAAACCATTATTCATTCATTGTATCCCAATGGCTTGGGTCAGTCAAAAGTGACTGCTATCAAAAAAGATTGATAATCAACTTTTCATGGAAGTGCCACAGAAATGAATTATGCAATATTCCCCATTTCTGTTATAAACAAAATTACGCAAATTCATTGAATGTGGTAAACTTTTTAATTGTCTTAGATTGGTTTAATATCTTTTTTCAACCAATGCTTTGTCATTTGTGAAGACAGCTGTTAAATAACTCAGATGCACCTCACTTGGCATCAACAGCTCAAAGACCTAGCATTTCACTTATTTTATCAGAAAGATACTTATTTATGCATAAATTGTTTATCACCCTGTAATTTTTTTAATATTTATTTGCTCATTGAAATCATTACAATTATTTACAATTTTCATGATTTATTTGGGCAAAATGCAGCTGAATGCTGATGGTACTGGAGTGGTCTCTTCTCATTATGTTTAAACTAAATCTTTTCCTTACAGAAAGAAACTGAAACTCTGTACAAAAGTACTCAAAAGTGTTTTTTACTCAGGGAGTTTTTTTTTGTACATTGTAATTCATATCCAACGTGCACTCCTGGAATAATTGTTTGATAAGATTTTAAAATAAAGAAACAATACAATTATACACAAGTAGCCACAGCTTTTCCATCCTAATATCAGTAAGCATATTCTCCATACTGTTCTCTGTACATTTCCTAAGGTGCTGACAAGGAGAATTTATTTAACAATCAAGAGCTTCTTTCAGTAGAGATCATTTTCCTTAATGTAGGGAGAAATTAGATGGTAGTTGATCCTTGGGGTTAGGAGATTAAACAATATAGTTTAAATTTTTTAATTTAACAAAAGTTACCTGGCTAATGTGTATTAGTTATCAAGTCTCAAGAGTTAAACCAAGCATAATATACTTACTTTTAAATAGGAAGATGAGAAGTTTCTACTACCACTTGCTGATAAAAACTGAAAATGATCAAATGATCACCCCATGATCATTAGTTCTTTTTTCCTTTTCAATTAATGGATTAAAATGCAGTACTTGGTTAGTGTTCATGTATAAAGCTTCTTCAAAGGGTAATTTTCAAAATTTTAATTTTTAATTTTTAACTTTTTTTGTTTAGGTGCTTCTCTCTATTTCCCAATGACATTAAACAATGTTTATGAAGTTACTGAATTTAACAATTAATCATAGGTAAAGATTATCATTTTCAAGACATCTGTTTTGATTTAACAGCAATTATTCCAAGGAATCAAATTAAGATACCAAATAAATATAGGCAGAACTTTACATACACTGATTAGAATAAATTTCAGTGGTAACTGTGTAATTTTACATGAATTCACTATTCAGACAACCTTACTTTAATCAAATATTAAAGACAAAACACAAAATACCAATCCTTTAGCTTTAAAAGCAGGTATATGAAAATGATCCAAAATGAGCCTTTTCATCGCAAGAATCAAATTATTAGGGAGGGTAAGACGGTGTTTCAGAGCAAGCAGTTATTAAAGAACTCTGTATTTTTAGGTCAATGTAAAAATATGCAATCTACTGTGATTCCATTTTGTCCATTTGTCAAAAATTTACATTAAGAAAAGGATAATTTATGTTTTTATTCATTCAGTTTTGGGGGCATAGCTATATGCATGTATGATTCATTAAATTGCACTTGACAAAAAGCAAAACATTTCACCACCTTTAAATACAAAACTAAGCTTAATATCTCAATAATATTTCACATCTGAAAAATAAGAAGGTCTTTATACATACCTCCAATTGTTCAAATCCTGCCAGTGAACCAGACAATGATCCTTTTGATGTACGGCGGTGATTGGCACCAGTAGTGATCCGCACATCTTTGGGAAGTCCAGCTAAACTCACAGAGCTGATAGATTGAACTTTGTTGGTCTTTAAACCCAACATATTCTAAATCAAAATTCCGAACCAGCTGATAAATAAGGAACCATTCTGTGAAAAAAAGGCAAAAGAAAGTTATTATCATTATGACCACCAACATACATGTACGTAAATAGAGGTTATATGCAATATTCAATGATGAAAAAATATATTATCATCCACAAATTATCTAGATGTCATAAAGTCCCAATCAAATTTACCAGAACCAGGAAAGGCTTTGAAGAAATATAACATCCATCTGTTTCTACCCTGAGCTACATTAAAACGTGTTCTTAAGTAATTTTCATAGAAAATGAAACTGTGCGTAAAAGGTGAATGTTATTGATGATAATGGTTTCCTCCTTTAATTAATTTTTGGAAACCAAAATTATTTCTAACACTAACAGGAATCTATACCATATTAAAATGAAAATTTTAAATAAAGGCAAAATGTTAGGAATGACCAATTAAAGCATCTTGTAACATTTACCATTTAATTTGACCCTTTAACCCCAAAGAGTGACTAGTTTCTCATTACTCCTTACAAAATCACCCCTAAATCAAACATTAAAGTCACAGGAATAAAGTATATGATTGTGTCAACCAAAGAAGCTCTTTAATTCCATTTGTAATGGGCCTTGCCCACCATAGAGTCTCTGTGCTTCAGTGGTAGAGCATCAGAGCGTGGAATCTGAAGGTCAGAGGTTTGACTCTTCATGGGGACTCATAATTTTTTCTTTGTCCCATGTTCATTACAAGACTAACGTTTTTATTTTCTCATGGAAAAAATGTTTATGAATATGTTTATCTGATGAGTATTTTGTTAGTCAAATTTTGTCACCGTTTTGACTGATGCTGACAAAACTTAATGATTTCCAATTCTGTCTTTAGTCATGCTTGTGATTAACAAATCATAATTGTTAATGACTCATATTTTTACAGAATGAATCAGACTCAAATGTGTTTTAATGCCACAATCAACTCCTTAACCATATAAGGCCATGATTTATTTGAGATGCTGCTTTTGCAAGACACATAAAAGGTCTGGAAGAAAACATCTTGAGTGTGACAGGACTGGAAAATGCTTGTCACAGTTTATTTCAAATGTACAAACAGTCCTATTGTGCTCTGTATTACGAGTCCTAAAACTGTCAGGATCTTAATGACAAAATTCTAGATGATCTTTAGCAAATCTGAGTAAATTTTGCACATGGATAAATATTGTTTTACTAAGGAGCTACGAATGACTGATGCACACTCTTAAAGTGCAGGCTACAGAGGTCAAACATTTCAGACAGCCTCTATAGTTTGATAATCTGGTCTCTTGGGTATTTGCAAGCGATATATTTGCATAAAACCAAGGTATTATACCATGTTGACATTAAAAACGGGGTAATCGCAAAAATTTTACAATTAAACCAGTACCAAGATAATAAAGAAAGCAAAAGTAAGCTTTAACGTGTTTATAACTGTATTTAAATGTGACACTGTCGTCCTTACAAGTTAATCTGTACTAGTTTAAGACACTAGTCAATTAAGGTCTAATTTAACTTGAATGTATATCACACAACTAAACTGAAACCTTTGACGAAAAATGCTACCCCGAATAAAACATCGTTTCTGTTTTTATTCAGTTTATTCTGTTATTTAAATTCCTATCCTCATATTTTGTTAATTTTAAAAATATGTATATTTATATATTTCAGTAACATTGCTTCGGTAGACTGGTAAAGTGTTGATATGTGCAGCAAATTGAATCGAGCAAGGCTTCTTCGATATTGTAAACAATCACGTTCACGAGGTCAGTTCACAACCCTATCTATAACTAGACATACCTTATGTTCGTCATTTTAGACACTGAAAGTATCAGAAATCAGCTGATACACAAACAAATTTCCTATTTGCACCGTCTTCGAAACTTCAGCTGTACCCGTCCGCCATTTTGTAAAGTGCTCCTGACGTCACATGGTTATACACGGTTACTCTGACAACACAATTATAAATTTTGTTTGATTCTGTGATGGTTTGCCTAAGGGAAATCTAGAATACTAAGAGAGTTTCCATTGCTACTTTTAAAATCTATCTTCCTGAGATTATATGTATATTTCCCAAATATTTTCTCTATAAAAGAGCTTTCAGTTTCTTGCTTGACTCATTAAAATAAGATTTTGCACCTCCTGTGAATAAAAGCTATATCACTCGAAAATTATTGCTTTAGTTAAAGATATTTCGCTTTTGATCGAAGTAGAACTCGCAGAAAAACCGATTGAAACCGAAAATGAGGAAATTTTTGCAATTGCGTTGACGTTTTTGATCCAAGAAATAGTTATTTTTGCTCTTTTTGTATAAAAAAATGCCTCGGTGAATTATTCCTTATAAATCAAATTCCCTTTTTCAAACAAAATTAACCGACGTTTTCTGAAATAACATCTTCTATAAGTACGTTTCTATCAAGTTTATTGCAAACCGACCCCGCATAACCATAAACATTTTGTTTTTATTTGATGTGGAGGTTTGCTCGAATGTTCCATTTTTGGCTAATGACGTAATTACCGTGAAATGAGTTCGCACTGAGCGTTTCATAATTTGTGAACTAATACTGTCAGTAAAAAGGAAACATAAATGAAATAGATAGTAACACTCGTTGAGTGTATTGCAAGTCATTATCAAAACAATTTGCATATGTTTCATCAGCTACTCAACGAAGCATCGTAAGAAACATCAAGGTCCGAGCCATGTACGCCATGTGGTTCGCCACATAACAAATACGCGGAGGTTGAAATTTGTTCTCAAAACACGATACGATTTGGCAGACTTGAAGCACCTAGCCAAGAACGGTTTTTTTAACACATTTCATTCCTAAACCATAACTGCTGCCAGAACTTCTAACGTCTAGCAGTAAATATCAATTTTTCCGCACTGCGTTCAGGTAAAGTTTACTTTATTCAGTGAATGTTTAGTCTACAAAGAACTTCGATTACAAAAGAGAGTTGTCCTGATGCAAGAACACGTATATCGAAAGCAGAACATGTTTCGCTGTCGCTATTGTTCTGCTGGCATTTAATAGGTTTTCTAAGCTAAACTTTATCCACAAAGTGAGACAGTTAAGGTTTGAATTAATTCAAAGTGGGCATAGTTAATCTCGCGGGAGAAAAGCAATCCGCTAAAAATCGCTACTCCAAGATGAAGTTTGTTTTCGTTAGTTTCATTGTATTTAGCGTGACTTTTGGCGTGGATTCTTCGTCCTTTTCCAGTGTTGGGGTTACAAACAAGTCACTAAACGTCAATGCGACGGCCAGCGTCAAGGTTCCCGTGGAAAAAATTTGGAACGGTCTATCCAAAGGTAAAACTGCCAAACTTGATTCCACGTTTCTCTTGTCCCAGTAGATTTTTACTAGTGGCGGCGGGAATGGCTAGAAAATACAGTTTGGTGTTGTAGAGTCGAACGAAGTATACCTTGACTTTTTCAGTCGAGTATAACCACATGTGCACGGTTTGTTAACAAAAAATTACATCTCTGAAATGACGTAAATTATATTGACGAGAAAGGAAAAGAATTTGTTTGAGAGCCTTCATATTGAGTTCAGCCAATTCTAATGACAGTAGAATAATTCGACCATACAAAACGTTTATCGTGTTCTTCATGCTGTCAAGATAATCAACACTTACGATCACTCAGTTAATTGTTTATAAATTTCTTGTTCTTTCTCTCCAAGTTCACCGTTATCCCATTATTAACAGTGGAGATACTATTGCTTTGAGGTCGGCCTTCACTTCTGGCTCTCTGGTCACAAGAATGGTTCGGTTGTGGGAGACGCTTCTGCTTCATTTATACCTGCCATGGACTCACTATTGCTAACTCTAAATGGTGGTCTTCTTGTAACTATGGCCGGATGGGGTGTTTACCATTTTTGCAAAGGGAAAGATGAACGGACAGCCAATTGACAGCGGAGATACTGTGTCACTCAGTTCGAACCGCTATGGGATCAGTTACCGCATGTATTGCACTGCTTCTACCAACACTTATTGTTGTGTGCGATCGTAAGTACACAATTCTTTCAAATACTCCGTTGATCCCTTCTTATTCCTCGATTATCCGTGTTTTATTTCAACACTGGTTCTGTGAAATAATTTTATTTGTTTCTCTGATACCAATTTAGAATTTGAGGCACCTCCTTATGAGAATAATGTGTTGTTGAAATGTACTTTTGGTTAAAGATAATTTTTTTCCTTTTGTATTCATGTATTAAAATATCTGCCAAGACGTTTGGGATTGAAACGAAAAAAAAATTTAAACTAGTTGATGTAGGAAGAAATTAAACCCAAAGATGATGTATGCGTTTGAGATAGCTTTTATTTCTTTTTTTGGACAATGGCAATTGTCCGAAAAAAGGTTTATCTATTTAAAAGAAAACTTAAGTCCCTTTTTCGCAATTGTAGCCTTACCTGGTCTATGACCGGAAGTGAGTGGCTCAAGTATTCCCAGGCCACCTTCCAGATCTTCTCCAAGAATGCAGAGGATGGTAGCCCTGTGCAATATGGTGATGTGGTGGGCTTCAAATATCCCTACAGCACCAACAGTGCATGGTTAACTAGCTACAAAGGCAGGTTTTACCCGCGTAACTGTAGCTGTTGTAGTAAATCATCGTGTGCAGCCGAAAACACCAACACCGGCTTCAAGATCTTCAAGAAATTACCTTAGAAAGTGCACCCTGACGTGATTTTTGCGGTCCCTCGATAAGAGATTTTAACAGCAGAAACTGTAGATGCATATAAGTTTTTGTTTGTTAGTTTTTATTTACTCTGTTCATGCAGGAGCCTAATCAGGCAACAAGCTCTGGTTTGTTGTTGAATTACTTTATGCGTAGAATTATAGAAATAAAAATAGCTGAGGGAATGCAAAATATGCTATGTATGGTAGCAGAAGCATATAATCTAGTTTATATTCTCCTGTTGATGGGACATGGTAATCTCCTATATTCGTTGAAATACTCTTTTCTTTTCGTAATTTGAGAAAAATTTGTTTTTAAAACTATTTTAAAACAGGCTTCTTCGCCATTTCAGAATCCAATTCACCAAATGTTACTGTGTTAATTCTACTTTCCCTTATGAAATTCTAGGCTCGGTAAATTCGGTGAAAATTTTAAATCATCAGGAAAGGGAGAAAGTTGGGAAAAAGAGCAATTTTATGGTAGCAAAACTACATTTCGTCGGAGGTAAGAGCTGTGTTTTGAAATAAACTTTCAAAACTACCTAAGAAACCCAATCACCGATTCAAAATAGAGGAAATAAATTGACAAACGCGCACAAAAAATAATAATCATTTATAACTGACTTTTAGTTTTGTATATTTACAACTCCACTTGACCATCAAACAACAGGGAAAAAGATTCGCCTGCAGTTTTGTTTTGGCAAAAGCTTCTCTCGACTGAGAGACATCACATTTACTCTTTAGTAAGGAATAGTTTATCATCCTTGGAGTTCAAACTAATGTTTTTGTTTGCTCAATGTTAGACGCACAATAGCTAAGGTTGCTGTGCACTGCGTCGAATTTTCCCAACGCGTCTGTGGAATCAAGATCACGAACTGCCTGAGCCTCGTGGTTTTTTAGCCTCAAGTTCAGTTTTTTAAGTAATCAAATACTCATTTCACTGAACATTTATAATCTCAAACTGCACTGCAAATATGCCTAGATTGTGGCGAACTAAATACACCTTTGAATCGTACAAACATTTCCTGGAGGTTTAAACTTTTTAAACGAACAAACTTGGTTGTGTTGAAGAAGAAAAAAATATTCAAGACCATGGGCATTTTCTTTTCTTTTTTTTTTTCTTTTTACATGTGCTTTGGATTTTGGAACAAAGAAAACTTAGACGCGAATAGAGCCATGATTTTAACATGAAAGTCAATTTGTGTTCACTCTGCGCTCCAGTCTATTTCTTCAGGCATCGGCAGAGTGAGAGCAACATTGTGATCTGGGCACGAGTGAACGAATGACAGCACCGTAGTCATCAATGTCTTCATCCTTACACTTTGCTGTTGCCTGGGAAACAGATAGCGACGGGCACATAAGACTCATTCCCAGGAAATACAACAGACTTGTACATATCTTTTTCAATGAAAAGTTTTCATCCCTCATCCTCCGATGATGTAGAGAAGAACCTGGCAAGTTTTTTTTTGGATATAACAGACTTATGAGTAGGTGATACAACGCCAGTTATTGCCTGATCTGCCGGGTGATATTCCCGTAAACTGTGCCATTGAGCGATTGGTTTCTTTGACGTCATAGCCTCTTTCCAGTGCTGCAGTTCCAAGCCCTCTGCGTTAGTTCCCAGGACCACGCGGCCAACAACTTGATCAGGAGAACTTTCCAATTCCTGTTTAACAAAAACTTGCAAACGAATGTCTTCTAGGTTAGCATCCGCCACATCAAATGCTAAAGCTTCGTTATAAACCGGAAATAAGCTTCCTGTTCGTAGAGTTGTTGTTTTTCGCTTCCGTTGTCTCTTTTTGACGTTAATCATTACAACTTCAGCATAAATGGCTGAAAAAGAAAAAAGAGAGAATACCTTCACTGAGTGCAACGCTAAAGTTAATGCCTTTTTTTTGCTATAACACAAAATACATCTTGAGACAGGGACTCCACTAGAAACAAGGGAAAGTAACGCTTTCATTCAACAGCCCCCCCTGCCCCCACCCCGCTTTTATTTAAAATAATGAATTGTAAGTTAGTTGATATTAAAGTAAAACTCTCAGATGAACAATATAGTGAAAGTGACATTTCCAAAATAAACATGTTAGTCTGACCTGGGAAACCCTCCTTGGCGGGCTTTAGATGCTGTGCCTTGAAAATAACAATCGTTAATCGTCTGGTCAGCGGCATAAACATAAGCGAGAATAACACCTGACCAAAGCCCAAGTCACGTGGTTGATCTTTGATCTGTGACAGACACCAAGAAAAAAAATTATTAGACATGCTAGGTATTGGTCGTTATTGTATACTACTGTATGCTGATGCCACAATGGTTAAAAAAATTAATCATCAAAAAGAGGTTGAATAACCTAACATTTTTATATTTGTTCTGCCGTGGGCATCACAATTTTTCTTAAATCTTTTCTGACAGCTTCATGACAATACTATCAATCTAACAGTTTTTGAGGAGAAAATTATTTTGACCAGAAGTCTGTCTTATCCAAAAGAAAAGATGGTTTGCCATAGGTTTCGAGATGACCTGCTCGAATCATCAGAGAAGACTGGATCTTCTTACCACAAGTAACACAAGAAAAGCAAAGAACAATTAAGTAAATACTTACTAACCTCCCCCCCCCTAAAAAAAAAAACCAAAAAGGATTCGTTTAACTTTGGTCGGGGAAATATAAAATCTCGCTATTTGTTGTCGAGTCTCCAATTTTTTTTTACGGGTTTTCAGATCAGCTCCTTTTAAAGCGGTTGGTACGTCTGAAATCTTAACCATTCGTCATACCTGTTGCAATCTTTGTATTTCCCTACACACGATCATCTCTTCTCGAACTGTTTCGCCACCCTTTCTGTCTAAGTGATCCAGGTGGTGCGTCACCTCCCCCACAGGGAAGGGGTGTGAAAATTTGTCCATGTACATTACTGTGAAACTAAGATTCTGCTGTTTCACCAGGTCGTAAGGTAAACCAAACTCGAAGACTTCGTTAAAGTTAGGATTCGAATTTCTTTCGTGAATGTCAGTTTTCAGAATTTCTTTCTTCATGGCTGGAACTAGTTTAAGTTCAAGGAAGACATTTGGAGAGTCTCCAGCGTATTGTGGAAATTCCTCCCCTTTGATCAACTTTACAATCAAGACATTCCTGAAAATTAAAGATTAAATAGACATTATGGGGATGGAAACAAGTTTCTCTACTTTCACGCGCATATTGATATCATTTTCACCACTACACAACGAACGAGATTGAAACTCGTGGGGTTTGTCTGCAACTGCATGGAATCGATTTTTACAGAAAGTAACAGTTCGCAAACGATAATTACCGACTGGTCACCGGAAATAACAACATATTCTTAGGAATTTAGCTCCATTTTTCATACCAACTGATCTTGGAGCTGTCATAATTTGCTTTTATAGCCGATTGAAATCTACTTACGTGGAATTTCGATTTGATAGGTTTCCTAGCTCTGGAAAAAGTAAATATTCTTGGAGGTAATTTCAAAAACGCAGAGACATGTTCGAATGTGGAGCAAACTTTGTCGACAGAGGACTTGACGATTCCAGTCCTGTTCTCTGATTGGCCAGTTGTAAGGAAATCAGCTAGGAATCTAACGAGCTCGATTCAATCGTGATTAACGATAGTCCAGCTGGAAGCAACACAAGTGTGATCATGATGGACGAGGCATTGCTTACCTATTGGAGTCAAACTGCAGCGAAAAATACACTCGACCAAGGAAATCTGCCTCGCTCGGAGGAATAAAGCGCTCTACGGGGCCTGAGTCCGTTAGATCGTAGGGCGTCATAGTTTCCCGAGTTGCTGGGGACTGGAGAGAAAGTATAATTCAACTGTTTTAACAAATAAAATCGTTAACCTTAGAAATGATTTAAGCGGTTTCTAGAGCAATCTTCGAGTGAGTGTCGAAAGCAATCTGGGAATGAATTGGCTACGCTTTACTTCGTTCTGTGATTGGTTTATAAAACTCCCGCCACCCTCTCAACCAATCAGATGCGAAGCCAGAACCAAGCGCGGCTTAGACACTTCCGTTTTCCCGCGCTTTTGGATTCGTTTCCTCTGATTGGCCGATGGGATTATTTTGATCTTACGACACTCAACCTCAGTGCATTAAAAACGGAGTAGACTAAAGTTGGAAAAGTGTACGAAAAAAAAAACTGAATTAACATTATTACCGGCATTGGTTCTTCATCTGAACTAGAATAAGGAATTTCATCGTCATCTTTAATTGAGGAGTCCTGGGGCTGAACAGATACCACACTAACTTCAGGTTTAGGGATCCAAGGAGGAGGGGCTGGGAAGGAAACTGACGAGGAGGTGGCTTCTGCTTCTTCTCCGAGGTATCTGAGAGAAAGAGGAAAATGCCATACAATTGAACACCTAAGGAATCTGTTTGCACAATCAATCAATGAATTAGTGTGGGATCAATTAAGTGATCAATCAATCTATCATTCTGTCAGTCAATCAGCCAGTCGAGTGGCCAGCCACGTACTAACTGTAGTTCGGTCTGTCCGTCCGTGCGTCCGTGTGACTCATTGCTAGTCTGTCATTCAAACAGTCAGGCCATTAGACAGCCGGAAAGTTAGACGGTCAACTAGTGAAGATAAGTTTTATCAACTGTGTTAACAATGTGAATTGGCTACCATAAAGAGTTTAAAAGCTGACGTTTCGAGCGTCAGCTCTTCGTCAGTTTCTTCGTCAGTTAGTCAAACAGACAGACAGAAATTCAGACGGACAGACAGTCAGGCAGACAGATAGTCGATGAGTCAGACAGACAGGCAAACACTCCATCAGTAGGACAGACATGCAGACAGTGAGACAATCAGTCAGTCAGTTAATCAGACAGACAAGCAGTGAGACATCCAGACAGACAATAGAGAGACAGGCAGGTAATCAGACAGCTAAACAGTCAGACTGCCAAATAGAGAGACATTCAGTCAATCAGTCAGTTAATCAGTCAGTTAGCAAGTAAACCAGTCTATAAATGAGTCAGTCAATCAGTCAGTTGGAGAGCCCTCGAGTCAGCCAAGCAACCAGACTACTAGTTGGCCAGGCAATCCTGCACACTTCATGATCGCAAGAAACCGACACATTGTTCCGGTAAGACGTTCTGTAATCGATTTACAACCTGAGTGTCACAAAAAATATATCTAGCATGGCATCTATTGCTGTTGTTAGTCGCACAACTAAATAATAACAAATTAAAATAATATCAAGAGCCCAACCTTTCTCGTGGTTTTCTTCTTCATCAAGTGTTTCCTTGACCTCTGTGGCGTGTCCATTCCTTATTTCTTGAGTATTTTCGTTGGCTTCAGTTGCTGTTGGGACCTGTCTGTAGTCCAGAAACTGTTCCATGAAAGAGAGGTTCCTAAACCGCTTCCAGCATAACACAGACAAGACTCCCAGAGCCATGACTGAGACCCAGACCACTACGGTCAACAGCAACGGGAGAAAGTCCGTGTGACGACTCTGAAGAAGAAATCAATATCTATGTTTATTTGGGTTGGTAGACAAAAACATGGCACAAAGTATGCAGTACCTAGTGATGCCAATTAGTTGTCAATCAATCAATCAGACAGTAAGTCAAACGGTCACTCAGTCAGTCAGACAGTCAATTAGAAAATCAGCCAGACATGCAGTCAGTCGCTCAGTCTGTCTGTCGGTTAGTCATGAACTCATTCATTTAGGCAGGTAGTTATTCAGTCAGTCAGCCAGACAGTCAGTCAGCCAGTACGTCAGTCAGTCAGTAAATAAGCTAATTGGGTAACTTAATATTATCAACTGAGTTGATAACGTAAACAATAATAATAATAATAATAATAATAATAATAACAATAATAATAATAATAATAATAATAATAATAATAATAACAACAATAATAATAATAATAAAGATAAATAAGCTAGTCTGCCAGACAGCAAGTTTGGTAGACAGCCACACAGTAAGTTGTTGTATCAAAATGCATACGTTAATATTTTGGCACCTTGTTAAACTAACGACGGTTGCTGTTATAAAACACAACCTCTACGTTAATTGTCACATGGTCAGCTATGATCCTTTGTCTGCCGGTTGTTTTTATTGCAACGGTTTTTCCACTGATTTATCGACATACTTGTTTTGCAGTCGCTGCTTTGAACTGCAACGTTTTTACTGAATTTGTCAACTCCTACAGAGGTCAGCGTTCGATTTCTGTTCGGAAAATATGACAAAATGGACATTTTCCAACGGTATAGTCACAGTTTCTTCAAATCAACTTAATTTGTACCAAAGCAATCTTTCAATCGAACGAGCAGACACTTATGGCACTCTTAGATTGCTTGATAAAGCGCGTAATTTCTGTAAACGACGCCATTACATTTCTATCAGAAAATTGTTATCCTGTAAATGGACATGCCACGAGTTTCAGTGTGATAAATAAATCATATTTCTTGCAGATGCCTTGCTCGATAAAGATGTTTTGAAAGTCGATTGACGAAGTAAACGAGTTTTTAGAAAATTCACCAAATGTGATAATTTCATCTACATTAATTACACTTTTAAGAGGTCGTCCACCTTGGGAGAAATTAAATTTTGTTATGGAGTCGATTATTCTAGGAAACTTTTCGATTCTACGCATCAGATCGTCAGAATTTCTCCTCGAGCAACTCACATGAATACGCGGATATTTTTTTTACTTCTAAGAAATCTATAGTTGCTACTTTCTGCCACAGAGAAGACGTCTAAACATTCAGTGAACTACATATCAAAAATCATCTTTTTGTTCGATGGTTTTCTCTAACTAAGCTTTTAAAATGAGTCATAAACACCGCAGGTACTTAATAGGAAAACAGAAGAAGAATGACAATTTTGTAACGTTCTGTCACATACGTAGACTTCTCTTTCACAACACAAACAATATGCCAGCAGTTTACAGTTTACAATCCATTAATTGATAACAAATTCTAGTATAGTTTTCGCAGAAACCCTCTATTTTCTTTTTCCCCCTTTTGAACCGGCGATATTCATAAATTTTAGCAGCAGCTATGTTCCGGGTAACTTTAGCGTAGTATATGTAGGTGCGAAGGAGAGAATACATAAGCATTAATTTGTAACAGACGTCCGCAATTAGAACGAAAAAACCATTACATACCATGATAAACGATTTGTCCTTATTTCATGACTGTCAGAGAGAAAATCTTATAAGCTCGCCAATATTTCAACATTGTTGCTAATTTTGAGCCAAACTCGGTACTGAATGTGTTTCCAACCCATTAAAGAAGTGACAAAGTCATTATGACGTGGTTTTTACCAACGATGACCTTTCAGATGTTATAGGCAAAACACATCCAGTTTATATTGCAACTCGATATTTGTCAGTGTAAACTACGTAGATCTTAATAATTTCCAGACGGTTTTAAAGGCCAAGATATGACTGAGATAGAAAAAGCAATTTAAAAAATTAAACCGCCGAAACGAAATCCAGTTTAAATGAGATTTAAATCACGCTTATTTCAAGAAAAATTACCGCGAAAAACTAGAAAATTGTAATAAAACCGTGAAGATGTAAGTGAATTTAGAGTCTGTTGTAGCTTCTACGTGAGTTTCCAAATAGTTAATTGACATAATGGAAATAATACATAATGTTTAATACTAGAAAAATTACAGATAGTGGATGGAGATAAAACGCTATTTTCAACCGGAGTAGTCGGCAACTTCAATGGACTGTTGCCAAGAAAAACCCTTTAAAAAAAAAGAGAAAATGGTCACCACATGGCTGTTGTTTACAAGGAAACAAATCATGTCGAAATACAGGGGGTGATTTTCGTCAAATTAAGTTTGATAACCGGCTTCTTTCAAAGAATCCTATGTGGGAAATAAATATGATAAAGTGATGAAATGCGCAAGGCAATAAATTATTTCAGATTTCGCAAAAATGGCTCCAAGGAACAGTGATTTACATATCGAATTTAAGAAAGTAATTACAACACTTTTTCTCTGATGTTACTAAAAATTCAGGATACAGCAGTGAAAACAATATTATCGTCGAGAGAAAGACATTAGCTTCTCTTTTTGTTCTGAAAATAACTAATTACTTTATAAACGACAAAACACACTGGAAACTGATCCCCTGAAATCATTTTGAACTTTTTGCCCGATGCGAGATCCGCGTGAATTACATAAAGAAAATAATAATTCTTTTTGTTGATCTTTCGCTGAGTCATATTACAATTATTATATATTTCTAAATAATTGTCGGAGAAAAATTATTTTAATTATCATGAATGGTACTGATATTTTTTTTGAGTATTTTTAGCTGGTAGCGTTCTCACAGAGTTACGCTGAAAGTAGTTATGTAGAAATTTTGTCATACTGCATCCGTATGCTTTTCCATTGTTTCTTGCATTTGCAGCTGTAAATGTACTTCCCAAAATCGCGATGTGAGATTTTAGGACAAGAGAGCATTTTCTACTTATCGTGTTTTTCTTTATCAAATGCAAAAGCGAACGAGTGAAAATAAAAATTCAATTTGGGTTGCTATTTAAAGAATTGCTGTAGATATTCCTTCCATGTAAATCTCTTTCATATCTCATTTTTATTTAGTTCTCCAATTTACATTCACCCGTAATTTAATTTACTTCCTTTTCAGTTTTTCGCTTTCGCAGATTATTAAGATTCCTGATTTTATAAAATTTAGACAATGAACAACTTTTGCATTTATTCGATGGCAGATAACGAAAAACATCGACTCGTTCGAAAAGGTAGCTTACTTTTGACCTCACGCTAAGATCACCGCAGGCATTCACTGTGGCAAACGAACACTATTCCCAAAATTACATTCTTCGTTAAAACGCTCTCGGCGAAACAACCATAGAAATAATACGAAAAAAATTGCCCGGAAGAAATCCATGAAATTTTAAACACCGAAAAAAGATCTATTGTTACTTTGACTTTGAGCTAGTGCAAAACATATGTAACTTTCCAAGTTATAAGATGAATACCTTAAACCAATGTAAATAAATTTTCTTTGGTACTCACCAATTCAGTTCTTTATAAAGGCTTTTAAACCCGAATTGAGACATGGAAATCTCAAAATAGATGCCGTTTTAAAACGTGAAACTGCCCTCGAGCGCAAATAAGATTTTCGAGAAATCTTCCTTATTGATTACCGCAAAATTATCTTGCTCTGTATGAAAATCTGCGCATGCGTTCATCTCATGTGATTGAAAGCAACCAAAAGTTCACTGCTTTCTTAGCAATTTTCATAAAACTTGTTAATGTACGCACGCTTAGAATTTAAAAGATAAAAATGACCATCCATACGCTGCTTTGTCTTGAAATTTCTTCGGGTAAATTCTCAAGACCACTTAGAGAGTTCGTGCTGAGGCAGCGGGAAATGAAAATATTTTGACAAACACGAAAATAAAATTTCCCTGAGAAACAAATTGACGTCCGGAACTAGGAATGCTAATGTGATTTTCGAAAAAGACGTGGGTCTATTTTTACTCTTGTCGCCATGGCATAAGCTGGACAGCACGGAAAGTATTTGCCATAATTCAGGCGCGATATTGATTAACAAACCGCATTTGCTCATTCGAAAGGTACATTTTTCTTTGATCTTCGATTTCAGTTTCATTAAATATTTGAGAGGCAAAACAAATATGTAAATTATAACCTCTACGCTTCAAACCGAAAAATATGATGATCTGAAAATAAAACTTATCCTAGTTTTCGTCCAATGGAAAATTTAAAGCCATGAAGATTCGTTAAAGAGCGAGCGGTGGAAATTAAAATGCGAGCGAAGACGAATTTACTGTTTGCGGATAGCAAATCGACGCTTTATGCTTTATTTCTGAAGATGCCACAATATTGATTTTGCCTGATTCATTTCAGATTTCTTTTACTTTAAAAAGAAAATCACTCATTTCTCATGTTTAAACATAAGTATAATTTGCGCCATACTTCAGCGCGTTTTGGCTAGGTCAGGAATTGAGTAAACTAAATTTGGAATAAACCGCGTTATAAGAGTTTTAATTTTTAAGTCGGTAAATGCGAATATTTAAAAAAAAAACACAACAAAACAGTGAAGGGAAGGAGCAGAAAAAAAAAAGATTCACGTTACCTTAAGTCTAGTGGTCCAAGATTCTTTTCCGCCATAGCTACAACAGAGTTCAGTTTATGTTAATTCGAATTTCGCTTCGACGTAAGCCGCTGTGGCGCCGAAAAGAGACGAAAAAACAACAATGCAGAACCTGCTAAAATATGTATTGTATCGCGGAAGCCATCTACTACTCTCCTTTCACCGCAGCATTGGAAAAATCAGGCCAGCGGTAGAACAGATTCATCAAGAGTATAAAAATATTTCAAGGGTTGGACATGAAAACCACGAGATTGCATAAATTCACCTCTGCTGTGAACTTATTCAAAGGCTGCCTTTGAATGGCCGGTGATTAAGGAGAAATACAAATGAACGAAGAGCGAATAAGATTTATCTCTTTCTTATGTCCTATCAATTGACCGATGGACAGTGTTTTGTGTTATCTACAACCCACGCCAAATACACTACACAAACAAAGGCCACAGTAGGCTTTCCCTCACGTCTCACCGTCTTTGTCAATTATTGATTATTTCACACAAGCCAGCTGCCTTTTTAAACTCGTGTTTCGCTCAGAATTTTTATAAATTTAAAGCTTTTTTCTCTTCCCCGGTTCGACTTCCAAAAAGTATGGAAATAAACTGAAAATTGGCGAATTATTTCGTTTCCGTGCCGCGGATAAGCCAATCTACCTGTAAGGAGGCTTATTTATTTGCTTACTGATAACACTTTTAATAAAAGGGGTATGTTCTTAAAATTTATGTAAATTGACACTTGTCAAAAACACGGCATGAATTCTTGAAGGAGGATTAATTTTAAAAATCATAAAGTAACCTTTGACATATTTCTTAACCCTGCACAAGAATTAAATTAAGTTTTCGATTCGTGTTTGTAGCATCCCCGCAGCTGTAAGAATTCTTCCTGTCTAGTTACCAGGTCTCCTTCGTTTGAGAGCGTTTATTAGAAATTTTTTGATGCAGTCTACATGAAGGATTTTGCCGCTTGGTGCATTTCGATCGAGCTAAAGCAAAAGAAATCGAGCCAATCAGGAATGAGGAAATTATCGCAAGGAGCCAGTGAGAACTCAAAGTAAGGCGCGGGAAAACCGCGCACAGGACAAAGTCGTAATTGCTTTAAAATTGAAACTCATCGGTTGAGAGAGGCGAGAGTTTTTTTTAAACCAATCGCAAGGTGAAGAGAAGCAAAACTGAGACAAAATTGGATTTCTTTCGACGCTTGCATAAAAATTTCTAAGCAGTGAGAGTAGAAGTTATAAATTACCAGTAATTTCAATTAACGAGTCATTAATATGGGGAGCTTTTACTAACTATAAATCCTTCGAAAGTCAATCATATCTTCTATAAGTTCTCCTTTCTCAAGAATTTAAAGCGAGGAATGACAACACTGCAACCAGATAAAAAACCAACCAAAATATTACCGCTGCCGTTGTCTTCAAACCCATTATGCCATCAGTCAGGAGCCTGTTAAGTAAAGGGCTTCTGCATCAGTCAGTCCCTCAGAAAGTAAACGTTTGCCAAATATATAACCGACTTCTTTACAATAACCTTGTATACATATCCAGGAAAAAACTAACCATTTTTTATTAATCACTTTTTATTGATCAGTTTATAATAAGCCGCAAGCTCGTACCCAGGACTCTTTCCTCTTCATTCGTGGATCTCGGCCGCTGCTACATGAAGGGAAAAGAGCACTGTTTCCCTGCATGGAACAGGCCGTTTCCCTGTAAGGAAATGTGATTTTATAAAACAAAAGGAAACCTACGTTTAGTTTGCAGTTAAAAAAAAGGTATAAAGGATATATTAAAAATGTGACAATAAAATTCGTTCTCAAAAACACTCATTAAAAGCCCTTATCTTTCACTCCAGTTTGACATTTTGGAATTTTAAATACCAAAAATCCCTTAAAATCCTTCCCTTCCATCCTGAAGTTTTCGTATTAACGACAATTAAATAAGATAATAAGAATAATATTTTTTAACCTTCAAAGGTATTCCAGTGCTTGTTAATACAAACAAATTCTTTTGGAAAGTTTGTTACACAATTTGTCATGATTTGCTGATATTTTGTATTTTTTGCGGTTTTTTAGTTTCTGACACCTCACTGAAAAGTGGAGGCCTTCCAAAGAAGAAGCGATCTACCAACGTAAACTTTTTAGCATATTGTAAAGGAAACTAAGCAATAAATTTCCCTTCGTGGCTTTGTATTTTGTTGGCTTCTCTTTGCTCACTTATTACATTAATTACTAATACCCTGATATACCCCAGTCACCCACGACATTTTTTTCAAAGCTGCGTTTTACATTTGCAGTGGTGGATGGGAAGGGTAGGAGGATCAAGGGGGACCGGTCTCCCCTCTATTTAACCCCGGGTTTCTAAATACTACATGTCAGCTGCGTTTTACATTTGCAGTGGTGGATGGGAAGGGTAGGGGGATGAAGGGAGACCGGTCCCCCCTCTATTAAACCCCAGGTTTCTAAATACTACTTGTCTCGACCGAAATTCGTGCTACAACAGGATAGAATATTACGACATTATTTGAAGCATTCAATTGATTTAATTTTAAGCATTTGTTAAAGAAACGTTTCTGAATCAAAGTTTCGACCCTCATCAGCACTCCTGGTTCTGCCCCTGAGCTAGTAACAGTGGAGATCCTGGAGTAAGGCCAGTACTCTCACTGATGAACTCGTATGCCCAGCCTTAGTTGAACCGCGAAGCCTGAGAACGAGAGGTGAGGACCTAGGATTTTACGCGATCCAGCAAAACACTTAAACACAGACGAGGACAACCTGACATAAGATAATATTATTAATATTGATAAATCACTAACAAGAGAACATTAGATCTGATGTTCCCTTGCTGGTGATGATGACCATTATGAAGGTTTAGCGATGAAAACTTGCGTAAATAAAGCATGAAATCAATCAGTCATAACTTCATTGAGTAGCAATCACATGACACTTTCCTTTCCTCAGATCCTCGCCGTTCATGACACCGAGGAAATCTTAAAACCTTCAAGACGACTTTTGCTTCGCTAGCGTCTTGCTCCTCCGTCCACTCTTCTCTTCATCCAATGAATGCCATTTGGCAACAGACGAAGATGAAGTCAGCATGGCATTCCAATGATCTACAGCTTCGTCGTTCGCCGTCGCTCCAATCGTAATCTTGCCTAGCAATCGCTTCTTTCCTCGTTCAGAGAAGTGCTTCACTTGAAGAAGAACGGCCACTTTGTGGAGGATTCGGTGCGGAATGGCAAAACTAAATGCTTCGTTCCACACTGGAGGGACGTCATGTTTTTTCACTAACGTGCTACGCTTCTTTAGCTTTTTATCACCCATCTTTATGTACACTTTAACCAATGGATCTGAATGAGGAACACAGAGTGAATGTTATGTCCATGATGAGTTTAAGTATTGCTATGGATAATAACTGTAAGATAATTACATAGAAATTTCTAGAATTCTTAGTCACGCTGACGTGCATCCATGGAATTTTTTTTGAACATATCATTAGGTCACGTAGTTGTGATGTAATACTACCAAAATAGCTGCGTTGTAAGCTTCCAGTATGTTCTAGAATAGTTTTAAAACGTATATAAAGGCTCAGTCCTTTAGTGGTTGTGAGCTGTTGTTGTCGGGAGTGACCGAATGTTTGGAAAACTATACCGAGAGAGACCTACTGTGTATGTTCTCCATTTGGAGGAATTTTGAAGAAAACTGCGAGTTTGTGTCAGTGGTGAGCTAAGATATAGACTGTAGTGGGCTTAAGTGACCTTACTGAGGATGAATACCGTACTGCCTTTAAAATAAGCTCTTTAATAAGAATATCACAAGTTATTTAATGAAAAAGTCTAGTCTATAGGAGTATAATGTTCTTTCTTTCGGTTAGGTTGTACCGTAGCAGTCCTTATTTAGCATCAGTATACAGTGTAACTTTTCGAATGTTTCGTGTTTCACGTCGATATGATGGAGTAGGAATTATCGTCCTTTAAACCTTTTCACCCTAACATCTGTTTGAATATTCTCCATACTGGACTCTATACATTTCCTAAGTTACTGACAAGGAGAATTTGTTTAACAATCAAGATCTTCTTAAGTTAGTGATCATTTCCTTTATTCTTATTACCTTAATGTTTGATTAAGGGGTGATACTGTAAGGAGAAATTATATGCTAGTCACTCAAAAGGGTTAAGGAGGTCATATGCGATAAATACTTAAGCTGTCCGGTGGGACTTCGTCAAACAGCACTCAAAAAAAAAATGAGATTTTTGTTTGAAAATATTTCTCTTTAGAAGTGACCTCCACCCAATTTCTTTACCATGTCCAAACTGCTAAGCGTGCACCACCAGATCTTTTTCCATTGTCTTTTATAATATGACAAAGGATTCTAACTTCATCAAATATTTTACTCACCAGGTTTCTTATTTTTGTTGATTGGCCTTAAATCCCTCGCTTTCATCACGATTACTGTAAGTTTCTCAGATGTTTTGAGATATGCTAGGGACACTAGCAACGCAGGCCCCGGCATGTCTGATTCCACATCACGGGAAAATGTGACCGAGGGGCGATGTGGGGGGACTGTTTCTACTACCTGTTCCTCTGCCTATGGGAGAAAAGACAAGAGGACAGCTCAATGGAAAGCGGAGTCATTGCGGTGTTCATAGTTCGATGGTTTATAGCACAGTAGAAGATGAATGAGGGGTCATGAAATGGGAAAAGGGTGTAAGAACATGTAGCGCAGGTCAACCCTGAATGACAATGTAATTGTGGAAAATTGAATGCCTAGGCCGTGAAATTAAAGCTGCGCTGAAAGTAGTAGAGTACGGCCTTGATTATGGAACGGTGAAACGGTAAAAAAGGCAGAGTACAACAAAGAAAACAAACAATAATAACTCAAACATAATGGATAAAACAACCTACCTGAGAAGTGTCAGGCTCTTCGTCTTCGGCCTCCTTTTCCTCTTCTTCTTCTCCTCCTCCTCCCTCTACTTCCTCTTGTTCCTCTTGTTCTTCTTCTTCTTTCGTCTCTTTGCTTTCCGCGTCTACAGTATCCTGTGCATCCTCAAAATCATCTGTCCCCGTTCCCGTTGTCGATACCAGCGTCTCACCCTCAGTATCGACCTTTTCTGGCGGCGGACGCCTGGGTTTGAGTTTAATGACATCACGGAGGATCGTAATCTCAGTATCGGACAATAATTTTTTCATCGCAACGCTCACCAGAGGTACCGTGACAAATCCTATCAGTGTTGGGGGAGGGGGTGGTGGAGGCGGAGGAGGGGGTGGCGGTGGTTCTTTCTTCTTCTTCTTCTTCTTATCGTCCTCTGGGGGTGGTGGTGGGGGTGGAGGTGGAGGTATATTGGTTATCATCATATCAATCACTTTAAACGTCAGCGTCTGGTTTCCAAGGTCGTTGACGGGAATTTCGAACCGGAAGCTTTCGTATATGTGTGGATCGCACGTGGTGTGGTACACCTCAGACTTGATTTTACCTTCGTGACCGTACTTGACTTCGAACTCGACGACAGGATCCGGTGGTTTTCCCGTGGATGGACGCAGGGGAAGGTCGCCAAGACGAATTAAAGTCAATGTCAGGGTGGAGCTAAAAGGTTTGAAACGGAATGCAACAACCCATTTTTGTTAATCGCTAGTTCTCAAGATCATAAAAAAGGTTAAAATCTTCTTTGGTCAATGAGCACTCAAAGGAAAACAGGTAAACCATCAAAAACGCGGGAAAACGCGGATGACCGAGTCACGATTGGTTTTCGTTTCGTCTGATAGGCTATGAGGATGGTGCGAGTTTTCTAAACCAATCACGAACCGAATTAATGCAAAATCAAAACGATCTCAGATTATTTTCGACACTCAATCGAAAATTTCTTTATACTGCATGTCTTTTTTAGCCCTGTGCAAAACAACCACAAAAAAGTTTTCTATTACACCGCGAAAACTCATAAACCTCACCTTAGCTGATAGTAATGTAATGTAAATTCCAAACATCCTTTCCTCTCTATTGTTTCCTCCTAAGAATCAAACGATGAAATCAAAGTAAGACACAGTCAGGCAAAACAAAAGTTCGAAAGTATATCATAGGAGAGCTAACTTAATAAATAAATGATCTGATTATGTTTCTAAGAATAGGAGACAGATATTTCTCTCTTTTAGCAGAGCTCTTTTTAGGGAACATTTCCATTGAAGAAATACAAACTTTGATCTTGACTGAAAAATTGATACTTCAAACATTGCATCCACAATATTCTTGTTGGAGACTGGGACTTGAGTCTACATGTGATGCTACTTAATATTGTTAATTATATTATTATGATAGTTATTATTATTGCTACAACATATGGAATATTTGCGAACCACCCAAAGTGGATTTATTCTCGGCTTTTAGCTATGTGACTCACCGGTGGTATAACCGAAGTGGAACTAAGATCCATGTCTAGGCTATTCAGTAGGTAGTCATCTTGCTCCTCCTCTCTTAGCGGCGGATATACATCGTCGGGAGACCTGGGAACAAAAATCAGGTTCTTTATTTTGTTTCGTGAACCACGGTAAGGCGGAATTTAGCGATGGGTGGGTGGTTTGGTCGGTAGGGGAGGGAACGGCAAACATCGAATAACGACAAATGCTGTCTCGAAATTCATCGAACGTGCACTTTTTTTTTTTTTTTAAACCCAAGGCTGGTAGGTAATATGAAGGCGTGAGAACATCAGTGACCCACTCGCCTGCGCTTCGTTTTCCAGTTTTTTTTCCTTGCTACATTTTGACGTCATCTGTGACGTATCACTGAACAGACGCAAGGCAATACTATTCCTTACAATATCACCACTGAATCACACATTGATGTCATGAGAATAAAGGAAATGATCAGCAACTAAAGGAACTCGTGATTGTTTGACAAATTCTCCTTGTCAGCACCATAGTAAGTGAACAGATAACAGTATGGAGAATATGAATATTGATGTTAGGGTGTAAAGGGTGAATGTCACTTATGCAAAGACCATAAGCACATGGTGACCGTATGGGACATTCGTTCGAAAAAAGATTTCCACAGGTAACCCAAACAATGTGAAACCGATACCTGATTGGTCGTCTTGTTTCAGGTTGCACAGGAATGCTGTCAAAATCCACCACAGACTCATCCTGAATCACAACAAAGGACTCAGACTCCGCGCGGGCGGATCGGCGCAATGGGGCACTAGTAGTGACCTTAGCAGCAGTCTTTTCTTTGCCTTTTCCCGCCTTTTTAGTCCGGTATGAGTAGTAAATACCCGAGACTGCTACTGTGGCGATCATAACACCACCAGTGATACCGAGAATTATTATTACAAGAATTTCCATTGAGCTAAGTCTGCAAGAAGAAAGGAAAATATTATGTTTATGAAAAGCGAATAATGGTGGACAATACGTTTCAAAGAGGCCACGAGAGGGATGGGTCGGGAAATTGTCATCTTTTGGTTGTATAATTTTTTTTGGTCGCGAGCTTGCGCAAATGTTGTTTGTTTTATTTCTTTTCGGTCAAGCACAGAACCTAGATATAAGAAAGCATTTTCTCGATTTATTTTCTCAGGGGATGATGTTCTCCCAAAAGTTAACGGGCGTGCAGGAATTTTTCTGATGATATACAAGATCCATCGCCGGGGAGGGGGGGGGGGAAGAGTTGTTGGAGGATTTGGTTGTGTCGCGGTAAAATTTACCTGATTCCCCCTCTAAGCCTCTGTAGTTATCAAATGATACCCCTAAATTGCTAAACAATTTTCTGTAGTCCCCTCTTTATACGCTGTTTGCAATGTTTGAGACGACTAATCCCAACTCCTTCCCCTTGAAAATAAATGTGATACCGCCAAAATCCTCTGAACCGCCCCTCCCTTCCCCCCTCCCAGGCGAAAATTAATGACTGGTCCGTAAGTATATGAGAATTATTTACTATTAGTGACTGTTACTTTCCACACGCTATTCACGCACAATTCACGCGCGATTCACGCGTTTCATGCCATGCATCAAGGATATACAATGTAATGCTAAAAAGTAACTTTAATGGACAGCATGGAATGGTTTGAAAGGAGTGTAACTATGTAACCAGGGAAGAAAAAAAAACCATAAACCTATAATGTTTTGCTAAGCAGTCAATGAACACACAGGAACCTTGACGTAAGAAGCACACTGTCTGGTTTAGTCTGCTTATCTTGAAACTCATTTCCATATTGGAAATATTCTTTCGTTCCAGTCCAATGGAAAATGTTGTTGATTTGCCGTCTTTACTATAAACACCTATTATTATCAGATATTGTGGGATTTACTCAACGAATGAATTCAACCTTGCAATCTTTGCAATACTCACTTTCTTAACATTTTCATTAAAAAAAAATAAGAATAAACCAGATTCTACAAGTGAAAATAATGGTAGCATTCGTGTTCTCGTTCCGCGGTTTCTCAAAGCACATTTTCAAGAGTTTTTCTGAATATTGAAGAATATAAGTTGAAAGGACTTATTATTATCTGTATTCCACAAAGACGATCGCGAAGCCGCTGAGAACATGTTAAAAATGTGTTATTTACACTGCATTTGTGCACGCGATTGTGAAAGAATCGAAGTAGCCTACAATTGAAAATATTAGCAGTCGACACAAAATTCTAAAACTGTTCCGTGTTGCCCATTGCTTCGAAACGACGAAGCCTTTAAGCTCACCTTGAAGACAAAATCCTCGTCTGTAAGCAGTAAAGTCCTTGTTTCAAAACATCTTCGCAGAAATTTTCAGTGTCTAGACGAAGAACTACCAAATCGCGATAATCTAGGACTTCCGCTGGTGCACTCGCTGCGAAAGTTTTAAATAAATAACAAGGTCTTCCTATTTTGGGGCTAAAAATTTTTCAAAATAATACTCATGATCCTATCGAAAAAACACGATTTCCCGTTAATTACAGTCCAGTCGTTTGACTTTCTTTACATATGTCGCAACAGCCACCACAATCAAGAGGATTTATTTATCAAAACTGAACTGATCCGACATGAAAATAAAAACATATTCATTGTTTTTGGAAAATCGATGATAATGATTATTCTGTCTCTTTTAATTAACATGTATTTATTTGTGCATGGAGCTGGGAGGAAAAAAAGGGTCAATATTTTCAAAACAGCATATCCTATGAAACAATTGATAGGGTATGAAAACGTACGTAGGGATCGTGAGATTTTGACAAAAAAGCTTTGTAACACTTTCACTACCGACAAACTTACGTTGGTTGTTCTCTGAATTTCTCTTTAGATTTTGAATTAAAGTGCCATGGGCGATTCACCTTCGATGGTAGATTATAATCCGTAAACAATTTTTTTATTATTCTAATAACACAAGAAACAAATAATTCTCTCTGCTAGATCACTGGAAGCTCATGATATAACGTACAACATAGGGTTATTACGATATTTGTTGAAACGTAGGTGGAACAGAGGACGAGTTTTTAGTTTTTGAAATAAATTTTTTACTTCGAAATGAGATTATTACTTAAATTCATTTAACTTCCTCTATAGATTTTGGATTTCAAGTTCTCGTGTCTTATCTATCCAAAAATATTTTTTGTTATATTAACTCGTTTTAAAATGAGTAAACTGCTTTATTTTTTCGAACGGGACAGAACCAAACAGAAACGCAAACTCGCAAAATAGCGCTCCTCTCCCTGGACAAAATGAACATGTCTAAATGAAAACTAACCAAAACTATATCAGCGAACCATCTTAACTTTAGCTATTATCTTAATTATCTGCCGCTCTCCTCTGTAAAAAACAAAGTGGCCTGTGGGGAAAAAATGCACTGAATTTCGACGAATCATTTTTTTTTCCAGACCTTGTGGATGAAGGAAACACTTTTACCTTAAGCTTCCCTCTCACAAGGAAAAATGTTAAAATAGAAACAATTATGTTTGTTTGTTTGATCATATTTCAAGAACCTTACAGTGAAGAAATCCAGTGAAATGAATAAAAATATAACAGTAAAATTGATTATTTTTGAACAGCAAACGAAAACGAAATCTAAAATCACACTTTAGTTTCAAGATTAAAAATAAAGCTTTTGGTGTTCACCACAGAAAAATCCAGAAAAGTTACGATCACCGCACCCTACTTTATGTAATATTAAAATTCAAAACAACTGTATAATATAAAAGAACAATTCCAATCTCCTACTGTTGAGTATTCGCTTTCAAAGGGGAAAAATAGTATAAAACAAATCATCTAAAAGCAAAAGAAGCTTTTGGTGTCCACCACAGAAAAATCCAGACAAGTCACAATATTACCGCAGCCCATGCCACTTCACTTAAGTTAAATTTAAAATTCTAAATTCAGAAAACTTACTACGATCGAATAAGCTTTTCCTGGAGAAAACGATTTTCCCATATGAACATGCTTAGGTTTTTTAATAAGATTTTTTTATGTAGAAAACTCTCTTTTATACGCACTCAAAAACTTTATAGCTTTAGATATCTGATTACAAACTTTCTCTTCCATTCTCAATTTCTTGTTTATAGACAAATTCAAGAGTGGATTTTTCTCTCTTAACAGGTTATGATGCAAAATGTAATAGCTTTATAGGGCCATGTGCGGCGCATGCCCAAGTGAATGTATGAAAAAAAGGAGTTTTGAGGCCAATGGTGTGCGAACCTTTCTTGACGTGAAAAAGAAATCGGAGAGAGTACTCTCCTAAATTCCGGGGGGAGGGGGAGGGGGATAGGAACTGGGAGACTGTCGCTTAATTTGCGAATCCATTACGCATTGTTGCCTAGCGCGATTACACTCTGCATTAGTAACAAGCTAAAGAAAAGCTAAGATAAACCTGTGAATTCAGCTTGAATGATATGTTTTGGTCACTTCTCTTTCTCAGTCAATTATCTCAGCCCAAACACGGCTCGAGGTTTTTTCCCTTTGGAGCCGGCACATACTTATAAGGTCTGTTTAGGAGTACCTCTCTTCCCCACCCCACCCCAACCCCAAAGGCTTTGGAAATAGTTCTGTACACTTCGGACAAGTAATAACCCATAACCGGCCTTTTAGTGAAGACTAACTGAGGAAGAAAAAGATTCAAGAAAATTCTTATTATCACCAGTTGTGTATAACATCGTATGAATTTTTTATCAGTGTATATCCGTTTCAAATGAAACTTAAAAAATTCAATTTCCTTATAAATAAACTCCTTTGAATGGAAATTAAAATTGCTCCATCGTAGTGCAAACAGAATAATAATACCTTTTTCAGCTCAGGAATGGGCTCCTTTCAGGAATAACTCTTAGGAATTGATGATGAAAGTAACGCGTGTGAAAAATTTATCAAAATTTGGGTCAACGCCACGGGGCTGCTTGAGTGTTAGCGAAAAAGAATCTCGCACTTTAATTTGGAAAGTGATTTTTATAAGAGTTCATACAAACGATTTTGGGATTTAATCATAGGGATTGTCAGGTAAAGGAAGTTTTTAGCTGAAATATTACGGCCAAAATATGTTCTTCTGTTCATGTTCAGTCTATCTACATCAGTTAATTTCTATGACGTCAAAAATCCCGGGTTTGTGGTTCACTCTGTCGGCTGAAATTAAAATTTTTTTCGAATGTATCATATCATGCGAATAACTTTTTCCGATACAGAGGGAAATTTCAGTAGACTTCAATTTCGAGCTGAAATTTGCACGAACTTATTAAAAAAAATGAAAAAAAAATCCGCTTCAAATTAGCAAATATCTGCAAATAAGAATCGTATGTGTGTGAGAGAGTGTTTTCAAGCGAACTGCAGTCTCCTTCATTTATTATTTATAGCAGGCTGCGTTTTTCTTCGAGTTACATTAATCAACATTCTCTAATCAGTGACAATCTTTCTTCTGTATGTTATTCGAAGAATACGACTGCATTCTGTTTATTCTTTAAAGTTTTCTGTTCACTACTGAACTTTTAGAAGACTTATATAAGTTGTATTGATTATTATGCGCTCTTTCACATAAAATGTTCACCGTAAAATGCTACAAATTCTTGCAATTTGTAATGAAATATCGAGGTAAACCTCACAAATATCCAATAACCTGAAATTAGAATTTTGATCTCGGGCAGATAAATCAAACGAAGACCTGCAAGGGAAGATTTCTCCGACTCGCACGAGAAACGGAATCATATGTGAGCAAAGTAGCGTAATGCTGTAGTTGTTGACAATTTCTACAAGTCATTATGAAATCGGAACTTCGCGGTCGCCTTCCACGGAGTTGTTATTTTAAACCTTGTATAACATACAGGTACAAACTGGCTTTTGACTTACCTACTTTTAATCAGTGATCTCTCAACTTTTTCATTCAACTTCGGGAACCGTTGCTTTCCCTTCACTTGTTATCTTTTTGCACTTCCCTTCTAGCGATCGAATTCTTTCGCGGAAAAGAGACTCAGGCCATCGTAGGAGCTTTGTCGACCCGCTTGGAAATCCCGTCACCTGTTTCAATCGATAATAATAAGAAGAACAAATGCGATCATATCGCTAAACTTACAAACACCTGGGAGGCATCAACATAAATCACAATACAGAAGCTTGTATTCACTTTACACGACGCAGGATAACTTAATTATGACTGGTTTTCAAAAAGTCTGAAATGAAAAATTTTGGACACAAATCAGTGACAACTGTTACAATATATGAAATCTGGATAGGATGATTAACATCTGTGGGAGGTTGAATGGAACTAATTTTGCGCGAAATACGAGTAAACAAGAACCATTTTCTGGCGTGGTTGACTGGAAGTCTTACTACAATTAGGTTTTGTTCGATTATTTACGGATATTTTTGTAGATATTTCAGTTTCAGAGCTAAGTCGTAAAAATACTATCGCTCAAGGGCAGACTAAAGGTTCAATAGTGAATAAACACAATGGATTTAAAAAAGTTTATCTTACTGAAGTTAAGGACCTCTTAAAAAGTCCTCTTCGAGGGTTAGAGTGAGATGTTTATTTTGTTGTTAGGACCGACCAAGAAGTCCATATGGAGGATTAATTATTGACCTCGGTCGCGTTTCACAACTGAGAGGCAGCGAGGGCTGTACGCGAAACAAGGTTTATAAATAAGGTGTTAAGTGAATCCCTATGAGCAAAATAGAGGGAGTGGTAATAGACATTAGTTAGAATTATCTATGCCCGTCACATTACAACAAAATGTGATTGATCACACTCGAGCTAATCTCGCCAATTTAAACACAGAAGATTCTGTGTTGTTTTACATTACAAGAATATTTTGATCTGTAGGAAACAAATTTTAAATACTGGTATTTTTCTTCGAGGCCAGAGCCCACCAGAGAGGTGATGTGTATAATTTTTTTTCATTCGTAAACAAGTTTTTGTCTTTTCTTAAATAAAGCGATATTTTTTTTCAGTAAAACAAGTATTGCGCAATTTCTAGCAAAAACATAAATTACGGCAGTCGAAAAGGGGAAAGCTGGCGTGATATGTTGCGCGATAAACTTGATTATCGTTACGTATCTAAATAGAGAATTATGCATGGTGCGCGTGGTTATTGCATTTCTCTTCAAGAGAAATTCCAAAACTACAACCATGTATTATTTTGTTTAAAATGTAAACACCATAGGCCTTTACTGTCAAGAGTAGTCGACTTTATTAATGAATGAAAATGGTAAACGCCTTGCCAGTGATTCATCAAACTGTCAGAGAGATGAGTGACACGGCGTCAGTAGCTAATTGGATATCAAACAGGAAAAAATTCCACATACGCGGTTGCGGCTGGAAGTCCCTATAAAACACCGCAGTTTCTGTAATAGATGGCGTTTCCGTTCATAAATTGACGTGGTGGATCAGTTTTGGGTTCAGCTAATTGGGGTCTCTTAAAGGGAAAAACAACTTACTAATCAGTGAAGTTTGACCAAAACCACAGCCTAGATTCTATTTTAGGGGAATGAAATACAACGCAACTTCCACATTGAACTGAACATTAGGTTAGATTTGTGCTGATCATTGCTGATATTTCCCATTTCATCAAGTTCCATAGTGCAAAGTGGGAAATACCGTTTAGGTTTCAGTTGCATTTTCGGGGGCGTTTTGACCCTTAAACCACTGAGAGTGATTAGCATCTAATTTCTCCTTACAATATCACCGCTGAATCACACATTAGGGTTATGAGAGTAAGGAAAATAGAAACTATTGATCGAAAGTGGTTCGCTTGGTTGAGAAACAAACAAACAAACAAAAAAAAAACAAATTGGATGAGGCTAGGAACAGAAAGGAAGACATGAAATTCTTCTAAAGAAGGTGATTTGTGGGAAAGCTTGCACTAGCGTGTTCCCCTGCTAATTGCATTCTTCACCAAAGCGCTTCCGATCGAAAGTACTGGCTCGAAATTCAGATACAAACCAACTTATTCCGCTTTGGTCTTTTGCCCACAGCGGGAAGATTCGGTCGGACGATGATAAATGAAATGAATCATTTCGAGGGCATTATCTAGAAGTAATAAACAACAACTATTAAGAGTACCTCTGACCTGCTCATTGTCACTAACTTTAACCCGTATCGCGCAGAAACGTCTCGATAGCAATTTGTTTATGAATTCTTTCACCAAACTTTTACGAAAGCAGGGCTCCTTGAGTTATAAACATAAATCATCCTCGTAAACCTATGACCTTCTCTTCGTCATCCGTATCACACAGAAAAGTCTCGAAACAACTTGTTACAGTTGAACTCTTTTGCCGAATGTTGCGAAAATAAAACTCCTTGCCTCAAGATTGTTGTGTTCCTCGCTATAACTGCCTGCTTTTATCTTTCCTATGGTTAAATTTTATGATGCTATCGGCAAATGATTACATTTGAAAACATTTCGAAGCAAATTTGTTTCTGAGCATTTTTCGCATCAAGGTTTACTTGAATTGGTAAAGAGCAGTTTTCGCGAAGTTTGTAATCTGTGCGAAACGATTCTGAAAGAAGCTTGACTACTAAACCGCTTCCGCTCTCTCTCTTAGGGAACTGCCTACGCAAGCTACGCAATATAAAACAGCATTATACTTGTAAGTTCATCCCCATTTACCTGGCTCAATGATCGTTTAGCCAAAATAGATTCTCAGATCCCTTGAAATCTATTTTACCACAAGAACTTGTTGACTGTCATTCTGTTATTTTCAATTTAGGTTGATCTCATGGATAAGCGCCTTACTTGACAAAATCTCCTAATTGCGTGCACAAAAAGGTTCATTGGGCATTTAAATGTCCGATACGAATCAGTGAGCCTTTTGCCCATGCAAGAAAGCCAAGATAATTGAAATTCCGGATTACATAGTACACCTTTTGCATCTTTAGTTCACTTTCAAACACATGCCGATCACTTTGGACATCCGTTGTGTAAAAATCTTTCATCAATTAAAACCCTGATGTTAGGCTATGCGAGTAAATCACGAATCTTTAGAAAGTCAGCTACAGCAAATCGAAGTTACAGAAGACAGCGCAAAACTAATTAGCATATGAAGAGACTCAAAACGAAACGCCTGAAAACACGATATTTCAGGACTGTTTGAACCGATGTTGGACTGTATAAAGGCGATTTACTCACATAAGAAAGTTCTTAATTGAAGGTCTCTGTGGTTTCTCGGCTTTCCTCGCTATTTCTTATCTAACCGTAGAACGCGCCGAAGTTTCTTTACAACAGGACATGTTTAGCATAAATTATCTCGACGATTCTTGGCGGGCGATTCTTCAAAGAAAACTCGTAGAAAGAAAATAACTTCACCTCCAGAAACTCTCATGCGATCATCAAAAAGCTAAAATGACGAATGAAGCGTCATTTTTACATATTTGCTAAATATTAATGAAGTTGTTTTTTTACAACGTCTTCTGTTGCATTTTGTTTACACTAATTTATGCGGCTCACACAAAGTCAATCCCCATTGAACGCATGAGTGAATCCTTCCCGAGGGTTCGTAAACCAGCGCTTCTTGCGCTAAAACCTATTTTTCACATCAGCTAAGCACTAAAAACACCCGCAGTTGAATGAAAATCGATCTAAACTCGTTTGAATGAAAGTGTTGCGGTTTAGTCGTGCAATAATATGCTTACAGAGGAATCACGGTTTCGACTGGCAAGTCGCTGAGCAAAGAAATCTGAGATGCCTTTGGATGGCTTTTAGTGGACTTTAAATTCCTGGCGAATCGGTAATCTATTAATGAACTATTAAAAAAGTCCTTCAACAATTCAAAGGTTTGGTTCAGAAAGGAAATTATTCTATCAGATGCCGTTCAAAACATTTGGTCTTAACAGCTGAGAGGGGTAAATTATTTAACTTTAAGACAATAAAGATTGCTAAACAATAAATTGAAAAATTCAAAACTGACTCGAAGAAAGTCCACACTCAAACATAGTTCGCCTTTTAACTCACCTCAAAACACCGCTTACATCCTGAAATGTTGTATGACGACCAGATGAGCTTTAAAATTCCGTCTCTCACGACAAACGTGTCCGTAAAGTGAGTTGATTGCTAATTTAAGGAGACTGAATTAATTGTCCACACTTGAATACTCTTACCAATGTTCGTTGGTAGTTATGAGTCACCTTTGTGGTCTTCTTTATGACTGTTTAACTCCCTAGGGTGAAACCAAGGCAAAACAAAATACAGGGAATTTAAGTCATTTTTGTGGGAAAATTGGTTTGACTTTGAACAAACCTGTAAATCAACCACATGCGATTTTTGCTCATTTTATTTCTTTGGTTCTACAGGAATAAGATCCTTTTCCGCTGAGGAAGACGGAAGATGGATGATTTTACATAATTCTTAAAAATTGATATATTCATATTTTGTGACTACTTCTGCGATTTCATGGTGTACAACAAAATCGATTTTGAAATAAGTCTTATTTTTAAGCCATGGGACAGTCTGAATTAATCCCCCTTTTACAAAACTATTTAAAAAGTAAAAGGGGCAAGTTTCTAAAGAAACCGTGGTGCTGCGTCCGTGGGAGGTGTCACAAGATAAATGATGTAAATGAGCCACCGAAAATAGTTTCTAGAACTGGTGTTCCGAGCGTTGGCCCCCTGCGTCAGAGCGATCGACGAAGGGCTAACGCTCGAAAAGTCAGCTTTAAACATTCTTTACAGTGGCCAGTTTGCGTTATCAACTCAGTTGATAAACCAAATTATATTTAAACAGCACTCCAACGCGAAACTGTTTACGTCAATAGATGAACGTTTCCGACCACAATCTTGAGAATTTGAAGAGGTTTGTTTCTTTGTGTTCCTGTTTTAGTGGGAGGAAAGCTTTGTAAATGCTGGCGTTGCAAAATCTACAATCATTGGAATGACCACTATTTGAGATTAATAAACCTTTTTTTTTCTATGTTTGGGAGTTTGGTAAGCTGTATTCCTTCGCATTTGTTCGATCGTCCTTGCGCGAATGAAGAGCTATTTACATCATGGTTTATCATTAAAGTTTTTAAAATTCTACCATCATATTTTACCTAGCAGTACCAATACTCACTGTAAATATATTTCTGTCACTGAAAGCGGCCCGTGATAAAATCCGTTAAACAGGTCATGTACTTAGTAAAAGATTTATCCATTAAAATATCTTTTATTTGATTATCTGTTTCCAAAGATTGGCAAAAAGAATCAATTTTACATGAAAATCAACTCTGGCTTTCTAATGAATTCTATTGTGTTGAAAATGAAAAAGGGCAGTAATTCTAAATTATTAAAACAAAAGAGTTTACCTTGGCGGGCATAAATGACTCTGAGTCGTGCCCGAAACATATTTAAGCCTACGAACCTAAACTGTATTGTTTTATTTCTTTCAAGTTATTGTAACTTGTAATTTTTTTTTCTGTACTCTCTGTTTCTGTTGTTTACACTAATTAACATCGCAGTCTGCAAGACTCACAAATGTTAATTGATTAGATTTCGACCGTGTTGGCTCTCAAATATTTCATGCAGCTTAGCGAAGTTTTTAAAGGCCGGTGCGCTTTGAAACGGGAAAAATATACAATTGATTCTGCTCTCAGATAGAGGAAATTAAAGTTTAGTCCCCGATTATGTTCAAGGAAAATCAATTAACGTCATTAATACATTCAAATAAAAATAAAGAAAAATTTGCGCGCATTTTCAGCATATTTTGGCGGGAGCAATTCAATATAGCAGCCGAGGTTTTACAGAAAGACATTCAGTTAAGATGCAAGTAGTAGCATCTCACAATTTTCGCTTAACTGTTTGAAATAAAGTCAGACTGTTCAAATTCAGTGTTTTATCTTAATGGGGGTTTGATATTTTAAAGTGTGCGTACGCACCACCACAACAAATATTCTGCATAATAAATTTAACAAGTGGGTGAAAGATTTACAGTCAAGAAGGTGAATTTTACAATACAATTGAGATAATATTGGAAATTCAGTCATTTTTTATCACAGACATCACTAACAAGCTATGATTTTAAGTAGGCACTTCTTATTTTGCTTGTTTAAAAGCTTATCATTATTTCAAGTTACCTGTTTAATGCATCTTGAACTTAATTTGAAATATTTTTGTTATCTTTGCGCATCAGTAGTTGTGAAGTAATTCCGTGCAGGAAGCGACCGTTTTAACATCAATTTGAGCATGGACTGCGTAATAAAATCTATGTTTTCGCTTTCAGTAACCCCAATTTGCAAGCGAACATGAATATTTCACTTTCAGACAAATAGTAACTTGAATTCTGTCCGTTATAATGATACTTGACCGCAGATTACCGTCAATTTTTCGAAGGAGCAAGTTCCCCAACCACAAATTAAGGCGTGTAAATATCTTTAAGAAATGATTTTGAATAGACTGCATTAAGATCTCACCTGAATTTGTGCCGTGGCTTGTTGATTTGTGCGAACTCAAACAAAGACTTTCAAAACTGGCGCCATGTCTTGAGTTTGGAACATCACGCCTCAGTGAAGAAGCCTCGACATGGCGCATACAATGCTTTTCTGCGTGAAAGAAATTTTAATAGAATTTATTTAGGCAGTTGGCAGAAATCATATGCGTTGACAAAACTTTATAGTGATAGAGAACTCAACATGAAGAGGCAGGAATTTGAATATTGAAGACAATACAGTATCTTTTCTTTTAGACACGGTTAGATGTTTCGATGAGGTCTAATTGCCTTCCTGTTTCACAGGAAGGAAATTGTTTTAAATTTATAACGGATACTTACCAGAGTCAACTGTGTTTCGAATTGTATTTCTCGTTATTTCAGTGTTGGGAATATTTCTCAGTCAATCGACGATGCAACCTCTAATTCACCAAAACGGGTTCAGTCACGGAGGAAATGAAGAAAAAACACACAGACACTTACAATTATGAAGATGAAATATATGGAAAAGACCTCGCTAAAAGAAACACATTCTTAAAATACATTAAGTCATTTTATCCATTTCCAATTCGCTTTTATTTTGCACCCTGGGTATTTTAAGTTGGCAGTATTTTTCTTCCGGTATTCCCTTCCTGAGCGAAGTCGATTTTAGAGAGCGTAATATCGATGTTTTACGCAAAAGATCTCAACACAAGGCCTTCTGAGGAATAAACTACCATAGTATGCCGTTTGGAAGGGTTTTTTTTCACCGGAACCTCGTAGTGTATATTTTTACGCTGAAATCAATAACAAAAAAATAAACAGAAAAACTGGGCTTTACATTTGAGTTGAATGGGAACATCCTTTCGCTACCATATTGGACAAGGTTCAGTTATGAAACAACCGTGGACAGTTCTACGGAGTTGTAATGTTAGCTTGATTTTACCGTGACCTCTGATGCCGTTATGCGCTGGCACTGACATATTTGTGTGCATGTATGATATATACAGATACATATAAACATGACGTTTGGGAGTCAAAACTGGCGAAATAACATTGAATGGATAAACTTTCTACGAATTCAGTAGTTTTAAATTAAAGCCAAACATAAGAAATAATATCGAGGAAAAGCGCTATCATACGAAGACTGAATTTCCTCGTTTGGATCGAAAAAAAATTTAGCTATTCAGAAAATGTTTGCCGGTTGTCATAACATTTTAGACATCGATCAATCAAGTCAATCTTTGATGTCGTCATCGCGACGGATTCTGTCTTTTATAAGAGAAAGTTCAACATAAACTAAGGAAAAAATCGAAAATCAGACAATCATGAAGTCCGCATAAACATAGAGCTGGTTCAACTTGCTAATCTAATTAACTAATACCTCTTTTTTATGCTCGCCTCGATAACATATCCAATCCTTCCAAAAAGCTTTGCGCAACATAAAGCTGTAAAATCAGACAAAATTTTCAGGCATAGTCATTGCACTAAGATATTTTTAAATATTCTTTTACAAAATTCATTAAAATCAACTTTGGAACGTAAAACGAGGTATAAACTTCGCAATGACGTCATTTGTTTTAATACGCACTCTCCAATGCTAAGGACAACTCAGTGTGTTCAACATGGCGGAAGAAGATATGTTCTTGGCATCAACCTCGAATATGTTATGGGATCCCGTTTATTCCAAGGACTGGGACAAAGAAAGTGTTACACCACAGTGTGTTCTGAGAATCAAAAGGTAAATTCGTGGTTTTATTATCGAACTAATTCTGTGCACGGCTCGATTTGCCGGGTTGACCACTTCAGAAATTCTCAACTTGACGCAGGAACGGGAATTTTTTTTACGACAGGTAGCATCGCAGAGCTTTATTCAACTCGCTGAAGCATGGTTCGTCTCAACATCCCCCTAAACCTGGTCCCGCATAACTTCGAGATAATTTTCGGTAAATTCTCTGTACCTTTACAGCTGGCCGATGAATTAAATGCCGAATTATTTGCTTTCGACTTTGAATGACAAGTCTTTTGTTTCGAAAACGAGCTTATTGTTTCACTTTGGAAACCAAGTTATGCAGGCATCCTCTCGGAAAATCAAACATAAGCTAATTTCTTCAATAAATTCGTTCAAGAGGTCGCTTTACGTCGCATTTATTTTTTGCTAGTAGGTTTTTGTAGATGGACACCTCACGAAACAATATTTTGTGCAAATATTTCATAAGTTTGAAAAATCAACTCTACCATCTGTTTCTTATTCAGAATTTGAAAGTTTCTAAAACATAGTTTAGCTCTCAGTTTACCAGAAAGGTTATGAACCGTTTTCCATTATTGGAATATAATTCGCTTGTGCACCCCTCTGAAAAACTAGCTTGTCCCTGCAATGACAAGTGTGTGTTTGGTATGGATAAGTGTCCCTGTTACCAAGTTTGCAGTCCACCTGGCTGTTATTAAGATGCATGAAGCCCTGGTTTCAGAATGAGGGTCAGTGTAAAGCTTTCAATTTGAAAATTAATTTTATTTTTGTGCAAATTTACTCAGTTTCACAAGATAGGTCTTACACTAAGCCTCATTTTGAAAGCAAGGGTGTCAAGAACTTATTAAAAATTTAGAGGTTTAAGTAATACATGTAGAGGTTTTGTCATAGTGCTTTCAGGGTATATCAATGCCAGCCCCAGTTTACCTTTCTTAAATTTGCGGCATAAGATCACACATTTACAAACAGCTGTCTTCTTCAGTGTCTTTCCACCATACTTTCCATGGTATTGTTGGATGTCTTCTTCATTAGATTGTAAGAAGACAATCAGCTGGATATTCTTACTTGAAAGTAACATTAATGGGGTTTCTTTATCTCCAGGGTTTCTTGGACCTTTGAGTCAAATCTACATATAATTATGGTCAGCTGTTAAGCCCAGATCCAGACATTTATTCTCCTCTCTTTTGTTAGGGATATTATGAGTATTTACAATGAACCTCCACCTGGGATGTGTATTGTTCCAGACAAAGAAGACATCACAAAGGTTTGTAATCATTTGAATGACCTGTGTTACATGGGGAGATTAGTCTGGAAAACTGGGATGTGGTCATGGTAATTTGGCATAAAATCTTTTCAGTTTTAAATTTTTGCTCAATTTTTTACCTAATGTATAGCTGTAATGCCATTTATGGTAGGCATCACTGGTATAAAAATATAAAAGGATTGTTGTGAACTTTTTTTATTTTACAAAGCAGGGATTTCATTAAGGTTTGGGCAGTAAGGAAATTGAAAAAATCAAAATCTCCACCAAAAGAATAAAGTATAAGTTGCGTGTATTAGCTTATGCTTTCCTTATGTGTCAGTGATGCACTTTCTTGTAACTCATGTGCCACTGTTTTGTTTTTACCTCATTTTGACATCATTTGTCTGTGATCTATTACTTAACAGACCTACAACAATATGGAATCTATTTGTATGGTAATTTAAGTGTATATAGTATTTCAGTTAATGTGTGATATTAGAATAGGGAAACCTAACCATTTTTTTCAGAGTCACACAACAAGACTTAAGAATAACATCACATCCCTCTGTTTTGTTTTACATTCCTACTTTCAAAACATATATCTTAATTTCTATTTTGTCCAGATTCATGCTCTAATCACAGGCCCATTTGACACACCCTATGAAGGGGGCTTCTTCTATTTCCTGATCCGGTGTCCTCCTGATTACCCCATCAGGCCCCCCAGAGTCAAATTAATGACAACTGGGGGAGGGCAGGTCAGATTTAACCCAAATTTGTACAGAAATGGCAAAGTATGCTTGAGTATTCTAGGGTAAGTGTTTTTTCCTGTTGTTTCAAATTTTAAAACCATCTATAGATCCATCAGTAATTAAGGGATTTGAAGTAATATTTAAAGGTATCTCTAGTTTTGCAGCAGACTATCAGTGTATATAGTTTTCAATTTTATAATGATAAATAAACATTGTGTTACTCTTGAAATTTTGTTGAAGAATAAATGTTCAATAATTTGTCCTACATTGTCATACATACTATCAATTGCTTGTGACATTTCTGTTGCCATGCTGCTAGTCATCACCTGATCAAGACTAGCAGTTAGGAGTCTAAACACTGCAGTACATGTCAACATTATGGGTTGAGCTTTTAGTAGGAATTAAAGTGCTCTTGTAAAAACAAGAAGATGACATATTTGCAGATTTTTGTTTTCAATCAGGAGAGGGCTCTATTATGCCTGATGACAGTTGTGTCTCACACTTTTTGCTGATAAAAAAGGGTGCAAAGAATCTTTACAAATAATTTCAGAGCATTTAGATGAATATTTGACTTGAAATTGAGTGAGGGAATTTTAAAGGTCTTGACCTGTATTTAAACAACTGGGAATCATGGAGACACTTATAACAAAATACAGCAATGTTAACTATGTAATAATGTACACAAAAAGATGATGCGCTTCTGATTGGCTTATAAGGAATGCATTTTTCGTGTAAAGTGAGTGCAAAGTTGTAACATGAGTGCAGATTACAGATAGTATGCATGCTGCTAAAATTTTGTCGATCTTGACTTTCTGTGATGTGTTTTTCAATATAAACTATTGAAACATAACAACTTGATTTCTCATGTAATTTGGTATAAATAAGCATTTGCAAATTTTCCAGAGACCACAAGTTGCACTTGCCCTATGGGCTTGTGTAATTTTGTTGTCTTTGAAAAATATACTCTGGCTTATTAACTCCAAATGGCACTCGAAATAATGTTGTTACCTGTTCTAATTTATCTTCTTTTTTTTTATAGGACATGGTCTGGTCCAGCTTGGAGCCCTGCACAATCACTTTCAAGTGTATTAATCTCAATCCAGTCCTTGTTAAATGAAAAACCATACCACAATGAACCAGGGTTTGAACAGGTGTGTGCAAATGTAAATTCCTGTACTGTTAACCCTTTAACTCCCAGAAGTGATTAACATAAAACTTCTCCCTACAATATCCATACATTCTTCAGCAAACAGGTAATGAGAATATTCAAACCTATCAGGTAGAAGCTGCTATCCCTACAATATCCATACATTCTTCAGCAAACAGGTAATGAGAATATTCAAACCTATCAGGTAGAAGCTGCTATCTTTAACTCCCAGAAGTGATTAACATAAAACTTCTCCCTACAATATCCATACATTCTTCAGCAAACAGGTAATGAGAATATTCAAATTAATTAAGTAGAAGCTGCTATCTTGATGTAGCACCAAGTTCTCATAACTAATTTACAAGGAAATGTCTTGCAGCTACAGGGGAGAATTAACAATCAGATCTTGGGAGTTAAAGGGTTAAAAATTTATAAAATGACAAATTTTGGATGCCTTGGGTTTACTGCTAGTGACTTGTAAGCTTTCCAATTAGTAGGCTATACTCTTGATAGCAATGCTCTTGGATACAGAAGCCACTAACATGTTAGAGTGACTTGCATCTTATTTTCTGGGAGTCTTGTTGCTGGATCAAACATTAAGGTCATGCAAATGAAGGAAATGATTCCTAGTTAAAGAAGCTGTAGATGGTTGAACAAAGTCTCCTCATCAGTACCATAGGAAACGTATAGAGAACAAATTTGGAGAATTTGTGGATGTGTTAAAGATGACTCCATTATAAAAGGGATAACTCATCCCAGTACAGTACAACATGGGTACAACATGGGTTTCTTACTTAAGAATTGTGGACTTATTGTAGGAAAGGCAAGCAGGAGATTCAAGGAGATACAATGAATGCATCCAACACGAAAGCCTCAGGGTGGCTGTTTGTGACATGCTGGAGGGAAAACTGAAATGTCCATCAGCTCTCAAGTAGGTCTTTTCATTTTGTTATCTAGCTAAGAGTGATAAGCATTTAATTTCTCCCAACAGTTTTACGCCTGATTAAAACATTACGGTTGTGAGAATAATGGAAATGGTTGCAATCTTAAGAAGCTTTGATGGTCAGATAAATTCTCCTTGTAATTAACATTGGAAATGTATAGAGAATAGTGTGGAGAACTTTTATACTGATGTTTGGGTGTAAAGGTTTAAAATTGCTAGGAAAAAAACTTCACTTTTTCCTTTAAGAACTGTAGTGTTGAAGCAAAACTGTTGACCATATTTGATAACTTTGGAGATCAGCTTGAAAATAAGTTTAAATTCATGGAACTTTAGTTTTTGTTTATTGTTAAGAAAATCATCTCAACGGCAAGAAAAGGAGGAAAAGTTGTAGTGATAATAATATGTTGTATTGGTCAATTTTTCAGAGATGTAATGGAGAAATCATTCCCGGAATTTTATGATTACTACTTGTCAGTTATCAATGATAACTCACATCTAAATGGACAAAACATGCTGGTGAGGACAAACTAAATATTATCAGTAATCATCAGCAAGCATTTTGTTTCCAACTAACTTTGTGCTTCATCAGTGAGCCAGTGAAAAATTTAAGTAAAGATTGACGTGATCCCAACTCCAGTGAGGGATTGAAGACACAATTTGGGTAAACAGTAGAAGAAGGCCTTATTAATAACTGGTTAAATATTCTTTCCATCTGATAAAGGGCTTATATTCAAAACATCAACTTGAAATCTTTCAAATTTTGGGTGGTTATGGTAGACTTACTTTTTTAACAACAAACTTTGTTCTTTGTAGAGGTGTGTCTCAATTTAGATTAGCAACAAGCACACAGCCATTTCATGTTGACTCTGTTTCCCTTATGTCAACAATAGATTATATTTGCGATAGATAGCATGATTTAAAGAAATCTCAAGGCCTCGCTTTGCGCTATCCACCTCAGCCTTGAGCTTCAGCAGATAAGACAAATCTCAGCATTAATAATTCTCACTATCATGGTCAACCTCATCCAATAATGGTTAGCTGACATGAGACCTCGTTTGTAAAATAAATAAATACCATCACACAATACACCATCAATGCACTCCTTTTCACATTAATCAGAACTGTATCTTTTTGCCTTAGGATCCCTTTGGAGAGAAACGAGGAACATTTGACTTTGTTTCAATTAAACAAAGACTTGAGGTCATCAAGAAGAAACTTGAAGAGAGGAAGACCACGGCACAGGGCTCTGATGCCTCATCAAGTGATAATGAGAACATAGAGGAATCTTAACACAGATAAATATGCTATTTGTACAATCATGTATGCAGTTATAATTTATATTTCAGTTACAAGGGCATGTCCTGCCTGCATAGCTGATTATTCTGTGAGAGTAGTAGGTGGCAAAGGTGTTAACATTTATGGCTACACTGCCTTCAGTTTCACCCAGCACCTAAAGGTGGTTCTCTCCCTGGAGTTACCTAGAATGAACTGTGAACAGATTTATTGGAATGGCTGAAAAAAAGGTGGCAAATTGTTGAGTATCAATTTGTATTGAGAGAAGGGGATAAATTGGAAAGGATTTGGTGACTTGTTCTTCCAATGGATGAAATGTTGGATCGCAATGAAGTGATATGTCCCAAGGTAATCAATTTAAAGTTGCAAATAAACCTGTGAGATAGTTATTACAGGTACAGTAAGTTCTAGAGGGAAAGGAAAACATCAAGCAATCTAAATAAGAGATATGCTTTGCTTCCAAATGGCCACAAGATCAAGCAAGGTTTGTTTTTTGAATGTTTTTGTGTTGAAAACCCATGAGAAGCTAAGGCTTCACTACCTGTAGAATTGAAGTAAAAAGTACTCTGATTGCATTCTCCTGGTAGATATTTCACCAAAATATGTCAGTCAACCCATATTCAATTTCTCACTTCCAATTCATAGAATTGAGAGATTGATACAATTCAGTCAGGAAGGGCCAACAGAGGGGGAATAAGGTGGGGAATGGGTCAGTGGTTTCCTCCCCCCCCCTTCATCAACATATTACGGAAGAGTTGGCTCCAGACCTCCTCAGAAGCTTTCACCTCAAACAACTGCTTATCAGCACCCCCACCCCAACCCACTTTAATTTTTGCTCTACTGTTCCTTTACCATTACCTTTACCTTGACCACTACACTAACTCAACTAGGGTTAGTTAGGTAGCAGTCATTTATAATATAATTTTGTTCATGGTGTAATAAATTGAGCTCAAACCTTAACCCCTTAATTCCCTTGAATGGCTGAGACAAAATTTCTTTTTACAAGTGATAAGAATAAAGAAAAATATCAATTAGGGAATTAGTCTTTGATTCAATCCCAACTTCTCTGAACAAACATAAAAAAATTTGTATGGAAGACAGTAAGGAGAACTACTAATGAGATCTTGGGAGTGAAGGGGTTAAGAGAAAGCAAGTAATGACCTTGTGCTCTTCATTTTCCTGGTACAAGTTCTTAAATTTAAACTATTGTTTCAACTAGGGGAAAAGCACTGTATTCTTACAAGCTAAGAAAAAAGCAAAAAATAACAAGTATCAATGTTGCTGTCCTCGATGTCAATATGCAAGACGCATTGTTCACAGAAAATGTTATCATCTGTTCAAAAATAACTAAACATTTATTTTATTGTTATTTATGCTAGAAGTACAATGTCGTCCATTAAAAATAATACTATAGATCTAAGTTAGAGAAACTTAATTTTTTTTAAACGAAGTATTATAAAATTGTATCAAATAATGAATGACTGTAATTTTGGAAAACTGTATCTGAATAAATCAACATGTGAAGCTTTCAAATATTTATGAACTGCTGTGCTTTGTGTGTTTATGATGAAACGTCTTTTTGTGAGTGACAGGAAGAACATTAAGCTAAGTAAAATTTCTAGCGATGCAGGACGTGCGTTTCTTCGCCTGCGGGAGGATTGGAAATGAGTTGGGCAAAGGTTGCCAGGGCGTGTGCTAGACCCTTTCATACCTCTTGTTGGCTTGCGTTTGTCAAGGCCCCATACTTTCCCCCGGGTAAAGAAACACTCGAGCAGAAGCGCTTATAAATTTGGGCCTGCTTAAATGCTAGTAGATGGAGAAAATTTGATAAGGGAGGTCAAAAGTTGACCTAGAAAACAGATAATTTTTTAATCCTATATCCTAAATTAACTGAAAAATATACATGGAAAGCAATAGTTAAATACTTAATTTTTTGTTGTAACATACAACCCTGTAGTTGCAAGGGTTTTGATGTCATACAGATGTTAAGAAAAAAAAAATCAGAGGTCTGATGGGATGGAATGAGGGGGGAAGGTCTGGACTGCCCCACCCTCTTCCTGAATATATCACAATGATTGAGAGTGTTTACCACTGAAAGTGCTTTTGTCTTATGAGGATAAATGGCCCATCCAGTCAGAGCTTTTTCCGATTCCTTTAGCATAAAGTGACTGGAAGTAATGCCACTCCCTCCTGAATGGGATGTAAGTCCATAGCAGGTTACACCAGCTTCTCGACAGCTAGGATCGGGAGCGGCTGCCATATACTAGCACTACTCAGTGCTCTCTCCAGAATTTTCCTTTTGCCGTATCTTGTTCGCTCTGGCAATACAGTAGCGAGTTTTCTTTCAAAAACAAAGCCTTTCTTTCCATGAGCTACACTCCATCACTTTGCCAAAGTCATTAGGTCCTGCAATGATACAGGTTTCCACACGCCTTGTGTGTTTACAAACACAACTCCTCTGTCGATGTATAGTGTCACTTTACCAAGCGAGTACAGAGCTTTTCCTTCAAAACGCCGATTAGGAGTTGGCATGAAAAGAAGATTGTTTTCTTCAGCCTAAAGATTAATAAACAGCAATTAAATACAATGAAATAAGGATGTTACAAAGAAAAGAATTATGGGCTTCATGACTACGAAACGATTTTTTAAGAGCATAAAGTTACCTTACATGTGAGTAAAATGAAGAAATATCAGTTTGACGAGAAAGAGAAACAATTGAGTGCGAAGAAAAAACGAGAAGAGCACGAGGATGTTCCAGAGTGGAGAAGATTGACACGAATTTTAAATTATGAACGTGAAGGAATAAATGGTCGGAAAGGGCCCAAGAGACTTACCAAGTTTTGTATGAGATCTTTGAAGTTCGACGGGACGTTCTGAGATGCGGCCAAAGTGCGAGCTGCCTCAGCCTGTGGTAGGATAAGATTAGATTAATAATAATAATAATAATAATAATAATAATAATAATAATAATAGTGAGAATGAGAATGAGAATGAGAATGAGAATAATAACGATAACGATAACAATATAAATGGGAAGTAAGCAGAGGACATTCCACAAGGTGGCTCTTCTTGTCCACTATTACCAAGTCGAATTGGAATTTGGAATGTTGGTTAGAAGGAAAAACCGAAGGACCCTGAAAAAAACCCACGGAGCAAGGACGCGAACCAACTACAAACTAAACCCACCGGTGAAACCATGATTAAATGTTTTCCTCACAGCAACACTGCCGTTGCAATCACGTAATGCATGGGTATAAACAATATTACCAACTAGGTGTCCCACTGATGAAACATCAAATTCTCCACAATTAACCCTAAGAAATTTATTGCTCTGGGAAGGAGAGTTCAGACATAATGCTTCTACCTTTTGTTTTTCAACTGCCGCTGCCATGGCTGCCGCTTCTGCTTCCCTCCTAAAGAAGACAAAAAAAATTGGTTTAACGCTGTGCGTAATGTGGCTAAAGAAGGGAAGTTTTAGGAGACGAGGACGACGAGGGTTCAAATGTTAGTTTGAGAAACGAGCACTTTTTGCTCAGAGTCCTCTAATTAAAGGCCGTAAAACCCAATTCAAAGTGATCCGGACGGCCAGTCAGAAGAAATGAAAAAGTTAAAGGGAACCAATGAGAACTCGAATCTAAAACTAGTAAATAACCTGAAGCGCGGGAAAACGCGGTTCCACGATTGGTTTTGAATTTGTATCTGATTGGTTGAACAAGGTGGCGCGAGTTTTCTTGACCAATCATACAGTGAAGTAAAAGATAACCAATGCAATCCCAGTTTACTTTTGACACCCTACTAAAAATTGCTCAAAATCAAAACCTGACCTTCTCTCAGTACTGGTGAGATAAGCAATATTCTCCCGGGCACCTGGCTGTAAAACGCCCCCTGGTGACGTAACAGCCTGGTTCATGACGTCAAGAGCTCGGTTGAATTGAACTGAAAAATTAATAAACAAAACTTGTTTTAAAACCTTTCCCTTTCACTGCTTGGCTTGGTTTTCAAAACGTTCTTTTGACTCACATCAATTAGATTGCTCGAACTGAGGGCGCCTGGACAACAGGACAGCGATCAAACGTCTGCACAAGTGCGAACACGGTAACGACTTAGAGGCGAGCTTTCAGGTTACCAGACCTAAATTGTCTCACAAGAGTCACGAACAACCAGCTAGCCTGTCTAACTATCGCAAATACATGAATAAATAATCTAACGACTCACCTTTGATGGTTGGATTGTTGAGTAGATCCTCACTAAACATGCCTTTCCAGCCTGAATACCTGCAAAAGGGAAAAAGATAAATTAAAGCAATATTATTTACATGATTCAGTTCTAGATTGGCTAAATCTCCCAGCCAACCGTTTAAGAGCTTCATGAGGTAATTCGTGTCGGGTTCTTTTTTATCCGTTCAAGTAGAAGCTCGCCGAAGCTTCGCTTGGAGCCAGCATGAGCTGGTCAAGCCAGGCTTTTAGTTCTTTGATTGGTTGAGAAGTTTAGGAAACCAACAAAAACATCAGCGAAGTTGTAAAACAAAAACCGCACATTTAAATATCACGTACCATGCAACACTCCCGACACTGAACAAATTACTTACCACTGAATCACTTCATCGTAATTTGGGCTGACACTGAGCCAACCACGGAGAACCTGTTCACAAATGCAAATAAACAATGTCAAAACAAAAACAAGGGAAATTCAACGCCGTTTTTGGAGGGTCACTGAACGCTTCAATGAGAGCCCGCTCACAAGCGAGGAGAATTGAAACTCATGTCTTCTCTACAAACCTGAATCCAACGCGGAAAGAAATGTTTTTCTAACAAACTGATAAAATGCTGCTGTGTTATGATATCCTCCCACTCCATGACCCAATGAAAAGGCTCTGAAATAATAAAAAACAACTTATAAACAACATAACCACGTTAGCTATCGGTAATTCACGGACGAACAACCTCACAAGGGAATAAAAAATTATAGAGAAGATCGAAAGACGAGATCGAAGGACTCGCCTGATGAAACGCCATATTCTCACACTTGATATGTCATGAAATGTATGGCTGTCAGTGGGGAGAATTGACTATTTGAGGTTGCAAGTGAAAGTGTCACATACCTAAGTGCTGCTGGTGAGGGTTTATAATGAATTCTGACAAGCACTGCGACAATTTGGGGTAAATTGAGCGAAGAATGAACGCATCCATTGTGCCTTTGGAGAACACCTGCCAAATTAACAAAGACAAAATGCTTCCCTGTTTATTGATTATTTATCATGACCTTCAGAACAAGTATGGTTAAGTTGCACGGCAGTATCCTTTCGATGACATCCAGGAAAACATTAAAAAATGATGAAAAATGTGCTCACTTGAGTGCTTTAAAAAAAGGGTCTAAAATATGCGCATAACACTCGTGACAAAAACATGAGGTTGAATTCCATAAGTTTTTACACTACTACAACTCATCAAAATCAAAATGAAAAACGCAAACAAAACCGAGAACTGAAAAAAGTAAAATCAACGCGTTATCTATTTTATGTATCCTTAGTCAGGTAACGCAGAAATTAAAAAAAAAATGCGGCTAACAAGGGATTTGTGTTCCCTGTACTCGTTGAACAAATTTTTTATGAATCTGCCAGTGATGTTTGTACCTTACTCCAAGGTTCCAGCATCATTTTGGCCGAAGGATCTGAGGGATGCCAGTTGGTGAGGGCCGAAGCAAGCTTGAATCTGATCGGTGCATACAAGGGCTCGAGTCGATCACCTACGAAGTAAAAACGTTCTGGTATGTAATGGCTTATGTAATATAAACCATGCGACAAACACAAGAATTTACCAAAATTAAGGCTGTCACATTTCTTGTTAACTTAGTCAGTGTTACGCTTTAGAACGCATGATCGTGTGACGTAAAATCCAAACCAGAGTAACCTTAACACCCAATCAGGGGGAATAAGGGGGAATTTCAAAAAGAACCAATGAGAACTCAAATAAAAACGCAGGAAAACACAAGTCGTGACTGGTTCTGGCTTTAAATCTGATTGGTTGAGAAGGTGGAGGGAGTTCTGGACCAATCACAGAGCGTGGCAAAGCAAAACCAACGCAATCCCAGATCACTTCGCGCGCTAACTCCTATGTAAGCCATAAGCCGGGTAGAATCCTTTATATTCGAAGCATCTTTCAGTTGGAGTTATTCAAGGTCTTGTCTTGTCTCGTCCGCAGTCAAGCTATTTACAAAAGTACGTAAAACGTGACGGACCACAAAGAAGCGTGGACTTATGACCTAATCAATTGTTGCTAAGAAATAGAATTTGCAATGAAAAAGAAATTTAAAAGATGAACATACCCATTAGAGGAAGCCAAGGATGAATCCAGGCATGAACAGGAACAGTGTCTGTTAATGGATTCCAAGCATCTACTTCCGCCTGAAATGTTACAAAAAAAGGTTAATCACGTCATCTCTCGTGTACTCTCGTGACAACAGCATGTATTTTCTTCGGCGGGCGAACTATTGGATCTTTGCGACAACAAAATGAGTCAGGTATTCCGAAATGGCTCCGCCAAGTAAAAGAAAATTTTCTTGGTTCAAGCAAACCCCGATGAAAAAATACGATCTACAAAAATGAAAATAGCACGGATTCTAACCTGCAGACGAGGCAAAATCAACTGTTGTTTGATGTTTTCCAAAATCCACTCTGGAAGGACTGGTATCCAGACATTAATCAAGTTCAGCATGCTATCGTACTCACGGCAAGTCCAAGAACTGAAAAGAAATGGAACACTGAGTATAAAACCGCTTCTCCATTAAGCGTTGTTACACCAAAACTAAAGTAGCCACAGTCACCAAGCACGGCGAGGGACTATTTTACAAGGAGCCAATGAGAAGTCAAAGTATAAACCAGCAAACTGCCCAAAGCGCGGGAAAATACTATGGACCCAGTCAAGATTGGTTTTACTCTTGAATTTGATTGGTTAAGATGATGACGCAAGTTTTCGAGACCAATCACCAAGCTTAGGCGTGGAACAAGCTTGAAATAAGTGTAAAGCGCGGGAAAACGCCAGACGCAGGATAATTTCAGCCAATGACAAGCGCTGAACCATACATATCCTCTGTCAGCGACGACACAAATTCAAGCCATTCTTACGCAGTAACATTCGTAAAAATGTTAACGTGCACATCGAGCTTAATACTTACCACATGACAGAACGAAGAAAGGGCATCCATACTTCCCACACAAGTCGGTCGTACATCTTCATTCTTAAAAGAGAGTAAAGAGAGTAAAGAAAGATTTTAAAAGAAAACAGTAAAATAACGTGACAAGAGAAAATTTTCATCGACACATACGCTTCCTCGCCATGTGCTGTCCCTTGTGCCAAAGTCAGACTAAATGCAGAATTCTCTGCTTCTTTCCTCTCCAGTATTTCTCTCCATCGGACCATAACCTCTAAACCGTGCAAAGGATTAACTAGTGGATTCCATCCTTGAAAATACTTCCTCACCTGGAGGTAAAAAAAATTCAATTTCTATTTTCTACTAAAATCGAAAAGTCTGACAAAAGGCTAACGCTCGAAACGTCAGCTTTGAAACTCTTTATGGTAGCCAATTTACAGTATGAACTCAAATAAAAAAACAAAAAAATTATCTAAACAAGAAATTGTGCTGCGTCGGCGAGGTTATTACAAGATAATTAGATTTAATCAACTTAGTTGATGAGCTAAATTGGCCAACATCAAAGGGTTTCTAGAGCTGACATTTGAGCATTAATCCTTCGTCAAAACGAAGGACAAAGGACTAACGCTTTAAATGTCAGCTTCAAAAACTCTTTACGGTGGCCAATTTAGATTATCAACTCAATTGATAAATCCAATCAATTATCAGTCTGTGAGTCAGTCCAACCGTCCATACATACATACATACATACATACATACTTTATTTGTCACGTAGGTCGATAAATGGCAGCTAAAAAGCTGATGTGGACCTACAAAACTAAAGAGTGTCTACAAAATTTAAATAATAACAATAACAAGTAGCGAAATTATGGTAAGTAAGAAAGGATGTAAGACCTAGTAATATAATATACAGTTGATTTACAGTAGTAATAAAAAGTAATAAAATAAATAAAAGTAGTAAAATAGCTTTAATATATGTAATTTACAACGTCTTTATTTAGTCCCTGTAAACCATTAAATGTTATTTTATCTAAAATGTCGGATTTTGCTTTTAGAGCAGATTTGAAAGAAACAATGTTCGGTTTGCTCTTCAAGTACACGGGTAAGTTGTTCCATAGAACAGACGCATGGTGAGAAAAAGAAGATCGACGGAAGTCACTTTTAGGGCGTTGCACGAATAGCTTCAGATTGTCCCTTAGATTTCTCAACGGAGAGTGTTTAGTAAACAAAGAGCTTATAGCAGCCGGAGCTCTATTGTAAAATGCCTGATAGGATATAGTGGCAATCCTCTTTTTATAGAAATATGATAAGGACTTCCATTTTGTCGCTGCCAGAACTTCAGTATTGGGGGTAGATTCCTTTAGGTTAAAAATAAATCTCGCGGCTCCAATGTGAATGTCTTCCAGTGTCTGAAGTGACTTAGAAGATCCCCATAATGCAATAGAATACGCAATACTTGGAATGATACCTTTGAAATAAATTGACTCTAAGAGGCGATTGTCGAGTCCTTTTAGGTGTTTGAGTTTCTTCACTCTTGCCGAAAAACGTTTGCTCAAAGATTTTATATGTGGCGACCAAGAGAGTTTATTATCGATAAGAATCCCTAAACATGTAGCTTTGGAAACAAATGACAACTCATTTTGCCCTAAACAAATTTTCTGTAGGGGTCCGATGAATCTTGATTTTGATAACAACATTAGTTCACTTTTTTGCGGGATGAATAGTCATGAAGTTATCCTTAGCCCATTTGTTTAAGTCAACGATCGCTTTCTGTATCTTAAATAAAACTTCATCAACAGTATTTCCAATGCAAAAACAGTAGTATCATCTGCAAACATTTCAACGGAAGCGTTCGTTGTGGCTCCGGGCAGATCATTTGAGTAAATGCTGTAAAGTCTAGGACCAAGTAAAGACCCTTGGGGTACACCCGTATCTATTTCCAACAATTCTGAGTTTGAACCATTTACGGTGACAAATTGTTTACGATTATCAAGATAATTTAAGAGCCAATCGTAAAAAGAGCCACTAATACCTATAGAGTGTAATTTATCCATAAGAACTGTGTGGTTGACGCAATCAAACGCTTTCCGAAAATCAATATCCATCTGTTAATTAGTCAATTAATTTCCATACGTTTCCTTGTCATAGACAAAAGAGTTTGCTTTTCTATCGAGTTAACATCCTTCTGGCTGATAAGCTGGTCATTTCTCATCACACGTTTGCAGGAAAATGGTTTAGAGAAGTTACATATTAATCAATCACAATCGCGCGACTCACCAAAGAGAAAACCAGAGGCTCAGCTAAAGATGCCAGGTCGTACATCTGCAACAACACACAAACCAAAAATGACTTAATATACAGTCTAGAAGGTAGAATTCTTGAAAAGAGGAATGCTCTAGCACATAGGAAAAAAGCAAAACCAAACAGAGGAAGCGTTGTCTTTCAGCAAAGCTGATATTCTTTTCACCTTAAATTCCTCATAGTAGTCTTCCTGTAAAGTATTAAACATTTCCTCGCACTTGTCAAGTGTGAGAGCATCGTCATCTGGTGACAGTGACTGTTGTCGGCAACTGTGGCATTCAAACAAAGAGGATTCATTTTATTGAAGTTATCAGAGGTTAAGTCTACATACAAGAGTGACTTTTACAGCTGCTTAAGATTATCAAAGTTTCTATAGCTTAAAAGAGAGGTATGCACCAGAAACCATGAATTTTTTGTGCCGGGACAAAGTATAAATGAAACTATAATCAATCATATATTTTTGCTCAGGCGCAATAGGTACAACATGTCAAATGACTGAATATAACCCAGCTAAAACTGAGGAATATCTGGTGTTAGTATATACCACACAAGTGACTAGTGCTTTTCATTTCGGAAGTGATAGCAAATACAAGTCACCTCTGAGCAGCTGATGACACAAAATCAAGTTTAATTTCCAACCATTTTTTGGAATATAGAGAGAAATAACTAAACTACCTATAATTTTTTGGTTTTGGTTAAAACAATTATTCACCTCAGTGTTGGTGAAAAATGGTGGATATTTACATTGCCACTAAAAAGTGGTGGGTAATTAGCTTGCCACTATGTGGCTCGGTTTACACCACTATTCATCTCCACTTCTGTGAATATTTGTTAAAAATTCCCCCTATCTTGCTTCTCAGAACAGAAAATGTCTGCCAGCAAATATCCAAGCATATTTTCATGCCAAATAGAGGCTATTACTTATTCACTACACTAACTACATGTTAAGATTTCAAAGAGGAATATACAATTTTGAAAACTGTCTTCAAACTATCACTGGCCAGTGCATTCTCCTTATTCCTTAATCATGACAAGATTCACATATCAAAATACCTGTCAATCATATTGATAACCTCCATTAATCTCTTTATATCCTTTTCCTCTCGTTCTAGCACTGCACTTAACTTCTCTTCCTCATGTTTAAGATTTACCACAAGATCTCGCTCGAATTTCAACCTGCAAATTATCACAGAAATCTTGAAATACCACTATTTTTGAGGATTACTCTTGTACAGAGGATGGCGAAGAAAGTGAGGGGAAATTTTTAGGTACTTATAATATATATAAATTTACTCATGTTAATTAACACCAAACTGCACCCCAAATCATCTTATTAACAGTACATAAACCTTCTCTCTTGATCAAGAAAAAGTAACATTTTATGATAGCTGAACAGCCTGGTATCTCCCTATAAACCAGTAAGATGCTTGTATAGCAATATGCCTGTGTGAAAAATCCTGTCTCGTTGCCTAGGCCCCACCTCACTCAGACAATCACACTATATGGAATTTTTGATACCTCCTGGTTGAAATTGTTTGGCACTTTCTAAGGTAGGGCCTTGTATGCAGATTGCATGAGCAAAATATGATAAATGTTGGGATCAATCAATAAATCAAGCAATTTACTCCATATTTGTATCAAGTATTGGCTAAGTAAAAAATCTGAGTCACCAATAAGAACTCAAACCTTAGACCATCAAATAGTGGAAAATAAGATGTTCTGAGGTTTGAATCCCGGTGAAAGGACACAGATTTTTATCTTGGTCCAAAGTTTGTTAAATATGGATCGCATCTTAATTTACGTTAAGATATGCAGCCACTAATTGAATAATGATTTACTGTGTTATAACTTCAGTAAGATTGGCTAATCATGAGATGCATCTTACTGTCTGTCTGTTTGTATGATGTCTGTCTCTGCCATATCAATCAGGAGGTTTAAATTATATGTTAACTCAGGCATGGAAAAGGCTGCCTCAGCATCTCGTACTGGAAATAAACAAAAAACAAATACATCACATGTGTTAAAACAACATAATCAGTCATACATGATAAGACAAATATTGGCTTCATGCTGCAGAAATTGGGATAAGCTGTGGCTAGATGGGACGCTTGATTGAGTGCAGACTTGACTTTTTACTAAGAGAACAACACTAGCATGAAGCCTGGAAGAGCTTGCTTATAACAAGTTGCTCTGAAACAATCCAGAAATAATCAAAGTGTATGACAACCAACCTGAAGTGGTTGGAGGGACTTCTCCTGGTTTGGCGTGCTGTTGGGCAATTGAACCATAACCAGTCAGGATCTTTGTTTCAGGTCCTGTCATGTCGACAACCTAAAAATGATAAACAAGAAACTGCATATCAAATTAAACAATTAAAATTCAGTAGCAGCACCTCCAAGGGACAGCTCCTCCATAGCTGTTTCCTTGGTCAGAATTGAATCTTTTTGTGTTGATTTGTTCAGAATCCATGTCCAAAAATGAAACTCGCGCCATGCCAGAGAGATGTCAGTACTCTTAGCACTGTACCATCCCTACACTATAATAAATTATTTTTAAAAAATACTGTACACAACACTTATAACAACTGCCTGAAGAGGGAGGGTTTTTAAAGACACCAACTCCACCTTTGATAAATAATACTGGACAAGAAATGACAGACAGGTCTTCGGTTTATGGCAATTCCAAAAGTGGTTTCCAGTCCACTCTATTTGTTTATAAAGTTTCTCTGCTTTAGGTGTGGAATATTTGCTGCAAGTTATGACTTTATACGAGGACAAAAGTTTTGTCTTAATGCTTTGAAGAAATGATGCTTCATAATCTTTTATAATCTTGCATCTTGTTTTAATTCTCAGTTGACATTATGAGATGAACTTCTCTCTTGATATCAATGACTACCTTTATCTTGCTGTGCTTCAGAGATATTGATGGCCCTTTTTTACTTCCTCCTGTTGCCTGTTTGGAACAAAAGGAAACTATCTTAGATTTGCTTAAATATAATTTATACAGCTTGACGCAACTGTAAACATTTACAAAGGAAAATACTTCAACGATACAAGAGGTGAAACAAATTGAGTTACCTTAACCTCATCCACTGTTTTGTAAACATATTTTGGCTTTGAATATCCCTGTGTAAAAATGACACATTTGGAACATTAAAGTTTGGCCCCTTGTTTGACAAAAGGGTGAGCATGTGAGTAAAATCAAAGGAAACTCCCAAGCCAGGGTGGCACTCTCTAAGATAAATGATTTTAACTCATACAATCCCATTAATACTGCAATACCTCCTCTGTCTTCTTCCACTGTTGAAGTTGTTCTTTAAATTTTTCTTCCTCTTCTTCTTCTTCATCATAAACAGGTCGTAACTTTTGTAGAAAAATAGTTTATTAGAAAAGCAGTCCCAGAGAACTTTTAAATCAAAGATATTGAGTCATACATTAAATAGATATGGATTGAAAACTCAGCTTAGTCACCTAGATAAAAGGAGTGTACAGATTCATCAATTGGCAGATTTGGTCGCAAAAAAGTCACTGATTACCAAAGGAATTCACAGATTTAAAACAGGCAAGTCTGCATATTGACTGACAATAATTTTGATACAGACTCAGGGGTCACATTGCTGGTTGGATTGTCAGTCTACAGTTGCAGCTATTTGGTGAAGAACATTTTTCAGTTTTCAGTAATTAAAGGAGGATAAAATAAACTCTACTAACTTTTAAACCTTGACTGGTTGACCATTCCACTTGCAATTACTAACTTTATTTTTTCAGACATCAGCAAAGACACTCTAAACAGTAACTCCACAAATTTGAATAAAAATAGATCAAGATTTGACTGAATACAACAACAGTCAGCATGTCAGGCCTAAAAATGAGCAGATTGCCTTATACCAACCCACTCTACAAGATGAAATTTCTCACATGAACAAAAGGCACAATTCTTTGTCAGATTGCCAAGCTCACTTGAAAAGGTTCTCAAATTATTTAATTTTTCTGTAGATTTTATTTTTCCACACATACCTCTTGAGCTTTCTTGCTTCTCTCTGGACCATAACTTCCTAGTGCTCCGCGTCCCTCACGTTTAAAGGCTTCTACTGGATACACAATACCCTGTCCATCCTTACCCAGACCTTTTCCTGGCTCATAACCCATCTAGAAAAAAATGTTTGTAATTCAGTGCACTGAAAAAATTTGTTGACTGAGTGTTGCCTAATTGCTTACTGTTGAGATACAACAACGTAGTCAGAGGCTTACTACTTCTCACCTGCTGAAGCATTTTCATGCCAAACCCTTTTGTATACTTTTCAAATGATCCAAATTCCCTAGTAATAATAAAAGAAAGTTATGCAACAATGAAGGAAAAAGTATACTGTCAGAGTCACCTTATATTATATTTCTTCAAGGCAATCTGGCCCATTTTCCCTGCTAAGGCCTGCAGAAGGCAAAACCTGAGACTTGCTAAAATGCCTAGGCCCATGTAGTTCAGAGGGTGGATAACGCCATTCAGTGGATAAATCTCTTTCCGCTGAATAGCACAATACATTTTGTTGATGCTTATCCTCTGGATGGCAATTTATCCATTGTTTGAACGACTGGGGCAAAATCCTCAAGTCTTGAGAAAATTCCATAACATTAAGATTAACCCTTTCACTTCTCTGAGTGACCAAAATCTAGTTTCTCCTTGCAATATCTCCCCTGAATCACACATGAAGGTCACAAGAATAAAGGAAATGATCATCAACTGAAGAAGCTCTTGATTGTTATAAACAAATTCCCCTTGTCAGCAACTGAAGAAATGTATGATGAACAGTATGGAGAATATCCATACTGATATTAGGGTGTAGAGTGTTAAATAAAAATTTCTTAGCCCTGAAGCAAGTGTCACTCAACATTTTTCATTAACCCTATTCATCAATTCCATACCTAGCTTCTAATTAGGGGAGGGGGAGGGTTCTCTTTACTTAAACTGCAGGGAGGGGAGGGACATGCACAGAAAACAGGAGGGGGAGTTAAAGGAAGAGGGAAAATTGATTTTGTTCCAGTTTCTCTGGGTGCAAATAATTGCTCATTAAAATAAATCAATTCTTACTTTCCAGAAGTCTTTAGGAGCTTCTTGGCAAACATCTGAGGCCCTGAAAAAAAGAAGAAAAAGAGGTCACAACTGAACTTTGATACAGGGTAATTAAATATCATCAACTGAGTTCATAACGCAAATTGGCCACTGTAATGAGTTATTAGAACACTGAAACAACTGACACTGCCTAAAGTGAGCATCTAGATGGAGTACACTTTTATATTTTAAGAATCGCAGTTTACCAAGAGGGCCAGTTTCTTTTTTGACTCCAGTCCCCTTAAACAGCTTCTTATCTCTGACAACAGGAGAATTTCTCCCAGACCCTGGACCTTTCTCACTAGCACTGCTACCAACACTGGCAGCATCTGCAGAATAATAATAAAATCATTTCATGAAATCAAAGTAATCATTACACGAAACTTAAAAACTCATGTAGTTCTGATGTATTACTACTGAAATAGTTGTGTTATGAGTTCTTCCGGAATGTTAAATTATACCGTAACAAAAGAAAGAAACCCACCGTCATCATCTGTTTTTTTGTCCTTTCCTTTCTGTACAACTCCCCCACTAACAAAATTCAGAGGTTTTGTATAATCCTTCTTCCTTTTCCCAGAGAAACTTGGTCTGTCATCGTCATCCGAATCTTTGTCTGCCCAGATGCCGTAGATGGCGTCTTCTTTGGTCATTTTGCGTCTTCTAAAGCCCAGACCCATTCCTTCCATCAAATCGTAGTCTGTGATCTCAAAATCTTCGAACTCCACGTCGTCTGCCATTTTTAACTTTCCTTAGCCCTCAGCGATTAAAGACAGTTTTTAATGATATTGGTAATTCTACAGAGACTTTTCAGGCTCTTTTAAGAGCTGAGTCCTGTCCAAAACAACAAACAAACAGAGAAAAGCCGGCACGGTGTCAGACGAAAGTTTATCCGCCATCTTGTGCGCAAAGCTAATGAAGCATAAATTTCATTCTCAACCGCTGCTCAGAAAAAAAAGAAGTCACAACCAAATAATTTCACGCAACAGTCACGTAGTCACGCACGGTTGCTCCCATCACGCTCACCCTCTTCCTTACTAAGTGCACTAACACTTAGATGTGACGACATCGTCAAACAAAAATGCAAAAGCGAAATTGAAAAGGGTAAAAAATTGATAAATTACTCAATAAATTTTCCTTTTAAGATCTTATCAGTGTTATGTTAAAAGGATGTTGTTTATTTCAAAGCCAATAATTCATCATCTCATGCTAATTTGATGAGATTTCACTGCTTTGCAAGTTTGTAACATTGGACAAGGACATATCATTTTCCTCATGATTTTCAGCAATATACTTATTATAATAGTAAGTCCTGTCAAATAATACCACAGCTGTTTATAAAAATCTTGAAAACTGACCATAAGCCAAATAACGGTTTTTTAAGTTGATGAAGAAAACAAGGAAGCCTGAGGCAGTCCCTTCATTAAATCAAATCAAACAAAAAGATGAAAAGAAGATATAATTTAATTTCCATATATTGACAAAAAAAAAAAACAACAATAATTACATCTATCTAATGACTCCACGGCATTATGCTAATTTTACACGACATTTTCGAATGCCCAATTTTCTTGACTTCTAGGGTATTTTGGCAAATTCTACCTGGACAACTTTAACTAAGAGATGAGTGTTGTTACTGGACCAAAAAAATACAGAAAAAATATTTTAAATGACTCTTCCCTTCTCCTTGTGACAACCATGTCCACATTGATATCTTCTAGAAAAAGTTTGAAAACAGGATCAATGATGATGATGATGATGAAAATGTCAATAAACATTACCTAAGAGAAAATCTACAAATATGAAAGCCTTAAAAAATTAAGTCATATGTCCGTAAGATCCAAACACCAGTTCATTAACACTTTTTAACATTGTTTTGTTTGAAAATGTTTTAATTTTTCATGGCTTCTGTGGGATGCATTATTGCAAAAATCTAGAGTAACTTATTTGGATAAGTAGTTAGTTCTAAATTCCAAATCAACCTGAGAACAGTAGACAAAAACCGCCTGGAATGTCCATAGCTAAATCCCATAATTAGAATTATTATCAACATTAATAAAGCTAAAATTTATTGTTTGCAGTAGTTTTCTCGGTTAGTTCTACTGGTATGAGTAGTAATTAATAATAAAGTTCAAGTCTCATTCAGTGCAGCTAAAGCAACCCAGCAACAAATGCAAGTGTTATTCGTTGAGTGCACTCTTTTTTCTCTAGCTGAAGTTTTGTGCTTGTAAATTTCTGTTTTAGTTTAACTGCTTCAATAATTCAATGTTCAATGGAGTTGCCGCCAGGGCAGAGGATCAACTAAAGCATGTGTTAATTTTAGTTGCTGAAGGTTCCTTTGAGAAGAATATGAGGCTACTTCCTAGATGTCTAAGGCCTCTGTTTCAAGATGAGTGTAAAGGCATTCTCACATGAATAAAACTCATTTTCACAGGCACCTGGCCTAATTTTCAAACGGAAGGATTTTGAACTTGGAATTGGGCTATAAATTTTCATCAAAACTGTAAATTTCTGAGTAACATTAGACTACCAACAGTTGCTCCTTTTAACAAATTCTGTCAGACATCCAAAATAATCGGCAAAGAAAAAGATTGATGCTAGCACACAGCAGTATGGAACACTGGAAGTGAGGCCCAAAGAGTTCCATGCAACACACTTACATCAGTTTTTTTACTATTTTTTTTTTACTAACGCCACAGACTTTGCAGAAAAGGAAGGACTGCTCATAGTCTAGAGTATTAAACTTTATATTTCAGGTAAAGTTACGTCATGTTGCCATGTGGACTCATTATACAAAAAAAATATTATAAATCATTGTAAATTTGAATAAATATAAGACAATGTTGACACCATGATTACAACCATAGGACTCAGTTCTACAAATGTCTTTTGAGGACTTCTATCATCTCTGAAGGAGGATGCTTCTCAAAACACACATTGTAGATGGCAGTAAACAGAGGATACCTGAAAAAGAGAAAAAATCCAAAATCAGATGAGGTAATTGGAGCGCAGTTTGTATGTTACAGTCACCTGCCAACACTTCTAGCTGTTAAGATATCATCAATGGATATCACAAAGTCTACAAAAGATAAACAAACAAACATAGCCTAAAGCATGCAAAGATGACAAAGAATATATTTGGAATTATTTACTCCTTTCCTGTTTGGTGAGATTTGTGTTGGCAATTCGGGTTACAATTATTGCAAAAAAAAGTTCTTCAACTCAAATTCATAATCTATATACTGGTACTGATTTGTGAGCAATATCAAGCAGACACTTACTCAGAAAGCAAATCATTGTCCTTGAGAAGATGATACACTTCATAAACTGTGTGGGGCCCCTGAAGCTTCTGCCCTCCAAGTATGTACTGTTCAACTTCTTCAAATGTCTTATCAAATACAGAAAAAATATGGGTTAGTATCTAAGCACTAATTTTCAAAATCATTTAACTCGTAGATTAGACTTAATTCAAATGTCAAAATTTCATGCACCCGACTTAGACTCCTATCTGGGTCCATCCAAATAATAAAACATGACAATTAACTCCGATCTAAAATTTAACCATTAAACCCCTTAGAGTAATTTGCATCAAATTTCTCTTTACAATATCATCCCTGAATTACACAGTAAGGTCATGAGAATAAAGAAAATGATCACCAACTGAAGAAGCTCATAAGTGTCAAAGAAATTCTCCTTCTCAGCAGCTTAGATAATGTATGGAGAATATGCATACTGATGTCAGGATGTAAAGGGTTAATGAGACAAACTTACACTTAGTGAACCAAGGAAACTGCAGGGTACAAAAATAAATATCTGCATAATTCATGCAATATGTTTTCCTCATGAAGATTTTGAGGTTTAACTCAAAGTAGCACTCAAAAACTTCCCATGCAGACTAAATGTACTCAAACTTAACCCTCAGGTTAATCTAAATTACATGTGTTGAACGTTCTTGAATTTTGCTGAAGAAGTTAGCGTATTTACATTTCAGAAGAAGTATGCATATTCTCTATACTGTTCTTGAGAGATAAGAAGAATTTGTTTAAAAACAAAGGGCTTCTTCATTTGGTGATCACTTTTTTAAATTTTTGTGACCATGTTTGATTCAGGGGTGATGTTGTGAAGAGAAATTAAATGCCAGTCATTCTTAAGAGTTTAAGGGTTACTAAGTATTCAGCTTTTTTGTGTTAAATAGCTGCAATGCCACATTTTGGCTCTTGACCATTTAACTCCTAAGATCTATTTGGTAATTCTCCTTACTGTCTACCAAATGATTCTCATTATGTTAGTTTGGAGAATTTGGTATCAGATCAATTAGTAATCCCATAATTATTTTTCTTTATTCTCGTCACTTGTTTGCATGATATTGTACAGATACAGTAGGGAGAAATTCTGTCTTGGTCACTCACAGAAGTTAAAGGGTTAAAAGAGAATGAAACCTTAAAATAATGCTTTACAGGGATGGAGACAGCCCTAGATATAGGAAAACAAACACAAGGAACAAGGATGTTGATGGATAGAGAAGATGAACACAGAATTGAAATTGCAATCTTTTGGGAGATGGTGCATGTAGTTACAAACCTTTCCCTTGACAAACTCTTCTCCAGCTATCCTGTTTCTTCCACCATAACAAGTAGTTATTAAATCAGCCACTCCACATGATTCGAAGAAAGTCTCCAGTCTGACATCATCGTAGAATCTTCGAGCAAACTGAATCATTTCTTTGAGTCCAATGCGAATGACTGCTGCCTTGGAGTTGTCACCATAACTGAAAAAATGACAGGATTACATCGTCATTAAACAGAGAGTAAAAACATCCAAGGAAAAAAATTCTGCCCCTGACCCTATGTTTTATCTTCCTTAACCTTTGTTTAAGTAACTCTGTTACATATTCATTTCTCTCTCAGAGAAATGAGCCAAAGAACATTTCTTACCCTAAGGCATCTACAACTCCTGCTCCAACTGCCACAGCATTCTAAGAAGAAGAGAAGATTTCTGTCAATCTCTGTTACACCATTCCTCATTAACTACACATAACTTTATAAATGAATTGAATGAAATTACAAAAGATAAAAAACATAAATACTCAATAATTATATAAAAACATATACTCGACTCCAGATTCTCCCTGACTTGAACAAACTTAATCCAAACTTCACAATTTGAAGTAAAATTTATGCCATTCACCATCAGCTAACTTGAAATTTCTGGATAAAATAAACTATTTTTTAACAGGGTTCATACACATTTTTTGAGTGCAAACCATTCTTTTTATTTTCCAGACTCTGGGTTATGCGTCAACTTGATAGTTCAAGCTAGTGGAGTTCTGTTGCAGTTTTAAAATTTGTTTATTGAAAGAAGTATCCTGATTTGAACAAACCTTAAGTGAGCCACAGAGTTCAACCGTGTCTGCATCTGACACAACATTGATTTTGAAATAATCTGTATGGAACAAATCCTTAAGGATGGGACCATGTTCTTCCATACGACAACCTGTTTGAATTAAAAATAACTGTATATTAAATAAAAAAAACTACTACTAATCATGTGTTGTATTTCATACTAGGGACAATACAAACATGATCTTGGATGAATCCACATCAAGAAATCTCCACAAAGTCAATTTCTAGATGCACAGATGGATGCACAACAAGAGAGATAGTGTCAAGTAAACTTGACAACAACTTCCAGAAGTGATTAACATGTAACTTCTCTCTATAGTAATCATACATTGTGAAGATTTTAGGTAACAAGAATACTCAAGCATATCAGGTAGAAGTAATCTTGATCTAAAACCAAATCCCCAAAACTAATTTACATGGAAATTTCTAGCAGCTAGAGGAGTGAATTTACAAGTTAAGGGATTAAACAGGGTAAATTTACAAACAAAGCTAAATGCTCTGAAGGCCTTCCTTTCAAGTTACAGTAAGGGCAGTATGAGTAAGTCTTTATCATTGTGGTGTTCCTCTTCAGATTATAAATTTGTTTTAAAAATTGAAGACAATTTCCAACTGCTGGGGACTCATTCTTTTGAGTTTATACCAGGTATAGCATTTGGACTTTAGACATAGAAGTTACTGAAGTTTGTTTTCTGTGCTATCTGTTTACAGAATTTTAAATCAGCACCAGCAGTTATTTCCTTCAATACTTAATCTCCCCTTATATTACCTATAGTAGCCTCTCCAAACATTTCTCTGGCTACTTCCTTGGCAAGGTTTGCTCCCATCAAGACACTGACATGAGGAATTTCCAGAGCTTCTTTAATCATGGTCGACACAAGATTAATTCCAGTGCTTGCATGATCAAGACCCTTTAAGATAAGTTAAACCAAAGTGAGACAAAACTGTTCTGAATGTTTGTGTCACTTTCCTTTACAAAACAATGAACAACAAATAAGTAGTATGAATACATAATGGGTGTCATCTTGATATAACATTGATTTCTCTGAGCTTACATACAAAGAAATGTATGACAGGTGGAAGGGAGAATTTCAAATCAGATCTAGAGAGTCAAAGGATTTGTAATAGGACTCAACAAAGAGATAAGGGTGACTCAATTCTTATGAAGACCAATCCTTCCAACCCAAATTCTCAAGTTCAAGATTCTTCAAGAGTTTATTACCATCAGGGCAAGTGCCTTTATAAACTTCCCAACCATCTCCACAGGGATCTTCCAGTAACAGAACTTGCAATATAACAAACTTGTATAATAATCAAGTTTCTTGGTAATTCATCAACACATTGAAATCTTGGTTATCAGTGTGGTTCCTTGTTCATTCCTAATCATTTGATTGTGCACTGTATTCTTAGGTTTAAATTGTTGACTGAATTTTTTCAAATCAGTATCCAAAAAATATATAGAGAAACACAAATTTTATTTCTTAACAAAGAACTTTTAAAACATATTTTTTTAACTGAGAACTGTAAACTTGGTGGGAAGATGATCATTGCACCAAGATCAACATCCCCAAAAGAAGTTAAAAAAAACACAGCTGTTGTTTTGGTCTAGAACAAAAAATTGGTTTCAGAGATGTAAATTTCAACTGTTTGAAAGTGTTACACTTCTTTTTCTTTTATTATTTTGCCCATCATATGATTATTGTCAACCGTGTGCTCGAATCAACTCCATTCCCACCATGTAAACAGATCCCTTGAACTACTGATGAGGTTGAAGGTCACTTGCCCTGATGCTAGCCTGTCGTTTAAGAGCCTCATTTCTGTCTATGCTGTTCTTTCGGCATTCTTGCCAAGTCATAATGTGAGTCTTGTCAGCAATTGCATCAATTCTCATGAATTCACAGGGGATGCCAAACTGTCAAAAAAGGACACAATTTCACCAGCAAGACATTTGAATTGAACCCATAATTTTCAAGCGACTAGCACTTGAGTTTTGGAGGTGATTGGGTATTACATTGGTTTTGCTTTCAATAAAAGTTTGGAATTGGTTCCAAAGCTATCAAAAAGAGCTGTTACAGTTTTAGTCTGCCATATTTAGCTTGACAGTTTCACCCCATTTTGCCATAACTGCTGATATAACTTAACAATCATTGAAATGCCATCAAATGAATTTTCAAAACAACCATTTCCCAGCTGCATAATTTACCATTAACAGTTTTAAATGCGCAAATCAATTCTACCCTGAGAATTTGCTCAGAAGTTCAAATGACCTTTGTGGAATGCCTGGGAAATTTTAATTGACTAGTTCCAGACTTGTGCATATAACAGATTTAAGGAAAAAAGAAAAACCCTGAAAAATTTATTGATCTCGATCCTGGTTGAATTATCAAAAAAAAACAAACACTGTTATCTCTTGTGTTTCTCTATCTCTCTCGTAGTTTATAACTCCCAGATACACATAGGCATGGTGACCCAATTTTTTTTTAATGGCGACCATTTTAAAATTGAGCTTGGAGCCTTGTTGTCCTTTTGTACCTTCTGCACTTCTAGGAAAACTGCCTGTTTTAACTTTGAGCTCTCCTGAGCTCTCCTGGGCTCCCTGTGATCTCCTCTTTTCTTTCAATAACCTTTAGTGATGACTTTGGTTTTACAACCTTCTGTCAGAATACACTCTTGTCAAAGGATAACTGCTATACACATAGAGCATTTTATAACCCCTTACTTAAAGAAGAAGGTTTGACATGCCATCTTGTGGATTAACCTGTCATTTACCTTTATAAGGGAAATTGCAATTACACCTGGTTTCACCACTTCTTTCATCTTGGTGCAAACTGCCTTTACAAACTGATAAAATAAAACAAAAAAATTATTTATAACATAATATGTCAATGAAATGAGGTTTTTTTCATATCCAAAAATCTCAAAAAAGAACTGATGAGGAGGAAAGTAATCTAGACTGTTAAAACAGGTCTGTTTGAATAATTAACTCTTTAAACCCTAACATTAGTATGTAAATTCTCCCCACTGTTCCTTATACATTTCCTAAAGTGCTGACAAGGAGAATTTATTTGCCAATCAAAAGGTTTCTTCCCTGGTGACCATTTCCTTTATTCTCATGACCTTAATGTGTGATTCAGGGCTGATATTGTAGGGAGAAATTAGATGCTTGTCACTCTTAGGGTTTAAAGGGTTAAGGGTAAACATTTCAAAGAAATATTTCAGTTTGAGTATCTCTATAACCTTGAATGAAAAGCAACTAAAATCATTTAACCCTTTCACTCACAAGGTGGACAATTAGAAAAAAATTATCTTTACAACAATGACACATTTTCAAGCAGTAAGATAAGAATAAATACATCAACTGGAGGATAACATTAAATTCAAGACAAATTCTTTGATCTGATAGGATGAATTTATATTCAAGTCTTAGGATGTGAAGATCAGTTCAGGTTAGGTACCCATTCAAATACAAATCAATCGGAAGAAGTGGAAATGGATGGGCCAATCCTTGAGGAAACATCATCACAGTATTACCACTGACAGTAACTGTAGGCAAGCCTTGAAATGGAATCCTCAAGGCTCATGGAAAAGAAGACACCCCAAACGACGCTTGGTGGGGAGATGTTCAGCCTGAAGAACTGGGGCCACACCTAAACCACACTCTTAAGGCTGGCCCAGGATGGAACAAGATGGAGAAGGGAAATCATTGATGACTAATGCTCCAAAAGGGCATAACTAACTCACTAACTTAGGAAGTGAAAGGGTGAATGCATTCTAGATGTGGCTGAAAAGTCCTTAAAACATGCTTATGATGTTTCAAGCAGTATTAACCCTTTAACTTGCCGTAGTCATAAACATGCAACTTCTCCTTACAATATCCATACATCATCCAAAAAACAGGTGATGAGAGTACATAAACTTATCAAGTAGAAATTGCTACCTAGATCTAACATGAAATTCTCATAACTTGTTTATAAGGAAATGTCTTGCAGCTAGAGAGGAGAATTAGAGGGTTAGAAAATGGTTATATCAGTCTTCCTAATTAAAACTGATTTAGTCAGTGAAAAAAAGGAAAAAAAAAGGTTCAGTGACCTAAATTGCAGAGAAATCCTTGCTATTTCTACATGCTTCAAGCTTGGTCCACTGCAAACAATTCAAATTATCAAAAAAACACACAAAAAATTGTTAACCTGGTGAGGTACAACAAACACAAGAATATCTGCATCCTTGGCCGCGTCTACTACATCTGGATTTGCTACCTAAAAGAGAAGACATAACAAAAATAAATGACAAGTCCCTTTTAGCTTAGGAAATTCCTTGCAAATTTCAGTTGTTTGACCATCACTACAGACTTATTAAAACCACTGACAATACTGTAAATAGGTCTATATTGCTACAATTAAGATTTCTTTTGTTTGGAAGTCACCATGTTCACAAACACTTCATATTAGAGAATTCAGTCAAAGCCAAATTGAAACAACCAGGGGTTGAATTATTCATTTAGCATAGCTTAGTATTTCCTTCATCAAATAACTAGCTACTTGGTAAAGCCACTCCTTTAAAGCAAAATTGTTATTTACTGATACTGATGTGGGTCAGTTTTGCTTTCAAAGTAAACTTATTTTTTACCATTATCTCCTGACTGAACAAGCTGGTTTGCTTAAAAAGAAAGTTACAAACTTTAAAAATTTCCCTAAATTCTTCAAATTTTTTGGAATAACCTTTGTCACCTTCCAAAGGTTATTCCAAATTTATGATGAAATTAGCAGGAAAGAGGCATATTCATGAGAAATCACTTTGTTTTCCTGCCTCTTTAACTACTGAATGAAACGAATGGTTATTCAGGCATATCGACTCAATCTCATGCTTTGTTGTTGTTCTTTTGTTTGGTTAAAAATAATGTAAAAACTTGCATTTTTGTCAATCTATTATGTAATCAATTACAAATAGACAATCAATACAGACATCGCAAAACAACATCGATCGACATTCATCCTTCCTCAATACGTGAAAAATATGTATGCAAATTTGGTGACTATGGTTTCGCTCTACAGATCTGAAGTGCCACGATGCCATCTGATGACATGTCCACTTAAAATGACGAACTTAATTTAGATCCATTGTGATTAAACCTCAAGAATGTTTCCTTTCTTGAGTGTTTAGCGAGATTTAAAAGGTAAACACCCTCCGACTAGGTAATAAAAAAAAAGGATTTCACGTCTTTAAGGGATGTTGAAGACTGAGTTTATTATTGAGGGATGAACAATTTTCTGTTGACATAATCGCAGTTTACATTCAACCCGCTTCCCCAATGAACTTACAATGTTGTCCGGCAGTTTAAAACCTTTGAGGTACTTCACATTCTCGTGTTCCGTGTTGATAATTTCTGTGAGCTTCTTTCCTTCAATTAGCTCTTCATAAACGTACATCTGCACCGTTTGTTGGAATAAATCCGGATGGTCTTTCACATTTGCGCCCACAATACGAGATATCACAGAACCCCTGAAAGAAGAAATTATATAAAAACAGTCGTTCGGTGTTCGCCAGATTTTGAAGGCTCTGTATTCGATTGCGCGCGATTCTTCCAATAAGTTGATTTCATTTAGGTAGCTAGATACCTCAGATGATAAACTTACCAGTTTCCGGAGCCTATTATAGATACTTTTTTCGGAGCTGCCATTCTTAGTGTGTGCAAACTTCGTGTAAACAACCTACAGATCATTGCATCTTCATGCTTGGACTATTGGAACAGGGCAAACGAACAGAATCATGGGATGCCCGTCGCGAACCACAGGACAACCATTAACCCTGCGTGACACTAGAAGTTGAAGTATGGCCGACCATTTCGTAAACTTTCTTTTCACTGCGCACTGCATATCGTGTATTCCATTTAAAGGAGTCTGCGTAATCAGTGGTCAAATAGCATGTATTGATGCAAGGAATATCAAATTTACCAAAACCAGACAATCTATTACAGATATACTTAACAAATAGATTAATGATGACGTCATCTATGCGTCTGTCCTCCAATTTATCATAAACATGAACTAATCTAAAGCGTGTATGATTCCACTCAACGTGCAAAAACGAATAGACTTCAGAGTAATGAAACTGTTGCCTAAGATTTTTCCCTGATTCTCTTAACATTTAATATTAGAATTCTGGTACAATAAATACTGAAATGTTTCTTTACCCGCGGGAAAGTACGAGGTCTTTTTCGGCGCGAGAATGTATGATGTTACGATGCTATAAAGAGGAAGTTGTAATACATCATAAAATGAATCATAATTCAGATAAAAGACCGGTCCCATAATTCCTTTGTGGACTGATTAAGACAGAAAAACAAACATCTGCGTGGAAGTCGACTATGAAATCTTGTTCACAAAAGGTGCTTACTAATCATTTGGTTCTTCTACAAGTTCCGTGAGAATTGAAACGGAGACAGTTGAGACATGAGGCGAGCAATTCAGAGGCGTGAAGTAATTGTAAATAAGCAGACGTTAACAATTGCATGTATTTGTGCTTTTACGGCATTGAGAATGTTCTTTACATTTTTCTTCTTCGTCACAAGTGTTATTTGCATCGTGAAATCAGGAAGCCGCATCGAAAAGTGCAAAGGCCAAGTCAGTTTTTCTCAGAAAACGATCGATGCTCTCGACACTACCAGCACTTTTATCGAGACAACTTTTTCGTCGCTCTTGATCTTTCTTCTCTATCGCTGGAAATGGTTTCACTTCAAAAATTTCCTCAAGGCTCTGCCAAAACAGCGAAGTGCTTGGTCGTGGGCCATGTTGTGGATTTTGCGTATTGTCACGAACGTTCTCATCGATATTATCCCGTCTGTTAAGAATGGTAACTATATGCTGGTCGTGCTCGGCATTTCATTGAGCTTCGAATTCTTTTCAACAACCATTTTCGCCTGTGCGATTCAGTTTGTCTTCCTCACCCAAGTCACAAGATGGATCAATCTTTACTTCACGGATGCCAAATGCCGTTTCATATGGCTTTACCGGATTGTCTTACTTACGTACGGCTTTCGACTGCTCTCACTATTCCTGTACGATTCTTTTTTGGTTGCCAGGCACATCGTACGGGAAAGTGAATATAAGTCATATGACCAAATTTTGCTGGTTTTGGATGCTGGTTACAGAGGCAGTCTATCGTATTTCTTTTTCGGAAAATTTTTTGAGTTTTCTATCCCGGAAGAAGAGGAAGTTGTTCGGGAAGTTCAACTGGAAGAACCAAATGAAGAGCGAGAAGCTGAAGGACGAGGAGAAATCAGAGTTGACCCAGAAAATGATAGGGAACTCGATTCCTTGGCATTATTAGGGGAATCACTTCTGGCCTGAAATCAGCACGATAACATTTGTAAAGATAATAATATGTCTTGAGATGCAATTTGGAATGCAATTTGGCTATGACGAGTACAATTCGTAGTCTTTGATCTTGATCTTTGAATCTACGAGTGCTAGTTTTTCTCACTTTTCGCACGAGATGTAACATATAGTCACTTGTTAGAACAATTTTTAAATTGTAATTAGTAATCTGAGATTGCTTTATTTTGCTTTACTTCGCTTTGTGTTTAGTCTGGAAAGCTAGCGCCAGTCTATCAACCAATCAGATGTAAAACTGACAAATCAATTACGACTTGGTCGCCCGCGTTTTCTTGCGCTTTCGGCAGTGAGGTTATGTTTACTTTTAAAATCTCACTGGCTTTTCAAGGTATTTTTCTCTTTTTAAAGGTATTTAAAGGCTGACGTTTTGGGCGTTAGCATTTTGTCAGAGCCAGATTTGGTGAAAGACTATTAGCGATTTCATTTTGTCTTAATCTTTGCTATTTAGAGACATTTACACTCAAAATTCGTCTATCCAGTGTTATAATAAAGTTCGGATATAACGCACGCTGTCATTGGTTGAAAGAGCGTGCTCTATGAGAGTATAGAGCATAGAACTGAGCTACAGCTGTCACGCCATCTGCCAATTGTACTATGTTCGACCTTTTCCGGGACTTCTTTTTAGCTTTTTTCCGATAATTGAAAGTGAAATTTCGGAACTGAAGCGAGCCGGCAAGTAGCAACAGAAGAATCAAACAAAGGTTTGTAAACATACCAGGCGCCGTAATTTACGTTATTAAAACGTGTGCAGATACGAAAATCCTCATAGGAAAAACAAAATAAACATTCCGAGTTTTAAAGATTTTCACGCTCAGTTAGATTGCAAGCTTACGTACGGTAATAAAAATCAAACACAGCTAACACTCGCATAGCGTATAAAGTTCAGTGTTCAAAAACAAAACAGAACAAAACAGAAATGATGAAAAATATAACCAAACTGGCATAATTGTTAAAATTCATTCTAATCATGAAGGTGACTTACCGAATATGATCATGCTGAAGGCGGGGGTAAACCTGAAATTTGCTCAAAAATTGAGTTTTTTGTTTTCCTCGGAATTTGCAGCTTTGGGTATTAAACTTTGCTATGGAAAAATAATTTTCCACTTATTTTCACTATTTTTGCCTTTTTGAGCGATTTTAAAATTCCCGCTGTGACTAATGGCGTGGTTACCATGGCAACGAGAAGAGCATTTTTTAATTTTTCAGTTGTTTATGACGTGTTTTTCCGGCAACCAAGCTCCAAACGGGCAGGATTTGACGAGAGATACTTTATTTAGTCTTATCTGAACTGTTTTCTAGGGTCAAAACCATTATGGGATAGATTTAGAGGCAGTTTTGGTCGAATGTGACACTCGGTGTACTTGGAGCAATCAAAGGAAAAGTTATAATCAAAGGAAAAGTTGTATCGAAAATGGTCGGAGAGAAAAGTAGATCTGTCTACAGGAAGAAAAGAAAGAGAAATTTTTCTGGAAGGCGAAAACAGAAAGAAGAGTCTGAAGAAACAGCTCCTGATGTTGACGAAATCGCCGCCTCAACTCCGAGCACTTCGCGGGATGAAAATCAGCTCTCCGACTCGGACTCTAAAGAAACCGTTGGTTCCTTTAGAATTTATCCAAACATCTGTTGAACCTGAAGGCTAGAACTAAAGGGAAACTAGCTGATGGCAAACCCTTGGTGGTATAGGGAGACTGTCTGACACAAGAATAAAGAAGTTCCAGAAAGCTTATGGACTTGCAATTCGGCAAAATACCATCAGGAAATCCAATCCAGGAAGAAGGGAGGTGGAGGTTGCAGTTTATGGAATGAAAAAAAACATTATTGCAATACTCCATCACAATGTTGAGTCAAATGACCCAGCCAAACAGCATCGATTTTGTCCACCAGGGGAATCCTCCTGGTGTAAATGGAAGCAAGACAAAGCAACAGGAACATCTACATACAGTAGTGGTAACTGTTTGCCAGAGGTCTTTCTTGATGTCTTGAAACCCACTTTTATGACTCTAAGTGACTCGAAATTGCTAGAGAGGTGTGTGTTGGGAACAACACAAAATCCCAATGAGTGTGTTAACTCAATGGTGTGGGTACGGTGTCCTAAACATAAACACCATGGTGTAAAAGTAATTCGGTGTGCTGCGGCATCAGCAGTCTGCCACTACCATAATGGAGCTTCTAGTAGGCTAAAAATCATGGAGAGGCTTTGTATCCCTGGTGGTGTTTGTACAAGAGTGGCAACACATGCAAAAGACAGTAAAAGATTGGCTAAGTCCAATTTGCAGGTTATGCAGAAGGAAAAGAGACGGTGTCAAGGGGAGCGACTTCTGAGGACTCGTCGAGAGGAAGCCATTCGAGAAGCTGAAGGAGTTACTTATGAACCAGGATGTTTTTAAATTACTTTTAGATACTCCTGTGGACAAAATATGGACACTTGGGCCACTATAGTGGTTACATATTGTAAAAAATTAAGTTTGATTGCTATCAGTAAGTTTAAAGGCCATTTTCTCATTACGCAATAATTTTGTCTTCAAGAAAAGATATCTTGACAACAATTTATCCAATTGATCTGAAATTTTCAGCATTTGTTCCTTTTGATAAGTTTTGTGTTATAAGCAGAGCAATTTTCCATATGATGTATGTACTTAAAGTTATGAAGTGAAACACCCCTCTGATTTTCCATGTCAAATTTAATTGATCATCATTTAAAATGTTTTCAACATATTAGAAATCCCTCTGCTTATAACAATAAGCAACATGTCTTCTTTGAATTGATACTAAAAACGTTATTTTTCATTAATTCCAGAAGGAGTTATCTTTTCTTAAGTAACCCCTGGTAGAACCCAGCAGGTGGCTCAATTAAATGAGTGGTATCCTATTACAATTGACATGTTGAGTCTGAAATATTTTTTTTCATGATCTTCAAGTCATAAGCTTTCCAGGGATATATAGTTTGCCTAAGTTTTGAAGTAAGTCCTAGCTGTGAAAAATGAGTGAAAAATGGGCATTTTTTCAGGTTTACCCCCGCCTGAAGTCCATCGCGGCTCGCTCATCATGGCGATCTCCGGTCATCACCGCTGAAACAGCAAACTCCACAAAAGTGATATGGGAAGGAAGCGGCTAGAGCACTCAAGAAGTGGGGAGAAACACTCAACTACGTCTCGTGTTTCTCCCTACACTTCTTTCGTGCTTCCTGCGTGCTTTATAACAGAACAGAGCACAGCCAAGGCTTCTCTATTTGTTAAATAGAGGGGTAATTTAAAAAAAACTCAGCAATGAAATTGTTTCTTATATAAGACTGACAACAATACGTTATTAATTATTCGTGACGTGACAGGAGATGCTGAATTTAATCATCACATTCATAGGTGTCTATCATTCCACTTTCCTCCAGGACAAGCTCTGCAAAGATGAGAATTGGCCACATTATTCTTGCTTTAGTAGTCACATATTTAAACTTGTTCTTTATACTTCTGTTATTCTGTTATGCCGTTAATTGTATCGCGATATCACTTTTGTGGAGTTTGCTGTTTCAGCGGTCCAGATGTATATCCTCTATCGATGAGAGAGAGGTTTCTTCAGACATTTCCTCCTCCGCTCTCCAAAACAGGAAAAAGTATTGATGTGGTGTTTCTTGTGGATTGGATGCATTGTTACGAACGTTCTCACAGATGTCATTCTAGGTATTAGCAGAAAATATCCCGTAGTTATCGTCTTAGATTTGTCTGCTTCGCTAACGCTTACGCTTCGCAGCGTGGCTCCATCTTCGCTTTCCCGGAAAAGCTGGTTTGTTGGGCGTATTGTATCGCGTAAGTTTATTTACGTATGGCCTTCGAATGCTCGCATTCTTGCTGTACGACTCTCTTTTGGTTGCTAGACACATCTTTCAAGAAAATGAATGCCAGCAGGTCGACGGCATGCCACTAACTTTGGATTCTGTTTACAGAGGAAGTTAGTCATTTCTTTACTGCAAACTTTTTGACTATGTTATCACGGAACTGGTGGAGCTGACGAACATTTCCAGTTAGAGGGAGTTTCAGAAGTTGCCGATATCGATGGAAGAAGAAGATATCGAGGAACGAGAGATAGATTAACTTCTTTGCTTTTTTGTAAACTTAAAAATAACGGGTCCGGAACATATCGTGCACTAGACTTAAGTCTAGTTTATGATTTTCCCCGAATTTCCTTCCAACATACAAACGCTTTCTCTCGCATTAATTCTGAGAAAGATCAGCTTCCTAGAGATTAGAATGTTCTTTAAATAGGACAAACTTCTTTTCCGCCGGAGCCCAATTTAATTTTCTTTTCTTTTTTTGCAAGAGTTTCACATTTTTCGAGAAAATTTTACCCAACGCGAAAACGAAAGTGAATGAGGAAAGAAACCACTACGAATGAATTGTAATGATAATGTAATTCAATGAATTGCAAACAGGTGATAAATATTGTTAGATAGACACAGATTGGCCAAGCTTTTGTCACGAGAAAAAGCAAACGATTAATTCATGAAAGCGTCATGCGTTGTGTGACTCGGTGTTGAACTCGTTAGAAGGAATAGTATGGGGAACAAAATACGGTCGATTCACAACGATAAATATTTCGAAATACGAAAATTTTACACGTAAAATCGATAGGACTTACTCACATCTTGTGTTTCCGCTCTGGTTTCTGGCGATTTCTGCCGTTTTAAGCATGTTTTGCCATCACCGTTATTACTATAGGCCTGTTATAAGACGAAGTAAAATCTGTTGTAAAACTTAAAAACGGCAGGGAACGCCGGAGACCACAACGGATTCGCAAGTTGTGAATAAGTTCTATTGATTTTACGCGTAAAATGTTCATATTTCGAAATATTTATTGTTGTAAATTGACCAAATTTCGTTCCCCATAATGTGTTCAAATTCTCAACGGTTCCTCTCGTAACTTAAAACCGAGTCACACAACGCGTGACGCTTTCATGAATTAATCGTTTACTTTTTCTCGAGATGTGAGCTTGGGACGTTAAAGGGAGAGTCTTTTCCCCAACAGCGCACGATCGATCTTATTGGTTAGTTTGATGTCGCCTTATATCTAAAAGTGTAGTTGTTTCGGGTCAAAAGTCTATGACGTCAGAGGGTACCTGCACTCCGTTACCCTCGAGATCTTGACCACGTGAACAAAGCGCGATTCCATGTATCATCAAAGAGGTGTAGTATCTTGTAGTCTCATGCTCTATGTTTAATATTCATCAATAAATTCTCGATTTATATTCTCGCTGCGTCTTAAAGTGTCTTTGCTATGCTCCATAATAAATCACTCGAGGAAGGACTTCACAGCCAAGCTCATGCTGGCGGTCAGTGCCTGGGACAGATTGTTAGTCGGCGATGATTGTTCAATGATTTGCCGTAACGCTGTCCCAGGCCGTGCCCACGGCTACGTTGCAGGCATGTCCGAGGAATATCGCAAGAAGACCCTCTGAGAACCAGGCTTATCAAGAAATAATGGTAATAGGACCGAGTGGAGTTCGATTCGGTCTGTAATCATGAGGGTGATTAACAAAACCGATCTGTTTAACACGAGTAATTTAGTGTTAACAACTGAGCTGAAAACGCAAATCGGCCACCGTAAAGGATAAAATAAAAAAGAAAAAGGAAAAAAACCCTTTACGGTGGCCAATTTACGTTTTCAACTCAGTTGTTAACACTAAATTACCTGCTATACTCTCTCACCGACGCAGCACCACAGTTTCTTCAGACTTACCCCTTTGTTTATCACGAGTATGATTACTGACACGAAGTCCTGTTACCAATTAAACAAAACTATGGCAAAATTCGGAAAAGAAACTAGACATCAGTCATACGTTTTCAAAAAAAAAAAACACCTAGCGAAGTCGGCGAAATGAGAGAGAAATGCACATGACGCGTTTTGTCCACTTAAACAGGCATGACGTGTTAAGTTTCCAATTACAAGCATGACGCGCACCCTGTCCTGTTGGCGCTCAATTCGGGCTGGTGATAACGTCCGAAAATTTCGTTATAGTTTTGATTATTAGTATATCCCACACGTCAAGTGCTTAGTTTCCAACCATTTTACGGTATATTCAGAGAAATCAAGTTATTTTTTGGTATGTGCGTGGCATTTACTAGAACAACTTTTCATTAAGTGTCGGTGAGAATGGTGGATATCCACCACTATTCACCTCTCCTCCGGCGTATAATTTTTAACTAGTATTACGTAATTTTATCCTTGGTTACTGGAAGAAAAAAAAAACTATTTCCTACTGATCTTCAAAGTCAGCAGCGTGTTATTCGAGTGAGGTCTTTTAATAGGCGACGACAAGTCAAAACAAGTCACAACAAACAATGCCTTAGTTGAAAACAATGAATCGGGTGTAATTGAATTGTAGCGAACTTGATATTTTGACAATCCACAAAACGACTGTTAGTTTTGATGTGCTAATTTATGCGTCATCAAGAAAAAAAATTGTAAGCATAATTTTCCTAATTTCTGATAATTTTTTCTTTCATCCCCATACTTTGAACCTTCTTAAATCTCCCTTGAAGGTCTCTGCCACCAGGGGTCGACTGCATTTGCACCAGGAAACTTAAAACATGTACTTTTACTCGATAAACTTTGACTTGTGATTCCAACCAACAAAGACGTAACCAGGCCGGAGAGAGGTTCCCAATCTATCTTCACCCTGGCGTAACCCACTATTAAAGAAAACAGAAAAATGAAGTAAAGGTTCGTCCTTGTTGACTGTGATGCCTCTCTCTTTATTTCTTCAAATATTATATTTAAACCTGGACAAAATTAATTTAAGGCGAAGGTAGGGCAACAGACCAAAGATCTACTTTAAATTGCTAACTCAGATAATCATTCGTAAAATTGCAAAAGATTCCGCGCTTAATGATAATGAGTTAAGTTGACTTAAATATATAAATTTCATAAGCTGCCTAATTTATCTCAAATTGATGCCCTTGCGACTCAAGTGATTTATCAATAAGCTACAATACCAGCTACTAGGGGCAAATTAAATCAATTTTCGATTGGAAAAATATGCCGTTAAAAATTAACATGTCGACACTACAAATTAGGGAATTATTAAAAAATTACATATATTCTGCAATTGCTAAGTTTGGTTGACACACACAGAGTGCCACTTTGTGAATTACAATCTAGATACTAACATTTTCCTTTTTGTCAACAAGGCATTTCCATCAATTCTCCTCAGAGTAGTTAACTTTTTCTCTTTCTTTCTTCTCTTTCTCGTTCTCTCCTCAGCCTCTTAATCCTACAGATCTGCTTGTTAGTAATTCTCAAGTCTAGTTGCCATACTTTTCTATGTAAAAAGTGCCGAGAATTTAGTATCACATTTGATACCTCTCTCCAGTTGAAGAGCTCGTCTATTCTTATCACTTGCCTGCACCATTACTGATTCTGTTTTGAGAAGCTACATTTTGAACACTCCAAGATCAGAAGGTTAACTTGAACTAATAATATTCAGAAGTACACAATAACCTAACCTATACCGTTAAGCTCACATACTCGACCCTTTACATCATTGCATCAGTAAACAATTTCTCCACACATGGCTCACGATAATGAAAAGCAGTTGTAAATCTGGAGGGAAGGTCAGGAGAGGGGGGGATGGACAACAGACCCCTGCTTCTATATAAGACCAAAATTCTTGCAATGAAAGGACCCAATATTGTTGCTAAACTTGAAGAATTAGTAATCTTGCCTTGAAATATTTTTCAGATTATGTAGGCTTGAGTGTTAAAAAGAAAATGTCTTTATACTCTAAATCATAGTTTGAACCCAGCTTCCTTCCCCAGCAACCCCCCCCCTCTCAAAAATTTGGATTTACCCCTAACAAGGAAAATTTCTCTATCAATTTCGAATTTTATCGGTGATCATTTCTGTTATTCTCATGTCCTTAATGTTTTGATTTAGTAGTGATGATGTATGGAGAAATTACATGCAACTAATTACTCTTAGGGGTTAAAGGGTTAAGTGTTAAAAAATAAAGTTAAACTAATCCAAGCTAGCCCTGACATTTCTTACTCCAGAATGTTTTGGTGTTGATGCCGTTAGCCACTATCTGACTATGCTGTTGCTGCTTGGTTCAGCATAACACCTGCAACATGGTTCACCACGCCAGATGACTCGGTTGACCTTTCAACATGGACATCGCCTTCTTTGTTGATCTCTGTTATTCCAGGGTTTTCATCAGTAATCATTGGTTGAGTCTTGTTGCTGGCATTGGCAACTTCTTTGGTCTGACCAGTCGAAGTACTAGTGCTTGTCTCCTAAAAAGGAAAGCAGTAAGGAACTTAGCTAGCAAGCAAATCACAGGCTGTGAGATACTGAACAATGACTGCTACAATCTGAAGCCCTTTCACCCCCTTGATCAAGACATCAATTCCTCACACTGTTTGCCATACATAACCTATAATTTTACATCAAGAAAATTGGTATAAAATCAAAGAATTATTCTGGGTTGATATTCTTCTTGCCTCTCCTTACCCTTCTGCTTGAAAATTTGATTTTAATGAATTGAAATTAATTTGATGTCACTCCTAGGAGTGAAGGAGATTTTGTATCAATTTTATACCAAGTTAGTCAGGTTCTTTCAGGTTCTTTCAGGTTTACAGCAAACCTTAAAATTCATAGAAACTTTTGAGCACAAAAGTTAAGCATGTAATAGTTTGATACACAAAAATGAATTAAACAGTTTCACTGTTTTTTAGAAATCAAGAAAAAGCTTTAACCCTTTAACTCCCAGAAGTGATTAACATAAAACTTCTCCCTACAATATCCATACATTCTTCAGCAAACAGGTGATGAGAATATTCAAACTTATCAGAAAGAAGCTGCTATCTTGATCTAGCACCAAGTTCTCATAACTAATTTACAAGGAAATGTGTAGCAGCTAGAGGGGAGAATTGATAATCAGATCTTGGGAGTTGAAGGGTTTCTAAGGGCACCTCAATATATAAGCTACTTGGTTTAAGTGCAGATTTTTACTTATTCTCTTTTAACATGTTCTTCATTCTGCTCCCTGTATTAATTCAAGGCTTGAAATCATTTTGTGGCTGATGCTGGTCAAATCTATTTTTGGTTGGGCACAACCCAATTTTGGCCAGGCAAATATCGCATCTTAATACCCCCCCCCCCAACCCCCCAGTAGAAAACAAGTATATCTACCGTACTTTTATTGTAATGCAGCTTTCAACTCGATAAAGGTGTATATAAAACCTGAGCTCTTTACATTCATAAACAACCAGACAAAATGTCTAGCCGACCAGACACTATCCATTGACTAAATGATTGTTGTGACTCTCACCTTCGCAGGTGACTTATCAGGATGATTCTTTCGTACATGCTTCAGACGGGCACCAGGCTGGGTAAACGTCTTCTCACAATAGTCACACTTGTATGGCCGACTTCCAGTGTGAGTGCGCACATGACACACTAAGGTGAACTCCACTGTGAAGTCCTTGCCACAGATGTGACACTTGTAAGGTCGTAATCCTGTGTGGATGCGGCTATGGCGCTTGAGATCATTGGTCTGTGTGAAGGTCTTACCACACTTGTCACACTTGAAAGGGCGTATACCAGTGTGGATCAACTCATGCCGGGAGAGTGTATTCCTGTGTGTGAAGGCCTTTCCGCAAGTAGTGCACTTGAAGGCCTTCTCCTGGCTGTGTGTCCTCATGTGGGACAGCAGAGGTGACTGCAAGGCAAATGCACGCCCACAGATCTTGCAAGAATATGGCTTCACTCCTGTGTGTGTACGGCTATGGGCTTGAAGACTTCCCTGCTGTGAGAAGGCGCGACCACAGAGGTGACATTTGTATGGTTTCTCTCCAGTGTGAACCAGCTGATGACGCTGCAGGTGTTTAAGCAGAGTGAACTCCTTGCCGCACTCTGTGCATTTATGCTCTTTCACTCCAGTGTGAATGAGCTTATGGCACTGTAGTGTGTAGTTGCGAATGAATGCCTTCCCACATTCATCACATTTGAACTTCTTCAACTTCTCATTTTGTTGACGAGCATATTCTTCTGTAACTTTGATCTTGGGAATTGAAGCTCGTGGACCAACAGGCTGAGGGACAAAAATGCTCCTCTGTTGTCCTGATTTTTAAAAGGAAAAAATCAGCATTGAGTATGTATCCTGTAAACTGAACTGAACTTTGAAGACTGTTATTGTTATTTGAAAGCTTGCCATGCAGTCATGTTGTAATCAAATGCGCTCATAAGTCACAGGGCAGACACTGTATTCGAAATGCCATCTTGAAATATAGTTGTGTTTGATTATTGAAATTCTGTTCCTTGTCTGTCCTCCTTCTTTTGGTCTCCTTTCAACCACCATTAGCAGACCATTGTTTCAAGGCCTGCACAACTAAAACTGTTATTTCTCGCATACTCAAGGTTTCTGACTGAAACTGTTGATTTTGAGATAGCAAACTATTTCTTTATAAGGTGATTATTTGCTCTATACTTGTGACCTTAATGGGTGATTCAGGAGTAATAATAAGTGGAGAGTAAGATGCTTGTCACTCTTAGGAATTTAAGAGTGAATTGCCAGTCTTTCATTTAATTGAACTTTCTTATAAGAAGTAGTTAAATACATATTGAATACGTAATAACCATGAGGTAATGATCACACCTGTATTGCACTTGTACTTCAAATGACCAATGAGGGATGCAGGGTTGCTGTACATTTTCCCACAATTCTTGCAAGCAAAGCTCTCATCAGCAGGTTCTGGATCTGAAGAGGAGAGTGAGGATAATAAAATGCATTTTGTAAAATTACTTGTAACTGTCGCTGCCTGTAGTTACGTCAGATTTTCCCTCCTCACAGAAGCTTAATCCTAATCAGGAGGAAGCAGAATGTTTTCAATTTCTTCTGATGACTCCCAGAAATATGATCAAGTGAAAACTGCATGGTCAGAACCACAAGCAGAAGTGGAAGAACCAACCAATTAGACCTTTCACATACATTATGATGTCTAAGATCCCAAATTTTGTCACAAGGATTATAAGCAACAGACTCATAGATGCCAGCTGTATCCTGCTTCCAATTACCTTGGTTTGATTTTCACTACATAATATCTCACTACGCTTCTGATAACCATTGACTTTTTTGCAAGTGGAAACCAGCCTTACATGATCACTGACAGAGGTATTGAAAGAATATAAAGTAGGTTGGCTTTTGTGATAAATCAAGAACTGTCTTCCTATCATTGCCATTATGATAGTAAAAATGTTTCACAACTAGATTTCAGTTTGTAGTATAGATCATTTGTCAACTTAAATTTTTTAAAATTATTGCTGACTCAATTCCCAACACGATCAAACTGGCTATGAGCTACTGAACTCCAAAACTTTCCTGTAAATGGGAAAGAAGAGCAACATCTGAACAGTGAAAGGGAAATAGGAAAAGAAACTGAAAGGGAAAATGAAAGAGAAAACTACCCAGAATGTTACCTTTAGTTTTAGATGCTCCTTTCTTTGGAGGTTTTATACCGAGAATCTTAGCAAACTTTTCACCATAAAATGTCAGCAACTCATCTCCAATCTCAATCTGCCTAGTGGCCATATAATAAATATTTCCATCATATTGAACAGCACGGATATTTTGTTCTGTTATAATCCTGGCACAGTTGACATAGCGCAGCCAGTTGGACTGAAATGCATCTCTTCCATCAACCAAGTGCATCAACTTTCCATAGTCATCTCTCACCTGAAAAACAAAAACATCCCAAAATTTAAGAAGTCTGGAATGAGAATAAGACTTGTGATGAATTACCAACAACTCCCTGTGTTTTACATAGAAATATAGGACAATTTGTATGGAGAATCTAATAGTTCATCAGATGTCACTTTGAGCTTTTTGCCTTACACCAAATTAATTAGTTCCCCCTTTTACCCATAACTCTTGAACTCACAAGACCTGATTGTAAATTCTCCCCACTAGCAGCTACACATTTCCCTGTAAATAGTTATGAGAATAAATCAGTTATGATAATAAATTAGTTATTGTCCTTAATCGTTCTTCTCCAGCTCTGCTGCAAAAACTGTTGAATGGATCCTTAGACTTTGTCTCAGGATCATTCATTTAAAAACATTTGCTTTGCCTTAAGCAAAAGTTGATCATCAAGAAGTAACATTTGACACTGAATAGTCTTACCTCCCAGACATAGGGGGAGTCTTTATAGTTTTTGGCCTCCTCAGCAGTCACCTTTTTACCAACAAATGGTCCAAAAAAGTCATGTTTGGGGATCACACACTTTGCAAACACTCCCCTGCCAGCTTTAGGAATATTAGATTCTTTTACTTCAAGTCCAGGGGGAACTATGACCTCAGCTTCAGCAACTAAGAAATTAATGGAAATGATAATAACCTTTTGATTAGTACAGCTAATAGATAAATTTTTTTTAAAACAGGCTCCTCCATTCAGCTTCAGTACCAGTAACATCTTGAATTATTTTGGAGTACACAGGCAACTTGCATGGATTAATTTCACATACCTAACTGAGATTTGTTGTTTAGTGGAGTTCAAAATTACTACCTTAACAATGTACACAAAAAATTACATGCTTGTGATTGGCTGAAAAGGAGTGCATTCTCATGTTACACAAGTGTAAAGTTGTGACACAAATGTCAATTTCAAATAGCGCACACACCCTTTCAAAATTTTGTCTAACTTGACTTGTGCTGTTTTTTCATGTACATCACTAACAAGTAATAACACGAAATCTCTTACAAGCACCTGTAAGACTGCAAATTACACTCACCAGGCTTGTGCTGTTTTGTCGTCTTTTAAAAATTTCCTAGTCCTTAACAATACCAAATTGTACTCAAAATCATTTTATAACCTATACATGTACTAAGATTAAAACAAAAGAAAAATTTCAAAATATGTCTATGGAGAGGTCTCTTGTCAAGTTTTTGGGGGCTTAACTTATTGAAAATAACAACCAGCCTGTACTTAAATTTAGGGAAGTATAAATCCATCACAATGGCTGGTAGAAAATCAGATTTTTTGTTTGAGGTTTCAACTAAAGGTGGTGGTATGTTGGCTGGCCAGATTGTTACTGAATTCAAGTGGCTTTCCAGTCTTGATCTGCTCATAACACCAGCCTGTGGTATCAACTTTGGTTTTTTCAGACAAAGAGTCTCTTAAATTTTGCAAAAAAAAGTAGTGGCTCTTTTTATTATATTTATTACCAACCCAGTCAACAGTACTGAGAATTTAGGGCCTTCATGAACAATAGAAAGAAGAGGTTTCCGTCCCTGAATTACCACGTGTTTTCTTTTTTTCATCATTTTTTACACCGAAACTTCTTCAGGTGTGTGCTCCTCACTAATGCGCATGTAAGTTTGAATTGGCGAAATCTCCTCTAAGATTCGATCACAAATACACGAATTTGCGCCGAAGAACTGCGCATCGGTTGCAATAGAGCTTAAACTCAGTCCTATATCTGTAAAAATCCAAATGCATCGATTAACATGGTCACATATTCATCACAGGAAAGGAAAACATTTGAGCGTCACCCCACTGTACACTTCAATGGTTTTCTGAAATATCACGCGATTCATGGCGAATATGTTACAAATTTGAAAATGTACCCACGAAAATGTTTTGAAGCGCTGGCGCACCGTTTATAAATGGAAAAAAGGCCGATTTATCAGACAATAACGAGTGATTGTTCCTTCGGTTTCCTTTCCAACCCGCTGGTTTCATTCGCTTGGCTGTAAGTGTAAACCAATACATGCATAAAATATGTAAATACTCAAAACGGAACGAGAGCGCAGTACAGGCTTTTGAAAATGTTCCAGTTTGAGATGTATTTTTAAAATAATCACGACGGTGCTACACTTAGAGTTTGTACTAACACCTTAGACTACGGAAGAAATGTTTCACTTTGTAAATCATGAAAGATTAGTGGTGAAGATTTAGTCCTGCCCTGTCTAAACTGTATGCAATTATTATGAACACGCATTCAAATGAGCTTGAATGCCCAGATCACAGACTCGCACAATAATTGAGGTAATTTGCCCTCAAAATACTCGTATTTTCCATATGCAATGCTCACATGGGTCACGGTGATCAAATTCTTTCCTCTAGAGTGGCTATAATGAGGAAATATGAGAATAGTTTGGAATAAACCTCGAGAATCTTGTTGCTAATTTATGCAAGTCGACCATGTGCTTGGTCTAAAATTATCAATACCAAACTCACGTTTCGTTAGCTCGGCGTCAGGCAAATCTTCCCCAAAATAATACTTCAGCTCGATTATTTTGCGGCGCACTGGTTTCGAGGACGTTCCCCGGTCGACACTTTTGAATTGGCCGTCTTCGTCTGCCTCCATTTCATCGTCCTCATCTTCGCTGCTCTCCGAGCCGGATTCTTCTCCTTCGCCATCGTCTTCCTCGAAATCGTCCGCGTCTACACCAGTTATCTCAGGATCTGTTTGCGTTTCTGCATCAATTTTATCCACCATTTTCGCCTCCAACTCTTTCTCCTCTAAAATAAAAACACGAAAACATTAACAAATTACTATCAAGCTTGTAAAGGAATGCATAAACATCTCGCGTTCGAAGCACGCGTTCTGTAACATGCTGAGTTACCTCTGCTCTTCTTTGCCGATGAACGCGTTCCGACCCCCATTTCTGCGACTCTTGGGTAGCCGTAGCGAAGAACGATAAGATTCCGGCGAGATTTTACTTCTACGAGCGTTTCTTGAGCTCAGTCTGAAGCGTATTAATCGCAGTCAGGGACTACCACAAGTCTTTCCAGAGCATGTAGAAATGCAAGCCAAGAGTGAACTTACTGTTCGAGTACTTCATAGATACAAATTGCGATCTGTCAATCACGTCGACACTACAATAGCTTTTGCTCTCGATTGGCTTACAAAGAACAAATGGCTTTCATAGATTTCCCGCCAGATCTTTTGTTATTTATTTCATTTCAAATTCCTCTCATGGTAGTGATGGACACCTTACGCTTAAAATTCAAATTTACACAGTATCAACTTTCTTCTGTTCTTGCATATCATGAAAATTAATTTTGCTCGGCAGCTCGATCCAAAGTAATATTCCTTTAAACGAAGCTCGAAACTTGAGAAACGTAAAAATAAGGCAATAAATTTTTAAACCGAGGAAAGGTAATTATTAAAATACGTTTCAGGTGTCCAGTTAAACTGGACAGGTAAATAAAAAACCAATGATCTGGTTAATGGTTGCAGCATTTTTACATTTCGTATTTCAATATTTCGAAGACTCAGATGCTTGTTTTTTTTTTTTTTTTTTTTTTTTGATAGATATACGATATAAAAACAGGAAATGATAACGAAGCAAGAAAACGAACTAAAGATAACCATTGATTTTGAAGAAAGCACATGGACCATTCGATTTCACACATTTTGGCATCGAGTTTCTCCTCTTAAGTGTACGTGACTTTGTCACGCAATAGCTTTAAGGTAACCCGCGTGACAACTGGCAGATGATGAAAGGGAATTTCTAACCCTTCACTTTCGAAATCTTTCACAATCATCGTCTAAAAATTCGGTTTTTGATATTTCTTATTGAAAAATACATAAACGATTGATTCTATCAATTGTCAAAAGACTCAAAGAAGATACTTCCATCGGAAAGTGTCGCGTGACAAGCTAGCTTTCACTTCACTGTCGGTTTTTGCGGCCTAAAATTGTCGTTTTGTTTCTTGTCGAGGTGGAACTAGACATATTTAGACAACAGGACTGTTCAAAGATCCAAGGTGAATGGAATTTTGATGTGAATTACAGGAAGCAAAAACTTCAACAACTCGATCTTGCAACTGCTACTGGAGAGTAGACTAATAGAAAAGATTTATAGGAAGAGAAAGCCTTTATATTCTTCGTAGGAGTTTCTTGGAAATCTTCATCAGAAATATCTCTTTCTCGAGGATATACTCAGAAGATCGATGCATTAGTCTTTTTTTTTGTAGGGGTGGGGTAGGAGGAGGCGTATCGTGTTGTAGATGTATTCGTGTTATTCCTTCGAATATTGCCATGCGCGGTTTCTTCACGCATTAAACGAAGATAAGAAGAAGATAATAACGAAGACAGTTTAAATTATGAATCGATAATCGGATAAAAATATCATTGCTTTAAACCCTGTTACGCTCTTGAGTCGCTGAGAGGTCGGGCATATTGTGGCTCCCACTATGAATAATTAAATAATTGATATACTTAAAGTACCCTCCTAATTATCTAACTAGGGCGACCTCGATCGACAATATCGAACTCAAACGCACGTTATTCTATTTGTTTTTGTTGTTGTTTGGTTGTGTTTTTCTAAGCTGTCATAATCCCAAGGAAACATAACATGTCCTTCCTCATTACAAAATCAGAAAACTACTGTAAAATCAGTGAGAAAAATTTGAACAAAAAATAATTAAATTTCAGGTCAGATCCCCGCCTGGGCCAGCTTGGTTTGAATTTCCGCTCTTATCAAAGAGACTACTGTTGCGTTCACCACTCAATTCGCGAGAATTGGCTTTTACTCGCGCACTGAATGAGACAAGGGAAGAACGAGTAAAGAAAAAATACATATACATAGAGATCCTAGCTGCAATAATTTACTTTTATTGTTTACAACCACACACTGCAACAACAGCTTGTTGGTGTCTTGCCGAGAAAGTGAGGTTTTACAGACATTTTTAACTGAGTGTGGAAAGCAATTCGGGATTCCATTGGTTTTGCTTTACTTCGCTCTGTGATTGGTCCAGAAAACTTTCGACACTCTTAGCCAATCAGATGCAAAACTTACAAGAATGCAGACGGCAGCGAGGTATAAACGTTTTCCCGAGCCAAAAGCAGTTAGCTTGTTTACACTTAGAGGAGTTCTTAGTGGTTTTTTGTATGTCAGCCTTTGCTTTGACTGTCTGTTGTGAAAACTTTGGTTTTGATTGCACGATTCTCAATTTGAAAGCGATCTATAACGGACAGTTTGATAATCATTGAAAAGCTTCCCTCTAACAGAAAAAAAGACTCCCTTACAGTTTATTGGCAGATCTTTAGCTAACTTACAAAATGCCACAATGCAAAAACATTTACGTAGAGCACACAAACACAAAAACTCATCTACCTAAAAAAAGGGTTGGTTTTCTGACCCAGCGTATGTGACTATACCTTTGATTCTAAAAAAAAAAAAAAAACTTTCATTTCCTCCAAACGGTTTATCCTATTTAGAGGAGCTTTTTATGAAATTTGAGCTATTTTTGCGACGTGAAAAACGGCATTCGACTTGAAGGAGGCTACAGTATATAAAAATGGTTACTAAAAAGTGAAAACACAAGACATGATATTAAACCAAGAAGGAACATGGATGGCCGAAGATGGAGAGGGTTCTTAAAGATCGGAAACAACGAACTTGAAAAAGTTGTTCACAAGCTGTCAAGTTGCCTGTCAAAGAAGTGCTAGTGGTAATGTGTGACTAAAAAACTTTCTTCACATTAGGAAGACAGCCGGCTAGAATTAGAAAGCGAGGCACGCCCAGAGGATTAACAGGAAGTGTCGGTGAATGAAAAATGAGAACGATCGTGCGTTCAACATTCCTCTCAGAGAACTTTGTATCTGCCAGTAGACTGAGGACCACGGAAGGAACCCTGAGGGAAAAGGAAAAAATAGTTTTAGTAAAGATTTTCACATATTTGCACTGCGGTGGAGAGATGAAATTAGGAGATCCTCGCAGCTAAGAACACTACTGAAACGAGTAGTTGTAAATAGGACCTGAAAAAAATTCAGGCCCGTACGGGATTTGAACCCATGACCTCTGCGATACCGGTGCAGTGCTCTACCAATTGAGCTAACAAGCCAACTGGGAGCAAATAAACATCCAAATGAATGAAGATTTGGATTCATTTGGATGTTTATTTGTACCCAATTCATTGACCAGCTCCCAGTTGGCTTGTTAGCTCAATTGGTAGAGCACTGCACCGGTATCGCAGAGGTCATGGGTTCAAAGCCCGTACGGGCCTGAATTTTTTTCAGGTCCTATTTACAACTACTCGTTTCAGTAGTGTTCTTAGCTGCGAGGATCTCCTAATTTCATAGTTTTAGTAACTTACGCGGACATAGAAGAAAAAATGAAGTCATAGTAGGTTTTAAGTTGCACCTTTTATAATAAAATAGCTAAGAAGTTTAATTGTGGCACAAATTTGGTGAACGACCGTTGCGCTATTTAAGGATAAAATATCGCTAAAGCCTTGCTTCTAGTTAAGATTCAAATTAGAACTAAAAATGTTTTCCAAGCATTACAAATGTGATTAAGCAGATGACAAGGAAGCTGTTCCAAGGAGTGAGTGCTCTCTGACCAAATTTTTTTTCCTCAAAAAAATGTTAAGCAGAAAAGAGGAATTAGAGACTCCAAGAATCTACGAGCGTAATTCGTTTTACTTACCAATCTAATCATTTCTTCTTTAACGACTCGTTTTATTTCTAGTTTTGCCAGATGGATTGAACGTTCAGAAGGACCTGGAAACGAGCAAAAGGTCATAAATGAGATTTCAAAAAGAACCGGGGCACCAGTCGACACCAGGCCTCTCTCCATTGCTAAATGACTCCTTCTCCATAGTTAGGGAGGGCGAGAACATTCTACGCATCATACTTTGTTAAAATGAGTAAACAAAGTTGACAATTTGCGCATGACCTTTGCTTACACATCGAGGGTACTAGAAGTTCTTTACAAACTGTTAATTTTAATGTATCTTCGTTACTTTTCAGAATTTCAATAAGTTTTCATCGCATTAGTCTACTCACCCTCAATGTATAGATATATTTTTCTTTCGCCTTCTGCCTTCGGTTCTTTCCCTAAATATTAACGTAAAAAAATTTATAAGAATTTTCTGTGGATCAGGGTTTCTTTGCTGAGTTTAATTTAATGCAACCAGAAGCATTCATCCTACGTCATACGCTTCCGATGTAACTAGGAGCACATTTTACGGTTTCTCTCTAAAAGTGTCAACTCATACAAGTACGGTTTTAAGAGACCTCTTTAACTTAATGGTTTTTTTTTACCCATTTCAGGTCTTAAGGAAATTCCCAGCTCTACCTTTTGAAAAATTATGATTAAATATGCATGTAAATAAGAGGAAATTTGAAAACAAACAGTTCTCTAGAGTATTATCACATGACCTGAAAGAAGTCTATTAACCCTTTAACCCCTAAGAGTGATTAGTAACCATTTTCTCCCATCAATATCACCCCAAAAACAAACATTGAGGTCATGAGAATTAAAGAAATGATCACCAACTAAAGAAGCTCTTGATTGTTAAACAAATTCTCCTTGTCAGTGCCATAGGAAATGTATAGAGAACAGTGTGGAGAAAATATATACTGATGTTAGGGTGTAAAGAGTTAAAGAAAGCCAGTACAAGACCTGGAGGGAAGAAGGTTCCACGCACAGTAATGGCTGCCTCAGAAACCTCCGTGATGTTCATAATAGTTTCCTATGGAAAAACAAAAGACAAATGAATAAGTTGACTAAACTATGGACAACGAGCGAAACCTAAGCAATCCTGGAACAATTTCTCGAAAGAGGTTTTGGTTCCCTGTTAGACTTCTCACCTTAGAAGTGACTTTCCACCGAGCTGTTTGAGGAAAGTCGTTGATCTCCACCTCATCCTCGTACCGCTGTTCTTCCTCTGTTTTTTTCTCATCTTGTTTCACTTCCTCCACTGGAGCTTCGTAGCCGATCTTTCCATGAATCTTTTCGGCAAGTTGCTTAGCTAGACCCAGGCCCTAACAAGAAATCACGGATTACATTATACCTTAAAAGTTGAAGATAACCCTTTATTTTTCAGTCAGGTGTTCTGTTTTTTCTACTCTCGTTAGAAATGCTATTACCATCTTTTTCCGAGTCTCAGATTTACCAGCTTTCCTACATTCCCTCTCTATACAAGAAGATTATCCTTGGTAAAATATTCAACGCATCATTGGAAGTTCTGGGGTTGGCACCCACACGGAAAAATCAGATTTTCCTTTGCTCCACCCACGTGACAAGTATTTTGACACAATCTTTATTTATGTAACCCTTTACTGTTTCTTGGTATTAGAAAAATTAACCACTCTGATTGAAAACAAGCGTGACAAGGAGATATCACGCAACATAGCGTGACATATCAAAAGGGTGGTGATTGGATGTGGCTCCGTACTCACAGTAAGGGCGGTAACAGTTCCTCCCTTGATAATCTGACTGGCAGCTTGCTGAGTCGGATCCATATTCTGTGAAAGACAAAAAAAAATCACTTTGACTCTACCATGAAAGACATAAAGTGGGAATAATACTGAGAAGAACTGCTGACGGTTGTAGTGACTGAGTTTTCGACAACTTAAGCGGAAATCATTGCTGCCTTAAGAGCTCTAACCACCATCATCTTTTTGAGGAGGGCAAGCACCCCAGAAAAGTGACGCACAATGCTTTGTAGCATGAAGCGACTCAGAGTATTCCTACTCCCTCCTGGATGAGATGTCAGTCAATCGCAGATTAGCCCCCAGCATTAAGTCATTTTACTTTGTCACTTTGCTGATATCCTTTCAACTTCTGAGAGGAAAGAGGCACTGTGAGACTAAAGTGTCTTGTCTAAGAACACGGCACAATGATCAAGCTAGGCTAGGTTTCGAACCCAGACCTCTCGACTCGGATTAACCGTTACACTATGGCGTCTATATATTTTAGAGGGAGGGGAGGGAAGAATAGGAAAAGGTAACTACAAAAGAGGGAACCCGTTGTACTCACGTTCGTCCCGGCGATAATCTTCTGGTTGATTTTCGCAGCAATACTTGTGGCCAAGTTAAGTTTTGCTGAAAAGCACAGACACAGATGAAATAATTATTTGATCAGTGGTGGAGGCAGATTAAACACATTTTAACGAATAACACACTCATATTTACCTTGTTGCTCTCCTTTGATTTGTTCCCCTTTGGCTTCAGGAGCGGCTTTTTTGATATGAGGTTTGCCTTTACTAAATACTTCATCCAACTTTTTGTCAATCTGGCGGAAAAAAAGTCGAAAATACACGTTTAGGACAGTAAAAGCTGATTTGCGTGGTTCATAATAAAATAGTCATGAAGTTGGGCATGGTTCCCAGGTGCTAGAAACCAATCTTATTTTCCTGACATGGATCAACTAGGAACATCCCTTCTCCTCCTGAATAGCGCGCATGCTAATCCCAAATAACAAACCCCCCTCCCCTCCCCTATCCACCTAGTAGGGTCTCCCTGACAATTTACCACGACCCTTTTACACAACACAATGACCCAGTAAGAGCTCCTACTCGAAACTTTCGACAAAAAGCATGATCGACGTAAGGCCACCGCGTTCAGAGAACATGTAATAAAAGTTTGCTTCGCTAGCACTCACTTCCTCCACAGCTTTCTCTTCGGCTTCCGCTTCATCATCTGAGTCTTGAAGACCAAGAGCCTGCCAAAGACAAAGAAATAAAACTCACCTCCATACAAGTGACAAAGTGACGTTCCTATGTTGTTATGTTTACATCGTTATATCACCAGTGCAAACCAGGCTATGACTTTAACTACAGCGGAACATGTACACACCCATTTCTGTATCTTTTTCGCCTCGTTAACCTTAGCCTCTTCTTCCGCGTTAAATTTGAATCCTAGAAAAACAGATCAGTTAAAAGAAATTATATTTCAAAAGCATGAAGGACAAGTACTTTTCCTCTGAAGCAACTTCGCGTACGAGGGCTTCAGCTCATTTGAAGGCAGTCAAATAAGTGTTAGCGTGCAGAACAGGGTGTGGCTAACGCGCTCGGCTCGCACTTCTGACTTGCTCGCGTGGTAAGCACGCGCGGCAATACACGCGCGATGGGAAGGTGCGCATTTTACACCTCATGCTCGCCACGCGCGTATCTCCGCTCACCTTAAAACTGCACCAAATGACTCCTGCCATGTAGCCTTATTATGCTAGTCAATATATTAAATCTTTAATTTGATTAAAACAAACCTTTTCCGGTGAAGCCGCTGTTTTTAACTACATTCTTTCCTTCCTGCAAGATAATTAACGTAAGATTTAATTAAAGTAGAGAACTTCCTTTATGAGGGTTGCATAACTCAAAAAAACCAAAGTCATCATCATAACTGAAGCCAATTAGAAATAAAAACTCTATGTAACTGGCCTAAAGCGCGGGAAATGCACGTGACCGAGTCACGATTGGTTTTCATGTTACGTCTGATTGGTTGTGAGAACGACGCGTGTTTTTTTTGGACCAATCAGAGAGCTTTTTGAAAAAAAGCCAAAATAATCTCGATCACTTTCGACACTCAGCAGAAAACTGCTCTATAAGCAAGTCCTAAGTCAACCGAACCAACTTTACCTTTCCATTGAAAGAAGTAAAAAGTTAGTCCATCTTAAGATACCATTTAGGTATGAATTCTTACCGCCTTTCTCTCTTCTGTATAGTCATTCCAAAGCTTACGAAGATCTTCTGGAACCTCTGCACCGGACAGTTCTAAAGCCTGGAGAATTTACGATGAGAGAGAGACACACATAAAACGACGTTAAACTGTTTTTATCTAAAGTAAAAAAATACATACATTACCAAACCGAGAGATAAAAACTTAGTCCCTTCAAATCTTGCTTTAGATCCCATTTCACTTTGAAATAAAACCTCGTCGCTAAATACTCTCGACATTTACTGCGATTTTCAAGGCTTGTTGGACAAGCGTATTCCCTGGGTTATATGTTTGTCAATCGTAGAATAATCGCCACCATTTCGTCATAGTGCCTTAATAATGCGCCATGGCTCATTTAAGCTTCTTGTGTACTCCTGCACACAACAACACACCATCATGACCTGGCCAGGACCCCTCGACTGGAAGTCCAGCGCACTAACCATAACGCCAACGCGACTTTCACTGCCTGGTTCATGGAAAACTTAGGTTATTTTCCTCAATTTGAGCGAATTTTCAAAACAGAATGTATCCAGTTCAGCGCAAGCTGGTTTAAATGAGGTCCAGTATAATGAAAAATTTCCAAGTTTGTACCTTGACGATGTCACCTGCATGTCTGTTGAAAAGATAAAAAAACACATAAGCTGTTGAAGTTAAATAACAAGCTGAACAAAAATCTTCGATAATTTTCACGTGAACGATGGTCTTACCGTCCTTGTTCAGGAGTAACAAATGTATAAGAGGTTCCTTTTCTACCAGCACGGCCAGTACGCCTGAAAAAAAAATACTTTGTTTTTACAAGAGAATACTCTTCTTCTTTATATTGAGACAAAGTCCAATGCGTTCTGAGGACATAAATTTATGAGGAGATAAATTTAAGACCTGACAATGAAACGGTAATTCAATCGATTGTTAAACACTTTTTTAACCGAAACATCTTTCAAAACGGCTGTTGTAAAGACGAATTCTAGCACAAAGATAAACAGGATTTGACACAATATCAGCTCTTCCCTCTGAGATTGGCGAGAATTTAAATTTGACGGTCTCTCTAAAACTGCTGTATTTCATTTTAGAGAGCGTTTCCCTGGTGCTGGCCCGAAATATATTTTACTAGTGAAAGTGAAACATTTCTCTCATTCACCGTTGACCGAAAAGGCAAATAAAACAGGCAGGAAAAAACTGCCGCACGTGGCTTTTTTCCCGCCTCTTTTCGCTTGATTGTCACGCCACACAATCGATCTAGAAGCAAAACAAAAAGAGCGAGAAAAAAAACCCCGTATATCCAGTTCCCGCCTTCTGTGGCTTGTTGCATCAAAAGAAGAGGTACAGATAAGAGTTCACCTTTGATAAGGTAAGTCCTAACTCACCCACATCGATGTACATAATCTTCATAGTGATTCGGACAGTCATAATTCACAACCAAGATCAGCTGTTTCACATCCAGGCCTCTCGCTGCCACGGAGGTTGCAATCTGTGGGACAACCGAGAGAATTCGTGAACTAGAGCTATTGTATCGTCTCAGAGTCCTTTGATAAGCACGTGGGGAGACTTCAAAGTTTCAAAACAAAGGTCTGATATAAACTTAATTTCTAACATAATATGCGGTGGTCTTACCATTAAGTTACAGACGCCATTTTTGAAGTCGGCTATTGTGCTGTCACGATCAAACTGATCCATGCCTGACAGAATAGCAAACACGATTTTATTACAATCCCAAAAGCATGAATGTCAAAAATCCTCAAGAATGCAGTTTGAGAATAAGTTAAAACGTAGCTTCTCTGGTCGTGTGAGTGAAGAAAAGGGGAGGAGGGAGGGGAGGGTCGGGAACAAAATCGGCTTCTAAACTACTGCTTGGTTTATATAAAAAAAACTGTCTCCCCCTGGGAGGGTGAATGAATGCTATTTATCCTTGTCACTTCCACCCCTCCTCAGAAAGTAGCTTTTCGTCAGGTTGCCCTTAAAGAAAAGCACTGGGCAGAGGACACCCGTCCCGTCGAACAAATGCAATGATTTATATTAAATCGAAGTGATGCGTCCCAAATTATCAGCTTGACAAAAGTGTAAGCCGCCCATACAGAGAAATCCACTCTTCGCCTCTTTTCGATTGTAATCGCTCCACAATCTTGAAGTTCAAAGAGATGAGGAAGGTTATTTCAATTGCAATCCTTGTCTGCAAACGCTACTAGTGTGGTCACACAAGACTCAATCCAAAACCTAACCGAGGAAACCGCGTTACATTACCTCCATGGAGAGACAGACATGGATAGGACCTTCTCAGCAAATCTTTAAACAACATATCGGCGTTTTCTTGTTTTTCTACAAACACCAAAACGCTACCTAAAGAGACGAAACATACACGGTGAGAAACCAAACACACAGACAGCTTAGCAATAGAAATTATATATTTTGATTAAGATAATAATATAAATCCTATTTCACTTGATTTTTTGTTTCGGTCGGTGCGTGAATCCCTACCATTGTATGTACGAGCATATGTGCATGCATACGCATGCGAGTAAGCGCGTGTATGTATACGTTCGTATACATATGTATGTGCGTCTGCAATACATATTTGCGTATGTTATAATTTGGGTTTGTGCGGTCTAAGGACGTGTGTATATGCGTATGCATATTTAACAATGTTCTGTTCTTCTGTTCAGTCATTTCCCTTCGCGTGTTCACCTCGATATCTCACGAATGACTGAAGAGAACGAGTGAGATTTTCAATTGAACAAGAGAAGAGAAATTCCATATCAACGAACAATCATGTTTTATTTAGTTTATCATATAGACACCATAGGCTTTACTGACAGTTGTCGATTTTCGTCCTCAGCCGCGAGAAATGCCATTAGTAAAGATTAGTCACTTTTAAATTTTCGTTTTGTTTGTTTTTTTTTTTCAGTTTTTGGCTTTCTTCAAACACAACTAAAAATATATTACTGCTATTTTACATCATATATAGCTATAGAACACTAACCGTCCTCCTGGTAAATACCAAGTAACTCAAGTAGCTTTAAGAATTTGTCGTCTTCCTCAATAACAACCTAACAAACAGAAGACACATGCGCGCACGTTAAATTAATAACGGCATTCGGTTATATGAACATAAAAACCCTTTGTCAGCCGCATTAACAAACTACATGGAGAAGTAAGTCACGGAAAGCAGATAATTCTTGTTCACGCCATTAAAAGCATATATGAGAATAATGACCCTAACCGCGTTTGAGATTCAAAGAGCAACCGAACCTTTCGAAAATTATCCTCAAATGTGCTTCAAATTCCTCAAAGGAGGCCACCATTTTCAATCTCGCTCAGCAACCTAGTGATTTGTTTGAACGGTAACCATTTAACTCCAAAGATTTCATTCGTAATTCTCCTTACTGTCTACCATACACTATGTTAGTTTGGAGTATTTGGAATTGAATCGACCAATAATCCCCTTATTGATATTTTTCTTTATTCTCATAACTTTTCTGCTTGATATCGTACTGATAAGTGCAAAAAGAAATTCTGTCTATGTCACTGGTGGGACTTAAAGGGTTAAGGGGCTACACGAAAAAGGTATTCTTGACTGAAATAATGATAAATTGCGAAAGCCAGAGCAGCAGTTGTTTGCAAACCTGGCGTTTGGCGTTTGCGTGTAAGGTGAGGATAATGAGCTGTTTTTAAAATGGCTGCGTCCACAGTAGGATTTTTTGAGCGGATTTTAGGAAATTTTCAAACGCTTTGGTTACCCAATGGATTAAATACCTCGCCTTTGTGAGAATTCTTACCACATGTTGTGTAACATCTGAACAAACAACACTTCGACCGCCAACTTGTATCTTAAAAAACAAAACATTTCAAAAACTTTAATTAACAACACATTCACCGAGTCAGAAATATCAACAGTTTTCATGAAAGAAGACAATATAAAGCGACGCAGTAACTTCAAGTTCAGAAATTAAAACCAAAGTTGACTTAAATATAATCCGTTTATAAACTACGTTTTTTTTCTAACCTCAATTGGTTTTATAAGGATCTTCCGGGCTAAAGCTTCCATCTGGCGAGGGAAAGTCGCAGAAAACATAACCGTCTGTTTGTCTGGTCTGATACAGTCGATAATTCTCATCACCTGAGTAGGAGATAGGAACAAGAATTTTTCATCATTAATCTACCTGTCCACGCTTTTGTATCGTTTCTGCTTATTTGATTCGAGCTTCAAAATGGCTTAACCCTTTCGCTCCCTTGATCTCACTAGTAATTCTCCATACTGTCTACCATAAAATTCTTTTGATGTTAGTTCGGAGAATTTGGTATCGGATCAACGAATAGTGATATTTATCTTTGTTCTCATCACTTGTGTGCTTGATGTTGTACGGATATAGTTAGGAGAAATTCACTCTTGGTCACTCATGGGAGTTAAAGGGTTAGATGATTTTTACATATCCTCTTACCTGGGACAACACTTCGCGTGAAAGAACTTGCAAAAACTACCCTGACCACACGACCAATGACTTTCTATTCTTTTGAAGTAGAAAAAACAAAGACTGCCCAGATGCAAAGGAAAACTCCTAAGACTATGGCGGCAAGTTCATAACTTAAAAATAAAAGGACACTTTTTGGAGGGTGAAACAGCTGAGTGGAACTTTTTATTTTTCTCCTAGTGTTCCAAGTTCAACTCTTTCCTATTTCACCGCCGATAAAATCACTGCGACCAAGTTTCTCAGAACAACTCGCAATGAATTATATTCTCTTTGACCAATGGATGAAAATTAAGCAAAGAAATGATCCCCGTTGGTGAGGTACAATTTTAACAAAAGCAGGAAAAAAATCTTTAAAAAATTCAGGATTCACGTGCCTCCCAGATACTAGTTGAGCGCTACTACCATCACAAGTTATCAAATTCCGATGCGAGAGAAAGAAGAACTCCCTAAAATTTGCCTCGCTCTCAAAATGAGGCTTTGTAGCTCAGTTGATAGTAGCGTCCAGCAAGTGTCTGAGAGCATGGGTTCGAATATCGTCAAATCCTGGATTTTTGCAGGCTTCTTTTCTGTAATGCAAAATTCTCAGTCCACCTGCGAAGATCGTTTCCTTGCTTGATAGTTTTTTATGTTTTTGTTGTTCTACCTGAGGCTCAAATCCCATGTCAAACATTCTGTCGGCTTCATCCAGAACTAAATACGTGCAACGTCGACAATTTGTCACCCGACCTGGAAGAAAAACATTTGGCTTATCAGCTGGGGCAACTAGTCCAATTGTTAACTAAAAGCAACAATAAAAACATATCCTCATCGTTTGAAATTACCATTATTCGCCGTCAGCATGTCTATCATCCTGCCAGGAGTGCAAACAATGATTTCTGCTCCACGTTTGAGCTCTGCAATCTTATGAAAAAAAACCGTTATGACCAAAAAAATGGAGAAAGGACTTCAGCGAGGAAAATCAACAGACTTTCGGGTAGGTATTCCTTCATATTGGGCCCGCACAAACCCGTTTTTAACCATTCGACACCTTAGAGTGACCAGCATCTAGTTTCTCTTTACAGTAATACTATTGAATCATTCATTAAGATCATGAGAATAAAGGAATTGATCACCAACGTAAAATGCTTTGATTGTTAAACAAATTCTCCTTGTCAGTACCAAAGGAAATGTATAGAAAAAAGTATGGAGAGTATGGATACTGATGTTAGGGTGCAACAGGTAAAAAGAATTCGTTTTAGTCTCAACCAATGAACCAAAACGAGGAAAATCTTTCGCCCACACCTTTTGTTTGCCCTCACCTGAACACATCACTGCGTTTTCATTCGAAAAGCATACCTTTCGATGCGTTTTCACTAATTGCCCACATTAACCTTTTAAGCCCTAAGAGTGACCAGCTACTATTTTCTCCTTACATTATCACCCCTGAATCAAACATAAGGGTAACGGGAATCAAGGAAATGATCACCAACTTATAAAGCTCTTGATTTTTAAACAAATTCTCCTTGTCAGCACTTCAGGAAAAGTATAGAGAACAGTATGGAGAAAATGCATACTGATGTTAGGGTATAAAAGGTTAAACGCCCGAGAACGCCAAGGGAAGCGACGAAAAAAGGACATTTTCTTCACCGTTTTCAAAAGCCTCCAGTTCGCATAGCTCAAGACCTTATATTTTTTCACGAGCGAAAACCAAATTCCTCTATCGGAGAGGACTAAATTCTCCCTGATATAATTACACACAAACATTACAAGATTTTAAATAGGATTCTACTCCTAACCTGTTCGCTGATTCCTGTGCCACCGTACACACAGACAGCTCGCAGATTAAGAGGCTTGCAGAACTTCTTACACTCTCGGAAAATTTGAAGAGCCAGTTCTCTTGTTGGAGTCATAATTATTCCTGTAAGTTCAGAAAACAGTTCGAATAACTGGAACGTGATGCTGATCCAACAATATTTTCTCATAATTCAGTGTACTACCAAATCACATAATTAGACTAAAGTTTACTGTGAGGATTCCTAAAGGAAAAATTAATAAAGGAAGCTGCTCGACTGATTGTCCATCAACGAAAACCAACAGCGAATCAACAGCTGTCACTCAGCCACGACGGCCAATCAGGAGTGAGGTTAGCCTTACAAGGCGCCGATGAGAATTCAAAGGGCGGGAAAACGCAAGTGACCAACTCACGGACGTTAACCGTATTGTATCGCATTTGAGAAGAGAGAACAAGTTTTCTAAACCAATTAATGAGCGAAGTAGAGAAAAACAATTGCACTGGAGAGATGCTTTTGAAAACTTGATCTTTAGAGAGCTTTTCGAATGAGTGTCGTAAAACCTCAACTAAAGCAATAACGGCCAGTCGGATGAAAGAAAAATACCTTTAAAAGCCAATAAGAAATCAAAGTAAAAACAAAAAAAATTCTCAAAGCGCGGGAAAACGCGGGCGACCAAGTCATGATTGGATTTAGTTTTGCATCTGATTGGTTGACAAAGTGGCGCGAGTATTCTGGACCAATCACAGAGCGAAGTAAAGCAAAACCGAGGCAATCCCAGATTACTTTCGACAGTCAGTTGAAAATTGCTCTTCAGTCTGATCTACATTACCTATCGGTCCATCCTCCCTATCAAGTTCAGGCTGGTCAAGAACATGGCGGTACATTGGCAGAAGAAACGCTAACGTCTTACCACCTCCTGTTTTAGCAATTCCTAAAAGAAGATCAAAAGTAAACCAATAGAACTGTGAAAAATGCTCCTATGATTTTTCATAAGAGAAGTACAACTGCGACTTGGAGATTTTCCGACCGTGAAACGGTGGGCGCGTGCGTGCCTGCGTCATTTTAGCGGGAAAATCCCAATAACAGTCCACAGCACTAGTCTCTGTTAAAATGGTGTACAGGCAAAACAAGATGCAAAAACATGAGCAGTTTTTTTCAATTTTTCAATCAAGACACTGCTCGATTTCGTTCAATAACAACAACTACGCAAACTTTACCGCTAATGAAGAGTACAATGATGCCTCATGAGGTATGTACTTTTTAAGTAACTTAATTCTCCTACTCGTAATCAAACTTTTATTAAAATCTACAGGTTTCTTTCATGATGTCTTTCCTTACCGATCATGTCTCTACCACTCATAATGGCGGGTATCGCTTGAGCTTGAATGGGCGTGGGTTTCTCATAGCCATTCCTTTAAACGAAACAATTCTACACTGTAAGTAGCTTCAGTAACAATATGGGGATTTTACACAGGGTATCACAAAGGCCGATCAAAACAAAGGACAATGTACAAGGAGCCGAGGAGAACACAGAGTAAAGCAATTTACCTCCGCCCTGAAGGGCAAGTAAACTGAGGTGAATGACAAAAAAACAATTGGTTTAAAAATTCGCATCTGTTTGGTTACGAAAGTGGCGCAAGTTTTCTGGACCAATCGCAAGGAAAATACCACAAGAAGCCAATGAGAATTCAAAGTTGCAACATGCAAACTGTCTCAAGCGCGGGAAAACGCGGGCAGCCAAGTCACAGCTGGTTTGAGTACCGTGTCAAGACGAAAAACACCTTTTTCTCTAGATCTTACTTTGTTGCCCAACATAAACACACAAACTTACTTCTTCAGAACATCAAGAATTTTCAGGCTCACTCCTGACTGGGCCCATGTTTTAACAGGTTTTGGACAATCTTTGCCACGAACTCTGATGTTTTCTTGCTTTGCACGGTATTCATCGACCTCTGGAAACAAAAAAGAAAAACATTCCCTTTTTTTTCATAATTCATAGCCATTTCATCAGAAACTGAAAGGAAAAGATCAGTCAATTCTGACAAAATCGTGATTTCTCTAGGGGCTGGGCTAGGCAATTAAGTCTGTCAAATCGTCACAATACTTCACTTGAAACACTTATCAACTGAAAATGAGTGGAATTCTATAGAATTGATCCACTACTTAAACTAACAAAATGACCAACCAACAGTATACCTTCTTGGGTCATTTTTGCAAGCTCCGGAACTTCGACGTAAAAATTCTTTCTGAATGAAGAGTAATACACTTTATCATGATCAACAGCCTGTAGATCCTAAAAGATACAAAAAGTAAGCAGATTCATAAGAGAATAGCCGAATGCAACTTGAGGATCTTTTCAAAAAATCTCTGATGTTACTACCGATACAACTTTCTCGACAAAACCCAAACTACGTACGCATGGTTTCTTCAAAGCTCTTCAGCTGAGAATATCCCGTGTTTTCTCTATTTTTTTTTTGTTTTTTTTTTTTGTACTTTTAAGAGGCTACAAGACGTTTTTAGCTCTGAGAGCCACTCAAAATAAGAACTGGTTCATGCGTCAACATGCCTTCCGCGAGATGAAGCAATTTTTAATTGTATTGAAAGCAGCCCAGGGATTGTTTCGGTTTTGCAAACTTCGCTCTGTGATTGGTCCACAAAACTCGCGCCATTTTCTTAACCAATCAGATCCAAAATTAAAACCGTTCACGACTCCGTCGCCCGCGTTTTCCCGCGCTCTAGTCAGTTTGCTAGTTTTTACTTTGAGTTGTCATTGACTCTTCAACACATTTTCCTTTTTTTCTTATTGCCTATTTTCATTTCTTTGGTTTTGGTTCAACAACCCTTATAAATAAACACTCTGTGAAGCACGAGCTTAGTTTGGAAAAAACAGATGATGGGTCGTTTGCCTTAAAGAGAAATTAACGCCTATACCATTATATCTTTTGCGGAAGACTGAACTGTCTTAAAAATACCTTCTTTTTCTTGGTTTTAAAGTGTGCATAGGTTGACTCTATGGTTTCGTCTTCTTTTTCATCTTCAGAGGAATACTAAAGGCAACAAAAGATAAATGTACGTTGTTAAGCACTAAGTTCAATTATTTCATAAAATGAACTGGAGGAAGGGGTTCTCCTCTATAGAGCACAGCGGTCAAAGGTAGAGCATGCGCAAGTGAGCCAATCTTGAGCCCATTAGAAAACGACCTAGACTTAATATGCAAGTACAAATAACTATTGTGGTTGAGTCTTACCTCCAGGGCATCTTGGTCATTTTCCATTAATTCCCCTTTAGTGGGATCCTTATAAAAAAATTGAAAAAAGTATCATAAATACAAAATCGCTTTGCTCACTGGGTAGAGAGAGGTCTGGTAAGAGTTAATTATTGTGCCTAGGAACACAAAACAAGGTCCTTGCCAAGGTTAAACACAGATCTATGAGCTTAGAGTCCTGACCCAGTTGCTCAAAGGGCAGATAACGCTATCAAACAAATAAATCGCTCTTCAGTGGATAAGTGTTAACAAAACGTAAGGCGCTATCCAGTGGATAAAGATATATCAAATGGATAGCATTATCGATCCTTTGAACAACCAGGGCCAGTCAGCTGACCATAGACTACTGCATTTCCAACTATGTTATAATAAAGATTTACAAAGCAATAAGAGAGTTTTTCACCCACCCTCTTTTTTGGTTTTGTTACAACATGAGTTATAACTGTTGCCTTTCCAGCCTTTCCCACTTTTTTCTTCTGATCCAAAGCATTGATTTTTTTCACCTGGTAAAACAAAGAAAGGTACCTTGGTGACCAGACTATAGCAGTCATCATGCTGATAAAGATGCAAGTTCACTTACGTATTCAGGTTAACATTACAAAGGTTATCGCAGAAAATACATAATCAAAATTTGAGTCAGTTGAAAATGGTTTCGAGTTGAAGTTTTGTACCCGAGGGGCACTCTCGTAAGTAAAAAGCTCTAACTATAGCTGCAAAGACAGAATGCGGCATTTTCAAAACTTCTATTCAAACTATCCATCTAAAATAATTTTTATCTCCTAAAAGGATATACAGCTCTTTTTTTACGCTTGCCTCTGTTGGCCAAGGTCACTTATGGGAGTTCAAGAGTCAACCTACCTCCTTGCTAACATCAGCCATGAAAGCATCCAAGGGATCCACATCATCATCTTCGGGCTAAAAAAATGAATATTTGCTTCAGCTTAGATTCAATGTAGTTCAGTTGGGACTCAAAACTGTAATCATAACAAAGACACGTTTTTGGTTCCAGTGGAAAAATAAATACAATGGACTTACCGGTTCCTCTTTGATTTTTCCATTTGTGACACTCACAGGCTCTTTTTTGTCTGCAATAAAAGTCAAGATTTGCAAGAAGATTTAATAAATCAACAATGGTTTAGCATGGTCTGCACAGTTATCGACAACGATATTCGTCATTACAGTGAGTCCGAATGTCGTTGTTGATAAGAGTACAACAATGCTAAACCACTGTTAATTTGTTATTTACCACTATATCAACGTCATATAAAACGATTCTCTCAGTGCGTGACCATTGTGTGACATGTTGACACGAGCAGCGTCTGTACTCTTATTGTTTTATTTCTGATGTTTTAAAATTGCATTAATGGACTTCATTTTTGAGACTTTTTCACTACAAATATTGTACTAAGTTTACTGCAAATACATTATCCACACAAATTTTTTTAAATCCAATGGAACCTTTATTAAATAATGCTACTTACTTCCTAAGAACTTCTTTTTAGGCTCATCATCTTCATCCTGTGTGAAAAGGTTAATTCAGAAAATTGAAACCAAAATTTTTTTTTTTAGTATGAATTGAGATGACTGGTTGCTCTTTAAATATATCTGATCATTAATGCAGCTTCCTTTTCCTTCAACCAGTGATTAAACTATTTGCTATATTTGTGAGAATTCCTTCAGATTCACCAGTACCTGATCTATATTCCTGAGTAAAGAGAGGCAATGTGAAAGTAAAGCTCTGTATCTAAGAAATATTAGTATAAGAAAATGACAAAGCCGAGGATTGATTTTGGACCTTTAAATCCTAAGATCATTAGACAAACTTGCAAACCATGTTGATTATTGCTAATTGTTGATCATAAATTCATAATTAATTTGTCATAATTGTCAATTTATTATTGCTTATTGATTTATCATTAATTATTATTAATTGAGCTAACCTGCATCTCTTCCTTAATTCCTTCTCCTGCCTCCTCTTCCTCTTCCTCCTCATCATCGTCATCATCATCTTCCAGGCTCCAGGCTTTTTTCTTCTTTTGCTGATCTTTACTTGTCATTTCTTGTTGTTGTTTCTCCTCTTGCTGTTTTTCTTCCTGTTCCTTTTTACGCTGAGCCCTCCAAGCCTCGATTCTAGAAAATTCCAAAAAGCCAAAGTGAGAATATTTCAAATATTTACCCAGAATTCCACACAGATTGATAACAGTAGAACACCTGAGAGGAGTTCCTACAGGGAGAATTTGATTTGAGCTGAATATTTTCCATTTGGCCCAACCAAACTCAGTCGATTAGTATTTTATTGTACAACTACTAAGTGACAAAAACATCAAAAATTTTGTTTCAACTTTAATAAGTCATGATGGATCAAACACAGGACAACCACAAAAAAGATCCTACAATAAAGACATGCCCTTTATTTTTCTTTAATCAGAGCAAGAAACTCACAATTCATCAGAAATACAACTTACTATATCATTTCTCTCTGCCCTACTCACACCAACTTTCATTCTAGTTTTCTACAGGGTAGTACACACAGTACAGGACAGGTTATATGATGATAGTATTTCAGATTCCCTTCAATTTATTACCTTTCCCTTCTCTTCTGCATCTCATCCTCTAATCTTTTCTGTTCGGCATCCTGATGAAAAACAACAGAATCAACATTGGTTGTGTAACTGAATCCTTACCAGTAATGAAAAGAATGTGGTTTCTGATTGCTATTAAAAATACTCTAAATAAATATTCCAATACATAGAATCACTCTCACATATCAAGCAAAAGAGACACAAGAGATAAAAACATTTAATTCATTATAATTCATAAGATGGTAGAATTTTTCCATGCAACACATTATTATAAGTCAGCAATATTATTTTAACAAAACCTGATACATATTGAAAATTTAGCCTCAGTTGGATGCTTTGGTAATGGTTTTCTTTTAACCTTTTAGCCCCTAAGAGTGACCAGCATCCAATTTCTCCTTACAATATCATCCCTGAATCAAACATGAAAGTCATGAGAATAAAGGAGATGATCACCTACTAAAGTAGCTCTTGATAGTGAAACAAATTCTCCTTATTAGCCTCTTTGGAAATGTATAGAGAACAGTATGGAGAATATGCATGCTGATGTTAGGATGTAAAGGGTTAAGTTATCAAACTCAACATAGAGTTGCTGAACTTACTTTATCATCCTCTTCATGTTTTTCATCAACACTTGAACTTGTGGTTTCCTTTTTCGACTAAAAATAAAATCAACTGTAAGGTAGAGAAACTCACTGACAAACCAAAAAATGTTTCCTTTTGTTGATCTTTCTTGAAGAAAGAATGATTCAATCAATAACAATTTTTTATATCATAAATTAAGTATAGCCAATGACAACCAAATAAGCCAACCTCCTTTGACTTTTTAGTTTCTTTGCTCCGATCTGAATTGTCATCTTCCTCTCTTCTCCTCTTGTCTCTGCTGACATGAGAATAAAAATTAATGCATTAGATGGTAGAACAACACAATGCAGCATCTGAAGGTCTGAGATTCCATTCTTTTTGGGGACTCAGAATTTTTTCCTTAATCCTTCACTTGGGATGAGACAAAGAAACATTATTCTAACTTCTACTAACCTGCTTTTGGATTTTTTTTGTTCCTTATCTGGACTCCTACTTTTTGATCTTGCCCCAGGAGAACTTGAGCGATCACGGCTCCTTGAACGCTTTTTCCTCTCTTTCCCCTTATCTCTGTCTCTTTCCTTACTGCGAGGCCTCTCCTTCTTTGATTTCCTTTCTGCACTCCTGCTTCGTGAGCGACGCTTTCTCTGCTGGCTATCCTTCTCCTTATCTTTTTTCTTGGGACTACGGCTGCGACTTTTACTTGATGATGCACTGTGAGAAGAGCTGCTTTCTGATCGTTTTCTTTTTCTGTCTCTTTCTCTCTCTCGCTCTCGTGGCTTTCGGCTTGTTTTAGCTCTTCCTTTTTCTGGGCTCCTACTACGAGATCTCTTCTTTTCCCTCTCCTTATTTCTTTCTCGACTTCGAGAGCGCCGACTCCTATCTCTACTTGATGATCTGGAACGAGATCTCTTCTTATGTGACCTATTCAAAACACAGGAAATTATATCTTCATGTTCATCAAAGCTGTTAAAGTCTGAAGCAAAACTAATCATTCACTATAAATGTGATAAGTCTGGTTGTCTTCCATAATAAACTGAAACTTCAAATGATATATTGGTCAACCTGCATCACTGTCCATAGCTCATATTTAGCAATTGGTTTAATGAGAGAAATTTTTTCTCCAACATGGTGAGGAAAACTGAGCACTGTGTTGCAAGTTATGTCATTTTTATGATCTAAAACCTTATTGACAGTGGCTCACAGCCAATGAGAAAGCAAGAATTTTTACAGTTATGGTAAAATAATCTTTAGACATAGGCTAGCATGCAATGAGTTTTTGTTCACAAACCTGCTATCTCTACCCATTTGTTATTAAGTGAGCCACCAAGGAAAACTAATGTTCAAACTTGAGTTTGGCAGAGGAAGGAGGTTCTGGAAAAGTAAAATATTCCAAAAAAAAAACATGGTCAGAGAAAAAATGAGAAAACAAAGTTAGTATGATGTTTATCATATCTCTAGGTTGAAACAAACTTTTGAATTTAGCGCACTGTACAGCGAAATACACATCACTAAATTGACCACTCATAACGCACAGACAATAATAACATCCAAGTAACCGAGATTTAATTGGATTAAGTTTTGATGTTTCTATAAGAGAGTGGAGCAAATTTCTTGACCAATTAAAGAGTATGAAAACAAAACCAAACTCAATCCAGATTGTTTTCGACACGAAATTGAAAATATAGGTCAACTAATTTCACCTTGGCTGTCATGATCCCTCTCTATATGGATTTGCACGTGCAAATAATTTTATAACTGACTAGCTGGATTAAGTAAATTTTTTTAAGAGCATTTATCCATGCAATCGAGACTTTGAGAGAAGAAGGCCTCTTGAACCTTGCTACAGCACGAGAGCAACAAATGTAGCATGATCCATCAAATATATGCATTTTCAATCTGAGATGAACGCTCATACAGCCATCTTGTGTATTTCACCGTGAGGCAACTCAAGTCACAAGATTTCACTCTAGATTGCGCATATACTTACAGGAAAGGCTGTGTCCAGCAGCAACAATCGAGGGTTTTATATCATGGCCATATTTTTCAAAGTCACATTTGTTACTTTCAAATCACTAAACGAAAAAATCCAGAACGGATGAAACGAATCGTAAATGTGAAAGCACACGTTTGGTCAGCGTTAGACTTATCCCCTAAAAAGTGCTTAGTGTAATCGTCATATAGTGATGTGGTAGATTAGTATAAGAAACAACATGACTTCAAAAATATAATTTGGTGTTAATAAGTACGACTACATTTTTCAAAGATAAAGTAGTCTTTGAAAAATTTACAAGTACTTATTTACACCAAAGTGCACGAGAAATCATGTTGTCACTTGTTAATAATTCACATGAAGAACGCGTCACTAAGCGGAGTCCAATTCGGTCTGTAATCATACTAATGACAAACCAAAATCGGACAACTGCGAAGCGGGAGCCCGATTTGTCAATCACGAGTATGATAACAGACAGAATTGGACGACTCGAAGTCCTGTTACCAAATAATCATAACTGTTATAATTTCCGGAAAAAAAGCAAAAACATTTAGGACAAACATCTCCAGTAGAGACAATGTCTAAAATAAAAAAAATCCTCCATTTGGGAAATTCCCCAGTTTTTCTTTTTCAGGATAAGTACTTATTGTTATGGTTATTGTTACCAATTTTGTGATTAGTGGATTTAGCTGAGTGGACTTAGCATGATTGGCTGTTTCAACTGTCCGATTACAGCCAACTGTCTGATTACACTGTCCGATTACAACTATACAGAATGATTAGTGAAAAATAAAGCAGATTGTGATGGTTATGATTAAAGAGAAAATAGACGATCCGTGAAGAGGCTTTCTTAAATATTGAGATCAAATTTTATGAAATTACTTCTACACCGATTAGGTACGTAGTAAACCTAGAAATGGATAGCTCGCTAAAATAGGTTCTTCTCAACATATTAAGGGGTCAGATAACAAGTGATACGCTGTGAAAGTAAGGTGAGGCATTTTTTATTGAGAATTTGACCGTATTTTTTTATTCCTAAAAGCGGTCGTAAATATTCCCCTACAAACTCTTATAATTTCGCCCTAACTCTTATTTCGCAAGGTGATTATCTCACAGCCGGAGCTTAGGCCGCCTTTGGGGTGATGTCAATGTTTGTTGGAGAAGTTTATGGCGGATTGCAAACCGCGAAGCTGAAAAATTTAGCCAACTCTTTTCATGATTGTTACCGTGAAGCGTTTGTCTACATCGTCACGTGGCTACTGTTGAGTACGTCACGTATGATCGCGTGACTAATTAGCTCCCGGCCTAGCTGACCGTATCAGATGCCAAGGATAACGAAGCAAGACTCGCTTCACTTCCAGCTACGCGTAGCAATGAGCAATAAGTTAAAGCGAGCATGGGCAGCTTACCAAAAGTACAAACTGATAACACGAATCATTGCAGCCTTCGCTGGTGCGATCGCAGGAATCTCTGGCTTCGTAGCCTACGTGAAAGTTTACCAAAACTACAACGCTGCAACATGGGCCGCCATTTCGGCAGTCTTTGCTATTTTGTTCCTCCGCATTAATTTTTCTGTTCGACGCGATCACGAAAGACTCATTACAAGGGGAACATTTACGTTATACATGTGTGCTGGTATAGTCGCTTTGGTGGCTGGATTGGCTGCAACTATCGCTTACATTGAGCTCGGGGTGAAGGATAACGAAAAAGGTAAGACAGACTGATAAAAGAGCAATTGAATATATTTACTCACATGACGCTATCGACATTGCTGGTCCTTGCAGCGCTCGAGAAGCTCATTGGTAGAGTAATGGGGCGCGGAAACCGCAGCCTGTAAGTACAAAAGTCCCTCATTACATTTGAGCACCTTACCACAAGCGGTTCAGTTCGTTTGCGGTCTTGAGCAACCCGAGCCGGCGTGAGGTTTTGCAAGGTATCTGCTTTTAAAAAATGTGCCAAATCCCGAGCAAACCTTTACCGAACTCGTCTCAAATATTCCATCGGACTGCATGAGAAACGCGCGTCCTGAAGCGCTATTAATAAAGGCTTACTCGTACGCTGCGAAAACCAGTAGTCTGATGTTCGATTCCTCATGGGGAATCATGCAGAATTTTTTTCTCTGTTCCCCGCTCGTGACATGATGTAAAATCATCTTTCTTTCAGAAAACTTGTTTTCACTTGAACAAATAAAACCCGTCACCTGAGAAGGCGAAGGAAGTTCGAATAAGAAAGTACTTTCTCTTGCATCCAGTTGTGTTTTAGGCAATTTTAGGCTTCTCGAGCAGCAGGACGTTGCACTTAACAGCCAAGGGAATTTATTCAAATACTTTGACCTTTCAAGAGCAGTGAGCTTTATTAAGTAAACTTTTGATGACAGTTCAGTGCATGTCAATTATATGTTTACAAAGGAAGCCATCCCCCTGCTAACGTATTCTTTCAAGATCACAGAGGAGAACCAAGTAATATCATTTTGCGCTCGAAGGCCGGTTTGTGGGTTGTTTTCTTTTTTTACATTTTTCGCGTGTTGTTTATGGACCTTTCCACTACTTGTGCGCACCATGTTTCCATCTACGCCAATAAAGGGTAAATGTCGCATGCTGGGAATGGTAACCTGTCTGAGCGCCCGTTTAGTACAGGAGTTTCACTAAGCCGTTGGGAGACGCGGTTCCCAATTGTTAGCACGTTGAGCTCTGGGCCGAGAGTAATAGAAATATTACTTTATTCCCACAATGCCTCTCTCTCCACCCAGGAGTATAAATGGGTACAGGTACAGGCGGATTGTCAGGGAGGCCTGATATAGCGCTGGTGGGGTAACCTTGTGATAGACTTCCATCCCATCCAGAGGGGAGTAAAACTTCCTATAGAAACCGAAATAGGCTCCGGTTGGATGGGTCACTTGGGTCGAGTACAGAATTAACCTGCTTTTTACTCGACTAAAACCTCCCAAATATTCACTTTAAAATATGAATACGTTTATAACCTTTACAGAAATAACTGCCGACGGCTACCTGGTGGTGTGTATTTGGACTATTAAGTCTTTAGGCTGGGGTTTCTTCATCTTCATGTCTGCAAGGAAGTTTAAGAAAGAGTACCTTGAATCTTCTCCTTGTTTGGTGCAAACTACGAATCAAGTCTAAAGGCTAACGAATTTTATGCAAACACTGAGTATCAGGCTGAAATGTCTGCATGCTCTTGTATATACTAAACTGTATAAGTCAGTGGATCGTTACGTACAGACAAGTACAGTTAAAAATTGTTTAAATTTTGTGTAGAGGACTTCAAGGTAGTATAGGTTTTAAGTATTAATTGTGGTAGAGGATTCAGAGAGGAATTCTAGTAGAATTTGATTCAGTAATTATTTAGCGGACAACCGGGTGTAAAAAATCGCGGTCGTATAAGCGGTGTAGAATTTTCTGATCTTAAAGATCTTAAATTTCTGATTGGGGAAGGGGTTCAAAACTCATAATTCTTCAAAGAGAAAGTTGCTTAAATGTCTAAAAGTTGCTTAGAACGATTCCACGAAAGTCAGCCTTGTTTTGCTTTTCATATTACCCAAATAAATAAGGATTATAGTTATTTTCATTTTATTTTTTTACCTGATTCTTAAGTTTTGGAAAATTGATGAGCGAGTCATTGTCTTCTTTTCGCTGAAACATTATATCACCGAACAATCAATATTTCGACTGAATAATGAACATCATACAAAAGAAGTTGTTCATCTGAAAACACATACGTTACCTTGTGATTCTTATCCATTCAGGTCGGGATGCCTTAATTTGACTCATTAGGGATCAAGATTTCGCATTTCGGGGCACACTAAGCTACCCTACCCTGACATCCATCCATTGGGAGGTGCAAGAAAGTAATGAGCCCCCTCCCCCCCCCCCCCCCCCCCCCGCCAAGGCTTTATAGACCGTTTGACTTCGGCTTATCGCGCAAAACGCTCTGTCTCATATTACTCCTATTTTCGTGCCAAACCATGCTCTGTTTTCTTTTTCGCACAGTCAAACGAATATACTACCAAAATATTATTAGTTATGAAACCAGAACTGCAATGCTTACCTGACCTAATATCACCCAACCCCCCCCCCAAGTTTTTTTGATCCAAAGCGAATATTGCGCTGTTTGATATAGAAACCCGTTTGACGCGTGTTCCTTTTTTTTTTCGTTTTGTTTTTGCTGAAGAGCAAACACGTCACGCGTCGAAATGTTGTGTGACAAGCGTTACCCTTCCCGTGGTGCGAAGAGGCACATGGGTAATACTTGCGCCTTGAAGTTGCGTAAATATATTTTCAGTGAGTGTTTTGCACGAGACAGCCAGGTTTGATTTGCCCCTTTAAGACACTATGAGTGAAACTCTAACGCGAGTATCGATAGGATACAAGAAGTACAAGACAGTTTTACGGATAATTGGAGCAGTTATTGGTATTCTTGTTGGAATTGCTGGATCCGTAGCCTTTGCTGCGATTTACCATAATTACAACGCGGCTAGCTGGGCCGGTGTGTCAGCAATATTTGCGAGTATTTTCCTGCACTTCACCGTTGCTGTTTATCGCGATTTCAACAGGCACTTTTCAGTAGCAAAATTTACCATTTTTGTGAACATCGGTTTGGGTGGCATGATTTCTGGAATAATCGCCTTCATAATAAACATTGCCTTTGGGATAGCAAGACATGAAACAGGTTAGTGTGTACTGTACATGTTTTAGACAAGTTTTAGAGGTGCTTGATTTTTCTCATTTTTGATTAGCGCCAGTTTGTTCAGCATTTACTCCATGTTTTTTATTTATGAAGCAACGCTAACATTATTGAATGAATCGGCGGGCCGAACGGTGTTTTATTCGGCACGAGGTCATGCTATCTTCACGTTAAGTCCGAAAATAACTCATTCAATAAGTACTTTATTAAATAACTACCGCCCTTTCTCTTTCCTCCTCCCTTATTGCATTTTGCCTGTGGTGGGTCCTTACTCACATTACTTGACTAACAACAGTGACATAAAAAGTATTTGTTCGCAAACACACAGGAGGGTTACTGTACTCAAGCGCTCCTGAACAAAGCACTTTCCCCGTACTTTAAACTTATGTAATGATCTTCCTGTTGCACCCAATGGGGGGTTGGATGACTTTGAAATGTTAGCTAACAATTTACACTTGTTGAACATTCTTTAAGATCTGAAATAAATAAAAGAAAAAGGAATTGGTCAAATTTCTTGACAATTATCACATACCTCCTCCAGGTGATAATGATGATCAACTGATAACTGATTCATGATTCTCTTTTTCACAGGAGTTGTTATCACAGGGAACTTCATAGTGTGTGTGTGGAACTTTATGACTTTCAAGTGGGGCTTGTTCACATTCCTGGCAGCAAGAAAATTCAGAAAGATTTACTTTGAAGCAGATCCTGAAAATGGAGGTCTGGTAACTAATGCATAGAGAAGTAAAGATGTGTTGTATTCAGCTACATACAATGGTAGTTGACCTGACCTGTGATCAAGCTAGCTGGAAGTAACTAGCTGTGAAGTAACTAGCTGTGAAACCCATTACACCCCAACATCAGTATGCATATTCTCCACACTGTTCTCTGTACATTTCCCAAGGTGTTGACAAGGAGAATTTGTTTAACAATCAAGAACTTCTTTAGTTGGTGATCATTTCCTTTATTTGCATGACTTTAAGGTTTGATGGAAAGGTGGTGATGTGAGGAGAAATTAAAAGACAATCACTCTTAGAGGTTAAAGCTTGAAAAGTTCATTGAAAGCCTGAGAGATCTTTTGTGCAGTGAATTCTCAGTACAATGATAGGCTTGGCAGGGTTTGAAATTACGTGACTGAAAATGGGTTATTGTTGACCGGAATTTCAAGGCTAGGCACCTGCATGCAACAAGCCGTAAGTCTCGCAAATGTTGTTTATGAAAAAAACAGTGTTTAAGGTACAAAGCATTTGTAATTTTGATTTGTTGCATTTGATCCAGTCAACTGATGATGAAAAGGAATTGTTATGTTTTAAGCACAAAAGCATTTCTAAGACTTCACCACTTTTATTTTTCTGTTTTGTGGAACCTTTACAAATCACATCTTTTTGTGACCAAACAATAGCATTTGGCGATTGAAACAAAAATGTTTAATCAACACTTGGCGTCCTGGTACAAAAGTGACTTCAGACCCTGCTAACTAGTACATGAAATAACTGATACATAATCAAGATGATAGAGATCCATTCAGGGTGAACAATAGGAGTACAGAGCAAAAACTCATGAATACTGATGCTGGGGCCAAGTTGGAACCTGCCCTCAAAGTAGCTGTTAGCACTCCAAGCTGGGGCTGATAGTTGATAAAAAATTTGGTGAAGAGCAGCAAAGATGGCATTTGTCCAGTAGACATGCTGTCAGCTGTAATGTTTCATTATTTAGTGTTTACGGTGCAGAGTTCAACTGAGTTAAATTTTGGCACACAATAATGCTCAGTCGTACAAAACCATGAGATGTCTATGATAGATTTCTTATATTGATAATTCTGTTTTGTCTCTGAAAGAAGTACAGAACATGGATAGCCTATCAGAGATTTTACTTGGCAGTAATTCTGTTTTGTAACTGAAAGAATTATAAAACATGAGATGTCTGTCAAAGATTTCTTTTAGTAATAATTCTGTCTTGTCACTCAAAGAAGTACAATACACAGATGGTCTATCAAATATTTCTGAAAGCAATTATTATGTTTTGTCACTCAAAGAAGTACATAACAGCATGTATGTCAAAGATTTCCTATAATAATAATTCTATTTTGTCACTTAAAGAAGTACAAAATATAGACAGTCCATTCAAGATTTCTTGTAGCAATTATTCTGTTTTGTCTCTCAAAGAAGTACAGAACATGGCATGTATATGGAAGGTTTCTTTTAAGAATAATTCTGTTTTGTCAGTCAAAGAAGTACAAAATTATTTAATTTCACTCTGACAGACTGAAATCCCAGTTATATTGTTGTTAATAGCAGCAAAAATATTTTTAAAAAAAATTGATAGTTTGTTACTGTATGGGGATTATTTTAGCCTGCAGAACAGGCATAAATTTTAAGTGATTTTCCCAATGGCTTTTGAACAAAGGAATAAAGAAAGCTGGATGAAAAATTTACTGTGGCTTATCACTAAACTGGGGTTAGGTCACTTCATGCTGTGAAAACTGGGATAAACTCTGGCAGGGTTCATCACCTGGCTTGAATGCAGGCTTTCAATCAGGTTTCAAATTTTTAAATGGCCTTGTTGCTCAACATGACTTCAAACAAAGTGAGAAGAGGTCTGTTTAACAACACAACTCTCACAGCCACTGTGGCTTTTCCAAGCTTTCATAGCTTGAAAATGTATAGTTACTCCCCTCTGGATGGGAAGTTAGTCCATGGTAAGTTACACCTCCCCCCTCCCCCCCTCCCAGCAGTTTGTCTAGTTCCCCCTGACAGTTCACTGGTACTCATTTATTCTCCTGAGGGGAGAGAGGCCTATTAAGGGATAAGTGCCTTCCTCAAGAACACAACAAGCAATATATGCCATATGGAAATTGTGTAAACATTGCCTGATAACTTGACTTTCCTGTTGTTTTATTTCAACTTTATTTCCTTCAAAATGAAAAATTTTCATCATACCTTGAGTTTCCATATGATGTTTAAGGAATATAAAATTCTCCAAACTTGTGTGAAAAAGAAAGGTTTGGAAGTCAGAGAGGAAAGTATATCTTGTTCCTAATAACGGAAGGACATGCCACCTGTTGAAGGCAGATAATTAAATTCAAATTTAGGTGACTGTTTTGGGCTTTTCTCTTTACTTTATGTCATCTTTAGAAGTTTTTACTGGAAGATTTCAGTGATTTAACTTACTTCTCTGATTGTAAAAAGTTACAGCTCCCTAAATTATAGGCTTAAGTCCTAACTGGTGTTTACGTGAAAGTTTCATTGAGGGAAATTATGGCAAATTATGTCATGATCTTTTGTTTACTGATAATATGCAGCCCCAAATACACCTGTTATCATGAGTTTTGCTTTCCGCCTCGTGCGCCCCACGTGTTTCGAGAACCATCTGGAGTAAACATGATTTGCGCAATATAGCTGCAGTGACGTCAAAAGTTTGAAAAGCTTCGCGATGATGTAATGGCGCGACCTGTCGAAACAGAGGCAAGCTGCGAAAAATGGCTGCCTTTTATCGATACTCTTGCTTATGGCACGGTTGTGGTAAGCAGTGCACTTCCTTGTTAGATCTAATCGACCATATCGAAGTCATCCATATCGAGAAAGATCCAAGAGTTCTCGAGAAACAAGAGGCTGCCCAGCCACCGGCGCTACCTTTATCGTATATCAATTGCTTCTTCACCGATGCAGCACGCAATGCTAAACAGAAGGACCCTGTTTTGTCCGCCACGGAATCAGCCACGCCAAGCCCAGAACACAATGTTTTAAAAAAGAAGCGGGTAACCCCTCCTAAAATATCTATTCCGACATTGAATACACCAGATACGCTTGATGGGGGAGAGGAAGATGGCAATATGAGTGACAATAGCGACGATTCTTGGACTTCTGATAGTTTCGCCAGCGACCTGGTATTGAACGCCGTGGCAACGGATGATGGCGAAGGCAAGCGATATATTTGCCCAGTTCCTGGGTGCGGAAAACGATACAAGAATGTCAACGGAATAAAATACCATGCCAAGTATGGTCACAGAAAAGACTCGAGCAGGCCGAAGCTGAAAGCTTTTAAATGCCATTGTGGGAAAAGCTACAAAAGCCCAAGTGGCCTTCGACACCACGTAGCAACGCAACATCCGACCGGGCCAAAGCATTCATTACCACAGGAACTTGAAAATATGGCGTGAAAATAAGGAAGTTGTGTGAAAAAATTGTGGTGGCAAAAGTTGACATATATTTCGTGAACATTTCTTTTCCCACTGGGACTCACCGTCGTCTTCAAGACACGAAACAGCTGTCGCCTTAAATGGGTTACATCCTTTATTCATCATTTTTTTAGTATTATTGATGAGACTTTCCAGCCGTACTTATCAATTCCTCATCGAAGAAAAGAGAAACCAACGGATTTTAGCTTTCGAGTCACGATCCTTAGGGAATATGCGGTGAGAAAAGGGGTAATCAGATTTCAAATAGTTCGATCACTTGACGCGTTAATGATTTCCTTCGTCGCTGCTTTGGTTGGACAGCGCATTTCCCTTTTGTCTGATCAGAGCATTCATCAGACTCTAAAACTGAAGATGGAGAACTTGACCGTGTTTCGCGGCATTCGCCAAAAAAGAGAAAAGAAACTGACAAGGTATTCGCTAAGTTATTGTTTTAGGTTGGTTTAGATTCTCGGTGAAATGTACACGGGTGACACGAAATGGTTGACGGTGACATTCGTTTAGTTTTCGTATTCTTCCGGAGTTATTTCCATTAGATAAATTAAGTCTTTACGCCGTACAAAGTCAGTGGAATCTCTTACCATTAAAGATATAGTTTTATTTATGAAAAAATGTTAATTATTGTACAGTTTCGACATCATGCCCAGATTGTAATTAGATTGAAACAGACACTGGTTTTAAACGCGTGATGGGTTTTTTCAGCTCCTTTTCACTTGGATGTCGTTCCATTTAGAGATTGTAAATAGATTAACTTATACTGCGAACACAAAGTTTTAAATGGATCCCTAATATAATAAAAGACAAGTAAATAATTTATTAATTATAGTGGAATGTTTGGTGGATGTCTCGTTTTTCTTTTATGTATAGTGTTTCAGCTCAGTAATATTACTTTGCTCTTAATGAACCTCTTGTCAAACAAAATATTGAAGTAGTGGAAATATCTACTTTAGATGAGTTGATAACCCTTTTAATCTTTAACACCCAAACATTAATGTTAAAATTATCCCCACTGTTCTCTTTACATTTCTTGTGGTATTGAAAAGGAGAATTTGTTTGACAATCAAGAGTTTCTAAATTTGGGATCATTTCCTTTATTCTCATAACCTTTGAATTTGATTTTAGGGTGAAACTGTAAGGAGAAAATAGATGCCAGTCACTCTTAGGGAGTTAAAGGATTAAAGGAACTTGCTTAGGGACTTATTTTGGAGACTGAAAATGAGTCTTAGACGAAAATTTGTGGATTCTATGCCTCTAGGAGGGCTAATCATTAAGAGATTTGTAATTAAAGTAGAACTGACTTAAATCAAATTGGGTCTGTGGTCATATGAGCATTGAAATAAATTGCATCAAAATGGGATTCCCATTTACCAGTCATGAGTGTGATGCAAGCAGGACAGGGCAACACAAATGTATGTGGCAAATTTGTCAGAACTGTGATTAAAGATAAGGAAGTAAAAAAAAAGTAAAGACTTTATACAGGCCCAAGTGGCCCATGGGGCCAGCGCTGAACTCTGGTTCCTTTAGCATGAATGGCTAGGAGTATTGCTACTCCCCCCTGGATAGGATGCTAGTCCATGGCAGGGTTGCCCCCAGCATTTTTGCTGGTACCCATTTGTACACCTGGGTGAAGAGAAGCACTGTGAGAGTAAAGTGTCTCACCTAAGAACACAACACAATGACCCTGGCCAGGGCTTGAACCCAGACCACTCAATCCAGAGTCAAGTGCACTGACCATGAAGCCAACATGCCTCCACAAATGTAAGGAAGAAAAACATTAATTGCCAAATATAGACATTGATGAAAACATGATGGTTGACTTTTTCTACCAGAAAACTATTAGAGAGCTCTAACCCCCTTCAATGAAAGTATTAAGGAGGCACAACCAACCCAACCCCCCTCCTGCCACATATTTTGGTGTAAAAGTCATCACAATTGCAGCATAAATTGGGTTTGGATTATGATTAATTATGTAATTTTTCCATGAATCCTGTCATCAGGATCATGCCTGATGAATAACATTTTACTTAGATTCAAATTTGATTACAAACACACTGGACACCATAGAGATTGTAAAGAGGTTTGCTTTTGGAAGAAAACAAAACCATGGGCATTCAGGGATATTTCAGGAGGGGCATGAACAAGGCGTGGTGAACTTAATGCTGCCCCCCCCCCCCTTCTTTCCCTTTCCCCAAGATGCAAAGAGTTCTGACAGCAAAGTTAGTGGTTTAAAACATATCTGTGAGGTACTTAGAGCACAGCACATTTAATCACAAATACTTGTTGAAAGAGCACCCTCTTATGACTGAAATATTATCAAAGAGTAGGAATTTCAAAGTCTAATGTATTGACCTTGCACCTCCCATGAGTGACCAAGAAACAATTTCTCCTAACAAGACTTATACAATATCAAGCAGAGAAGAGATGAGAATTAAGAAAAATATTAACTAGGGGATTTTTAGTTGATTTAATACCAAATTCTCCAAACTAGCATCATGAGAATTGTATGGCAGACAGTAGGGAGAATTTCTAATGAGATCTTGAGAGTAAAATGGTTCAAAGGAGAGCACTTTCATCACGTTTTTTGATGGATCTTATGACTCAGACTTGGAGCAAAATAAAGAAAAGTTAGATTCAGTGGCTCAGCTATTGAGCAGAACAATGCTTTTTGTCTTTCATTACCCATCACGGCATGCATTGGGGTAAACAAAGGTTGTACTGTCTCTATCCTATGTATACAACAGGGGGGGTCATCTCTACCAAGAATGACACATTTATGGGTAGGAGAGCATTAAAGTGTGAGAGAGAAGACACTCTGGAGCTACACTTAGAAGAGTGTCCTGGCAGTGCAGGGGTTCAAGCATATTATACCATCTGCCATTAAATATGTGTTGTTATAGCATTGAACCTTGTTTGGTGAATTTGACTTTTACCAAGAGGAATCTTCTTAGCCTTTTTAAAGCTTAAATCTGTACTCAAGTAAAATGACCCATCCATCCACAGCTTATTAAGCTGACTTGGGTATTTCTTCTCTTCCCCCCCCCCCCGATGGAATGTCAGTCCATTGCAAGGTTACATATCAGTACTTCAACAGGCCTTCCTTACAATAAGCTGGTAACCATTTATACTCCTGAGATGGGAGAGGCACTGTGAGAGTAAAGTATTTTGCCCAAGAACACAATGGAGGTAGAAAGGATGTGGCTGGGTTGGTCCTGGGCTTCCCATAACCCCCCTCCCTCCTTTGTAAGGCATTTTTTGTCACATTAAGTAAAACATGGCGTGGATGTCAACATAAAAATCTGGTGAGTACCCTCTGTTTGACACAGAGTGACCCCCTCTTTGAAAAATCCTGGCTATGCTCCTGGGTAGAAGGGTGAGAATTTCCAACTACCCATACCCTATTCTTTTACCTACCCCACCTTTACCTCCCAAATCTCAGCCATTCTACCAAAATGCCGCAGGTTGACCCTTTGACCCTTTTACCAGCATCTTAGTTTTTTTCTTTACAGTATAACCCCCTAATCACATATTAAGGTCATCAAATGATCATCAACTTAAGAAACTCTTAATTGTTAAACAAATTCTCTTCATCAGCACCTTGAGAAATGTATAAAGAATATGTATACTGATGTCAGGGTGTATTAAGGATGACTGTTCCCATCTTGCATCTCTGTTTATTATCTCCTGTCTTCATTATGTAACTCACTTACCACACACCCCTCTCCTGTTCTTTGCCTGCCTCTTTTAATAGGCCATTTTCAGTTGTGTACTTAGTTGCCAAGCCTTTGATTTGGAGTGAGGCTGAAGGTGACCTTGTTGTGATAGAGACCAGTATCCAATTAACGTGATAACAAAGTAATTTGCATTTGAAAAGCAGCAAAGTTTGTATCATAACAAGGTCACCCTTAGCCTCATTCCTGTTCAAAGGCTTGGCAACCAAGCACGCAACTGTAAAATGGACTATTGACTTCCATTCCCTGTCCCTTATCTTGACGCGAATAAATTACAGAGCTTCATTTCCATGCCCTGAGTAATCTGAAGACATTTTAATGCCCCCCATAGACATTACAGTCTTTCAAGTCATTCTTGATTATTTTTAAGCTAAGTCTTTTTAGCTATGTAATAAATCCTTTATTGACCAAGATGGCTGGATATTAGCCTTGTCCTTTTTTGCGTTCTTATAGACCTCGACTTGGTCTCAGTCCCTAAAAACGCTAAGAAAGATTTGGCCAATATTAAGTTGCCCAGTATTGATACAAACCTATTACGAAGCCTTACTGCGGGCTATCGGGATTTGGGACATTTGGGTATATGGCATATTTGTGTAATATATGTGTGAAACTACAAATTGATAATTATTTCCACTTTTGTGGTGTAATTAGTTTCTAGTTCGTTACGTAGTGTATTTCTATTGTTGGAAATTTCATAGACGTGGATGAATGAAAAAATACCATTTCTGAGTTTAGCTGAACGAAGATGCAAGAAATCGTGTTAACATGTACTTGTCCTCGATCGTTTTTTACCTTCACCTTGCATATCGATGGACCGGTCGTATTTCACATCATTCGGAGCCGGCAAGAGTAAATATTTTGACCATTTTATAGCCAACGGTTGAAATTTTGGCCATTCTATGGCAATGGGTGAATTTCTATTGTTCTAAAACACATTTACATTAAAAGCACATTTGAATGTGATCCTCTTCAATCTCTTCCATCATTAATTACTGCCTTGTGTTTTTAATTACATCCAAGAACTTTTCCTATGTTTGCTCAATCGAATTAACCTACATCTTCTAACACCACCCCGTGTTTTCGTGGTGAAATTTCGGAAAGAACAACAAACGCGCCCTTTGATTGGCTTAGGAACGCACTTTGCTGGCTTCCATGTGCAGGTCAAGATATGGAGTCATCTTTCAATGCAAATTTTTCACTTTGTTTTTGTTTTTTAGATTTCTGTGTTGTGGCCGAAAAATTAGACAGGTGCAAAAGTCTGTGAATTTTTGCACCTGCCAGACACCAGAGGCGATTGATATACTATTCGAGTGGGTTTTATATACAGTTGGGTTATAATGCCCACAAACGATAGAAAGTGGGGTCTATTGCTCAAAATGACAGCAATTTAATAGCCAGATTGCGAAAATGTTCAGTAAACATTGAATCAATTCCTGTTTTCAATTCAAAAGTTTAAAATCATTTTGATTCTGAAACGAAAAGTTTATGTGTGTGTGTTTTTGTCCTTCATGTCTACATTGTACATTGGTTCCCTATTATCAGACTCTTATCAAAGTTAAGCCTGACGGATACCGGCATCTTTCCTCGTAGGACATCGATGATGGTTTCCTTAATCAGGACAACACGCTCTTAATTAGCGTACCCCAAATTACTAATTACTAATTAAAAAGTAGAGCGCTTTACAATAAATAACAAAAAATTTGCCTAAATCGTGGGAAAACCTGGGTGACCCCATCGTGATTGGTCTTACTTTTACATATGATTGGTTAAGAGAGTAGAGCGGGTTCTCTAGGCCAATCACAGAGCGAAGTAAAGCAAAACCAGTGCAATTCCAGATTACTTTCAGCACACAGTTAAAAACTACTCTGATATCTAAAAACACATTTTTCGGTGAAAACATAGGAGAGTATGGAACGAGGCTAGTGAGGGTTCAGAACGAACATTTACATTTTCAGACTTTATAGGAAAACGAGTCTTGCAAATTCAGGAGTCGCTTTTAAAGAGAGGAAATCCATCAGAAACCCGTCTTCATGTTTGAAATTCAGGCAATTCAGCCTTCTGATAGAGTTCAGATTTTTTCGTCGTGCTTTGAGGAAGAAGCGACCTCTCGCTATGTCACTGATAGAGAATCAGTGGGATACGATAAAAGCTCGATAGAGGAGAAATACAGATTCAGTGGTCTGGAAGAAGATGACCATGAAAATCCCAGTGACTCTCAAATAGGCCAGCTTCACAGCCCTGTGGGCTGTTTGAGAGACGATGATATCCAAGTTGGTAGGACCTGCAGACAATACGAAATGAGCCCAGCCAAGCGTAAATATGGTCTACAAGAAGTTGAAGGGCAAAACATGATCGAGAGGATGCCACATAACAAGGAAAGGGGTAATCCAAATGGAATTTGGCATTACCAGTCAAGTAACTTACGAAACCTGGGCAACAACCAAGAATGCTGTAGTTCGCTTTACCAAGCCAGCAGTAAAGGATATTCCTACAACCAAATTCAAGACAGAAAAAAAATGAGCACCAGCAGCAGAACCGTTGAGGCGTTCTTGGGCCAAACACGGCAAAGAAGAATGGGATTTTGTGGGGGAGAAACAGCACTAATCTTGAAGCAACAGGGAGAAATCATCTCGACTCCCCTACCTTGTTTGTCTTGGTCACTCATGGAAGTTAAAGGGTTAAGTCGCATAGAGGTTTGTGAAGAACCAAATCTGCGTCGAGGGAGACGAACTGGAGTGTGCCTAGAAACTGATGAAACTCGAAAGCATCGCACTTTTAACCGCGTTTTAAGAAAACGTTTTTAAGACGTTTAACTCTTTACACTATGTATATTGATTTCATTTTGCAAGATTGTATTGCGTCTGAGGCATTTGGAGCGAGCTAAGTTGTTTTAGATCAGTTTCCAATTGATGGTCGAAAAACCAAAAGCCAAGTCAGAATCACATCAGCCAATCAGAAAAGAGGTTCATACCATCATTAGCCAATGAGAGCTCAATGTGCAAGAAAACTGTTTGAAGCGCGGGAAAACACAACTGAAAAAGTCATAGTGGTTTTAAGTTTTTCATCCGATTGGCTGTGAGGATGGCGCAAACTTTCTATGCCAATCACAGATCGAAGTAAAGCAAAACCAAAGCCATCCCGGATAATTTTCGACTTAATCTCTTACCCAGATCCTACCGTGCAATTGTAAATGAAATGTTTACTTAGCCGCGGAAGGTCTGGGTACAAGACTACATTCGACCATCAATTTTTTTGACATGAGGTAAATGTTACCTAAGGCCCTTGATCTTACCATCGTGAGAGGGAGGGGTAAGGAGCTGGACACCATTAACTCTCTCCTCCCATGATAGACCCCTTGACATAGAATGAGGGAAGGCTCTCATCATTAGCGTTATGGTATATGACACCACGGTTTCTTAGCCTTAGTGGTCTGGCACTAATAGCTATTAGTACCAGTTCCCCGGCAAACCTCTTCCCGACGTCTTTTCGCGGGCGGAGAAACGCGTGTCCTGCAGCGCCAATAATGAGGGCCTGGTACCAGACTACCCTCGATAACAAAAGAAATGGTAAAAATATAAATATTTATTTGATATCTTCTGTAAAGGTATATAATATTCGGATCAATATCAGTATCTAAGCAACTGCAACCTACCCCTCCCCTAACTCAACAACAGTCAATTGACAACAAGTTAAGGTTAATGTTGGGTTAGGGGAGGGGTAGGTGGGCAGTTGCCCAGATACAGATATTGATCCTAATATTCTATCAAGTGTGCAAAAATAAATGATATGGACACCGTTCGCGCCAGTTTTCAATATGTACATCGTATAAGTCTTAGTAGTTTGAATTAAAATTATTGAACTACTGACTGCTATATGGACTTTTAATTTTTATACCATGGCATTAACAAACATTGCTCCTGATTTAAAGTCCTTGTATTTCCTCTGATGGAATGTTAGGCCCGAAATGATTGGAAATCACGTCCACAACAAGGCATTTTTCAGAAACCCAGAGCACAAAACGAATGAATGAGGTTCGATTTCTCATAGGGACTCAGAATTTTTTCTTTGTCCCACGCCAGTGACGGGACGAAAAACAACTTTTTATGGGGCATCTTTTGTTGATGTCTACTTCAAATCCTTGCTATCATAGTGGCACACGACTCACATGTGTTTTTCCGTTAACCATTTGGTGATTGATTAAACTACCCCTGCAATGTCCTCACTAATTTTATCAAATGTTGGCTTAAGTGAAAGCGCGTTAAATTCTAATCCCTTCTGATTTCGTTTCTCTTTTAAATTGTCCACTCTTCTATTCATCAATTAATTATCATCATTATTATTATTATTATTATTATTATCATCAAAGTGATTATTCTTATTATTCTTATTATACTGTGCAAGTTCCGTGTCGTGTCATGCGCGATGTTATTAGTCAGCGGATTTCACCCATACGTTCTCTCTTATTTCGTCGCCATCTTTGCTGGTGAGTGTGAAAAATATTCCACAACAATCCGCTTCCATCGGGATCGAAAATAAATCATTTTAAGTTTTTTTAGTACTTACTTTCTTTTGAAATCTCAAACTGTTCGTGACTTCTAAACTTACAAGAATATCACACAGTAATAGAGCGAGAAACTGTTATGATTTCAGCCATCACTTACATTCAATTTGAACGTGTCCTTCCAAACCTTCGTCTTTCTTTATTTTTTGTGTTGTTTTTGCGTTGAAAGTCTGCCGATTGCATCTTTTACAGATTCCTCCATAGTCATGGGGAAATTCATCAAGTCTGGCAAAGTTGTGTTGGTTTTAAACGGACGTTATGCAGGCAAAAAGGCTGTCATTGTGAAAAATTACGACGATGGAACCAGCGATAAACCTTACGGTCATGCACTCGTGGCTGGAATTGCTCGCTACCCACTGAAAGTTACAAAGAAAATGGGAAAGAAGAAGACGGCAAAGAGGTCCAGGATAAAGCCTTTTGTAAAAGTTTACAACTACAACCATCTTATGCCCACAAGGTGAGTACTAACCCTCTGCATCCCAGCGTCAGAATGCAAGTTCTACATCCTGTTCTCTATACATTTCTTATGATACGCACAAGGAGAATTTGTCTAACAAACAAGAGCTCCTTGAGTTTGCGATCATTTCCACTATTCAGATAACCTTATGTTTGATTCCGGGGTGATGTTGCTGAAAGAAATTAGCTGCCTAAAGGATTAATTGAAAATTTGCTCAGCTGATACAACACTGTAATTTGCCTGTTACACAAAGTTCCCAGAATTAATGTTGAACCATCTTTGTCATTGTATTGTCAATTTTATTTCTCCTGAGATAGTTTTAAGAAGCAATAATCGACCTTAATCTGCTTCAATCTTTGTCAGTTAATCCTATAACCCTAAACTCCCAAGATCTGATTGTTAATTCTCCCCTGTAGCTGCTACACATTTCCTTGTGAATTAGTTATGAGAACTAGGTGCTAGATCAAGATAGCAGCTTCTACCTGATAAGTTTGAATATTCTCTTTACCTGTTTGTTGGAGAACGTATGGATATTGTAGGGAGAAGTTTTATGTTAATCACTTCTGGGAGTTAAAGGGTTAACTCCCAAGATCTGACTGTTAATTCTCCCCTTTAGCTGCTTCACATTTCTTTGTAAATTAGCTACAGGTATTTGGTGTTAGATTTGGCTAACTTCTACCAGATAAGTTCAAATACTTTCATAACCTGTTTGCTAGATATTGTGTGGATATTTTAGGGGGATGTAACATATTTAATCACTTCAAGGAATTGCAGGCTCAGGGTTGAGCAAGACAAAGTGATATGCCCCTCGTTTGATCAATTTTTTTAACATATCTGCAACTCCAAACAGCTTGTGATAACCTTTTTCAGAGTAGGTAAAAGGCAAAATTTCAGGTGAGATAAAGCTAGAGGATTGGCCAATGAAACAAGGACTAAATTGGTCTGAGGTTTATTGGGATCAATGGGTTTTATAAGATCTTTGATATGTGGGATTTTAATTTATTGCCTGCTTTGTAATAACCAGGGTAATAATTCTGTCCAACAATTTCAAAACTGTGTATTTCATAATTATAGAGAAATCCTGTCTTTTGTCTGCAGGTACTCAGTCGATGTCAACCTGGACAAACAGGTGATTAATAAAGATGTGTTCAGAGATCCAGCACTGAAACGTAAAGCCAAAAGGGAAGCCAAAGTGAAATTAGAAGAAAGGTAGGCCAGCCTTACTCATGCTTTTGTTTTTGTCATTGTTGTTTTGCATCCATGTGACCATGGAACCCAGAGAACCATGTTACCAGAAAGGATCCTGGAACGTGACTTTCTCAAGAAAAACAAACTCTTTAGGCATGAGAGATCTAAACTTACTCATCAGTGATGCCAATGCATTTCTGGTATTTTGGTTTGCTCACATCTCTTTGTCTCTGTTGTTTGAAGGGCTGATAGCACTATCCACTGGATAAATCTCTTTGCAGTGAATAGTGTGTTATGGTTTGTTAACACTTATCCACAATTACAATTTATCTGTTGGATGGCATCATCCACCCATTGAACATTGGGGCCCTGGTCTCTGAACCCTAAAATCAGTATGCATATTCTCCTTACTGTTCTATAAACATTTCCTTAGATGCTGACGGGGAGAATTTGTCTAACAATTAAGATCCTCTTTAGTGGGCGATCAGCTCTTTTATTCTCCTGACCTTAATGTTTGATTGAGGGGAGATATAGTAAGGAGAGATTAGATGCTCATCATTCTTAGAGGTTAAAGGGTTTAAAGATGAGTCATGACACATGAAAGTTCTCAGTGATATTTCAGATATTTTTCAATCCTTCATGGTTGTCCAAGTTTGACAGTTAATTATTGTTGACCATTTTTTTAATTCCTCTCTGTCATTTTGGTTAAGTCTTACTCACTAGCTAGGTGGCTCATTCAGGTGTAGCTTATCCCAGCTTTCATAAGTGTCTGGTGTTGAATTTCCCCTTACAGTATCACCCTTGAATTAAACTTAAAGGTCATGAGCTAAAAGGAATTTATCACCAACTGAAGAAGCTCTTGACTTTGAAACAAATTCTTCTTGTCAACACCTTAGGAAATGTAGAGAGAACAGTATGGAGAATATGCATACTGATATTTGGGTGTAAAGGGTTAAGCAACTAGGAGTTTTGGTAATCTCCTGGGATGGGTTACCTGTAAATGGCTGGGTACTCTCGGAATTTTTTTCAGGCTTCCCCAGTTAATTATTCAGGACTCTTTTACAACCCATGATTAGAAAAGGAGCTATGAGAGTTGTGGATGTTAACCCAAGAACACACTCTAATGACCATCCAAAGCTCAGACCTTCTCATCAAGACTCAAATACACTAGTTGAGTGTATCACTCTTGCTCTTACCAATTTCTATTGTAACTTTAATTAAGTAAATTAGGTTTGATTGAGTCATTATTGTATGATACTCCACTCATGTAAGTACTGTAGTAACAAAATTGTCTCTTTCCAGGTACAAGTCGGGCAAGAACAAATGGTTTTTCCAAAAGCTGAGGTTCTAATCACCAACCTTGTAAAAAAATAATGAAATAAAGACTGAAACATAAATGTCATCTGGTATGGTTCTTTGATCTCAGACAGCTAATCCCAGTACAGATTTAACAATGTATTTCACTATATGGCAACACAGCGGTTACAAATTAGGCATGTGAGAGTGGATCAGTTTTAGCTATCTGCACACCAATTTCTTGTGCAAAATTTCAAAGGAAAACTTGAGAAACAACGGCAGTCCCCAATGCAAAATATGTGAAATGATGGTTGAAACGTTCATAGAAATCTGTGAAAGGGAAAAAAAGTAAGGTAAAGGATAAAAACAGAACTTATTCAAGAGAGGTATCCTGTTGATTTACTATTTTCTTTTGGAGCTTTATTAAAGAAAATTATTTGATTCTGAAATACACAGCCAAAAGGGATCTGCTTGGGCATACCTGACGTGTGTCCGCCGTGTTCGGACAGCCCGTCCCTTGAACTTTCCAAGGGATTTCCCGAAGCAGTTTATCAAGGTGAAGGCTTGGTGTCTAAGCCTTCATGTGCTATTGGAGCGGGAAGGTTAAAGCCAGTCATCCTTAATCTTTTGGTAGTTTCTCGAGGGTTATGCACCTTTGCAGTGATGGATTATAATGCAAGTAGGGAAGATTTTCGGTCATCTTATGACTATTCCTACGAAGGAGGTGTACCTACTGACGATGAAGAGGGCGATGAAGACTTCTCTTCCCGACCTCATGTCAGTAGTCATAGCAGACAGTCTGTGATTTTTCCGGCGAAAAGACGCCGAATGGACGACCCTAGCTCTACACAAACTCATCAAAATGGGCAGTCTTCCACACGGAAGCATTCAACCCAGTTTGAGTCTTGTTTGGGTCACAGTAGAACAATTGTTCATGTTGACATCGACTGTTTTTACGCGCAAGTCGAGATGATCCGGCGACCTGAACTGAGAGACGTACCCCTAGGAATTCAACAGAAACATATCGTGGTCACTTGCAATTATGTCGCTAGGGAAAGAGGGGTGAAAAAACTTGTTTACATCAGCGATGCCAAAAAGACATGTCCTGATCTTGTTTTAGTTAACGGGGAAGATTTGACTAATTACAGGGAGTTTTCTGGAAGGGTCCACTCCTTGCTGTCAGAGAGGTTCACACCCCTGGTAGAAAGATTAGGGATGGATGAGAACTTTTTGGATGTGACTGAACTTGTGAAATCACGCGAGTTGGCTTTGCCGTCTGGAAGGAGGGAATATGTCGGGGGTTTGTACGCAAGCAGGGTTGAAAATTGCAAAGATAAGGTTTGACCATTAAACTGTACTATTGCATGCATCGTCAGCTGTTTTGTGTGAGTCTTAAGAGCCAGTTCTGGAAAAAAATGAGCAGCAAAGTTGTGAGTTGTTTGAAGATCTGCTCTTAAAACGGGACATTACAAAGCGATAACTGCAAAACTCCATAAAACGTATTGTAACTGATAATTCTCGATACGAATTAATCAATCAATATCAAAAATTGATAAAAATCTTTGGCTAAGGTTTTTGTGATTATCAATTTCACCGTTAGAATGAAACCGTTACTTAATTCTGATTTGATTTGATGTAATTTGCTCTCTCAGCCCAGTGAATCAATATTATCAATTTTATCAATCTTGTGATTATTGATATTTATTAATTATTTTAGCTAATTGATCAACAATTATCAAATGATATCAACTAATTGACAAGTTTGTAATGATTTTTTTTATCAACCTTTACTATAAGAAATCATTTATTTTGATCAATTGATTGTCTATTAATTATGGATTTATTATCTGTCCTAGGACATTACTGCATGTCCTTGTGGTTGCCATGAGAGACTAAGAATTGGATCACTGATTGCAGCAGAGATCAGGCAAGTAATTCTGCAAGAAGTTGGTCTGACTTGTTGTGCAGGAATTGCTCACAACAAACTCCTGGCCAAACTTGTAGGTGCATGGAAAAAACCCAACAAACAGACAACATTACTTCCAGAGGATGCAGGGAGCTTGTTGTCAGGACTGAAAGCAAAGGATATCCCAGGTATTATAGAAGAAAAAGGAATCAGATCGCAGAAGACATGAAAATGTGACAAAAAAATCAGTGACACACTGGGCTGCACCCTGTTTGCCACTTTTTTGTTCTTACCACATTTTGATGAAAACTGTGATTTCATAATGAAGAGATGAACAGCAATCTGGAATCTTTTTGTTAACCCTTGGACCCTTAAGAGTGACTAGAATCCTATTTCTCCTCACAATATCACCCCTGAATCAAACATAAAGGTCAGGAGAATAAAGGAAATGATCACCAACTAAAGAGGCTTTAGATTGCTAAACAAATTCTCCTAATCAACACCTAAAGAAATGTATAGAGAACATTATGGAGAACATGAGAACTGATCTTAGGGTGCAAAGTGTGAAAGAGATAGCAAATAAAGTGCATAACATAACAGGGTGCAGTTGTAAACAAAATGGAATGAAAATCCAAGCTTTTCTTTTTGCCAAGTGTTGAACAACTCATAAATTTATACTCAAACAATGAGATTATTTGGTCTCGATTTCTCGGAACAATAGAGTCCATGCTTTGCCCTCATCAACTATCACATGCTAGAAATTTTAAGTTTAATATCTGATTGTTAAATGGAGCAGGCCATCCTTGAGAGGTGGAAAAACTTTGGTAGGCTGAAATGAAGTTATGGTGGAGAACGCAACTTTCTCACCTGTCCCTGTGAGTTTGGGTTTACTTTCAATCAACCCTTCACACCCTAAAATCAACTTGCACATTCTCCACACTGTTCTCTTTACATTTCCTAAGGTTCTGATAAGGAGAATTTGTTTGACAATCAAGAGCTTCTTTAGATGTTGATCATTTCCTATATTCTCGTGACCTAAATGTGAGATTTAGAGGTGATTTTGTCAGGAGAAATTAGATGCTGGTCACAGACAAGAGCTAATTTGTTCAGTGTGGCCAGAGCTAACGAGAAAAAAAAAGCTATGTTTCCTCTAGTTTAACATTTTTTATTGCTGTATGATTAATTACCAATTTTTTCTATAATTTTCCTTACTGTTGACTCTATATCATTGTGTTTCAAGAAAAGAGCCAATCAGGGATAAAAAAACCAAACCAGAACAAGAACAAGAGCTTTGAAAGAATTAGTAATACACTGTGAAATCTGCCACTCCAATCCACTGATCTCTCTAAAATAGCAGATAACAGCAGTAAAATTTACTGCCTGTAGTACCTCTTACTAAAATCTCTTGGAATTCTTGAAAATTCAGCAGGTAAAAGGATTGCTCAACTACCAGTTTTAAAATTTATTTTACTTGTTGTGCTGTGTAATCTCAACTTATACAGAAAAGAATGCCATTTGCGAATTTCTGTTTCAGTTATTTAAACCTGATTTCACTTTGTTTTGTTTTATGTAGGTATTGGACACAGCACAGCCAAAAAACTTCAAACAATCAACATTTCATCTGTTACTGACCTACTTTCATGTCCCAGTCAAGTCTTAGAAAAGGAATTTGGCCATTCACTGGCAGATCTGATGATCAAACTCTGCAATGGGATTGATGAGAGCAAAGTTACTCCCTCTCGAGAATTTAAAACAATAACAGATGAGGACTCTTTTAAATGTTGTTCAACACTTGAGGATGCAACAAAGCGGCTCAGGGGTCTTGTCAAAGGGATATTTCCAAGAATTTCTTCCAGTACTACATTACCTCAAACTGTGAGAGTCTCCATTCGAAGAAGAGGTGAAAAGTCACACAAAAGAGAGAGTCGTCAGAGTGCTTTACCGCAAGCAATTTGTTTTGCTGACGAGGAAAAAGCAGGAGATCTTCTCTTTGAAGTTTGTGTCTCATTGTTTAAGAAAGTTGTGGATGTCAATAAACCATTTCACCTGAGTCTTCTGGGAATTTCATTAACAAACTTTTACAAACCATCTAGTGGTCAAGCCAAAGAAATCTCAAACTTTTTTCAAAAGTCTTGCAGCAAACATGCAAATCTGACATCTGTGACATCATGTAGTAGTTTGGAATCAAAGGGCAATTATCTCTTTGAAAGAGAAGACTGGGCAGCTTTGCCCAAGAGCTGTGAAGATAAATTATCTGATCAAAGAACAAGTAATGTTGGCACAACCAACACTAAGGACTGGAAACCAGTGGGGAGCTCTAAATTAACTACACAGTATACCCAGCCAAAGGGAATAAGCATTGATGGGGCTACCAAGGATGTGAGTCAACCAGCTATCATTTGCCCCAGTGGCATAGACCCTGCAGTTTTTGCTGAGTTGCCTTTAGAGCTGCAGAGGGAGTTGCAGGCACAATGGCCACAGTCAGCCCAGGAGACAGCGAATACCAAGAGGGTTACTGTAAAGGAGAAAAAAAGGGCTGGAATTCAAAGATACTTTACTAGAGAAGGTGTAAACAATGATTCTGGAACACCTAAATAAAAGAGGCTTTCCAATTACACAGAGCTGTAATAGAATCCTGTTAATTCAAGCACAGTTTACTTGAACTCTCCTTTTACTACAATAAAATGCTATTTCCCTCGGATTTGACCCCATTTTTATAGTTATTTACCATTAACAACTCAAACTCCCCTTTAACTCAAACAGGTTATTTCCTTTGTCTTGGCTTAAATTTTTCCTGATAACTTAAAATTTACCCCTTTAACCCCTAAGAATGACTAGCATCTAATTGCTGTACACATTATCGCTACTGACTCAAACATTAAGGCTATGAGAATATAGGAAATGTTCACCCATACAAGAAGCTCTTGATAATACAAATTCTCCTTGTCTGTGTCATAAGAAATGTATAGAGAACAGTATGGAGAATATGCCCATTGATGTTAGAATATAAACAGTTAATTAAAAATTGCAGTCATTAAATGTCAAAGTGTTAGAATGTAACTGATTGACATGTACCAATCTTGAAATTCAACACTAATCCCAACAACTCAGATTCCTGCCAAATGGAGCTTGTTTTTCAGGATTTGAGTCAGCAGGGTTCTACTGTGTCTTGTTTCTGAAGAAACACAATCTACCTAAACCAATAGAATTATATGGCAGAGAGCAGGGAAAATTACTTATTAAATCTTAGGAGTGAAAGCATTTAGTCTCCCTACTAATTTCAACACATTAAGAGTATTAGGGCAAAGCATTTAAGAGTTGAATCAAATATCTGTCAGTTGATAGTTTTCTTTATTCTTGTCAACTTTTTGCTTTCCATTGTGCTATTGGAAGGACAAGTTACTCCTTGGTTACTTCTGTAGGTTAATGCTTTGACTCTAAGAAGTGATTAACATGTAATTTCTCCCTGTAACATCCTTACATTACTCAGTGAACAGGCAACGAGAATACTCAGTTATCTTGATTTCATTCCAAATTCTTGTAACTAATTTACAAGAAAATGTGAGGCTGCTAGAAGGGAGAATTAACCATCAGATCTAAGGAATGTAGGTTCAATCTAACGAGGAGAAACTTGCCCAAATTTATGATTAATGTGAACACAACAAATTCCTAGAATTTAAACCAAAGTTACAAGTAAACAGTAACAAAGTGCAAGCTTGTTGTGCAATAATCTTTTAAGCACTGTAGTACAATGGAGCAGATAATTTTCCAGTAGTAATTTTTTTTTATTTTACCACACCATTGTCCAATTGAGGCCCAGGTGGCATCACATAATCATTTTTAGTAATATTGAAAAAGGGTTCTTTACAACATAGGCTAGTTTGCAAATTCAAATCGTACGACTTTGATCATTTCATCAAAACTGGAATAATTTTCGATAAATAAGGACTTCTCTTGCAAGTGGTTTGAAGAGAAGTTTAGATTCGCCATCGCCTTCTATCTTCAATTACTTTCCTGTGAAAAATGGTCGTAAATTTGTATTCGTCTCGATTACCCTGTTGATATCCTTCCATGAAACCCAAGATCGGCGATTCCGAACGTTGGCTAGAAAAGAGTCGCCCAGCTGGGAATTACATACTCGTGTTGCTGTATTAGTTTAAAGCAAAAAAAACATCAACGTCGACAAGGGGAATATAACAGCATATCAAGTCGGCAAATGTCTGAAGCTTTACAAACGAATTGAAAACCAACACACTGAGACCCAGTTTTGCGGCCAACAATTTCGCAATCTTCATCAGAGTTCAGGAATATTGTCTTGGTATGTTTACACAAAAGTGATTTCAAAGGTCATTCCCGATAGATCTACTCCTTTGTGCACTAGCTTGAACTGAAATAGAAAACTAAAGTCAGTTGACGCAGTAAACAAACTTTAATTCACTTCCATACACAACATCGTATCATCCCTCGTTAGGAACAGATAAACACACTTCAATTTCTCTGGACGGTTTCGAATCGCCTAGCTATTTAAATACAAATACTTGTTTAGCATCGCATAGTTCAACTGCTTGTGAAGTATAACTGAAATTCAACCAACAATGTACAGAGGGAAAGGTAAATACGTAACAACCTATACTATTTCTAAATCGTCCAAAATCCGTTTGACTAGAATTTGAAAGAATATGTCTGTATCATTATCTCCTGTCCAGTATACACAGATAATCACCCAGTCGTTTGGTTCCAGGCATAAAGAGCGGACTTGCACTGACAAATTGTAACGATTTCATTCTCCGTCTCTATCATCCTGTTCCGACTGCCACAGTGTTAAATTGTCACGAAGGAGTTGCATTATCAACGTGCTGTCCTTGTAAGTATCTTCTGCTACACTGTCTAGTTCTCCTATCGCTTCATCGAACGCAGATTTTGCCAACTTACAGGCTTCCTCAGGGTCGTTTTGGATTTCGTAGTAGAACACCGAGTAATTCAGCGCCAAGCCAAGCCGTATGGGATGAGTGGGACTCAAGCCCGCTTTAGCCTTCTCCTGAGCCAACTTGTAAGCGTCGTTCGATTTTCCCCCAACTGCTTCCCTCTCCTCATCTTTTTCAATCTCAACCAGGTAGCGATAGTAATCGCCCTTCATCTTCAGGTAAAACACATTCGCCTCTAACTGCGCCGTACTAGTTCCTTCTTCTTCTTTGGGAAGGAGGTAACGATCGATCAACTCTAGAACTTCATTGCACATTTCTTTCAATTCAGCTTCAATCTTCTTACGGTACTCTTCGGCGAATTGGTATTTTCCCTCGTTTTCCGGTTTATCCTTGTCTGATTTCTGCTCTATGCTTGAAATAATTCGCCACGCAGATCGCCGTGCACCGACCACGTTCTTATAAGCAACCGACAGCAGATTTCTCTCCTCATGATTTAGCGCCTTATCTCCCATTTCTTCCACTACTTTTTTCATGGCCGTTACCATGTCTTCATAACGCTCAGCTTGCTCTGCTATTTTTGCCCGGTAAATATTTTCTTCTATCAGATTCATCTTGACTTCACAATTTAAAATGCTACAACCCACCCAGAACGAAACCTCTCAAACAAATTTCAATTGACGCTGTAAAATTGCAGGGAGCTGCCTTCTTTCTCTTCCTTGGTCACGTGTCTCAGCTGAAGTTTTGCGTGATTTCTGCCAATCAACATCGCCAGTAACATCCGGGAGGTTTTTTAACCGGGAATGCATAGAAATGGGTGTTGGACGATTCCTGTGAAAATATACAAGAATCGCATACTATCTACAGCAGATACGGAAAATTTATCGACAAATGATCAACACGCGCAGCAAATTAAGAAAAAATCTGCCCTCGCTTTCCCGAAACCCGCTCTTCGCCCTATGAGTTTATAGCTAGTAGTTTCGCTGTGACAAGTCACACTCGCGCGTCACACACGTGTGACGATCGCGTGACTTTTCAAACAGTCTCGCGTGTTGTCCTCGCATGACAGGTCCCCAATATATTTGAAGATGTTTAACGAAGCAAATTCAAGCAAATCCGGGTTTTATTTCCCTAAATAAAATATCTGTATCAGACAGAGGGTACTCACCAGTTTTTGCCACCTAGATATTGTAGGTTGTTTGCTTAGAAAAAGGTTCAGAAAGGGTAAGTCACATGCACCCCCCCCTCCCCCCCTAGCTACACCCTTGCACTCCTACCAAATTGAAGCTTATACATCAATCAATTCAAAGCTTCAACATCCCCCCCTTGGCATTGAAACTTTGAAGACTGGTTCATACAAATTCCTGTCCCCTTTCCAGGCCAAAATTGCATTCAAATACCTCACTGAACTATAATATTTTTATTGAATGATTCTAAGTGTAGCTAATGAATGTTGTACCATTGAGCAAAGTCAAATTTGGGGCTGCTGTTGGTCTTTTTGCTTTTAAGCATCATTCTTGAAACAAAAAAATTTCTTCTAGGCCATTTTCTTATAAAAATTTACTTTTTACCTTTGAACTCCAACATATCTTAAGTTAAAATACCTGTATTGCACTCATCCAAATTCACCACCCCATTCAGAAGTGGTTTTAAAATTCCCAACCCCCTGACAAAGGTCAAATGCCCATGGGGGGGGAAGGGAATGTTGAAGCTTCAAATTGATCTGCACAGCACATAAATATAACTCAAGGGTATCAAAGTCAGCATGCATCATTCTCTATTTCCACTGTTAGGCTCAGATAAGTTATTCTGGCATAATTTTAGGTATAATGTTGGTCGGAGCATCAAGCATGATGCCAGAATAATGACTAAAGTTATTGAGTATAAATGAGTTAGACTGCCTTTCAAGTACTTTTACAATGGAGTTTTGGATTCATTTTCAGCATATTGGTCTCAAATGCCATTTCTTGTACTTTCCTGTAATTTTCTTGCCCAGGTTACTTCAATTAAAGGCCTGGTTAACACCTCATGTACTCAGCAAGAGATAACAAGGGGTAAATATATGTGGCCTGAGAATTTGGTTTCATATAATGTTTTCCTTGAAGTGCAGAAAGCGTTTCGTCCAACACTAGTTTAACTTGTCAACAGCAGGGAGGGAGAGGGGAGGTTCGAATGGCTCTTAACCCTTGCATCAGTATGCATATTCTCCAAACTGACTCAATAAATTTCTTAAGGAGCTGATAAGGAGAATTGGTTAAACAATCAACAACTTCTTTATTTTCATGACCTTTATGTATGCTTCTGGGGTGATAGTGTAAGGAAATATTAGATACTAGTCACTCTAAGGGGTCAAAGAGTTACACTGTTAACCCTGTAACTCCTTTGAGTGACCAAGATGGAATTTCTCCTTAGCATTTCAATACAATTTCAAGTAGACAAGTAATGGGAGTAAAAAGAAATATCAATTAGGAGATTATTAATTGATCCTATGCCAAATTCCCCGAATCAACATCATAAGAGTTGTACAGCAGACAGTATGGAGAATTACTGTTGAGATCTTGGGAGTGAAAGGGTTCAGTTCAGTTAGTCATAATCATGAGCATAGTTCATGCTTTCAGGGACGACACTTGGAAGCATAATGCTCGAATTTTCGAGCAAAATATATATGACCCTACTCTTAGTCATGTTTCTATACTTGCAACGTGGGAAAGAAAGTGATTGAGGTCAGATAAACTGGAAAAAAGGAAACTGCTAGAATGCCATTTGATCACACAATGTATAATATAATTCCTAATAATGCTACCTAAATTACATAATTAATTATTTGGCAATTTTCTCACAATTAGGTAATATTCAATTAAAAAAAAAAAAGTATCAGAGTGGTTATTCTTATGTAATTCACAGCCAAACTAACATTGATTATAGCAGTCACATTTTCAGAAATTACAGATCAGTAAAAAAATCAACTCTGATTTTCAGTGGTCAAAAAAACTGGATGACCCTGCTCTGAATCACTACCTGATAAATCATATCAAAAATGGAGAAGTAAAGCTTGGTTGGTAGTACAAATAACTCTGTCCTCATCACTACCATATGAAAAAAAAACCTAGCAGATTTAAGCCATGAGTCTCTCAGGAGAAGAGAGCAAAAAATTCCCTCCATTAAACAAAATCCACTTACAACAACTTCACTGTTCATGCTGGCAAGTCACCTTGCTATAGTGGTCAACAGTTTCGCAGAAATAAAGTAGAGAAAAAAACTACCGGAAAAAATATTCATTCACCCTGAGTACACGAAAAATTATCCAACAGTAAAGTGCTTATGTTATACTATCAACTAAGTGCTCAGAATTAAACGTCAATATAAACAAGCACGAGGTTTCACCTTAATTATATATTACCATTAAATAGCGCTTCCTAGTGACATACCACGAAACTTTTCAGAGTCACACTTTAATTAATCTATAATGTATTCCATTCTTTAGTATGCCTAATGTGAGCAGCATCGGAGATCTAGGACTTAGACAAACAACAAAGTGTAGGACATTAAAGAATTGCATCGTAATTGACTTTGAATTAACTTTACAATTTTTTTATAATGTTATATGCAAACAAGATTACACTATACACCATAAGAACGTTGCTTTCTTGACGTATAATTCACATATTTCTGTCTTAATATTAGCTGAGATGGCATTCACCGTTAATTATGTAAAAGCTTTGAAAACTTCCAGAGGTCTATCTTGCGCTACACCAAATCAATGACATCTAAACATGAGTGAAGGAACTGGTCAGGAAAGAATCAGTAAGCAAAAGTATTGATTTCCGTCACCGCTTCTATCGACTCTTAATTAGTAAGTGAATATTCTTTCCAATGAAAACCACTCAGTCATTCTCAGCGCTGAGTTTGTAGTCTAAAGTACACAAACGCTTCCAAACTCCTTTATCAATCGTCTCCCTGTTGCTCACCATCATCTTCTGACTGCCACAGAGTTAGATTATCGCGGAGAAGTTGCATTATCAGGGTGCTGTCTTTGTAAGAATCTTCTTTTGCGTCGTCCAGTTTAGCTATCGCATCGTCGAAGGCCGTTTTTGCCAGCTCGCATGCCTTTGAGGAGTTGTTTTCGATCTCGTAGTAGAACACAGAGAAATTCAGCGCCAATCCAAGGCGGATGGGGTTCGTTTCTGACAAAGATTTTTTACTCTCCTCATTAGCTTGTTCGTAAGCTTTTTTAGATTCTTCGCTCAGCGTCTTCCTATCACCTGAATCACTATCCTCGATCTCCACAAGGTAGCGATAGTAATCTCCTTGCATCTTGTAGTAGAAAACTTTAGCTTCTTCTTGGTTCGTAGCATCTTCCACCACAGCCAGTAGATTTTTGATCAATTTAAGGACTTCGTTGCACTTTTCCTTCAGTTCACCTTCCACGGTCTGCTTATAACTCTTCGCAATTTCCTTTTTAACTTCGTCACCCTCTGCCTTATCCTCTAAGTTCGAAATAATTCGCCAGGCAGACCTTCTCGCTCCTACCACGTTCTTGTAAGCCACTGAAAGTAGATTTCTCTGTTCGTCAGAAAGGACCTCCTTAGTTGATTCCACTAATTTTGTCATATATGTAACCATATCATCATAACGCTCAGCTTGTTCAGCCAGCTTGGCCTTCGCAACTAAATCGGCAGGGCTCGACATGGCGTCCAATTCACGGTAACAATAATAACTATAACAAGCACACTCGAAACCTTCTACAAGCAGATGGACGCCTTTCGATCGATGGGAGCTGTCTTCCCTCTACAGATTAATGCACGGTTTTCCACCAATCATGATCGTAGTTGGCATCCGGGAAACTTTCTAACCGGGAAGTGGTAAGCATGACGTAATTATGAAAAATTGCTCTCACTTCATTTCTTCGGAATTCTGCTTTCTTCTTTCTTGACACGTACACTTTTCTCGAATATGGTGTCCATCGTCATATGGAGACTACCATATTCATTGATGCACCTGCCAACGTTCCTTCCAACTCTTTTTGAGTCAGTGACAAAAAATATTGATGAGTGCAATTTAAATAGTCCATATGACGACTAGCGAAGAATTACTAGAAGTCTCTGAGTTGTTCGAAGGCGTGTCGAAGACTTTCCGAATCAGCCTCCGGCCGGAGCTATCGTAACTTCCGGAAAACATACACTTTTCTTTTCTCACTTATGTTGAATCAATCTCACCTTATGTTTTTTCAAAATTGCTCACAGAAAAAAATAGCGAAGAAAATAAAACCTCGTTCCGGAAATGGGAAAGCTTGATGTATGTCCTCTTATAGGCAATGAGGTACATGCATCCAAGATTAAAAAGGATTTCTAGGGAAATATTAATGAAAAGTATAATGTATGTGCTATGAATGACCAAGAAATCAAATATCTGGTTTTTTTTTCTGAGTATTGTTCTTCTGCTGGAACGTAATATCGCATAAATTTTTCTCAGCCAAACATTGAGGCCATTCCGAACTACAAAAATCTTTTTTCCTCAGAAGCACAAAAATTGTCGTTGCGTAGATGAAAACTCCGGAAAAAATTTCCTAGCTTCGGTTAACCCTTTTGCTATCAGATCAAATTTGTAATTCTCCTTACTGTCAGCCATACAATTCGTATAATGGTAGTTCAAAGAATTTATTATTGGATCTACTAATTATCCCCAAATTGATATTTTTCTTTATTCTCATCACTTACCTCGGGTTGATATTGTATTGATATTGTAAGAAGAAATTCTGTCTTGGTCACTCATGGGAGTTAATGGGTTAAGCGGGTAAAGCGCTTACATTTCTAATCCACGCATGAACAAAGGGGCTCGCGAAAAATGATGTTCGCAAAATAAGCGGAAGGACGAAGAAAAATGAAATTCGGAGCCGTTACCTTACGATCACAGACACCGTTCCACTTGCCATACCTTTTTTTTTTCTAACCCCTTTTTCGTTTCTCTTTGCCGAGGATAGCAAAGAAGGAATTCTCATCCCGTTTCACGCGCGTCACGTATGTACCCTTAGCTACCTAAGAGCCCAACACATGACACAGGCTCCCCAACGTAACATTGCTCAGCGACCAATAGAAAGGAGAGGCTACAAAGTATTGAGCGAGAATTACAAACATGGCTGCTCGAAGCAGATATTCTGAACTACCTGGCATTGTAAGTATCCCTCTTAACCTAACTGTTCTGTTATTTTACCTTTTTTTTCTTTCCAACGTAAATTTCACTCTTCCGTTAGATTTTGGTTACATTTTATCCCTGTTTCACCCTTCTTTTAGGACAATCAGCCAGATGTCTACGAAACACCCGATGTTATGGAGAAAACTAACCAGGAGGGTGACCCTTCGGTAAAATATTTTGCTATACAAAACTTTTATGACTGAAGGAGAATTGAAAATGATTTATCAATTCTCTGCAATTCTTAATGTTCATTACATGTACTTAAGCTTAAACATCCTAAAATATTGCATTTAATATAAAGCCCCTCTTTCAACTTAAATTCATTCTAGAATAATTTCCATCAGTTTTTGTATATTTTGGCTCTATCCTTTCAATGCGCTGTTATTTTAGGAAAGAAAAAAAAGTCCCTTCAGATCTGGAAGGGGAAAAAGAAACGAGGAAAAGTGAAAAGTTAAAGTAATTATGGGGAAGCATTACAAGACTTTGAAAACCAATTGCTTAGTACAGGGTGACTGCTTATTAAGGTGCCTTTTGATACCGGTTGGACTGTAAATACACTCAGAAGTCCTTAATTTTTACTTCCCCTCTTATTGTTTTTTATAATTATTTAGATGCAGAATGGAGATGAAAGTATTCATTTGTTAAAAATTGATGCTAAAGAAGCATTTGAGAAATTTAGTGGAAAATATTTAGACCCAGGGAATACTGGTAAGTAATAGTTTTAACTTGACTCCAGAACTTAATGAAACAAACCAAATTAGGTGTGTTTGAACAATTGATTAATGGGCTGTACAGACTGTACAGAAAATGATAAGACACGAAACAATATTTTCAAACTATAATGGCCTTTGCAATTTCGATTTACTGACTAAGTATGCAGTGTTGTGAAAAACTCACTGTTCTCTTGAGGTCACAGTACTTACAAGTCTCAAATAACAACCATATTATTAACATAAAAAAAAAGTTTTTAACATGCTTCCTGCAACAACAGTCATAAAAGAGGATCCACATTTTCTTGATCCTTTACACCCTAACATCAGTATATATTTTCTCCACACTGTTCTCTATACATTTCCTATGGTACTGACAAGGAGAATTTGTTTAACAATCAAGAGCTTCTTGAGTTGGTGATCATTTCCTTCATTCTCATGACCTCAATGTTTGTTTTTGGGGTGATATTGATGGGAGAAAATGGTTACTAATCACTCTTAGGGGTTAAAGAGTTAACCTTTTGAACTGTAAGAGTGACTAGCATCTAATTTCACCTTATGATATCACCCCCTGAAGGTCATAAGTGTAAAGGAAATATCACAAACACAGGAAACTCTAGATTGTTAGACAAATTCTCCTTGTCAGCACCTAAGGAATGTATAGAGAACAGTATGGAGATATGCAGACTGATGTGAGAGTGGAAATGGTTAAATAATGTTATCATTGACCTAAATATTATTTAGCCCTCTTAGGAACCCAGCGTATTTTGAATTAAATGCTAATAAATTGATGTGAAGCTTAATTTTTATATTAGGTAATGGTAAATGGTTTGTATCCAGGAGTAACAGTTGATATTGTGGTCTTATTGAAAAAACGGATTTTTGTCTGGATTTATGACTGATATTTTACCAGCACTGGCAGTAATATCACATTCTGATTGGCCAATTTTCTGTTGTCGATAGGAGTACAGACAACATTGCTCATGGGAATGTATCACGCAATGTTCATGCACTGCATGAGCTCACAACATTTTGACCACTGTGATGACAAATGTAGTTGTCAATAAGAGTAGAGACCATGCTAAACCACTGTTGATTTGCTGATTTTAACCTTAGCAGAAGTCATCATTATAGTCAACACTGATACACAAACATGATACATGATATGTGTAGAGCAGATTAAACATGGAAGATTATATGTCATTTGAATATATTTGGAACAAAAACTTTAATTTGTAATTTTTTTTTTTGCTTTTTTTCCAGATTTTTCAGGAAGGTGTGGTCCTGAACAGATGAAAGGCTATGTTACAAAAACTGAATATGAAATGCTAGGAGAAGGAGCAGCTAAAGAGACACCTCAGAATAAATTTAATCGTCTTCAGCATGAGATCCGAGAGCTGGCAGAAGAACTAGAGCAAATTAAGGTGAGCTTGTGTTTATGGCAATATCATATTGTGTTTCCATAAACTTTCAGTTATGTACAGGCAACATTGAATGGGGGGAAGGAAGGTCTTGTTTATGATTTAAAAAGTGTGGTAGATACAGGAATGACAGGAATGTTATTCTACACATAAAAAGAACTCTTCAAACATGATGTGTCAACTAACTTTGAAGCTGATTCAAGGAGAGCAGATGTAACATAGGTGGATAAGGTTTGTACGAAGTGATTTGTACCCATTCAGCCAAAGGTTATCATGGTGTCTGTAGCATGAAGCCACTGGGAGTATCACTACCCCCTCCCTCCCCACCCCCCCAGCTGAGATGCCAGTCCATTGCAAGGTTACCCCTAGCGTTTTCACCTCCCTGTCTTACTTAAAATTTTTGCTTAAAGGAGGGGTGCTTACTGGAATGAGTGTGCTTTCTCAATGGGGGCACTTATTAAGAAACAACCTTAACCTGTGCTGAACTTAAAGAGTAGTAATTGAAGTATCAATAGACACAGGTTTTCCTAGTATCACCAATATTAACCCTTTAACCCATAAGAGTGACTAGCATCTAATTTCTCCTTACAATATCACCCCTGAATCATGCAGTAACACCATGAGAATTAAGAAAATAATCAGCAGCCAAAAAAGCTGTTGATTGTTACACAAATTCACCTTGTCAGCACCTTAGGAAATGTATAAAGAACAGTATGGAGAATACCTATACTGATGTTAGGGTGTAAAGGGTTAAAGAGGTGGAAGAGGAGGAAGGTGCCCATTTGAGGGGAGCCCTTGTTTGATATGTTGGCCAAGGGGTGGGTACTTAATCAGTGGAGTAGGAACTCTACCTTTAGTTCCAAGATTTATACTTGATCATAATGCACTAAACCACTTACTTCTCTGATTGTTTTAGGGCACTGTTCAGGATGAAAAAGAGGAGAACAAGCTTTCACCAGTTGTTCTGGCACAAGAGGTAAGCATTTTGGCTTAAACCCTGTCACTTGCAGTAGTGACCTAAGAGGTTTTTATCTTTATGGCATCAATAGAAGTAAAACAATCAACTAGGAAATTTTTTTCATAAAATCAAAATTATCTGAGCTAAAATTATGAAAAATGCATGAAAAACAGTGAGGAGTATTGGTGGTTAGATCTTGGCTGTGAAAGGGCTAGAGGCTGTTTTATTCACCATCATAAACAATTTTATGTAATTTTGGGATGAAGCTGTTGCTGTAGCCATGTTTACTTGACTGACCCTTTACCCCCTATGAGTGATTAGCATCTAATTTCTCATTATATCATTACCCCTGAGTCAAACATTAAGGTCATGAGAATGAAGGAAATGATCACCAACTAAAGAAGCTCTTGATTGTTAAACAAATTCTCCTTGTCAGCATGAAAGAATTGTATAGAGAACAGTATGGAGAATGTGCATACTGATGTTAGGATGTAAAGGATTGAGAAATATGCTTTAAAATAAATGGTAAGAGTTTTACCATATATGTTAACATTTTTTAGGAACATGCAGAAAAATGAAGTTTTGTTACAACTCTGGGTTGCTAATTTTAATTCTTTGTATTTATCTTTTACCATGTTAGGTGCAAACCCTTCAAAAACAGGTGGGATAATTTCTATATGTTCTCCATATTTGTTCCAGGCTTTTGTAAAGCTGTGACAAAATATGTTTTGAAAAAAAAATTGCTTATGTTGAATAAAACAACAAATTTCTTACTTTCACTTCCATGATACCCTGAAGTGATAGTCAGAGTTTCCTGTGGGATGTTAGTTCTGTGGCTTAATTCATTTTCTTTGTGGACTGTTTTTGAGACTAGTGTGGTCTTTCCTTTGACTCTTTTTTTTTTTTGCAATTATGACAATGAACAAAAGGCAATGAAGATTAAAATCAAACAGGTTTGAAAATTTTAATTACAAAAAAATATGAATCATGAGTTCCTTTGTAAAGGAAATGTGTTCAGTGCTATACACTGTCAGACTGCATAGAGATGAAAACTAAATTTAGTAATAGGACGATTTTCAGTTGTGGAAATTCTGATACTGAGGACAAGTTATTGGTAACCCTTTGACCCCTTAGAGTGATTAGTATTTAATTTCTCCTGAGAATATCACCCCCAAATGAAACATGAAGGTCATGAGAATAAAAGAAATGATCAACAATTTAAGAAGCTGTAGATTGTTGAACAATTCTCCTTGTCAGCACCTTAGGAAATGTATAGAGAACAGTATGGAGAATATGCATATTGATGGTAGAGTGTAAAGGGTAAACCATCTTACTGGAAGTCTGTTCCATGCATTTATGCATAAACTTATCGTTTGCCATTGATCTGTTTTAGCTTGAAGATTTACATTTGGTGAATGTCCTTGGGAAGGAGGTATGTTGGTCTTTGTCTTTTGCTGAAATATAATAAACCATAGTAAAATTTTGGGTGGAGGATCCTTTTACAGTGTTGTGTATAAAAACTCATAAGAGACATGTCAGTGTTCACAGAATCAAAAATTCATAAACCAAATTGTTACTTCAAAAAACAGAATAAAAGCTGGCAAATGGAGAGATTTAAACTTGGTGGGCTGGTGTGTGAAGAGGCCTGTTTTGCTTTTGTTAGAAGGAAACAACAGTGTCTTGAAATTTGGCTAGGTCACAGGAGATCTGTCAATAACAAAGGTGTTATTGGCAAAAGTAAGGCTAATTCAAGATGTGTACAAATACTGTAATGATTTTGATTTAGCGTCCTCAATCCGATTAGCAGCCCTCTCAAATAGGTACCCTCCCTCCCCCTGGAATTTGTTTTATTGTTAAGTGCCCCAATTCTGTTTTAGTGATAGCACTGCTAAAGTAGATTCCCTAACATTATGTTGCAAATATTTGATGTATATATGTTTCCCTTTCAGTTTCTGCTATTGTTCCCTTTAAAATAAACATCAAATTTTTGTTCTGCACATCCCCCTGTTTCTTGAAAAAGAAATAATTGCCCTGTCCCTTATAAGCGTCCTCCCTAGAGGCACCATAAGTAAATAAGCAACTCTGGTGCTAAATTGAATCCTTAAGATACATGGCAAATATTCCACACCCCTGAAATTAAAATTGTGCCAGGTATATGTTATGATCCACGCTGCTAACTAGGGCCAGCTTGCCAATTTGTTTCTTATCCAACTGACTAATTCCTTCTGTTGGAAAAAACTTTCAGATCCAATGCTCTCTTTACTTCTTGTTGCAGGCTTTGACTGTGGCTTCGACACCTCAAGCTGGGTTGTCACAGTAAGTCAAGTTGATATGTTAAACTTCATGATAAATGTTAGGCAAAACTTCATGCAGGTGTTCTTAGAGGAAAACATAGTCACCTGCACATAATGCTTCATTAGGTGGCAAGCAAGGGTCTCAAGCCCAACACCTTACTCCTCTGGACTTTCTCCCTGTTTATAGAACATGAAGTAACAAGGGGCACTGCCACTTCCCCTGGAAGGGATGCTATTCTTTCACAGCTTACTCCCCTACCCTCTCCCTCTCCCAGTGCTACTGAATTTTTTCATTTTCCGCCACTTGCCACTACCCATTTTTACCATGTCAAGGCATCAGAGCACGCAAAATGTGCCATGGTTGAAAACCATAAGCCAAAGTACTAGAAAATGAAATCATAATCTCTGTAGTATAATAAATCCCTTATTCTGTCATTTAACATATAATATGAATGGGTATTTTGTGCATTGCTTATACTTCTTCTTGTTCCCATGAGGCATGGAAAATATGATGCAACTCACAAAATATCCAGTGCAGACATATTATATGTTTAACCATCAAATTAGGTGTATATTCCCCTGAAAGGTGAGAGGTACTCTGAAAGTAAAAATGTCTTGTCCAAGAACACAACACAATGGCCAAACCAAAGCTCAACAGCTAAGAAGCTTATGACTGCGAGATGGACACTAAAATAAATTTTCAGATCAAAGACGAAATTAGATATGTTTGAATTACGATCCTGTGTTGTTGAGCTCTTGTGGTCAATTATTTATTGTTCTTCTGTTTATATCTAGACGCCTACAGACTCAACTTGAAGCATTTAAAACAGCTGAGGCAGCAAGTGGGAAGCAAACTAAGGTGTTTGTTGTTTTGTTTTCTCTTTTTGAATTTTTTTTTGTATCAGAGGGCAATTTGAAAAGGGAAATTTAAGTTTGAAGTGCTGTCTCAAAATTGACATGTTTGAAAAATTGAATAGGGTATTTTCAAGAGGCACAAAGCATGATGTGAATTGCTTAATATGATAAAAGTGTCTATGATGAACATCTGGGATTCTTTCTTTGTCGTACTGAAATCAGCCAGTGAGGCATGTTGCTTTGCAACACACCCCTCAAAAGTGTTTGTGGGCGTGCTCCCCTGAAAAAATTGGAAAATTGAAACTCTGTGAGATCAACATTCTGGGACATAATTGACTAACTTTTTTTTAGCCAGAAATTGATGTTGCAATCAGTTAAAAGTAGCCAGCTGCTGGCAAAGAATGTTTCCTACCTTGTTGTGTTGGCTGGCCACTCTCAGCTTTGTACATCAGTTTTGGAGAAATCAAAGTCAAATCTTGAAATTAAATCTCCTTTAATTAAGCAGCTGATCAAATTTGTTCTAGTCATTTACCAGTACTATAAATCCATGAAATTCCATTTCTATTTTCTTTAAGGTTTGACGGAAAAGAAACCTTGAAAAAAGCATTTTTAGAGCATCTGTATGTTAAATTCAAACATCCAGAACCCTGTCAAGCCTTTTTACACTTAACACGGCATCTGGGATTGTGGTTCACATGACCAATGCAGCCATTCACTTCAAAAACTTTTGGAAAACCCTGTAAATTATCAGTACTTTTTTTTAATAACTGTGACAATTTTTCCCCTTTTTCTATCAGCAGAGTGATGATGGATGTGTCACATATGAGTTGTTTTACAAACCAGAACATGCAAAGTTTAATCAACTTTCACAGGTAAGTTTTGTTTGCTTGTTGGGTTATTTTTGAGGGGCTGTTATAAGGGCTTGACACCCTTGTGTCTTTGGCCTTCGCTGTTCTTTAAGGTTTTATTAAATGCTTTGTGGTGGAAAGTTGATTGTAAAGATATGCAAACTTTGTCTTTCTCACAATAGTCATATTAGAAATTTTAAACACTGCGAGGTATCTGTAGTAGTACCAGTTTTTCATGCAGCATTGTTGAACTAACCTTAAAACTCCTAAGAGTGATTGGCAGCTAATTTCTCTGAACAGTATCACCACTGGATCAAATACTGTGGTCATGAGAATGGAGGAAATCACCTTTTTATTAAGAAGCTCCTAATAATTAACATATCCTTTTCAGTGCCCAAGGAAATGTATAGATAACAGTATGAGTAATATATGTACTGATGTTGGAGTTTAAATAGTTAAGGCTTTTAACAATTCTCTAGGTGTCATCTCAGTTTATAGTGACAATTTTCTTTGCTCAATTTTAAAATTTTTTTCCAATTGAGATGTTTCTTGTGAAATGCAGATATACATGATTCCCATGGCATTGTTAAAAAAAAAAAAGAAAGCAAACAGGAATCATTGAAATATGAATTATGTTCTTATTTATAACGTGAATAATTTTATAACATATTAAGTTAAAAGCAAAAAACTGGTTCAAGTTGATTTAAAATGATTTACAAACATCTTTTTCATGCTATTGTTCAACTGATAATTACACCTAAAAATAGACTCGGATTTTTAATTAATTCCTTTTTGGTTTTATCCTTTCTTTCTGCAATATTGTTATTGCTGAAGTAAATACTGAAACATGCCCAATATCATGTTGTCAGCTAATTGTAATTTGGATTTTATTTTAAACATTGAGTCATTTCTTCCCTAGATGAGCGAGTTAGAACAAAGGGTACAGAAATTGGAGACAGTTCTGGGCAGTGATCCAACTCATTTGGTAAGTTCTGTAGTTTTGGAGAAAAAAAAACATTCAACCCTTTACTCCTGAGATTTGATTGTTAATTCTCCCCTCCAGATGCTACACATTTCCATGTAGATTAGTAATAAGAATTTGGTGTTAGATCAAGATAACAACTTCTACCTGATAAGTTTGAGTATTCTCATTACCAATTTGTTGGACAGTGTATGGATATATTAGGGAGAAGTTACATGTTAACCACTTCTGGGAGTTAACTTTTGATAATTATAAAGAACAACAACAATCTTTAATACCCTGCTCATGTCAACTTTCATTGTTACAATTGACCTGATCAGCAGATATTTAGTGCTAGCCTAGGCACTGAGTTAGTCTATCAAAATGAATGCTTAATGTTGTGAAAGAATTATTGCACACTTAAATGTGCAGAAGTGAATGTATGAAAACAAGGGGAAGTGAGTTAACCAATCTATTACAAAATATGTGTACATTGATATAATTTTTATTTTTAATTTGTAATTTTTGTCTTGATTGAATCCTCACCAATGTTATAAATCTGTTGTTACTTTGCAGTCCTCCATTACTGCTGATCTTGAAATTAAGGATAAAAATTTGTTGGTGAGTTTGATAAAAAATTTTCCCATCTAATGTTGAAAATGGTGAGCATCATGTATGACAAAACCCTTTAAGTTACATAACCTTTTCAATTTCAAAAGTGTTGCATTGAATATGGAATTGGATGGTATGTTTTATGATTAGTAAGTATTGACTCAAATTAGTATAGTTGCTTTTGTTTCCCGTTTATTCTGCTAAAAGGAGGTGGCAGTTCTGCTTCATATTTCCCACCCCACCCAGGCAAGGTTCACATTCCCCCCCTGGGGATGGACAACAGTCAAATGCCTGTGAGTTGCCCAAGGGGATGTTGAAGCTTTGGATTCATTGGGGCATGATACCCCCCCTCCAACGTAGCACAACAGTTTCTTTAGAAACTTATCCCCTCCATGACGGGCGGACTGAGTGATTGATTAATTGATCAATTGCCCAAGTTGTTGATTGGTTGATTAGTTGCTTGATTGAGTAATTGATGAATGATTGACAGGTTGACTGTATGATTGATTGAAGACTAGTTGATTGATTGGTTTAATTGATCGATTAGGGGATAGAGTAATTGATTGATTGAATGGTTGATTGAATGGTTGATTGATTGATTTCTTGCTTCATTGATTGGTTGTTAGTAATAAAGTGTTTCTGTTAACAGTCTGCGGCATCAGCTCTTGAGGCTAAAGTTGCTTTGTTGGATGCAAATCACATTGATCACGTTGATGCACGATTACAGGTGAGAAAATTTTAACGTGATCTTCTTTGACCTCACTGGCACCTCCACCCCCCCCATGCTAATCCATTGCAATCCCCTCCCCTTCCTTCCCCTGCAGTTTGTTGAGTTCTCTGAAAGTTTTTGGTGCCTATTTCTACTCCTGGGTGGAAAGACACTGTGAGAGCAAGCTTTTTTGCCTAAAAAAACAATGCAATGTCTTGAGAAGAGGCCTAAGCCGGATTGATCGATGCGAAGTCCAGGGTAGTCGTCACCAGTTACCAGGCACCAAGCACCAGGCACCACATGATGTCCCACGCATGACTCAATCTATGACCTTTCACATTTCGTCTCGAGGAAAATCTCTTTGTTCTTAGTGTGCTCAAAATTTAAAGTTGATTTTGGCCAGAGACTTCGATAAGTTTACAAACTTGTCGAATTGAACGTGATCTTTATCATCTTTGCTTTCCTTCTGCTCTATGCTATTTAAGGTAGTTGTGTTTTTCTAGGAATTTCTTTAGCTTTCCTTTCCCTTTTCTTCACAGGGAATATTGCATCATGTCAATGCTCTCTCAGAGAAAAAGCAGGAAGTTGAAAATTCAGCTAAGCAGAGCAAGGTGAAAGAAAAAGTATTTTTACCCTTTGACCCCAAAGGATGATTAGCATCTAACTTAATTCAAACTATATTCTCACTTCTGGTTTACTGTTTCTTAGGTGACCGAACTTTATGATCTTTTGAACAAGTGGGATTCGTTCGTAGACGTTGTCCCGGATCTGGTAGGTGCCGCTACTTAGGTAATCAGGCTTTCTCGCGTGGTCAACATTTCAACGGAAGTTGTAGGGAGTCAAAACTGCAATTTACCCAGCACGGCACTGTTCTTCATCTTAACCTGACTACGTTTTCATTTGTCACTCATTTTTCATGTTTTGCTTTCTTAAACTTATAGATAACAAGACTACAATCCTTGAAAGCTCTGCATGAACAAGGTACGAACAAGAACTAGAAGAAAAACAAACCATATATGAGTAGCTTGTTTACACTTACACCCCCCCTGAAAGTTGCACCATTTTCCCTCTCCCTTCCCCCCTCAACAAAAGGCCCTTACACCATTTTTTTGCAAAAACATAGCAGTTTTAAATGCTAAAATCATGGCTAACTTGTTATTTAGAAGATTTACAAGTTTAGAGCCGTTTTATCACCCTTTTGGAAGGTAACTATGTGCGATAAAAACAGCACTTTACACAAGTTTCAACATTCCTCATAAATTCAACTTCTCTGCTCTGTGCTTCACAGCAAGCCAGTTTGGTCAATCGTTGTTGGAGCTGGATTCGTCCCAGTCTGCTCTGAACAGCCAAATGCGCGGCCAGGCAAAACTCCTTAGTGAGGTAAGTGTCTGTTATTTCTAGTTGTTATGTCTATCTCTTCTTCAGTGTTTTGAAATTACGGCTATGGACGCCGCCATTTTTAAAAAGAACTCGATAACTTGGCCTCGCGCACCCAAATGGTGGCAATCAGAATGCGAGGTTCACTAACAACTGCTTCTCCGGTTATCGGGAAAAAAAATATGCTTTGAGTCAAGAAAACCTTTTTTTATAACTCTCACTTGTTCAAACCGATCGCCAAGAGATGGGAAGAAGGGAAGAGAGAGTTTGGTATGTCACAAGTATGAGGCAAGGCTGCTAAGCAAGATTAAAAGTGGCGCCGTCCTTTTTTAATCTTTTTGCGAATCTGAAGGTTCCTTTGTCATAATATTCATACATCTTTTTAATAGCGGACATGACGATTAGACGATTTCTGGAGTTTACTTCTCCTTTAATACATTTTCCCCTTTTCTTTTCAAGCTGGAAGCCAGTTTCAACTCCAACGTAGCTACAATTGAGGCGAACTGTGAACGAGTTGAAGCTCGCATCAATACTCTTCTCGAGAAATTCGAAACGAAAGGACGGTGATTAGCGAGAGGGAGATAAAATAGATACTTATCTAATGATTAACTTATAAGAAAGCGGGCTGGTATTCATGGTATATGCTTCGAACAATTTTCAGTTGAGTGTCGCAAGTTATCTGGGATTGTATTGGTTTTGCTTTACTTCGCTCTGTGATTGGCCCAGAAAATTCGCGCCATCTTCTCGACCAATAGGATTCAAAAAGCTTTGGGCAGTTTGGTTTGTTTTTACTTTGAGTTCTTATTGGCTCTTAAGGATATTTCTCTTCCTTCTGATTGGCTTTTGTGATTACTTTGGTTTAAGTTTTACGACACTCGATCGAAAATCACTTTGCCTTTTACGGTGTTTTGGAAAGGCAAAAGGGTTTGGAATTTTTTAGGGTTTTTTTGAAGGGTGAGTGCAATTTGTAGTCTCAAAAAAATTACAAGGGCTTCTTTATTCCAAATTACACAAGGAATCATGTGATTACCTTAACGATTGTTCTTCATAAGTTGTTTCGTTACCATCAGCTTGGTTGCCCACACAAATTCCTAAACACCAGAAAAGGCTCGTTTGTAGGTTATTATTTATTCGTTTATTCTTTAAATCTGACTTCCTTTGACCCTTTACACCCTAATATCAGTATGCATCTTCTCCATAGTTTCTCTGTACATTTCTTAAGGTTCTGAAAAGGAGAATTCGTTTAACAATCAAGAGCTTCTTTAGTTGTTGATCATTTCCCTCATTCTCATGACCTTAATGTTTGATTCAGGCGTGATATTGTAAAGAGAAATTAGATGCCAGTCTCACTTAGGGGTTAAAGGGTTAAGGAACAGTTGGGAATATAGTTAAAATTAAGAGTAAGGCAAATTATTGAACGTTAAGTATGAAAATGTCTTGTATCCTATTGAACATCGAAATAGCTGATATTTTCGTTGTCTTAGGCATGCAGCATCAATTGATGCCCCTTAACTTTTTGACTGCTATTCGTGATCAAGACAGAATTTCTACTTACAATATCAATACGATATCAAGCAGGCAAGTGATGAGAATTAACAGAATTGTTAACTAGAGGATTGGTAGTTGATCCAGTACTAAATTCACTCAACTAGCATCATATGAATTGTATGGTAGACAGTAAGGAGAATTTCTTAAGAGATCTTGGGAGTTAAAGGGTTACGCCGTTTATTGATGTGTAGGAATCTACTCCAAATTGATTCTCAGCAATATCAAGCGGCGTATGACTCTCACTAGGTAGTCGAATATGTCTGAAGCATTAAAAGGTAAAAACTTTAAAATGAACCTTAATTGAAGCCTTATTCTGTGTTTCTAGCACCACTACTGTCACAAAAGTGTGTGAACAATCACATTATGGGAAACGAACGATTATTGCAACTAAATTAAATCGTGCCATTAGAGCTTCGGACCCAAGCAAACTTAGAAAACAGACGTTTCGGCTGTATGTCTAACGAACTGATAGTGCATTAAGATCGAGAAATCCTTATTAACGTGAAAAATTTCTCTATCCTCATGACACGTAAAGAAAATTTTGTAGGTATGTTGAACGCGAAAACGGCCGTCAATCAATTTTACCCTCCCCACCCCTTTTACCGCGACTTCCGTTATGGCGTCACTCAAGTTTTTAGGACCTGTTTTCTTGTGACCCAACCTTAGTATACTCAAGCGTGGACTATTTTGTCTACAAAATGGCTTTTGAAAGGTGAAATCGAGGGAAACTTGAGAAATCAGTTTCCATCATGTCGAAAATCTCCGACGAGAGGAGTAAGAGGGGAATCAGTCGCTCGGAGGACTCGATGCGCGATAAACTTCGAATGAAAATAAGGCAGAGAATTCATAACTTACCGAGTGAGGGAGGAGATGAAAATATGAATACTCTGAACCAAACAGAGTCGGTCAGAACACGGCGCAATCATGGTGGAAAAGTTTCGTCCCGAGACGAAGTACAGGTAAGCATGTTTCCTTCCTTTCTCTTCACTCTCGTGTAATGTATCTAAAGTCCTGCATACGAATTTTGCGCCGGAAAAGGATGTGGCTCAATTAATCTTAATTTTTTATTAAGAAAGTTTTCATCCTTCTTCAGACCTAGAATCTTCATTTTCACTAAGATAACAATACGGTGTTATTTATGCTGCGCCAAATAAGCCAGAATTGCGAATAACATAGCGATCAGTCATTTCTTCACTTTACAAGTTTTTTTGTCCTTATTTGCCACCTGTTATGTATTACCTGCTGTTTCAGTTACTCAGTTCAATTGCTCGCAAAACCTTTTGGATGGTAGGGGTAAAAATCTTCATTTTAAAGAAATTTACTTTCATGTCGCTCTTACTTTGAATTGCGATTAAAAGCTGACAAGTCCCACTCGAGTTTAAAACAGACAGGCACATTTTTAGGCTGGCACGTTTTCCCGCCAAAACAACAAATCATTTGCTCTGCCATTGATAACGCACGCTGTGCCATCTTTCACAACTTTCATTACCTTTTAAAGCAATTATATTTAATGATCCTCTATCAAATGAAAGATTATTTGGTCAAAATAAGTACTGTAGAGTTATGTAGTTAACTTGTATCATATATCTCTGTGTGCTTTGCTAGGCTGCCTAACAAGCGCAATTTTTTTTTCGCCTATTTGGCCCAGCGTGACGTGAGAGAACGCGCGAGATGAGAGTAGTTAGTCGCTTTTAACACGCACCTTACGCCCACCCTTTCTCGCCTGAAAATGCAGAATAATTACGCCTTTTCTCTGGGCTGGAGTAAATTTGGAGTAATAAATATTGCGGTTTTATGTTTGACAGATTGAAAAAGATTTGCATGCCAATGATTCGAAATCTAAACCCGTTAAAAAGGAGTATGATGGCTATAGAAAAACCAGGGAACATTCACAACATTTGGGAGAGGCCAGGGGCCGAGAAGTTCTCGAAAGGAATCGCAGGAACACACTTACCGACCGGAGGAAAGAAACAGATGGTACAAAGCCAAGGGAGGAATACTCCAGGGGCAGGCCTCTGGTGGAATACCCCAGGGGCAGGCCCTCAGAGGAATACCCCGTGGGTAAGCTGAATCACAGAGACAGAGATGAAGTATTCCCTAAACATAAGTCGAAGCGTGAATATGAAGGGCCTATAAAGAAAGACCTCAAGGACGAGCCTCATCCCATGGATAAGTCATACCTTGGAGAAAAGGCAAACCGCAGGGATATGTCAAACCCCGTGGATAGGCGTACACCTCATGAATCGCGTAACAAGGAAAAATCTGACACGAGACATGATACACAACGAGATGAAAATCACGGCGAGGGCATAGGAGGTGTTCGGAGTAAAAATAAACTTCCCCTCGCACCAAAGCAACTCAGATTGGAACAACCGCTTAAAAAAGTGGAGAAACGCTCATTGACGTCACAGGTAAGACATTCGCACAGCTGCACCCGTACTAATTGACTGAGTGGGAGGTTCGGACGTGAATATAATGGGCTCGAGGTCATGACTTCCGTGCGTCACGACTTCCATGCGTCACGACTTCCGTGCGTCATGACCGTGCGTCATTACTAATTACTGCACACTGAACCACTATTAAAAAGATTCAACAGCGAATTTTTTTCCTTTTTTCTTCAAGTCAAAACAAGAACCTTGTAATTAATCGAGAAGCACGACCCATTCACTCATTTGTTTTATTTAAAGCTGAAGTCCACAATTATAATTTACGTACTCGGAAAATGCAAAAGAGCCGTGTGAGTGCAAGGCCGGAAGGCCCTTATCCAGACCAACCCGCGTCAAACCTTACGGCCTTTTTGATGAACTTGCATCCCATCCGGGGGGAGGGGCAATACTCCCAGTCTTATATTGCCACGGAAACCAGGTTAAACTCCTGCAATGTGAGCCAAAGGCTCCAGAACAGACTTGAACGTTTTATCTTGTACACAACCTCTCCTTAACCTCTGCGTATTTTTGATCAGGACAATCATAATGTGTTTATTTGTTTGTTTTTTGTTTCTTAAGAAACAGGCTGCTTCGTCCGGTAAAAGTGAATTTCTGTCGTCTCTGGTGAAACTAAAGGACGCTCTACAATCTCACAGTAAAGACCAAAAAGTAAGGGCTACTTTGAAAATAAGAAGTAAAAAAAAATTTTAAAAAAATTAACAAAATATTGTCTGAATGAAGAATATAATTTTGTGCCATGTATGTGTAAACCCGCCCTGTACCACAGTAGTCTTACTCAAAGCCGTTGTCATGGTTTCACGCTTTCTTGATGCGTCGTGCGTCACTGAGTGACAGGAAATGTTACCAAGTGACTTTTGAAAAACGGCTGGGAAATTTATAAGAAGACTAAGAAACCGTCTACATCTGATCCGATGAGTCTGCTCGTCATCATGATTGGTTTCGAAATTTTTTTAATATTCTCTTGTCTTAGAGTACAAAGGAGACATTAATGTCCAAGAGTGGGGCGGACCTGAACATTCAACCTTGTAAAGATGATGCAGCAAAGAAAAAGGTGAGTTGACGTTTTCAACTTAGTTTTTTGATTGTGGCTTGTGCAGAGACGTTTACAGATGGGAGAGAAAATGCTGATTGTTTTCCTAAAAAAATTTTTGAATATATTTCCAACTGCATTTTTTTTCTCTCCCCACTGGTTATGATTTTTGTATTCATGTGAGTGATCCTGTTAATCAGCTAATCATGTTCACCATGGACCTCAGTTTGGACTCTAGCCTCCTTATCGGAAAAAATTGTCACGGTTTTTTCAAAGAATCTCTTACACTTTTCACCATTGCACCTCACGCACCACATTCACCACTCTCTCGACCAATCAGATGCAAAATTAAAACCACAATTTGGTTTTACTCTAAGTTCTCATTGGCTCTTAAAGTTAATTTTCTTTCTTCGGATTGGCTTTTGTGATCACTTTAACACTCTGTCCAAAAGCGTTCTATAAACAGTTGGTAGAATTACTCGAGTAGAGAACTCACTTTCACCTTTTCCGTGGCTTCTAGTCCACAAAGACACTGTTCAATAGGATAGACATTAAATTGTATACCTTGTTTGAGATTTTAGCCCTCAAGTTAACACCATACTTTCTGCTACGGGGGAAGGGAGAGGGTCGCCTCCTCCTCCTTCCCCCCAGGGGAGAGTTAGTAAAGGCTCTGTGGTATTAAAGTTGGCCCTTGTGGTCGGCCACAGATCTTAACTCGAGATGTTCCTTTTACAATAATCCTCTCTGCAAATAAATTTAAAAAGCTTCATCGCGAGTGCGGTAATTCATAAAACAGCAAAGTGACAAGACAGTCAAAACAGATTGTCTGAGGCTTTTGAGATGGACTCAAAACTGTCAAGAAATTTCCTGACCATTTCTCAGGAATTTTGAAAATATTAACGTAAGTGTTGTTCTGCTGAAATTTCTGCCAAAAAAGATAGATAATGCACGGTTTTCAACCGCTCGCCCACGATTGTTTACAGTAACAACCCGTGACAAATATTTACATTACAGAAGCAAGAAAATTCATTTTAAAGCCGTTAAAAATCTCCCTTTACACAGTCAGTTTTATTCTTTTAAATTTCCGCTGTTTGTCTCAGAGCATTTTTTCCTGTCTGCTCGCCCCCTCTAAAAGGAAATTTCCATAGCCTGCAAAACCAGAATGCGATAAAGTTTTAGATTGAGGAACAATGTGCTCACGGAATTTTCTCATTTGACGAAAACTTCCTTGATTTTTTTTTACTCAGGAATATCTATTTTTAGGTATAAACTCTTGTTTATGAAGCGACGCAAAGAACAAAGGAAAAAATTAATGAAAGAAGATATTTCCTGGCTACGTGGGCAGCAAATCCTTCTTGGCGCTTTTAAACTAGAAAAGATATCTCTGTTAGATATACCTGATGAATTTTCTGTGAACGGCAGTTGTCTTTGGACACAATTATGCGCCAAAAGCGAACGCACAAAGGTCATTAGGCAATTCACGCAACACTGACCTCTTTCCGCAGGACACGTTGTTGATGTTTACCTACCACAACTGAATATTATTTTTAAAAAACCGCTTACCAGAAAAATAGCAAACTAGTTTGAGGCTCAGTTGCTTAGCTGTCACTCAAGAAATTTTTAGTTTATGGGAAAAAAAGTCATACATTTAGTCAGCTCCAAGCGCGAAGCTCTATCACATTCAAAAAATAAAACAAAATAAATCAGTCGAAAACAAAAATTCTGATAGAGGTGCCTCACATTCATTATTACCTGTGTGTTTTGTTGTGTGCGTCCGAAAACCTTTTCATAATTTAGGTGACTCATACAGAAATTGCCTCTCAGGGAAATCCTACTTTAAGGATGAATTCAAATGAGTTTGATTGTTATTCAAATTGATGTAACCGGAGTTATCGCGGTCTAAACAGACATTTGGTCTTTGCCCGTGGATCAAAGAGGAAAAAGTATTGGTGCTCCTTTGCAATGCGAGAAGAAACCTGAATTTGGCGCTAAAACCAGCGGAATTTTTCCTTGCTGTACGAGAGCTTGAGGGTTTATGGGAAAAACTATTCACCACCGATTTAAAGGTATATTTTTCATCTTGAATCATGCTATATAACCGTTCATACACAAGAAATATTTGTGTTTATCGTACTGAAACCGTTCGAGTCGAGATCACGGATTCGTCATCCTACAGACGACTTCTTCCGATGTTTGGAATTTTGGCTTGAAAATTCGCTTAATTCCTGCGCGACGGAATTGATAAATAATTCTATTTTCGTTGTTCGTTGGTAACAGACGATATTTGTTTGGATTTTTTAGTGTATATATCTATGTACAACGAGATTGCTGGAATTCATGTAAGGCATTAAAACATTGACTGTAAGACTTAAGTGTTTTAAAACGCAAAAACATGAAGTGAATCAAAATTTCGATGGCACAAATTGAAACACTTTTTATCATCCAAAGAGTTCCTAATAGAGAGATCGACAATTACGGTTTTTAGCTCGATAAGATTACGGCTTAAATCTTCAGCGTAACAAGAGGTATTTCTTCCACACGAATCGTGAAGAGGAAATGTTTACTGTAATAACAGAAGTCGGTTGCTTTGTAATTTCAAACGGTAAACTTCTCGGCAATTTTTTGTCAGTTCATAATTATTTATCTCCCGATGTGCTTTAACTTCTCTGTGTGAAAACTGAAAGGCGTTAGGAAGTTACGTCCAGTTCGTTCATTATCGAGCGAAAAATTAAATCGAAATAAGTATTGGTAGAATTGACAAAAAACCCGCGAAATTACCGAGGGAAATTTTCCAAATTTAACGAGGCAGCTCCTCGCAGAATTGTAATTTTGTTTCCCATTCTTCTCTTAAAGTTTTGCCGGGGAAGAAATTATTCGATTTCCTGCGACCAATGGTTTTTACTTCACCTGCTCCTCTACTAATTGATGTATTTGCGACCAAAATAACTCCCATCTTTTATTTTCATAAAATGAAACGAAATGGTTTGAGAAGATTTTAAGTTCTCATGATATAAAACAGTGGAAAGAACTCAGGATAATTTTTGAAAAATCTTCGAGGAGTCAAAACTGGCGGTGTTTTTATTAATTAGAATTCATCTGTCGGTTTTTTCATCAGATGCTGCGTGGTGTGATCACTCTGGGCCAAAAACAATACAGCTCTCAAATAGATTACAGTTTTAACAATGAAGTCACATCAAAATACGCCAACATTAGTGCGTTTTTATTTGTTCCCTCCACCGGTGCTAGAGCTTCATTAGGTTGGAAAACAGGTGTTCCTGTGTCAAACCTCGCTTTGAAAACGAGATCGTGACGGGAACGTGCATTGGAAACGAGGCTGTAAGAAAACCCAGACAGAATTAAAAATCTCGGTTTGAAAATGAGGCCATCACTCGATGGGTCAACTTTTTCATGTTTTTAGTAAAATAACGTTTTCCCTCTAAACTTCGCTTGCGTGAAGTGAGATTTAAAGGCCACCGAAATTTCACTCAAAAATATCACATGGCTCCAGTTAGAAAGCTTGGTAATTATTCATAGCATCATAAAATGTTTTTCATTGTGTCTGCCTCTATTTCATTATACGAATCCTCGCTGAGAAGATCTTGACAATTAATCTCTCAGAAGATATTTCTTTCTTAAGAATTTGCAACATTTAATATCTCAAAAGATGAGGTACAACTGTCCAGCGCTAAACTCAAAATTTGATGAAAAGATGGCCAACAAGATGTCTTGTGTTCGCTTTAAGTTGTAGCCCGTAATTTTTTTTCCCGTGGTAAAATTGGAATAATTATTCATTATGGTTTTTTCTCCCCGTGTTTCCAATCACTAGAGTTTTATGTTTTCTTTTTCAATTTATTTGAGTTCTATTTGCATGATTTTCATGAAAACCTCAGACATCGGAGTCAAACCTTTTGCATGGTAAGGTTAGAAGTTTTTTGCGCTGGAAACAAAATATAATTTTTCCTGAAGGTTGTTTGCTTTTCATCTCGAAATTAACACGGTTCAAATGATTTAAGTTGAGCCAATGAAGTGCGGTGTTTTCAAAATGGTTTTTAAAATTTTGTTTGAATTAAGAAAGCTTCTTGTTTTGTCAACAACGTAGTTCGCGCATTTGTGAATAGGAATTATCATTAATCGCAGAAACATCTTGAAGAAAGTTGGCGGTTTTCAGAGAAACAATCACAGTCCGTCTGGAAATTTTGAATAGTTACAACTTCTCTGTAATTACTTTATGAAATGTAGGAACAGTTGCTATAGAGAATTTTATACAATTTGAGTAACAGGTTTAGAATAAGATTTGCCCAACTCGAGAACAAGAAAGATACTGAAACAATGCACTATTTGGCTTAAGTCATATTTACAAAGAACTTTTTTCCATAAATTATTTACCAAGAAGCGCAGAGAAATGAAATTAATTTTATTCTCTACAGTTTTAATTCGACCGCAGCCTGAGGATCTTGCAGAGTTGACCCATAACCACGTCCTTGAGATCAGTTCGCGATAATGAAATATATATATGTTCATTTTATCGTGCACAGTAGTTTTCCAAGTTCAAGGATAAAAGTGATTTCGTTGCTTCGTCTTTGCAGGGTTCCCCGTCAGCTAAGCCGCTTCCATTGAAGACTGACGAGGTCAAAGAAGACGCGACAATGTGGCGAATCACAACAACTCGAAAGCTGGCGGAATTTGTAAGTTGACAATTTATTTCCTGTTCTAAATTAGATTTTACGACGTTAACGCATATGATTGACTGAGTTATTTAGTTTAGTGTAGGTTAAATTACGTGCCTTTCATAAAAACAGGAAGACAGCGTTTCTCTGCTGAATTCCCAGCCGTATACATCCTTTTTTTAGCGCTGATTTATTCGCCGGCAGCCATATTTGAGTAACTTCGTAAACAGTTTTTGATTTATCAAAGTTGAAAGGATAGATGAGTCGCTCGAGGTTTGGGTTCAAGCTTTTGGAAGAAACAGTTCACAAAAAATGACTTTTGCCAACACTGTTATCATCTAGCTGCAAAAACACGATTGAAGATTTCTTCGTGGATTTTATTTCGGTTTCTCTAGTTTTCCTATCATCGTGTTCGATGTGGGGTAACACACGTATTCAGTGGTTATTAGATGACGTATTCCGTTCTTGAAAAACCACTTTTCTTTCAAAGGGAGCCATATCTTTAAGCATATTTACAGAATTCAAAGAACAGAAAAAAAAAAAACGAAAATGTTTCCTATTCCAAATCGTTGGTGGATCCATGATACTAGAATAGTCAATACACACTCTTTATCACGTGACTTTCGCTATTCGTGCGACTGCGCACTTAAATCTGAGTCCGATGATTCCCCGGAGTTTCCATAGTGGTGTTGTTGTAAACTTTTAGTAAAATTTTTTTTTTCGAAAAAAGAAACTGTTGCTGGCCGAACATCGAAATGTTACATTAAATAGCACTTTTGTTAAATGTGAAACGTTATATTGTAATTTTGTGCTCAAACGCTAAGTGTTTACTTTACAAGGTCTTTTTCACTTTATTCTTTTCCCATTATTTTGAATGAAGGAAATGCAATCCATCAAATTCCATGTACTAAAATAAGGAAATTCGATTGGTTATCTTCTTTAAATCCATCAGTTCTTAACAAATGAAGAAATGGCATTTCTTTCCCGACAAACTCTGGGTAAAAAATTACATTGTAGCGTAATGGAAAATTTAAACCGAGAACTCTTGGTTTTTTAGAAAAAAACTGCTTCAATGGCTTATCTGATAAGAAAGTTTGATAACTGTACCGCATTTGCTAAATATATTCAGATCAATATTTATGTTCAGCCGAATGAATTTAGAGATTTTTTTCAGCTTTTCTCTTTTAATAAATTTTTTCGTAATATTGATTGATCGTGATTTTTGATTTACTTCATAATTCTGTAATCGAAATCAATCGAACCACAGTCAAATGAGAGAACAGGGGAAGAGTTAGCTAAGAAGTCGGTTATCTTCCACCGAGATTACACCGAGCAGGAGCCGAGCGGCTCAGTCGTGTTTCATCGGGGGTTTGTTCTCTGAGATGCTCCCTCCAGAGCAAATCGATGAATTCAAATTCAATTCGCTCTCGCAAGCCTTCACGACCATGACTTTTTTCGAAGAAGAACTCGTCTGCTGGCGGACGAGCGAAGGAATGTGTTCCTATCAGAGACAAACTCGGTCCGTGCGATACGAGGTTTGTAAACGTTTTCTGAATGACGCGTTGCAGTGATTCTGAACGCAGTTAGAAATGGTCTAATATTTATGTACTCGCGAGGGTAACTAAGGAATTCTGCATTTGTTTGCTCAATGTGTCAGAGTGCTCTAACCCAAGTTTTGCAGCGTCGGTGTAATTCATTAGTTGGTCAAACAAATGATTTTCGAAATATTTATTTACAACAATTTATCTGGAGCGATCGGCTCGATTATAAAAGAAGAGGAAGGTTTAAGCTTTCTGGAATCATAACAAAAAGAAAAGAACGAAAAGATAAGCATCTTATTTTTTATTTAATCAAACAAAAGATAGAAATGTGTCTTGCTTAATTAACACACAATTTGTTCCTCAAAGATTCGGAAGCCAGAAAACTAATGAATTTTATAGCGCTGTGTAATACTACAAGGTTAGATTTATGAAAAAAACAAACTTTTCTGTCATGATGCAACGACGTTGATTTTTTTTTTTTTTTGGGTCAGGGATGTCTTAGGAAAAATGATCTTCGTTCTGTCGTTTTAGTCAGTCGTTTGAAATGCTCTGAGTTGAGAAAATTTCGATTATATTTATTTACACCCAGCTGCGTGCAATTTCGTTTTAACGTGATAAATGATATGCGTCTATTTTGGGCATGTATTTAAGTGTAGTTGTCAATATTGATCATTTTTACCGGATTCCCCAAAGATTTTTATTTACTGTAAGTTATAGTTGTTCAGTCTCAATATCGAGGTGAGCGGACGCTTTTTTTCGAGTTTGCTCAAATGTATCTCGTGGCCATCGAACGAACAAGGAATAATCACTTTACCATATAAACGAACTCAGGTGACTGTATTTCTTATCATAGCTTTGTACAGTGCATTGTGAAGAAAAATAAGGTCTTGACCACTTTTTGTATTCCATAATTATGATTTCAAATGACTTGCCCCTTTACGCGCGCCGCAATCATGCTTTGTATGTTTTGTGATGACAAGAGTTAATTTTTACCAATGACGATTCAATGTAATTGTTACACGCAGTAAATTGTAAATTATATTTTTTGCAAGCTTTAAAATATCACCAATCGTTGAATGAGTGGAAAGAATTGTGCTGCACAAAATGCTTTTTCGCTGTGCATTTTCCAATGTTTTAAACTTAAAATAGTGCTTACACATAGTGTCTTGCAATACTCAACAAATTGTGCGACATTTTGAGCAAAACTTTGGCGAATCATTCTTTCAACGTTGTTCCCCGGAACACAAGATACAGCACGCGCAGTGAGTGGTTGAAAAGTCTGTTTTTTGCAAACTCCGGTGTACAGGACCGAGTCATACATGGGGTTATCGAGACACAGGATGTACGGGATGTGTACGGGATATGAACAGGATATAAACGGGATATAAACGGGATATATACGGGATATTTGCGGGATAGGAACGGAATACATTACTGAAGTTTACTGAGTGTTGAATTAAGCTATATAGAATCTCTTTGAAACCAACTGCTAGGAGGCCGAATCAATAAGCTTTCGATTCGTTAGCTTATAAGATAGGTTGACGATGCAGCATTTAGGATGATCATACGATTCTGAGTATCTACGATTTCTCTAAGAAATAGATTACATGTTGCTGTGTGTCTGTTCAGCAAAAGATCACAAATGATGTCAAAATTAGGTAGGAACAAAGAGTATCAAGGCATAGTCGAGTATGTCTCTGATGTTCTTAACACATCAAGTTTGACGTGTTCTGGGATCTATTATAATACAGGCCCTCAGCAACATAGAATTTTATTTATTGTGTATGGTACAGAAGCAAATAGTTGGTGATGGTGACGTCACCTACACGTCTGTCCCCCAAAAGATCGTAAATAAGAACCGATCAGAATTCGTGTATGATGCAGCTCATCATGAAAAGCGTAGTAGTCCATGTGTTCGTTATTTAATAACGGGTATAACACCAAGCGCTCGGCTAGTGGCATGGAAACGAGCGAAAAAGTGGGGGCCAAAACGCTAGGGCTCAGGCCACCGCAGCTGTTCTTTTGAAAACTAGAACCGTCCAGTTTGCCGCTCATTCACTCTTTTGCGACATGGGTCGGGTATTACCTTGTTAAGTAAATCAAAATTCGAGTTTCGGTTTCTCTTTGCATGTAGAAGAGAAGAAACGTTTTTTTTTTAATTCTGAGAGAAAAATGATTTGTTAGACTCATATCTCCGCGATCAAATGTTAAAATCTGTCTTTCATTTTACCTTTGAACAGTACAGAGTCATTAGAAGTGATGTTTAGGTTCCTTGTACTATTACAGAACGTCTCTCATAATCACCTGCTCATAATCAAGCAAAAGATAATTTTCTGCTTTTCAACAGACAAAAATGATAGTAAACGCAATCAATTTGCTTTTGTACACAATACGGATAATGCATTGAATTTTATTCACGATGAAATGATGGCTGTGTGTTCTATTCGAATTATTTTCTGTGAATCAAACGGAAAATGAAGCGTAGCAGTAGACAGTAATTGTCTTTGTTGATTAAAATATTGTAATCATTATAGACTTGAGAAGGATATCAATGCTAACATAAAAGACTCACCACCGCGGGCAATGTTTGAGTTCAATGCAAATACCACTGATAATCAGTTCCGTATAGATAACTTGAATAAATCAAGCTTTCAGATTGGTCCGTTCTATCCACAACATTAAATATTGAAAAGTGATGGCGTTGTCCTAGAATAGTTTGACGCCCAGAATTTTATGGCGTCTGATGTGAAATAATATATTCTGTTGGTCGAGTTTCATTCAAACATCAGGTCAAAACAGGCGAAACGAGACAATGAGTTGGTCTCTCCTCGCAATGTGATTTCAACATTAAATGACAAAGTCATTTCATCGCATCATTTTCGCCGCGTTTGTCTCAGAAATTGCACGGATTATCGGTGAAGATCATGATTTTTGTACAGTGGAATGGTATTTCAGATTTGTAAGTAGAGGATAATACCGATGCTCAGTATGTCGACTGACACAGAACCTGATGTTAAGGAAAAATTGGAGAACGATTCGGTAAGAGAAATTTTAATTCTGACTGCATTCAGTGTATCTGCCATTTCGTATCTTAAAATGGTTTACTTGGAAAAGTCGTATTTGAACAATTCATCAGCCATTACTTCTCTCAAAGATGATTAAAACTTTATTGAAATGAAACTTTACACGACTTAATTCGACTTAGAACCTCCCTTAATTTATCCCCTGAGGCGGAAAGCGAGTTTTTAGTCGCTGTTGACATCAATACTGTTGAATACCGGCCTCCTGGCGTGTGCTAAAATTGCAACAAATTGATACGGTTGTTTATATTTTCAGGAGCACAAGATGGCGTCCGTGCGAGACGATTTGGATATCAATCCAATGATGGATAATCCAGTGTTTTCGACGGGTAGTTCTGTTAATCTGTTCTGCCCTTTGTGTCATGAAATGTTCGTGAACCCTCGATTGTTGCCATGTCTGCACACGTTTTGTAAAAGATGTCTGGAGAACCTTGTGGTCCCGAGGTCAAGTTCTCTCAGCTGCCCGGCCTGTCGAACAGATGTCCCTCTCACGGTACGTTGAAGCGTTTCGTTTTGTTCAGTTTTCATTCTAATCTCGTCTCCTTTAGCTTTAGAAACTTTGAGAAACTAGAGTTTATTCCAATAGTCTTTAAATGATTTTTTTAACTTTACCGAAACCATTATTGAAATATCGTTTACGCAAAGATGACCAGATAAACCATCGATGGATTTTAAACGCCATCTTCGTCAATACCATCTGTGCCCTCAATTACCACATTGCCGCTTGCCTCCATAAAAATCCCTTTCCATTTCACAAAGAAGCTTATTTTTTGCCCAGCCTGATATAGGTTCCATCCTAACAATAGAAATAATTCATCCTATCTCAAAATTCTACCTTAAAAGACCTGTTTACTGTTGCATCAGGATTTTTAGCACGTGTCTGGAAGGAAAGAAAGTTTCAATTTTACACATAATGAAAGGTTAACAATGATATTTGTCTAAATAAAAAGAAACCCTAAAACTTGAATTAAGCATTACATTCGATTTTGAAGGACATTTTTTCAAAAGCGTGTCAGGCTGAGTTTGTTTCCGAGATTGATGCATGGTATGATGATAGACTGACTAAATATTCAATGAAATTCGTGAACTCGTCAATAACTTAATTTCGCATTCTGCCTGACGAAAGTTGGCTAAAGATCGATGGCGGATTTAACAAACTGAATATAATGCAGCGCATAAAAGGCTTTTTTTGTTCATCCTAAACGATAAACAGAAGTATTGGGGACCAGCTTTCTTCAATTGCTTTAACATGGAATTCATTATTTGTGAGCTTCGCTGCCTTAAGTGTATAATCGCCCCCGCCAACTGAAACATGCATATTATTTGTATTAATAGTAAAGATCGAAAGACAATCGAAATTCCAAATATTGCCAAAGAAACTTTATAACCATAGGTTATAATTTTGCCAAACTGTGTAATAGTACCTGAGTCAAATACAGAGTCAACTTACGTGTAGGAATAAATTCATTAGATACAAGAAATCAGCTTTGGAATCTTGTTTAGCAACTGATTTGAAACATTTCTGAAACACACCGTGCAAATTCTTTAAGACAACAAAAGCCGGCTGTTGGCGGTGCACTGTCAGCTGTAAGACCCCTTACCATCGTCTGCTAGTTTAGCCTACGAGCGGCTGGGCTCTCGTGTTTGGTTTTCCCATTATGGCACAGCCGACTTTAACAACATCGTCAGCCGCTTTTGGAAAAACTTTTAAAACCTTTGTTAAGATATGTCATCATAGGAAATTCGGTTTCGCTTACAAATTGATTCAACGTTGAGCCGACAAAAATTCGTTGAGAATTACGTGCCGACTAGAGGTTTGCTCGCCTTAAAATATCGTTCCAATTAATTAACGAAAGCTTGTTTCAATAAATCATTTACTGGTCCAGTTTCTCCTGAAATGATCAACGCCAGGGCCCGCGAAAGCTCTTCACTTAGCAGAATTACATGTGTGTTTCTCTGCGTGGCAAAATAAAATGTGTTGTTTGGCCTTGCGACCTAAAAAAATCGTGAATCTCAAATCAAATCAAAACTACGGAATGGTTCTTGAGCGCTTTTGTTTTCTGCAAGTGACTTTTCCTTAACGCTGCATTGCTTGCCCCAGCAAATAAATTCGTTGATATCTCATAGTCATAGTTTAGTTTCACTTTACTCTTTTTTCTCTAATTTTGTTCTTGTTGTTTTGTTTTGTTTTTGGTTTTTTTTTTCAGGAGCGTGGTGTCGGCGCTTTCCCGCCAAATTTCGTGGTAACCACCATGATGGATGTGGCGGCAGTGCGCGCCCACGACAAGAACCCAATCATGTGCAGCAGCTGCGAAGACAAACTTCCTGCAGCTGCGCGGTGCATCGAATGCATGGACTTTCTCTGCCATGACTGTAGAAATGCTCACATGAGACTGAGGCTAACCAAGACTCACAGGGTAAACGCTAACGTTTTTAAAAAAATTGAGAATGGTTTTAATTTTGTATAAAATTGGTTAGTTGAGATAACCTGAGTTTAAAGGCTCTCAATCAGAAAGCGTAGCATAGCAAACCCAACGCAATCCTGCAGTACTTTCGACATCAAATTTAAGTTTGATCTATCTATAAAAAGAAAATTAATTAAGAGTGAAAAGTCTATGCGAGTTTCTTTGCCCTCAAAAAGGTTCCATACAATACACGGATTTATTGTTTCACCCACAGAATATGCGAGAAGAAAGTAAAATCGTATTTTAAATGTTTTGTGGCCATTTTAGGTTGTGTCTTTAGACGAACTGAAATCCAGTCCACATCCCGAAGATTTACTTCATCGTCCAATTTTCTGCATGGAACATGCCCACGAGAAGCTAAGGTACGTTGCAGTCAAAAACTATTCTGCAGCAATAACAGAGGACAAATTCAATACTAAAACGCAGCACAATATAAATGATTATGGCGCCAAGATAGAAGTTGAACGCTCTCTAGGAATTGGAGCAAAGAACGTAATTTATTTGGAAGGGTAAAACTGTGCAAAGATATCATCACTCAAATTAACATTTGACCAGTGCCAAGTGCGGGAAAAAGCAGCAGGAACTGAGGAAGAACGGAGGAAAACCTGTATGGGAACCTAACGATGGAAGGTAACACGGGACGAGAATTTAACTGCGAAGGTCCAAGGAGCCGAAATCTCGCCTGAGTAAAGTGCTCAAGTTAAAGCCGTGTAATATTTTATAGTCAACAGTGACTGAAAAAGCTCCTTGTCACCGCGGTGACCTAGACAACGTTAAGTTTTCCCAGTAACTATAACTGCACTGCAAGAGAGCTCACCGCAAATGAAGTTCACCGCTCTTACTGTTTTTACAGGTACTACTGCGAGAGCTGCGAACAAGCTATCTGTCGTGAGTGCACCATGACTTCTCACTCGACTGAGCGTCACAAATACACCCAGTTGACTGACACCATTGACAAGCAGACTCAAAACATCTCTCAATTGGTAGAAAAACTCAAAAGGAAGGTCCCAATTGTCACGCAATCTACTAAAGACGTAGAGGAAGTCACATGCCGGCTCGAGGCCAGGGCGGAAGTGGCGAAGTCTGAAATTCAGAAATGCTTTCCTCGAATTTTAAAAGCGTTACAAGATCGCGAAAAAGGAATGATGGCTGAAGTAGAGACAATGGTACAAAGAAAATCAAAAGTCCTAGGAATACAACAAGAAAGATTGGAAAATGAATTAAAACGTCTTACGACGACCTGCAACTTTACTGGTAAGTATCTATTTCCCAGGTCCGCAAGGCGTACTCATGGCTGAAGGAGAACTGTGGTCAAGTAATTGGAGCTCTTAAAAGTGATATAGGGCATCTCGCTGGTGTACCAAAACGTGCATTGCAATTAAGTTGGGCAAGATTGAATACTTTAAAATTTCTGACTATCACAATTATAAAACTTCGTACTTTGATAGGTAGCCCTAGTTGGTTAGTTTTTACTGCCCCACATTTAAATCTGACTACCCACGGGTTTTTTGAGTAGGTTTGACCACGAAACTTTCCGCCTTCGAAAGATACACTTTCGCCTGACACAAAAAATAACTTCCACTACGGGACGACTAGTTTTCCTTGGCTTGATGGTTATCGTATTTTCTTAGGTATGGAGCTCCACTAGTATGCTTTGCGCGCAGAAGTTTCGGTCATGAAACTCGACTTGGTTTTTAATTAAATTTTGGAAACTTTTTCCTTCTATAATGTCTTGCAGAGGAAGTCTTGAGGCATGGAAACTCTGTGGAAATCCTTGTCATAAAGAAACAGCTTTGTGACAGATTAAATGACCTCATCTCCACTAAGTTTCAAGGAGAGCCCGAAGAAAATGACGTCATCTACTTTGTAGCCAATCAAGATGAAGTCCTGAAGGCTCTCGAGAACCTTGGGCAGATTAAAACGAGTAATGCCTTCCCCACTAATTGTACAGTAGCTGACGACATGAAGAATGCAACAAAGGGAAGGAAATCCAAATTTACAGTTCTTACGCGGTAAGCAAAGTTCATTGATGAAATCAAATCCAAGAGGTAAATTTGGCAATAGACTCGGTACTGGTCAGGCCTCATAGTTATTTTACGAGATAACGACAAGCAGCTTTTTGACTTGCTCCTCAACGAAGCTCCTTTCAAGAACAATTTCAATTGACCGTTGTAAGTAATTCGGAATTTCAATGATTTTTAGATTAGTATACTCTATGATTGGTCCAAATTTCCAAATTTCACGGTTTTCCCGTGCTTCACGTCCTCGTGCCTGAAACAGTTTACAGGTCATCAATCGGAATTCTTGTTAGCTCCTTGTAATGTCATCCTCTATCCTGATAGGCCTTTGTAATTACTTCAGTATTTATTTCACGGAATTCAAATGTAAAGCGCTCTGATGCGAATGATGCATTTAACCTTGTTGTGATGTGTTTAGTGATCACAGTGGGGCCCAGTGCACTGGCGGCGGTGAGGATGTAATGGTTGATGTGTACACGTCAGATGGAAGAACTGTGCCTGCCGAAGTAAGACCGCTTGGCTCCTCCCCGGGCTCTTCACATGCGCTCTCTCGCTACAACTCACAAAATGTTAGCATTCCATTTGAGATTCACGTGTGGCATGCACTGTAATAATTCATGCGCAGAATAATTACTAACTGTGTCTTTTTTCTTAACGTGACTCCTCCGTGGTCGTTATTTCGGTTTTTACGCAACGTTTGGGGAGAAACATTGCGTGACAACCCAAACAACAGCCGCGCCGAGGCGTAAATGTGTTATGTTCAATCTTACCTTTTCATCGCACTACGATTTTGCTTTCTGCACCTTTCTTTGTTTTACTTTAGCAATCACTGTGGTGTCACAATTAGGTTCTATTGTAGTAGATGTTGTTTTGTTGTGGGTCTTTTTGCGGACTGCCATTTGGAATGTCACGCAAGACCCTACCCCCGTTGCAGTATAGCAGCGAAGGGTCACGTGACAGGGCTTAAAATACTTATTTGTGTGGAGTGGGCAGATTTTAGTTGAATAGCAGGTGCTCAACGAAAACGTGGATAAGACTCCCGCTTCCAATATGATTGTTTTTGATGGTGTGTTGCCCAATTTTTTCCAGGTTGAGGACCACAGAAATGGTTCTTACGGGGTCAGTTACAGCCCCTTTAATGTTGGAATGCACAAGGTAGATTTACGAAAAACACAATATGTTTATTGTTAACATACTTGACTGGTTGTTTTCTTTCTTCCCACCTGATAGCTCCTTGCTTGACATTAACCTTTTCCAGCCTAACATGAATATACACATTCTCCATTGTTCTGTATATATTTGCTACGGTGCTGACAAGGAGAATTTGGTGAACAATCAACTGAAACTGGCTCAGTCATGAAATATTTAGTACCGAGGCTCTTCTGAGCTGGAATCACTTGTTCTGCAGACTCGCAGATTAAATTGAACTTTATGTACGAAAAAAATACCAGTTTTTCGTACAAATTAAATTTTAGAAGGATTTTTATGTTGAGAATTTCTCTCCGTTATAGGTGTCTGTGACTGTCCGAGACAAGCACATCCAAGGTAGTCCTTTTAAAGTCAATGTTGTCAATACTGGAGAATCGTACCTCAAGTTTGGCAAAAAGGGAACCGAAATTGGAGAATTTAACGGAATATTTGGCGTTGCTGTGGACGATGAAGGGCGCATCATTATTACAGATTGTCACAATCACAGAGTACAAGTTTTCAATCATAATGGCGGATTCTTGTTCCAGTTTGGTCGCAAAGGAGAGGGCAGCGGACAGTTCCAATGCCCCACCGGGGTAGGGGTGGATCCTGACGGGAGAATTGTCGTCTGCGAAAGACTGGGTAGCAGAATACAGGCAAGAAATGATTGAAATGTAAACATGTGTGGTATGAGCTAACAAAAACTTTGATTTGAATCTGGCAGCTTCATTTGAGGTTTTTCTTCAACCAGTGGCAAAACTGCGATAACTCACAACTAGGTTACTCACCTTTTCCCGCCCTTTAGCAAGCCGTGTCACGTGATTTTAATTTGGGCGTTGATTGGCTTCTTCTATTATTTTTCTTTGCTCTGATTGGCTAACTCTAGTTAGGGTTTAAGAAACCTATTGAAGCGCACTCTGAGAAGTTTCCTCTCAGTTCCTACTTTTTTTTTTACTTTCGTAGATGTTTGATCGAGATGGAATGTTCCTTCACAAATTCTCCGTTCCAGACCTAAAGGCCTCCACATTAGCAGTAGATGCTAACAGAAGAATTATTGTTGCTGACTCAGCAAATCGTTGTATTCATGTCATTTCACTGGATACAGGTTGGCAATGTTTGAATTGACTTATTTCCTACTTCTCCAGTGTAAAACATATAGAAAAATCTTGGTTCCCTGTGATACAGTAGCATCCTACCCACCAGGTGCGAGGCGTTCGTGGTAAGCGCGAAGCGTGCGAGGTAAGCACTAAGCGTGCGAGACGTGCGAGGTAAGCACGAAGGGTGTGTTAAATGTGGGAGGAGGAGCACGCGATTCCCGTTCCTTCCGTTCGTCTTAAAAACTTGAAGTCTGTCCCACCTGTCTTTATTATCCGTACCTCATTACTTTATCCTTTTTACATTCTTACTTGTGTTCGTGTTCACTAATTTGTTAAAGAAAAGTGTATTTCATGCCTTCAGGTCAGTCTTTCAAGTTTGGTTCTTTTGGAGACGGCAATGGCGAGCTGAATTACCCATGCTACGTTGCGGTGAATTCTCAAGGACACATCATTGTGTCGGACATGCACAGTCACCGTATTCAGGTACGTCATGCTGTCAGTCATTCGTTACCATGGGGACCCAATTAGATTAAGAAACTGGTAAAATATTTGAGATGTTCATAATCATATCCCCTATTCTGTAAAGAGTAGCACAACCAAACTCAAGCCATGGGACAAGAATGGCTCTTACTTACTCTCTTACACGAGAGTAACTTTACTTTTGACCTCGTTCCTACGAAGGGGCTGTCGTTTTAAGGAAAATTACTCTTGGTATATCCTATTAAAATTCTTCGAAAAGTTGTCAAGGGTGAAAACATAATAATTAGAATTGTAGCTAGTGTTGAGTGGTAAGTTCCAGTTTCAAAATTGATGAATGAATGACGCTTGATAGAGCAATTTCTGAGTGTCGAGAGTTATGTGGGATTGCATTGGTTTTCCCTTCTTCGCTTTATGATTGGTCTAGAAAACTTGCACCACCCTCTCAACCAATCACAACCGATCACGATTTGATCACTCTCGTTTTCCCGCGTTTTAGGTGGTTCACGTGATGCGACATTGAATTCTCATTGGCTCCTTGTGACTCCTTCCTTTGTTCTGATTGACGTCGTGATCGTTTTGGTTTTAAGACACCTAAACGTAACGCCCTGTGTAACTAGTTTATATAAAAAAATATTTTTATATAAATTATTTAAATTTTTTACCTTTTCCATTCAGGTATTTGATCCACGTGGTCGATTCATGTTCAATTTCGGCCGTAAGGGGAGTCAGGACGGGGAGTTAATGCGCCCCACCGGCGTAGCCGTGGGTCATGACGGAAACATTATTGTCGCCGACCGAGATAATCATCGGATTCAAGTCTTTTCCAACGAGGGACGTTTTGTCACGAAATTTGGTACTAAGGGTGATGGTGACGGTCAACTGAATGACCCACATGGCCTCGCTTTGACGCCAGAGGGGAATATAATTGTTGCAGACTTTCGAAATAATCGTGTTCAACTCTTTGGGCAGCCGGCATGAAATCAGTTTTAAAAACGTTTGCTTAGTGAAATTGTGCAAGTATTCGTTCGGGACAGAAATTTCAACATACTGGAGAGAGAATGGGCACTGGCGAGAGAATATTCTCTTGGCACTGGAAGATGGCGAAGACGGCATCATATTTCCATATTTGGAGTGCGTGTTTTGATTGGATCGCCTCTGGCACCGCACTTGGTGGAATGTAAACATGTGATCAGAATTTCTCATCGTTTCATTCCTTCAAAGAGTAGATGTTAATTTAAGTCAACATATCAGAAATTTAAACTATGAAATAGTTTCAAAGATTTTTTTGGAAGAAGTGCAACACATTAATGCTTAATTTCTCCCTTGCTGAACATATCCTGTTATATCTAATTAAAATTTTAGGCTTATAGATATAAGCTAAGAGGCAAAAAGCCTTAACTTAATCTATTTTCAATTTCTTTGAAGCGAACAGATTATCACAAAGTTCGCTCCAGTTTTTTCAGTCTCTTCTGAAACGCGCAGGAGACGCAAGGGGGGGGGGATTTCACACTCCCCCAGAGAAGGGAACTTGAAAAATAGAAAAAACTTCCAACTCCTGCTAAATAAGACAAAAAACTTAGCATCAAACCGTACTTGGGTAGCCACACATTTGACATTTTCAAAACGCGTCACATCGGTAGTATTGAAAAGAGGGATTTTGTGCAGAAAGGTACCACCAACCATTCCCCTCGGGTCCATTAACTCTCTGTGCCATAATGCGACTGAAGTACGTTTGTTCTATATTTGTGGTTTACCTCTATCCCAAGTTTCAATTCTAATTTTTTTCTTATTTCAGAGAGGATGTGGGGGGGAGGGGGAGGGGGTGGAGGTGGTAACATGGAATAAATCCAGCGAGTCTAACCGAAAAAAAAAAAGAAAAAGAAAAAGAAATCGGCCAAAGCTTAAACTGAATCAACGCCTATATAATCTAGAAAAGCTCAACTCTTGCCTTACTTTTCTTTTAGAGAGAGAGAAGCGTTGGTTTTACATAGAAAATCTGTAGGTAGCTTATCTTTAGGGCTTTATTTGGTTATTGTCTTTTCCAGTGTCATTTCAGCATAAATTGCAAAACAAAGTAAATATAATTTGGAAAAGCGCCGGTTATCGAACAAGCCTGTGTTTCAACCTGTGCGATAACTTAGGTTCTTGTTTGACATTTCTATCTTCTATTTTGTAAATTTTTTTATAATAAACGTTTGTTTAATTTTTCTGTAATTTTAGAGACCTTCTTTTAGAGGCATAGGAATAAAGCGATTTTTTAGTTAATTTTTGATCCAAAATTTTTTTAATTTTCTATAATTTTTTGATGCAAGGAACGTTCTCATACAGGAAACCGCAGACTTTAACTTTTACTGTTTAAATCATTTCAATTTAAAACAATGATTTCACCGTTGATTAGCTTTCATGAAAATCATATCCTTCATAACTTATTTTATTCTTTAGGACATTAAGGCAAAAGTAATATATTTAAAATACTCAAACTGTTTCACTGTTTCACAAAGAATAGTTTTGACAGCATGACCAGCTATCATTTTAGCAAAACACATCAACAGAGTTTTCCCTCTGAATAATGGCTTATCTGCCAATAACCTGGATGAAATTTAAGAAACGCGTTTAGTGAGATCAGAGGAGTAGGAGAAATTTTAAAACTTAGAGGAAACAGAAGTTTGATCAAATTTTATTTTCATCGAAAATTTGCAACAAAATTTCACCTCTGTATTTACGTATTTAGAATCCCAAGTTTAATACTGTTTTTTATTTTTATTAATCAGGCCATTCATTGTGCCATGTAAAAATATTTCACAATTAGGCATTTTAAGATTTATATTTGTTTTTATCAGTTGAGTAAGTTGTCTTTGTAAGTAAAGGATTTGATAAGAATGCATTTAGCTGAGTCAGGACAGGGTGGAACAATGCTCCTTCAATTAAGCGAAAATAAACCACTTCACAAGTTCAATCCATTCCATAAGTCCATTCCATTCTCAAGTTTGCAGTTGACGATTAATATGGTAATTTAAAAGTTATGTTTTTTTTAGATCTCAATCAACAATTGACCACGCTGCTAATAAAAGGGCAATTTTGGAAAATCAAAGAGGTTACAAACTGGTCCGCAACAGTCTTTTGCCATTCCTCCAAACTACTGCTAATCCGAAAACCATTCCTAGTTTTAGGAGATGTACAAGTTACAATTCCCACACCACCTCACTAAAAACAAGAATACTTCACCAAACCCTCCCCACCCACCTAAAGTGAGGAAAGCAAACAAACACACCATTCCAATATTTAATCTCAAATTCAGATTAAGCTGTATATTAGACTGAAAATATATTGTGTTCATAGATATCTGTTGTACCTTTGAAACGTTTTTGCATGCTTATAACGAATGATAAATCTAAGACATTCCCAAATGTTACCAATTCTGATCAAACAAAAAACAACATGCAAGAAATTGTCAAGAATTTGGCACTAACTTGTTGACCTGGTAACTCCTCCACACCACTTGTGTACGAGCAACTGGTAGTTTTGACTTTTATTAAGATGCCCTGCGTCAATGAAAACATTGGCTAGAAAAAAGGAATGAGAGTTTCCAACTCATCCTTTTATAGATAAAAATTTTGCTCCACTATATTTGGATGAAACCAACCAAAATGTTTGAATATAATTATCTTAAAATGCATTCATACGTAAGCATATTGTTCGGCCGTTTAGGTTTTTCAAGCTGCTTTACTTCTCCTCCAATGCAGCAGTAATAAGTTCCCTTGGCCAGTCATCAAAAATTCACAAGTATCTCTCTATAAAGAATTCATTTCTTTTATCAAGATTTTCAGTAATAGTAAATTCCCTCATTTCAGCAAGCTCTCCACTGAGTGAAAGTTCTGGTCCTTGAAGATTGGAGACCATTAATCAAGACTCATTCTTGTTATCCACTGCCTCTCAAATCAGCGACTTTCAAATCCAGGCATTGTGAAACCTCTTGCAAAACTCTCCACATCTGCTCTGAGAGAGTCAATTTTTGCCTTTGTTTCTGGGTTAGATTCAATATGTGAAAGAAAGTCCTTCATGGCATCACCTTTAAAAATGAAGAGACAAAACACGTCACAAATTTAACTACTTGGTATGCAGCTATAGAATTATTGTATTGTGCATGAACAAACAGCTGTGTGACAATCAACAGCAATTTGAGTGTCATTAAGTAGAACATAAAGCATAGGTGTCATAGTCTCAAAGTTGTCTCCAGTTCAAAAAATTGCCAGCTATCTACATGATATATACAAAGCTATTTGTATGCAATACATGTTTCTATGTACAGATGGAAAATTGATAAATTGATTGTTGATGATATAAATCTCATCATAGCAGTGTGGCATCCCTGCAGCTTAACCCTTTAATTCCCATATCAAACTTGTAATTCTCCTTACTGTAAACCATACTTTTCTTGTGATGTTAGTTCAGAGAATTTAGTATTGGTTCAACTAATAATCCCTAAATTGATATTTTCTTTATTCTCGTCACTTATCCGGTTGATACTGCATTGATATTGTAAGGAGAAACTCTGTCTAACTAAAATAGTAAAAGATCACATTGATCACCTACAAGATCTCTTCAGCTGTTCCAAAAAATTTGAATTCCATTTGAATGCTTAGTCTGGGTTGTGGTTAATTATACGAAGGTTACCTCTGTACTAAAGCCAAGTGACCCACCAGGTGAAGCCTATCCCCATTTCCCTTGCACTAAGTGATTGGGAGGAGAAATAGTACTTTCCCCTGGATGGGATGGCACCTAACACTTCATTGTACCCATTGATACTCCAACTTGGAAAGAGGTATTGTGAAAGTTTTTCCCAAGAACCCAACATAATGACCTAGCCTGGCAAATGTTATATACCTTGGCCCACATTGAAAGCAATGCTCAAGCAAAGCCCTACCTGTTGCACTTTGTGCCTCAACTGCAATCTTCACTCCTCGGTCCAAATACTCTATAATCTTCACAAAGTCCTCTTCTTTGAAGTTACGGGAAGTGAGGGCAGGTGCACCTATCAAGAAAAGAACAGTCAATCCTACAATACAAGTTACTTGCTCACAATACAAACTACAGAAATCTGACCATGTACATAGTGATAATAAATCAAACCATCATTAGGGTTTAATTTAATGGTTCATGAATGTCATCTGGGAGGGGGAGGTAGCTTGCAGTGCAGGCGTCTCATCAGGACAAGTTAACATTACAAGTTCATCATCATTTTATCCAGCCAGCCTAGTTTGATTTAGAGTTTATAGGGAACAGTAGGGGGAAAGGGCAAGGAAAAGCAAGACATCATCCCCTCTCCTGTCTGTGGAGTAATAAGAAATAAAGTGGCCTAAATAGCCCGTGGAAAATTTACTTTCAGATCACGGTCATAATTAAAGAACAATCTTTGTACCTAATCTAAGTCCTCCAGGTTTCAAAGCACTCTTGTCCCCAGGGCAGGTATTTTTGTTTGCAGTGATTGATGCCATTTCCAGAACTTTCTCCACACGAGCTCCGTCAATACCCTAAAGAACAAAACAGCAACATCAATTTTGATCACCCCCCTTTAAAAGAATCGAATTTAACACTGTAAAAGCTAGTTATTTATCCAAGGTCTAACCTAAACCACAGTCTTATACAATCAGTGGGCCTTGGGCTCTCTCTATAAGAGGGTTGATATAAGCAAATAAATGTCCTTCCACTGTCAGCTTTTGGCCTTCATGGCACATTTCACAAAAATAAATACTCAGATAACAGGTTCAGCTAAATTGGGGATTGTTTAGGACATGGTTTTGTAACACAATGGCTAAACTTTTTTTAAATAATCAGAACTAGGTGTCTAATCCAAAAATATCATGTAATTTAGTGTTAACAACTGGGTTGAAAACGTAAATTAGCCACCGTAAAGAGTAAAAAAGCTGACATTTCGAGCGTTAGCCCTTCCTCAGAGCGATTGGATGAATTTTCAACCTAGTTGTTAACACTTAATTACCTGCTATACTCTCCCACCGATGCAGCACCACAGTTTCTTTAGAAACTTACCCCTTTATCCAAAAATATCACGTTAACCCTTTAACTCTCCAGATCTGATTGTTAATTCTCCCCTCTAGCTGCTACACATTTCCTTCAAAATTAGCTCTGAGAATTTGGTGTTAGATCAAGAAAACAACTTTTACATGATAAGTATTCTCATTACCTGTTTGCTAGATAGTGTATGGATATTATTGGGAGAAGTTACCTCTCAATTGCTTGTGGGAGTGGGAGGGTTAAATAAAGCCCACCAGCAGGCCCTCATTAGAGCTTTGGTGCAAAAGTTTGTATGCAGGAAGGTATGAGACCTTGAGAGATCTGCAAGGTGTCTACCCAGATCCCATGCGATCCTCTTCATGACTTGTCTCAAATCTTCCCACATGTAGAGAAACATTTGTCCTGTGGCACAGATAATGAGGACCTGCTTGCAAGCTATGGCATACACTGGTTCTCACCCTTGGTCTAAGATCAAGTAGAAGAAGATGGTTGTCTGTACCACCTGTAAATGAAACAACACAATAATTGCATGTTGAAAAAATGAGTTGCTATTGCCGAAAAAAGGAATTTATTATGTTTGCCTGTAATTTTCATGGGACATCTACCAGTAAATAGGCTCTCAGGTATGTAACAAGCTAGTTAAGAGACTTATAAAAGGCTATAAGTACCTTTTACCATGAAAAAAGATCCTTACACAGAACAATAACCAATGAAGGGGTTTCTCTAAGCCTAACCTGACACTATAGAATATCCTAAATCAGTCAGAGCTTTAGCCATTGATTTGGCATTCTTTAAAACCTGAAGCTGATACTCTTTAAACATTGGGCTTTTTGCCTGAAAGAAAAAAAAATTAATATAAATTTATTAAGTAAACCTCTATATCTCTACAACATAGAATCATTTTTACAATTTGACTTCATAAATCTATCCGTGAACAATTTAGAAAAAGTCAAGACTACCTTGTCAGAAAGGCAAGAAAACCTCATCATAGCGTTTGTAACTTTCTGGTGTTTATATCTTTTGTAATTCTCTGAATGTGCAAAATCAGCACAAGACACAGAAACTGAAGAGGATGATAACGAAAGAACCTGATCTAAATCTAAATGTGAATTGCAAACTGTAAAACTATGCCTTAATTGATGCCTGTCAAATGAGCTGTAACACACCTGTTTCAATGCCACGCCCACCCCTGCAATAGCATGGTTATGTGGCCCTCCCTGGAGAGATGGAAACACTGCAAAGTCAATGTTCTTGTCAAAATCATACATAATGTCTGAATGAAAGTCAAGGACTTCACCATATTTCCTGAGGACCTTAGCCATTTGCATAAATCTAATCTGATTTCTCCCTTTCTCTTTAGAAAGTGTATAGAGACCAGTTCGGAGAATATACATACTGATGTTAGGGTGTAAAGGGTTAAAAATCACAAATTTAAGAGATCCTTGCAGCTAAGAACACTACTGAACTAGTAGTCGAAAATAGGACCTGGAAAAATTCAAACCTGTATGGGATTTGAACCCATGACCTTTGCAATACTGGTGAAGCACTCTACCAACTGAGCTAACAAGCCAACTGGGAGCTGGTCAATATGTTGGGTCAAATAAACCATCCAAGTGATGAATAATGATTTTAGATACCAGCTCCCAGTTGGCTTGTTAGCTCAGTTGGTAGAGCACTGCACTGGTATCGCAGAGGTCATGGGTTCAAATCCCATGTGGGCCTGAATTTTTTCAGGTCCTATTTTCAACTACTAGTTCAGTAGTGTTCTTAGCTGTGAAGATCTCTTAAATTCGTTTCTTTCCCACAGTGCAAATATATGAATTTCATATATCTAAAATGGTTAAAAATCAATTCAATATTCTAACTCTGCTCAGATCACATCTGCTACCACCTGATGAGTAAAGTCTCTCAGATGCCAACATCAACATTTTAAAAACCAGAGTTGATCAACAAATAACTTCTTCTTAAGATGTCAGTACATTATCCAGCCAACAACTGTACTTGGAAAATAACATCTCCCTGCAGATAGAGGGTATGAAATTGTCAAATTGCCCCCTCCCCTCCTCCCCCTGCCTCCATCTCACCAAGCAAGCTTTCACCATGTCAGGATCTAAGATGGTCATACCCACCATTTACATGTGGGTTTGGGAACGATTTGGTCAAAGTAAGTTCTCTTGTTGCATGTATACAAATCAAAGCACTACAGTTGTCAACAAACAAAACAACCCAAAAAATTACAAAGGATATCTTTTCCAGTTTTCTTGTTTTTTCCTTTGACACCAACACGGTAAAAAATTAAACCAGCTCTGTAGATGAAGCCAAAAGAAATATTTCACTGAAATATTGAAGGACTCAAAAGGTTCATCTAAACTGTTTTTATCTTTTTTTTTTTAAAGGAGAAAATTGAATGTAAATTTCTCCCTTCTAGAACCAACAAGACATGTGAATTGCTAAAGGAGAATCACTATCTGAATCAGTACCTGACAGCTCTTAGAGTCTTGTGAGTTGTTGATGTGACCACATGAGAGTGATCAAATGGACTTGGGATGACCTGCATAAATTTTAAATAAAGGGTAGACAATTAGATGAAAAAAAGAAAAAGACCTTAGGAGAAATCAAATTGGACACATACTTCCAAGCAATATTATCTTTAAGATATTCTGACTTCTTGAAACACACAATTCAAGGTTTCATTATAGTTTACGACAAAGTCTTCTTACCCCAGCTGCTACAAGGCCACTTATATGAGCCATATCTGCCAGCAAGACAGCTTTATGTTCATCAGCAATCTGTAGACAATAACCAAACATTGAGCAAAATTTCACCTAATTTTAGGAAAACAAACATTCTTTTTCTTATTTGTACAGTTTTCTAAGATAATACCTCTCTCATTCGCTCATAGTCATAAAGTCTTGAGTAGGCACTGGCTCCTGCGATGATCAGTTTCGGACGGAAAAGACGAGCAGTTTCTTCTAATTTGTCATAGTCTATTAAGCCTGTCTCTTCCTGAAACATGTCACAGCAAAGTGCAGAACTAAAAGTCAGTTAATAGAGTTAATGAACTGATTTTCTTACACCTTTTGCAATTCTTTGACTGCTTTTACAATACACTCCAAAAGAAATAATACAATGGAAAAAATGACAAAATTTCAGTTGTCTACAAATCCTAGGAGTAGGAACCCTTGTAAGGTAAAACCCTTCTATCCAAAAAAATACAAAAAAAAAAACTTAAAAAACATTTCATAAGCTGAAAAGGCTGCTTAATGACACAAAAAGTAACAGCTTGCAGTCATTATTATTGGAAATTGGTGTAGGGTTACTCACATTAAGCCTGTATGGCATTGACTCAAAATAGATTGAAGTTGCTGAAATCCTCTTGGTATCAGTCATGAAGCCATGAGTTAAACTGTGACAAAAGATCAGGCAACGGATTACTGTCTATCATACAAAATTATCACCAAATAGTTAACCACTGTCTGGCCTAAATGGAGGTTTGGTGCCTGTATTAATGTATTCAAACTATTTTCTTTTCATTTATAAATGCTTCACAAACACCATCATGGGGAGTTTGTGACATAAGGTTTCATAATGACCCCCTAACTCTCATGATCAGATGCTATTCCCATCCCCTGATCTTGTTGATACATTTATCTATTCTCATTTCCTATGATTGGATAAGGTACTAAAATTGCAAAGAGAATTTACATGTTAACATCAAATGTTCAAACTTACTGTCCCCCATGAGGCAAATCAAGCCCCATTATTCTGTCATGTGGCTTCAAAAGACCAGTGTATGCAGCAAAATTAGCAGGTGACCCTTAAATGAAATTGCCATGATAATACAATCAAATATAAATGTATCAACCCTTAACACTGTCACCCTAATATCAGAATGCATATTCTCCATACTGTTCGCCAAACATGTCCTTTGCTGCTGACTAGGAGAATTTGTTGAACGATCAAAGCTTCTTAGGTTGGTGATCATTTCCTTTATTCTCATGATCTTAATGAATGATGCAGAAGTATTATTGTTAGGAGAAATTAGATGCTGGTCACTCACAGGGTTTAAAGTGTCACAAGGACAAAATGAAAGCAATCAGCTTCAAAAACAGCCCTCAATATTGCAACCGTCTTGGTGACCATGTCAAAAGTCCATGATTTGATGTCAAAGTAGGAGAAACATTTGTGTGAAGAATTTTACAATATTACACAAATTTTCTTCCCAATTTTTTTTCGTAGCTTAGTTTTATATCTGTCAACCATTTAATGTTTTTAGCATGCCAAATAGTAACTTAAAAAAAAAAGGAGAACTATATCTGATTTCAAAGACCAAGACTTTGAGGCATAATTTTCTCTTGTTTCTAACAAATCTTTACCTGAGTATGGTTGAACATTCACACCCCACTCTTTTGGATCCAGATTAAAAGCTTCAAGTGCTCTCTTCTGAACAAGCAGCTCAATTTTATCAATTATCTGTGTTCCTCCATAATATCTGTAAAAAGAAAACCACCAGTTTAAGTGAAAAATGATTTGTAAAGTAAACAAACCACAACTCTTTCCTGATACCATTCTGGTTGCCATAGCCAGTGGGAAAAAAATTTATTACCAGAATAAAATTGCAAATGAATAAAAGTTGTTTATTTGGCAACAAGTATTCTGCAGTTGTGTATTAAGTTGCAAGTTTTTATAATCACTGGGACATCAGAGCCTATAGTTTACGCTAAAAAAAGGTAAACTTGCATGCAGCACTGATATGCTCTAACCGCCATTACTCTTTCAGAAAAATAGCCTTCTTCTTCCCAGTTGACTCGGTATTAACCCTTGAAAAGTCCCATGAAACTCCAAAATGGTTATTAGTAGTATTGCTTACTTCATTGATTAACAGGGTACTGGGTAATCAGCATAATATATTGTACAAAGTTTCCTTTCTTCTGGTAACTTGGATCTTATTTCTGATGATTATTTTTTTATTGTAAGCCACCAAGAGACAACTTAAAAAATTTGAACAATATTGATTCAATTCTAACTCAGTGAATGGGCTAACACTCAAAACATCAACTATAGAAACTTTTTACAGTGGCCAGTTTACATTATCAACTCATTTGATTAAACTTAATTATCTTGTAACACCCCCCACTGACAGCTGAGCATTTTAGTTTCTATACAAACCTACCCTTTTATGAAATGGTTGTGTGAACCCTAAAAATTATCATGCATATTAAATTCTATGCAGGTTAATTCAGTTGTATTCATGAGTCCAATGACAAAATGTTACTCGAGGTAGGAAAATAATTTACCTTTGACCAGGGTATCCTTCAGAATACTTGTTGTTTAAGCAAGATCCCA